GCCAATAACACCCGCCACGCTCGACTCCCCAAAATCACGTTCGAGCATGCGCCAGATCTCGGTGACAGTAACGGCTGGGTCAATTAGGGACACGTTGAGCTGGTTAAGGTAGCTCTTCGGTAGGGTTTTTGACAAAAGTGAGCGAATCTCCACGTTTTGTAAATCCCTAAGGAGGGTGGCCTCCTGTAGGGATTCTTGCGTTAAGGCATCCGGTAGCGCATCCGGCACACCAGTAAGCCAAGACTCGTACGACACGTCACACACGGCACGCTTGGCGTTTTGGGTGTCAATGCGGGCCTTAAGCCAGCGCTTCTGCAGCTCACCACGGAAGGCGTCCATCCAGGTTTGGAAGTCCTCACGCTTGCCACTGAATACGAGGCGTTGGATGTCGGACTTGTCGGAGTTCATACTTGAAGTATTCAGATGAACGCGGGCAACACAGTGGTGGGGTTGAAAGGGGTTGGTATTAAGGTGCTCAGTTAAAGGGCAATTCCAAAGTGAACACAAGCCTCTGCTTCATCGCACCAACTTGATGAACTATTGCTAGCTATGACGTCACGTGGCATTAACGAGTGTCAAACAGAGAGCAGCCAATCCCTGAATAATATAGGCCTGGGTCATGCAGATCACTCAAGATACATCTACAGACGATGCTGGCCGCTCATTCCAATGTCGTGACCTAATGCAAGCAACACTACTGATGTCTTACTTTGTAAATCAGTATGAAACTTATCCGGAATAATTTACGGATAATATTGAATTAACACTGATATTCAACAGTAAGCATCGTAAAACGACGCTGAGTGGTCGGCTCGTGCGGGTGCATATCTCACGGAACGTGAGTCCTGCCTCGCGCAGTCCTCGGATTCGACCGCGTTCTTCGTCAGTGACTTTTTGACGTGTTTTCATATACAAAAGTGAAGTGAAATTGACAGAACTAAACCGAGTACAAACATTCTGCAAAATACCGTCATTCTTTATATTAGTTTTTGTATGTATTTTTGTTCCTTAATTTTGTCGCCGTCCATTATTTTTGAATTGTATGTGAGGTCATCGAAATGAAGCGAATTCCAGTTCGGTAGCCATAATCACTTTTCGAGAATATTCGTCCACACATCATATCCAAACAGCATCGCTTAGCTCCCATTGGTTGATGAGATATCACAAAAAATGTAAGTGTTCTCTCATTTTTGGCGCGCAGTGTATAGATAGACGTTTGCTATGATGCTCGTCACCTATAAACTCGAAGTACCAACTTTTCACAAAATTTTCTGACTTCTATTTCGTATTCATTACTCAAAATTTCAGCAAATTGAGACGTAGAATCGACAGATCTCAATGTGGTGAAGAAATTCTACGTCTCACACTCAAATTTGGTGATGAATTGGTCCAGAAATAGATATTTAACCTTGTGGTATTTTACATGGGCGCATGGATATTTGGCCATAGGGGTGGCCGCTGAGATGTACCTTGATTTAAGCTGTTTCTGGACAAAGTGGAGTGATTGATAATGAATTATAACATTAATTGTATCGCATTCATAATTCCCGAATAGGCCTGAATTTTGGCTTCATGTAACAAATTCTAGAATTATAATCCGATACCTACGAGTCGAGTTACATGCACCGTCTCGGAAAAGTGTCATAAATTGGACTTTTACGTTATGTTACAATTTAGATATACGAAAATGCACCAATCATAGATCGTTATTTGATTATGCACCAATCATACAGTGAGCCTCTGAATTTCTATTCACAATTACATACAAAAAGGAAGGTTAAAATATACAACTTAAATTGGCACTCAAAATTATAGAGGTTCCTCGTGGGAAAAAGACTTGTTAATTATGGGTTGTTCACCAGGTACCTTTAGGACTATTTAGAATTTTGAAATCAAAAGAAAGTTGTTATGTCATAAATCGTTACAGATTTTTTATCCAAATACTAGGTTGAATGATTAAGCTGTCGCCAAGCCGACGACGGTACTAACGTTAGCTGGAGTCTCGACATCATTCTGGTTGGATGCGCGATCGAGCCCGATGGGGGGACGGACTGTCTTGTCGTCGTCGCCTTGTGATTCTTCTGGTGTGACTGCCTTCGCTTGGATTTCGCTGGCGTCGTCCAGCTGGTTGTTGCTGCTGTCGTCGACATAAGCTTCGCCTTGCAGCTTGTCACTTTTGAGCATCCTCATGAACTGCTGGAATTCCCGCATCGTGGGAAACACCATGCCGTCCAACACAGGGTTGCCGTGGTGGAACGCTTCGCCATTGACCGTGAAGATGTATTTTTCCACGTTGGCTTGCATGCGAAGCGGTCCATCGGCCGCTTGGATGCGTCTATGCATCATGTGCTTGTCACAGGCCACGTACAGCACATGCACTACAGCCATCGCGGGCAAATGGGACGTGCTGAACGACAGGGTTCGCTCGCCGCCTTCCACGTTGACGAATTGGTCAAACACGGCTTCTTCCTGCAATGTCTCGATGGAGTCGTTCTCGTGATAGATGAGCTGGACGTAACCCGCCACACCGCTGCATTTCACGTGCAACAGTTCGCCCAGTTCATGTGTGTCGCGCTGCCAGTCGTGGAGGATTTGAACTTCACAAGGCGTAATCAAGGCCTCAGGAACGGAATCACCATCGACGCATTGTTGCATGTAGATGCGCACAAAGTGATCGCGCTTGCTCCTTGGTAAGTAGTCGATGGGGGAAAGGCCGTTGATATCCCGAGAACTTTTGGCGCCGGCAGCGAGGAGATACGGCAGTACAAAAGTCTTATGGGATGCAAACACGTGGTGCAGAATTGTCCACTGCGTGGTCGGATCCGTTGCATTGACGTCGACCCCATGCTTGAGGAACAGCTCCAGGATGCATTGCAGGCGTTGACATGTCGTCGACACATAGCAGCACGCATGGAACGCCTTGATCACATCCGTCGGTTCGGGTGACGCTTGGAGCGCCTTTTGAATATCATTGATGTCTTCGAACGATGTGACGCTATCGAGGACGCTCGAGCTGTTGCCCATGGCGTGGAATTTCCAAAATGCGACGAAAATGGAAAGTCTGGACTGCACGACGATCTTTTTCGAATGGTCACTTTCCGGCCTTTTGCCGGATCCGGATACTATATCCGGTTGGGTTGGGTTGCCGCGCACTCAAGTTTGCTGCCGCGCCCGACAGTGTTCACATGCGTCTTCCGGTCGAATACAAGCATTCAAATGGAGACGCAGAGTGGAGTATATTGGAGCTCCAAGGAGAATTGATCGCAGACACCAAGGCGTCATTGAAGCTAGGCCACCTCCAGTACCAAAAGGTAGCCCCGTCACCATGTCATAGTGTTGGGTATCCGTTCATCGATTGCTTGATGGTAGGGCGTGCCGACGTTGCTCATTGGGACCCATTTGCTGGAAGGAAAAGTCCTAAAGTTGTCCAAGCCCATGGCCATCATGCGGAAGAAACCACACGCCGACCATGCCGACATTGGTAGCGGGGATGACACGAACGGAGTCGCATCCAGCAACACTTCCACGGGCTACATTGTGGTGGGCATTGCACGCAAAAAACTCGTGTTCAACACACGGCCCAAGCCCGTGGTCGATCAAAGCCACAGCGTGAATTAATCATTTCAATCTACTTTTTCCAGTCAGTGAGGTTGCAACTGATATCCCAAAGGCGCTTGGCGGCCCTGTCGTTCTTGAGCGCGGGGGCGGGCTCCACGACTTCGCATCGCTCGACATACTCGCCGCCCTTAAGCGCGGGGCTGATGGCGGCAAACACCGGCGAGTGCGCACCAGCTTCGGCCGTCTGCAGGACGAGGGGGCGCAACACGCTCAAGTACTTGGCCACAAAAGCAAACGCAGGGTGCATGTTGTCTTGCATGTTGGAGATCACAAGGCCAGGATGCACGCAAGTCGCCTACACTACGATCAAGCACGAGCCATAGACGAGGTGGCAATGGAGCCAGAAGACGGTGCAGTACCGTGAGGTTGTGCTTGTCCCCATACCGACGGTGCAGTTCCAAAGTAAACAGCTACGCGAACAGTAAGACTACTGAGCACTCAAGTGTTGGCACTCTCGTACATAGTTGGCGAGCTTGGACCAGTTGTACGTGTAGAGTCCATTGCCGTAGCTGTGCTTCTTGGTCATCAAGTCGTCAAATGGAATCGCGTTGGCAAACTACCAGGATGAGGAACCCATTACAATACAATATTGTCACGTCGCTATATTCGAAATTGCTCAATGACCAGAATCACCAAATACGACCAATCAAAACCCAGAACATGAATCAAGTGACCAATCAAGTTCACTCGTCAACCAATTTGACACCGAATTAGTGTGCGACTGAAATTAGTGTGATACTGACGATCTTTACATACAAAAGTCAGGACAAAGAAGAATCGATCGATAGATTTGGCAAAGAATCAGCACAAAAGTCCAAATTTGGGGTAAAAGAAAGACAATATATAAATGACTGTGGAGAGGTAACATGGCGAGGCTTGAAGAGCAACTAAAAGCCATCACGTCTAACTGTTAATGTGTATCGTGATACCTTCATCAAGCACGAGCCAACGTTGACGATGCGCGGGGCGTCGGACTTGAGCAGCGTGGGCAAGAGAAGGTTTGTGAGCAGGAATGGACCCAAATGGTTGATCCCGAACACGCGTTCGTGGCCGTCGGCGGTCGTTCTATATGGTGTACAAGACTGGTTAGTATAAGATTATACAAGTAATCGAAGGCCTGTACGTACTCGCGTTTGTAGTAGTTGACACCGGCGTTGTTGACCAAAATGTCCAGGGGCAACTTGGACTTGCGAAACAAGTCGGCAAATGCACGGATCGACTTGGAGTCGGCAAGGTCCAACGGCAAGAATTGGAGAGTCGCCGCCGACGCGCCGACGGACTTTGCGACGCTTTTGATGGCAGCCTCCGCCCGTTCCTTGGAGCGGCATGCTATTGCCGTCGTGAACAGCCGTACATACACGAGCGAGGCGGATGGGTGGACGTACCAAAGACGACGTGCGCGCCTTGCTTGGCCAACTGCCGCGCGGTTTCCAAGCCAATCCCGTTGTTGGCACCCGTGACGATGGCAACTTTGCCCTTGAGCGACACAGACGTGTACCCGTTGCCGCGGATCACCATCGAGTGACACGAGTACGCATTCACCACCGCCACGACGTCCATAATCCAGCGCAGCCACAAATAGTTGTTCAAGTCCCACGACAACCAGATGCACGCGAGCGCAGTCAGAGCATGTCGCTTGACATAATCGTGACCCGGGTCGATGTCACACAACAATACACGCGAGATGAGGACGAGCAACGTGTACGCCCCAAACACAAGGGACGACAGGCCCACAAACAACACCATCGTCCAAGTTGCCGATGAATTGCCTGTCTATCCTGTTAAATGACGTACGTGGCCAGATCCGGATAAGCAGTGTCGATATCCGTACATTGGTCAAGAAAGCAAATTATAACAATTTTCTGACCTACAGTTCAAAATAGCGTTAACGTTCGAACTGTCATGATATATTACAGCAACGTTAAGGTTAAGGTGTCCAGTACTGTATGGCCTGTGTGTGCCATACAATGAACACCATAAGCTTAACGTTACTTGAAGCAGTCGTTTCCTCGCTCACCCTCAAGAACGCCGTTGCTGGTTGATGGTTCTTGTGGTGGCGTAGGTTGTATTGAAGGTTGAGGTTGGATCAAGCTATACGCCAATGGGAACGAAGGAAAGGCGAAGTTCGAAGCAAATTCCGAAGAACGACAGTGTGAGGCGGCAGCACCATTCCTGAACTTCGCCCTCAAGTCAATCGCGATGGCGGAGAAGATCGTCGCGGCGTTCCATGCGCTTGGCATTCCGTTGGAAAATGTGGACCACGTGCCTGCCTTCACGGTGGAAGAGCAGGCGGCTGCCGTGGGTCATCTGCCCGGTGTCCTCACCAAGAACTTGGTGTTGAAGGACAAAAAGGAAGGCATCTTCCTCATCTGTGCCGCGGCCCATCAAACCGTGGAAGTCAAGTCGCTGGCGAAGAAGATGCAATTGGTGAGCAACAAGGTCAACTTGCGCTTTGCCACGGAAGATGTGCTGCATAACGTGCTGCAAGTGAAGCAAGGATCGGTGTCGCCGTTGGCTGTGCTCAACGACACGGAGAACCAAGTGCGCTTGGTCCTCGACGCAGCTCTTCTCACTGCGGACAAGATCAACTGCCATCCGCTCCAGAACGACAAGACAGTGTCCATCACCCCCGCCGACTTGCTCAAGTTTGTGCGCCACTACGCGCACGAGCCATTGATTGTTGACTTTTCCGTGTCTGTCGCGCAAGCCACGTCCCCCCGCGCGGCCGCCGCGCCCAAGGCCCCGGCCAAGGAAAAGAACACGATTGTCAAGCCTGACAAGCTGGAGAAGGACACCAAGTCCAAGGAAGGCATGGTATGGTCGAAGAAGGAGAACTTCCCCGACTGGTACACGGACGTGATCACCAAGTCTCAAATGATCGACTACTACGACGTGTCGGGGTGCTACGTGCTTCGTCCATGGTCGTACGAGATCTGGGAGCGCATCCAGGCGTACTTGGACGGCAAGTTCAAGGAGATTGGCGTCAAGAACTGCTACTTCCCCATGTTTGTCACGTCGGAGAAGCTCAACCGCGAAAAGGACCATTTGGAAGGGTTCGCGCCCGAAGTGGCGTGGGTGACCAAGAGCGGCGACACGGACCTGAAGGAGCCGATTGCCATCCGCCCGACCTCGGAAACCATCATGTACCCCGCTTTCAAGAGCTGGATCCGGTCGCACCGCGACCTCCCGTTGCGCTTGAACCAGTGGTGCAATGTCGTGCGGTGGGAGTTCAAGAACCCCACGCCGTTCATCCGTACGCGCGAGTTCTTGTGGCAGGAAGGCCACACCGCGCACGCCACCCGCGAAAGCGCCGCCACGGAAGTGATGCAAATCCTCGAGTTTTACGCTGGCGCGTACGAGGAACTGCTGGCCGTGCCCATGATCAAAGGCAAAAAGTCCGAAGTGGAAAAGTTTGCCGGCGCCGACTACACCACGACCATCGAAGGGTTCGTACCGAGCACCGGGCGCGGCATCCAAGCGGCGACGTCGCATCACTTAGGCCAGAACTTTGGCCGCATGTTTGGCATCTCGGCCGAGGACGATGAAGGCAAGAAGATCATTCCGTACCAAAACTCATGGGGGTTCACCACGCGGTCGATTGGGGTCATGGTCATGCTCCACGGCGACGACAAGGGGCTCGTGTTGCCGCCCCGTGTGGCGCCAATCCAAGTCGTCGTCGTGCCCATCCCTGTCAAAGACAAGGACGAAACTGACGCCTTGTTTGCGCAAGGCGACGTCCTCCATGACATCCTGCGCAAGGTGGGCGTGCGCGTGGAAGTGGACCATCGTCGCATCTACACGCCTGGCTGGAAGTACAACCACTGGGAGCTCAAGGGCGTGCCGCTCCGGTTCGAACTCGGCCCGAAGGACGTGGCCAAATCCCAGGTGCGCGTCGTGCGCCGGGATAACAACGACAAGGTGGACATCCCGTTCACGGACCTCGCCGCCAAGATCCCCGCGCTGCTCGACCAGATCCAGGCCGACATGCTCGCGCGCGCGCGCACCGAGCGCGACAGCCGCATCAAGGTCGTGACCGAGTGGAAGGATTTTGTCAAGACAATCGCCGAAGGTAACATGGTTCTCACGCCGTTTTGCAACGAAAAGGAATGGGAGGAACAGGTCAAGGCGCGGTCCCGCGACGAATCGCTGGCCCTGCTGGGCGAAGACGGCGAAGCTGACAACACGGCCACGAGTGTCGCGGCCAAGAGCTTGTGCTTGCCGTTCGAACACAATGAGCTGCCCATCGAAGACGGCGTCAAGTGCTTTATCAGTGGCCAACCCGCCAAGTGCTGGATCCTCTGGGGTCGATCGTACTAGGCGTGTTGTTGTTATGCAACCAAATAACGTCATGAATCATGTGTGCTCTTGTTGAATCGATGATGTGTTTGCATACTGGTACAGATTTCGGAAGGACTTCCCACGCACGGAAATTTTAAATATATAGCAGACCCATGCATTTACCACATCCGCATGAGGAACGATATCCGTATGCTTGCAAGTTGGTGGCGAATAATCCACACCGCACATAGCTCCCTGTTGTTGCATTGCGGAAGCTTACCCATTACCACAACTGGCATCACGAAGGGGTCTTGTCACACACCTCATGGGTCCACAACTTTACTATCACTATGATCCCAGTTTTTGCGTGCCACGTTGACACTATAAAAATTCGCACGGTTGTAATAGTGAATCACGCTGGAGTTTTGATTGGTTGAATAGGTTTATGTAAGAGCCAATCAAATACACTCGAAATTGGGTTAGCCAATAGCGTCGATTCGTGATTCGATTCAGCGGCGAGATTCAATTCGACGGGGTCTGGAAATCTGTACCGAATCCATAATACTACTCTATCCTATTAATAGTACTCTTGTGATGACTTCACTTTGCCGTTTGGGGGCGAGTGAGTGGTACATAGGTACTGTACATATTTAGCATTTCGCCCCAAGGGGGGGCTATATTTAGCGTTGCGTTGTGTTAAGACAGACACATGATGTTTAGCAGTTGGAATGGCGGCTACAACAACAAGGGGCGGCAACGCGCCAGTGGTATGTGGCTAGTACTAGTCCTGTGGATGTGCCACCAACGAGGTGTGGTGGACGCGACCAGCACGTTTCCAAACCCGACACCCCAAGGCAACTCGTGGGGGCCCTGTGCCGATGCCACCACCGCCGTCGCCACTCAGGGGGACGGCACCACCCCCGGCTCATGCATGTCGTGCGACCCCACGACCAATAAATGCGCGCCCAAGTGCCAGCCCCTGCTCGACACGTTCTACCGCGCATGCGACGGCGTCTACACGCCCCCCGGTTGGTCGCATGTCAATGTGCTTCACAGTGCAAGCTCATTACACTACTTTCCGATAGATCTGGCGTTCGACCCAGCGAAGAACATTTCCGGGTTCTGGGGCGACGTCCAAGTCCAAGTGCGCATTTCGGTCCAGCGGTGCGGGTGCAACAAGGCGTCCCCTGTGCAAACAACTCTGGTCACCATGGCAGTCGTGGGGCTCGTGGTGGTGGTCGCTGGAATGGAGTGGATATAAGAAAGGATGACGTGGTTGAACATATTATAATCCGCCACTGCCCCCCTTGTCCATTGCCATAGCCGTGCGCTGGAGTACGATGAGACGTCGGTCTTCGGCGCCGATGGCATTCCAGAGCTTCCTCGGCGTGCGTTGAATAGGGCGACTACTGCCCCCGGTAAATGTTGGCGACACAGCAGTGAATGTTGACGAGTTCTGCTCGTCAGCATGCTGGGGGCACTCTGGCTTGACCAGTCTAATAGTACTACTACATATATAGCGAGTGAGTTCTTACAGGGATACTACTACGTCGTATTCCATTCGTCATGTATGAAAGTACATACTAGTAGTAGCTACTACTACTGTATGTACGTACGATGGTGTATGTGGTTTGGTGGGTTTGAATTTCGGGGATGCTTGCTGCGCCTGCCGGTCTTTACGATCGCGATACCGCAACATGGCTTCGCTGACAGGTCTAAAAGTACACAAAGCAGCGTCAGGAACGATTCGCCAAGTGCTTGGACATATGGGAAGAAGCAGCGGCGTACTGCGTGGGTTTGTGGAATTGGCGGCTGTCGTAGATAGGGACCAACGTCGTCGTTGGGTCTGCTGGCGTGGGATCGGAGGGAATGCTCTCGGATGCTGGTGGGGTCACGGTGGTGTTGTTGTCGGGCGTTGAAATGTGACGCAGCACGGGGGGACTGTACAGCACGACGTCGGCCGTGCGGACTTGGACATGTCGTCGCATGCGCGTGGGAGACGCGGCACGCGGCAGCGGCATGGACGGCGTGTCGTTCTTCTTGGGGTGGTCTTCGTCATGGTCGTCCACAAATTCGTCGCTGGCTTCATCTCCAGAGTCCAGTTCAACGGGGACGGTGTATGTGCCTACGGTTCGACTGGGCGATGGGTCAGCGCTGCCACTACTGTCGGCGCTACTCCGTCGTCGATTGCTGCTGCTCTTTCGGGATCCCGCGAGTTTCGGAGCAGCGGGTGTCCGCGCTGGTCGCGGCAGTGGCAGCGTCGTCGGCAAAACGTCTTGTCGGGAGATGGAAAACATCTTGGCTTGCATCCCGACGAATAGGTCGGCAAACGCGTTCGTAAAGCACAGACTTGTGAGGGGCGTGGCCATCTGGACTTCGCGGAGGAGGGTTTTCTGCTGATCCCACACTTTGAGCGTCATGTCGAAGCTCGTGGTCACGAGCACATGGACGGGGTCGCACGAGTCGGCTGCCGTGACCAGTGCTGCATGGTTCACTTCCGATGTCACCACCAACGGCTACATATCCATCATAGATATATACCTGGTCAAGGCGGCAACCAACAACAACAACCAGATTAACGCATTGTACCTCGGCGTCGGCAAAGTCGACAAAGTCCACGCGGCCGTCTTCAAACCCACAGACGACCAAGTGCGAGGCGGGCGTGACGTGGATGCACGTGGGGTCGTCTCCCATCGTGAGCGACCCCACCCTAGTGACCCGCGGAGTCATGCGCCAAAAGCAGAACGCCTTGTCGGCGCCATATGTGACGAGAATCGCAGCCGCGATGGACGTGAATGCGACGACGGACACCGCGCTCGAGTGCGCCTGCTGCACCGGGGCTTCGTCCAGGCTGGTGTGCGACGTGGCGCTGAAGAGAAGCTCGCCCTTGTCGGTGCCGCAGACGACCCACGCGTCGGCGGCGGTGGTCGCCATGTCGTTGTCGTCGTTGGGGTTTTTTCGAATGAAGTCGACGATCGAATTCAGGCGGCGACGCGACGCGGCGGCCTGCGAATGCCGTGGCTTGGCGTAAAAGAGCGGCGCTACGAGGCAGATTCCGATGCATTTCACGGTGCGGTTGTCCACGTCGACAATGTGTGACGGCGTCACGATGTCCTGGACCACGTCAAACACGAGGATGTGCTTGCGCATGAGGATGTACAGGAGGTCTCGGTACGGATTGAACGCCGCGCCCACGACGTCTTGGGCGTCGTCGGGCACGTACATGGTGGCAGGGACGGCCATGTCGGCGCCGGCGAAGATGCGGATGCTTTTGTCCAGACAGATGGACACGACGTGGTTGTCGTGGATGCTGCTCGATAGCTTGCGCTGTTCCGTGAGGGCGTCTGCGACGATGCGCATGGACGGCGTCTTATACGTTGAACGCCGAAGCATCGCGACTTTGCCGGGGCTGGCGTGGCGCTTGGGCTTGGATGGCGCCGTCACGTGCTGGAGGATCGCGATGGGGGATGCGAGGGTTGAGTGTTCCTTGAGGGTGTGCTTGAGGGTGAGCAGTTTCATGGCTTGGCGCGCTTGGCAAGCAAATACGACGGGGTTCGTCTGGGGCACGACAAAGAGGGACGATAGCGGCGTGTCGAGGCGAAGCTGGTGGACGTTGCGCAGCAGGTCCAGGTCCCACATGCGGATGGAATTGTCTAGCGAACTGCATAACCACACGATCAACTAACGACTATCATGGACGTTGTACATGAAGGAAGCATATAAACCTCGAGAAAAGCAGCCCTGAGATAGGATCCAACGCCAGCGACGTCACTGTCTTGGTGTGCTCCTTGAACACGGCTACCGTGGACCGCGGGTAGATGGTCACGACGTAGATGGAGCCGTCCATGCAACTCGCCACGATCGACTTCTTCTTGAACACGAGAAAGTCTGTGATCGCACCGCATTTACCCTTGACGAGCTTCTTGTACGTGTCGACGTGGGCCGCGTCGGCGAGGTTGTACACGTACAACGTGTTCTCCGAGAGGACGAGCAGCCGGTTCGAGTCGGCATCGATTTTCATTCGCCGGACCCACGACGTGCCCGTCTTGTTGAACAGGTCCAGGGGCGCGACTTGATATGACGGGTTGCGTATGACGTGAGAGTCGTCGTATCTACGAACGATCGATGCATCACGCGTTGTGACAAAATATAAAGTACAGGGAGGTAGAAGGGAGTGGACATATGTACCCTTCCGTGTCTTTGCCGCGTAGGAGCCATGCACTGCACCCGTCGATCCCACCCGAGAGAATTCGATTGCGGGGCTCGTCGAACACAAGACATAGGATGGTCGCGCGATGGGTGAAGATACTCGCGAGTTCCACCAGCGTGTCATCGTAGAACCGAAGGGACCCATCCAACGCACTCGCCATGTACATGTTCCGTGACGAAATGTACTCGATCGTTTGGATCAAATACGACGTCCGCGCTGGCAAGGTCACGTTGCGAATCTCGCCTTCGGTATTCCACAGCTTGATTGTGCGCTCATCTATGTCGTGGAGAATGAATGATGAACATACCCCATGAGGATGGATGGAGGTGCCTGTGGTGACAAAGCAGTTGGCCGTGGGGTTGTAGCAGTACGCGTTGATGGGGGTCTGATGCATCATCTCCCATGTTTCTTCAATCACGGCGCCTTGCATGCCGCCGACGACGCGCGCGCCTTTTTGCGCGGGATAAAGAAACTGTTGACCATTCCTTGAAACTGTCATCCGGATACCAAGTTGAAGTGTATTCGGATTCTAGGGACATTCTGCCACGTATTCACTCAATTGGAGCTTTCTTTTGTCACCCGTTGACAGACCTGAAAGCTCCTTCGATAAATGCAAGAAGCCAAGTCCTTGGCCGATGCGTAAACGTTATGAGCGACGACAGGCTCTACGCCGTTCTCCTCCAGCTACTGGACAGGCACGTCGTTCTTTTGTATGAGGTTCCTTACGTATCGTCGATCGTAAGACCAGCAGCGAGCGCCACATGATGCTGTATTTCTCGTGAGGGCTATGTACATCCCAAGATCGGATTTCGTCGTTGAAGTTGTAGCAACTGCTTCTGGTTATGCGTGCTGCCGTCGGTATCTCCGCCTGAGGAACCCTCGAGGCTTGCCTTCCTAACGATCAAGTCCCCACTCCATCTATAATCGATCTCATGTAGCGACGCGTGTTGGTTGTCACTGTACTGTGTCGTCGCCAGCCACAATTCTCTCCCAATCTCCTTTTCTTCTTCTGCCTGTTTTGAATGCGGACCTCTTATAATTAATACTACCACCATCTTGGTCGGTACCCTGCAACATTTAATCGACCGCCGCCGCCTCAAGGACGCAGGAAGCATGCTCTCGGGAAGCAAAGTCCATGTGAGGAATCCGAGGGGACCTTCTTCATGGAGGGGAATGGATTTGGCGCCGATGGAATTGCGCTCGACCAACGGAATTGCATGCAAAGTGGACAGTGAGATATGTAGGTGTTGTTGTGTAACGGTAATCTCGTTGAATACGGGGTTTCCAACTTCAACAATCCAACCAAGAAACACCAGACGCCGGCCACCACCATCTAGGCAACGGTAGGGTCGTGAAGGCGGCTGCAATGCATGCCAGCGACGAACCTAGTCTTTATCATGATTGTACTTGTATAGGAGGGATGGAGCAGATATTCTTTCGCATGCATGTTCGCGTGAGTCGGACCTTGTCGAGGCTGGCCGGCGGTAAGGTACGTCGTGCGACAGTCCGACGCTGATACGGGCCTTGACGACGCGTACATGCGTAGACGCGTATCGCCGTGGAAACCGCATTGTTCACGACTGCAATGGGACTCTTGGCGACCTTGGTCGTACTGCATCTCAATTTCGTCAGGTATGTTGACCGAGCAGGACCTGGTGATTGATGATCGCGTTGTTGTAGTCCACGGGGTCAGTATGGGTGCCTTGGGCAGTATATGCCGCCGACTCTCCCGCCGCTCATGCGTGTGGCCATCGAGTCCGATCCATCTTCGTGGATACACCCTGTCGTACGTAACACATCATCGTCTTCGTGGCTCAATGTATCTCAGGGATGGCTTCGTCATCGAGTGCCAGCCAAACCGAATCGCAACGCGTTCGTGTTTGCCGCCCACAAGGGCCTACTGACGCTGCTCGAGTTCCCCGAGGCGACCACCAGCACGAACCTGTCGCTGGTGGACGTGACGATTCCCAGTTCCAGCGCATGCTTTGGCCTCAAGCACATGTTCGAGCACTCGCCCGCGTGGTCGTTCTTCCTCGACAAGGTCGTCGGGTACGACACGATTGTGATCAACCAGATGGTGCACATCGCGAACGGCCGCGGGTTTCTGCGCCATGAACTGTCGAAAGACGTGTACAACCTCAACTTTGCCACGGAATTCCACGCCACCACCGCCACGGTACATTTTGTCATCCTTCTTAAGTTCGCCAAGCTAACGCCAACCAACGTCGTTCATGTGTAGTTGCACTCGCGCATGGCGTTCAAACTCGGGGTCTTGTGCACGACGCTGTTCCTCTTCTTCAGCACCACCACGCTCGTGTCGTTTATACTCCGCGAGACGCAGCAGCGCATGCTCCGATTTACATGTACGACATACATTCTTTGTTCAAATCATATAAAATCCTTCTATTTTCGAAAATAATATATTATTTTTCCAATTGAACTAGTGTCACTGCAACACCACATTCGCCACCGCATGCCGTACATCAAGCTCGTGTTCAGCCACATCATTGAATCCCTCGTGTTTGTTCCCATCATGGTAACTGTACATGATAATGTCCATTGTCGATATACTTACTCATATATATATATTATTGGCATATTCATATCGTAGGTGGGCATGCTGTTCTTCTTGTTCGAGTTCTTCAAGGACCGACTGCTTGCGTTCATGGTCATGTCCGTCGTCTGGTTGTGCGAGCTGTATTCGGTCATCTGGTACAGTCAGTCGTCCTCCTACGACAACTATGATTCTATTTGTCGTTGGGTTTGGCTATATATTTATATATATATATCTATGTATTGTATTTTTTTATACTATATAATATATATATAATAATACTAGTTTTGACACGACTGGATGTGTGGTTGTAGTGTGCGCACGTGGCTGTCGCTGACGTTCTTTCCGCCCGTGTTTTTGAGTTTATTTGCGCTGTTTCACGTGTACTTTTTCTGCTTTCCGTTTGGGTTTTCATACGTGGCGCTGTGGACGACCGTGGCGTTCCTATCGCATCAAATGCTGCTGTTCCTGAATCGATTTGAGCTCCCGGCCCTGCGCGACGGCGTCGTGTCGGCGCAATGGCCGCGCCAGTTTGTCGTCGCCTCCTCCACTGGTACCGTGTTCGAAATGGGTTGTTCATTTGGTTGTTTTCATGCATCTACGCAGTAGTCGAGTCGGCCTAACCCACGACACCACGACTGCCAGCTGGTGACTTTTCATTATTCTTCATAACACGAAGCCCATTGGATTTGCGGTGGGCGGCACAGCCACGAGGTGGTCCCATGCCTCGTGGACCAGCTCCATGATGACAGCAGTCGAGGACTTGTCTGTATCGTGCACGAGGGCATACAGCTCGTACGTAGCGTACCGATGGCTACAGTCACAAAATCAGTTGCATGGTGGGGAGTGTAAATATATATATATAGCCACTACCCGACGATCCAGAGGTCGCCGTTCTGGACGCGGGTCATGACCTGCGTGAGGGGGTGGCTGAGGATGGGCGGCGGACGGAACCGACTCCACCGCGACGAGAGGAGGCTGCTGTCGTCGTGGGGTCCCGTTCCTCCATCGTCGTCGTGCAGGGGATCGCCTGGTGGGAGGGGGAAGTGGTGGGGTTGGTCCACGACCTCAGCATGCACCATGTCATGCATAGTCTACTGGTCGTCGTCAACTTCAACTGCAATTATTGAATGCAGTTCATTCTACATACAGTATGTACAGTACGTTGTACCTGGGCATGGGCAAATTCCGCCCGCATGAGGCCGACGTGATGGAAGAAGACACGGCGCCAACTCACTTGACTGGATACAGACGAAGAGGAGAGAACCATCCGCCCCACGATGTCGTACGCCACGGCTTCCACGGCATCCTTCGAGGCGGTCGCGGGATGAGGCCAAGGCAAGGCCATCGTGATGGTTTCCAGCAATGCCTACGCGATGTAGTCGTCAAAGGACGACTTGGCTTGATGGGGATGTTCTCATATTCAGCATACGGTGGTGGCTGCCACGTCATGGGTGGTGAGACCATCAGTACCAGCGTCATCGCCACCGACGCAAAAGAGCGCACAGAGCGACCATCCCTGCACCAAACACATGCAAGTGAGATGGACAAAGCAGGACATGGATGGAATGGGGCATACGTCCAAGGGGTCGCTTGTAGTGCTGCTACCAGCAATTACAAGCTTGAACTGGTTGCCGTTGAGGTAGATGACAGTAGTAGTGCAAGGGACGTCATGACGATCTTGGGATGTGAGGCACTCAAACACAAGGCTGGTTTGGCATCCGTCGAGCTCGGTGTGGATTAGCTCTGACCTAGTACAACAACCAATGGACAATTGAAATCCTCGCGATATACATGTGAATGTTCCACCTCCAGAACAAGGCTCGTCCGACGCAGGTCTAGGGTCGTGTTGAGAATTGCTTGGTGGTAAGACTACCTACGTACGTTGGGAAGAACAGAGAGAAGGCCATGCAAGGTGGTCTAGGTTGGCACAGTTGTGAGAGGATGGGATACGGAGGATGCAACGACTAGTTTGCTGTACCAATCTGTCGAGGGGCATTTGATTGTACGGTACACTTTGAGGAAACAAGGAATGCATCATGCACTCTGTCGTTTCTACAGCAAAGTTCATCGCCAAGTCGGACCGTGCCAGGACGTACCTAGGTCGAAGCGACGGAACAGGCTCTCGAACAATGCATCGAGGCGTGGTTGTGGCCAGTTTGACAGCTTGGGTCCTCTCGGGCCGCACACAGCGCGTATGATATTGATGCTGCGTTGAACGAACTGCTCCATGAGAGATGCTGTGACCAGGCATGTTGCAGAGGGTGATGCGTGCATCAGAACTAACAGCACATCGCTGTCGTCGACGTATGCGGCGTGCACGTCTGGGCTCAAGGACGCATGGACAATGCATTCGTGGAAGAGAGTTCTGCATGCACCTGCAGACGCCGCCAGCATTCCTCGAAGCGTTAAGAGACTCTCGTCATGAGACTTCGTCGCATACAGCAAGTTGTCTTCGCCTTCGCGGTGGGACACGTCCAGGACCACAGCGGTGAAAGGCATTTTTGGTGATCCACGAGCAATCTTTATCCGGATGATTGTTCGATTCAACAACAACCAATGGATTTCGTCCATATCCGGACACCGCATCATATTCATCATGGCCAAGAAGGACAAGAAGGCGGCCGCTGCCAAGAAGGACGAAAAGAAGGCGCGCCAAGAGCTCAAGCAACAAAAGATCAACAAGAAGAAGGCGTCGAAGGAAGCAAAGGATGCCGGCGAGGAAGACATCGAGGCCATCTTGCAGGAGTTCATGAAGAAGGACGCGGCCAAGGTGGCCATCGCGGTCGTACCGTCGCTGCAGCCGTCGCCGCGCGCCAACTTCTCGTTGAGCTCCATGGTCAACGGCGACTTGCTCATGTTTGGTGGTGAGTATTTTGACGGCGAGTGCAATGTCTGCTACAACGAGCTGTACCGGTGGAACCTCGAAGCGAACGAGTGGAAGCTCATCTCGTCACCCAACACACCGCCGCCCCGGTGCAGCCATCAGTCTGTCGTGTACCGCGACCATCTGTACGTGTTTGGTGGGGAGTTTGCCACGGCCGATCAATTCTACCATTACCGCGTACGACACATACACAACCACGACCTGTCTACAAGAACCATAACATGCTCCTCATGCGAGTAGGACTTGTGGCGGCTGGATCTCAAGACAAATTCATGGGAATGCCTCGAAGGCAAGGGCGGTCCGTCTCCTCGAAGTGGCCATCGCATGACCGTGTGGCGCAACTACCTCGTGGTGTTTGGTGGGTTTTACGAAGCTGCACGTGAGACCAAGTATGTGTCGACTACTACTACTAGTACCACTACTATTAGTAGTACTATAACTCCATCGACTCGTAGATGGTTCAACGACTTGTTTCTGTTCAACTTTGCCGACCTCAAGTGGAAAAAGATCTCGCTGCCGGTACACAAGGCATCCCCTGCGCCCCGAAGTGGCTGCCAAGTACGTCATTCGTCCTATCCTCGTGATGGATTCATCATATGCTGATGTGTAGTTGGCGGTGATGGCGTCCAACGATACGATCTTCATGTACGGCGGGTACGCCAAGGTGAAAAACGTGGGTGAAAAGGCCGAGGGGAAGGTGTACACGGACATTTGGGCACTCCACATGGCGCCGATCATCAAGGCCCAGGACCCGACGTGGGAAAAGGTACACAGGGGGGAGTTTATGATAATGATGATCATGATGGGGATGATGATGTTGTATGATCGTAGCTGTCGAGAAAAGGCCACGCGCCGTCGCCGCGGAGTGGCGCTACCATGGCTGTATACAAGAACCGCGCCCTCTTGTTTGGGGGGGTGTTTGACGAGGAAGGCCGGCGGCACGAGCTCAAGAGCGTGTTTTACAACGACATGTTTGCATACGACATGGAGCGGAAGCGCTGGTACGAGTACCGCCTTCGCAACAAAAAGGAGCCTGGGGCCAAGCGCCGACGGCAAAAGGCCAAGGCGGGCGACAATGGTGCCAACGACAATGGTGACGACGACGACAGTGGTGACGACGACAGTGACGACGGGGACGAAAGCGATGACGGGGAAACGGTACCAATGATCATCGGCCGTGCCTGTTGTCGAAGGGGCGTCATATACGTGTTGATGTGTGTATATAGGCCAAGGAAGAGGCGAAGCGACTCAACCAGTTTGGATATGTCGGGGCGGACGGAAACATAGTGTACCTTGAAGACGACGACGAGGAAGAAAAGGAGGAAGAGAAGGAGGAGGTGGAAGATATGGTCAAAAAGGACGTGGACGAATCGAAACACGACGACGACCATCATGACGTGGTGGAAGCCGTCGTGTTGCCGCCGAAAGAACCCGCGCAGCTAGAACCTGTGCCGCAAGACAAGGACGAGGTGGCGGCCGTCCGCATGCCGCTGCCGCGCATCAATCCGGCGTTGATTGTGCGAGGCAACACGTTCTTTGTGTACGGCGGGGTGTTGGAGGACGGCGATCGGGAAATCACACTGGACGATTGCTGGTATGGTGGACACAAACATGGACATACCGCAATGGGTTTATCGTAGTGGATATGAAGAACGAACTGACTGATGGTCGTCTGTGTGTAGGTCGTTGGATTTGAAACGCATGGACGCGTGGGTCGAAGTGCTGCCGGGCACCATGGCCGAACAGTTGTGGAAGGGCGACGTAAGTGACACGGAAGACAGCGCGTACGATTCGGACGAGTCGGATGACGACGACGATGACGACGAGTTTACAGAGTACGTCGAGCCGATCGACGAAGAAGAGCAAGACAAACCACCGGTATGTATATCTCGTAGTTCATATGGAACCTTCTTTTCGCTGGTTGCCTCTATTCATACCAACATGACGATCAGGCGCCAAGTGAGGCGTCGATTGCCGTGGCCCGCGCCGTGGACGTTTTGGATGGCACCGCCGATGAAAGTGCGAAAAAGTCCAAAAAGAAAAAGAATGACCGGTACGGTGTCATGTTGTATATACGATTTACGGTGTTTTACAGCTTGATATGGTTTTACCAGCTTGAAACTCTTGTGTGGGTAGAAAAGCAATTCGGCACGAGATTGAAACACTACAAGACCAGCTGCAGCTCGCGGATGACAGCCAGACGCCGCTGCCGGGGGAGAACCTCCGGGACTTCTTTGCCCGGACAGCCAACCATTGGGCTACGCAAGTGGCGCACCTCCCCGACACATTTGAGCGGCAGCTCAGTGTCAAAGACATCAAGCGCGAAGGGTTCGCCATGGCCGAAGTGCGCTACAACGAGCTCTTGCCAAGTACGTACTCGACCTGAAAACAAGCAAATGACCAGCTCTAACGTGTGGTGGTGGATGTATGGTGTAGTTTTGGAGCGACTAAATGAACTGGAAGCCGAGCAGAAGAAGGCAGAGGAGGACCAAAAGGACAAGAAGACGGCCAAGAAAGGAGGTCGCGACGCCACCAGTCGACGTTAACTCCTCAAACGAACACCCATTTCGTTCAAGTGTAAAATATTGTCGATTCGAAATTGGAGTGGGCACCACAATCGATATACGACCAATCAAAACACAGATCAAGAATCAAGTAGCCAATCAAATCATCCACTCTTTGACCAATTTCGTACGATCTTTACATACAAAAGTCCGTACAAAGAATCGATCGATAGATTTGGCAAAGAATCCGTACAAAAGTCCAAATTTTGGGGAAAAGAAAGACAATAATATCAGATATTGCGACGTTTCGTCGTAGGTTAACTTCAAATACAGTATATGCACACAAGATGAGGGTGTTCTAGGTGACCTGTGTCATGATGTCCTTGGTACAATGGACAATATATCCCGCTATATATACACACAAGAGGAGGATGTTCTAGGTGACCACTGTCATGTCCTTGGTACAACGGGTAGGAGCTTTGCCAGTAGAAACTCCAAGTACTGTACCACCCATGCATTGTAACCAAGTGGGCTTTTGTGGTTTGCGTAGTAGTTTAACGGGGTTGTTAACCTACTGTACGTAGGGTTAGGCAAACAAGCGGCCAAAGATCGACGTGGGTTTGTCTGGCACGAGGAACTTCATCGGTCGGTCGTCCCCGAGGAAGCGCGCGACGGTGTCTTCGAACGCGACGGCCGCCTTGTCGTCCTTGGACGCGATCACGGGCTGGCCCATGTTGGACGCGTTCAACACTTGGACGCTTTCGGGGATCACGCCCACGAGGGGAAGCGCCAGCATCTCTTGAATGTCCTAAGTGTCATCATCACCATGATGAGGAGCAAACAGCAATATGGGTATGTATGTGTATTGTACCTCGACGGAGAGACAGTCGTCCTTGGCGGCGCGCGACGCGTCAAAGCGGTTGATGAGCAGGCGCTGGACGACTGGCGACCGGCCCTGCTGGGCGCGCAGCGACTTGCTCGCAATGAACCCGATCATCTTGTCCGAGTCTCGACAAGACGACAGCTCGGGGTTGGTCACGATGATGGCTTCGTCGGCAAAGAACATGGCGTGGTGCGCGCCGGACTCGATGCCGGCCGGGGAGTCGCACACGATGTAGTCGAACTGCGTCTTGAGCTCGTTCAAGACCTTGGCCACGCCGTCTTCCGTCAGCGCGGTCTTATCGCGGGTCTGGCTTGCCGCGAGCAGCGACAGTTTGTCCAGACGCTTGTCTTTGATCAGCGCCTGGTTGAGGCGGCAATTGCCGTCGATGACGTTGATGAAATCAAAGATCACGCGACGCTCGCATCCAAGGTGGATGTCCAGGTTACGCAGACCAATGTCAAAGTCGATGAGGCACGTGCGGTACCCCGACTGCGCGAGGCCATAGCCAATGCTCGCAGCACACGTGGTCTTGCCAACGCCTCCCTTGCCCGATGTAATAACCACAACGCTGCCTCTCGGAGGACTCGTCTGCGTGGACGGGACGCCCAATCCCGCCACTGAGCTCACGCATCTACTTGACGACATCGCCGCCGTGCGCCATGCCTGTTGTCGGAGCAACATGACGAAAATGGCGTGCGGTCCTTTTTACCCCTATTTATTGATGTATGCATTTCCAGGTGTTACAATTCCTTTGAGAACACATACTATGTATTATAGGATTATCCGGAAGGATCGCGATCCTGAAGGGTCAGCAAACTGCGATACAGTCAGTCTACCACTTCATCTACCTCGTCTGCGGGATTCCTTGATGAGAGGAAGGTGTTTCTACGACATATGCGTTATCCCCGCATTGGCAAAGGGAAGCGTAACCCCCGCTGACCAAGCGAGCCAAACTAAATGCAGGCCATCCGTTTCGCATGAACCGACGCCTCTCAGCCTAGTCCCCCCGCCTCTCAGCCTAGTCCCTATCCCCAGGCGATCTTTCAAACATACTGGGGATTGTATAGTGAGTTGTGAAACCGCTCGTCAACGTCTGTGATTGGTGCGGAAAGTTTGTCCAATGTTTCGCAGCCAATGGCATCGCTTCGTCTGTTACGCCCCTTCGATCTTTGTACATCGAAGGCTAATGTGGTGTCGGTCCCGAAAGCTTCACAGCCCAAAATCCGCTCAAGCTCTCTTGACCTTGTGCCGACGTCTCACAGAGTGAATTGTTGAGGTAAAGCATTACAGCAACATAGATAGCTCGTTTACATACATCATATGCTCACGTGCCACTCCTTCCGTAGCATCATGATCCGCGCCGCTGCCCTCTTTGCCATTGCCGCCGTCGCGGCGGCGAACCCTCAATACGGGGAGCCTACGCCTGCACCATACACCAAGCCTACGCCTGAACCTACGCCTGCGCCATACACCAAGCCTACGCCTGAACCTACGCCTGCGCCATACACTAAGCCTACGCCTGCGCCATACACCAAGCCGACCACGGCGCCAGTGACTACGCCAGCGCCAGAGCCTACCCCCGCGCCGACCCCTGCGCCGACGTACTACGTACCCACGACGACCCCCCCTCCTCCGTTCGTGCCTCCTTCCGAGGATTCGTACGGCCCTGCTCCCGAACCCGTGTGCACGTCCACGTACAAGCCAAACTCGGCCAAATACCTCGCGTACACGTGCTCGTCCCTGTACGCTACAGCGTCCAAGTGGGCGACCAACAACTGCAAGGCGTACTACCAGGTCACGGCCGCGTACGACGACAAGGCGTTGTACCAAGCGCACTTGTGCACATACTGGTCGCAACGAAGTGTGTTCCGCGTCGTGACGTCGTGCTTCATCGAAGCGCACCTTCGCAACGAGTTTATCACCAAGTACGGCAAGGACGGCCCGGGCAAGTGGTTCTGCAAGTACTCCGAGTTCGTCAACCAAGTCAAGGACTGCTACTCGTCGTCGCTGCACTATTACCCGCTCGGGAACTCGCTCAACTCGCTGGAAAAGACTGTCGTGGCACTCAACCCCCCCGCCAAGGACACGCCGCCTTTCGAGTTTACGGGGGCGTCTGTGGCATTGTGTGCGTACTACAACAAGGACCAAGTATACAACAAAGCGACGTAAACGTCTACTGCGCTTGGAAAATTGCTGCTGCTTGCTTCGGTCGGCCTTGTCGTTGTATTTCACGCTGGCGCCGTGGACATGGCGGCTCGACGAAGACCCAAGTATTTAACAACTTGTTGATGTTTCTACCTAACGTTTCATATATTCCCAATACACTCCACCCCTTCCTCGTATCCCCCGTCCTACTACAGTACTACTATCCAACGACGAATCAAACACACACAGACAAGTGTCAGTGTACTACTACTACTAGTAGTACTTCATAGTGTCGTTTACACGGGAACTGAAGGAGTGGCTGGGGGGATGGTTGGAGGGGCAGAGGGGGGCGCGACCACTGCCCCTTGCATGATCGTGTCGAGGTCGGTCTTTTCAAACACGGACGTTACGTCTTGGCTAGCGCCATTCCCGCAGTCTTCCAGTCGGTCAGTGGCGCGGTCAACGATCGTTTGCACCAAACTGTCGTCAAAGCCCAATTGATGCGCGTCTGGGATGTTCAGGCGACTATTTCCAGTACGAAACAACCATGTGAATACTATGGACAATCGATCGCTGGTTGATGTACCTGGCAGAATACTCTCGAAGCTGCACCAGGTGCCTACTACCCCCCGTCAAAGCCAGTGATGGCAGGATCGGTCGGGGTAGGTAGGCACTCGGACAAGCTTTCGACTCTGAGAGAATTCACGCCCTCCAGAGAATATTCCGCCAGGAATAATAATAATAGTAATATATATATATATATATATATATATATAAATATAAATATATCATAAATATATATATATATATATCATACTGACCAGCCCACTTGCGAAAACCAGTCGGACAAGGTCGCCGTTTTGAACTTGGTCACGACGTGCAAGATGTTTTGCACGGCGTCGAGGCGCATTTTCTACCAATCAAAACCCACCATTCGTTTCGATGTGGAGAGAATATGCTCGTACGAGTTTGTCAAAATGATCATCGCCTTGGTTGTCAGCCAAGATGGTTTGATATCGCGTGATGACGAGCGGAATGAACGCGGCGCACACCTGCATGTGCGGCGAGTCGCTCAATCCGCCGACGCCGATGCCGAGGGAGTGCGCCGCCCCAAAGCCCGTGGAGAGGGACACCAAGCTACTGCACAACGACGCGTAGCTCAATCGTTCGCGAAACCCAATGTCGTTCAAGTGTATCTTGCCATCTAAGAGCATTCTCAACATGACAACTCGTTCCTTCTGGCTTGGAAATGTATGTAGGACGATACCTTGAAGGGGCGTCGCCAGCGCTTCCGCCGCGGCGCGAATACCGTTCAGGCAAAGCTCATCGACTTTGGGGTTGCCTTGGTTGGCCAGGAACGATTCAATGCACTGGCCCATCGAAGTCAACGCGCCTTGCGCCGTGACGCCCAGTGGCACAGATACCGTGAGCAGTGGATCGATGATGACTGCGTCGGCGACGATGGGAGTTTTGGTGAACGACAGCTTGGCTTCCGCGCCTTCGTCCAACACGAGCGCTTCCGTCGAGAGTTCGCTGCCGCACCCGGCGACGGTCGGCATCACGATGAGCGGGGCGACCTTTTGTGCGAGAGGAAGGGGTCCAGCCGCCAAATCTTCGGCATTGCCTTCGTTGAACATCAAGGCGGCGATGGCGCGGGAAGTGTCCATGACATTGCCGCCGCCGAACGCCACGACGCCGTTGGCCCCGACACGACGAGCATAGTCGCGGCCGTAGTTGATCGAGTCGATCGTCGCACAATCTCGCTGCAGAGTCAACATGAAGCAAGGGATGTTGGCCTTTTGAAGCAAGAATTGCGCGTACTGCGATCGTTTGTCGGCGCCAGAGTCGCGGTCGCGGACGAGCAACACCTTACTCATCAGAGTCGGCGCCAGCACGGTCAACTGTTCTGACTGCATGCGGCCAAATAGAACGCGGGACTTTTGCGCAGGTAGAAGCGTTCCTGGTGCAGCGTCAAAGAAGAAGCGCGGATCGACTTTCGCCGCCGTCGAGTACGCTGCCCGCCGCATCTTTAGCATTATTTCTGCTGCGACGATTGCGATTCATCGACGACGAATCAACGCCGATTATAGACCCCCCATTCTTTATATTCTTCAACAATTCATACAGGTTTAGCTTCAATTATGCATTAATACAAGACCCTTTCTCCTTTTATATCGTCTAAGGATCCAAGTTGGCACGAGACAGCACTTCCTTGCCAATGATCAGCCGCTGGATCTGCGACGTGCCTTCGTAGATCTGATAAATCTTGGCGTCGCGGAACAGCTTCTCGACGGGGTACTCGGTGTTGAACCCGGCGCCGCCAAAAATCTGCACGGCGTTCGCGGCCACTTCGTTCGCCAAGTCGCCGGCAAAGCGCTTGGCCATCGACGCAAACATCGTGTTCTTGCGGCCGCAGTCAATCTCATACGCAGCCTTGTACGTCAAGAGGCGCGCGGCTTCGATGCCCGTCGCCATGTCCGCCAGCATGAACATGATCGCTTGATGGGTCGCAATAGGCGCTCCCATCGTCTTGCGTTCCAGCGCATACTTCTTCGCTTCGTCGAAGGCGCGACGGGCGAGACCCACGGCGCCAATGGCCACGGGCGGTCGGGTATGGTCGAAAGCTTGCATGGCGATCTTAAAGCCGTAGCCAGGCGACCCTAATGTCCGTTGTGAGTACACAAAAACACGATAACGTTAACTTGAGAAAGAATGACCTTACCCAACACATTTTCTTCCGGCACAACCACATCTTCAAACGTGATCCCGCGAGTATCCGAGCACCGTTGGCCCAAGTTGATTTCCTTGCGGCCTTTGGTGATGCCGGGAGTGTTGGCGTCCACGATAAAACCAGTGAAGGCCGACCCTGCTGACGCACCAGAGTCCGTCTTGGCCAGAACAAAGTACCAGTCTGCCACACCACCGTTTGTGATCCACATCTTGGATCCGTTAATAACCCAAGATTTCCCCTTCTTCACGGCAGTCGTCTTGGCAGCGGCCACATCGGACCCAGCACCAGGTTCCGTGACGCAGTACGCTGCTTGGCGTGGAGCGTCAATCAACCGACCGAAGTACTTCGCGCATTGGGCATCGTTACCGGCCACAAGGACAGGTGCGAGGGCGAGATGGTTCGCCTCGATAGCAGTCATCATCCCAGTGCAGCCGTACGCCAACTCTTCACCGATGATGCACCCGTCGAGCGAGCCGAGGCCAAGACCGCCGTATTTCTACTCATTTATGAGAATGAGAGGTCGAAATGCGTTGGTTAGATTTATGCGGTCCTCCTACCTCGGGGATGTGACCGTTGACCAAGCCCAACTCCCATGCCTTGTCAAAGATCGGCTTAGGGTATTCCATCGTTTGGTCGTAGTGTTTCTCCAGAGGAATCATTTCTTCGCGCGCGAATTTACGCGCGAGCTGTTGGAACTCGCGCTGGGTGTCAGTCAACTTGAAGCTAATGCCATTGAGCGTGCTTTCGTCGATCGTGGCATGGGCCGCAAAGCTCCGCGTCAGTGACGCCGTTTTGGGGGCACAGCGGGCGGCATGGAGGAGCGCATGACGAGGCAACATGTTGGTGGAAGCTCTGGAATTCACAATTGAGTAACTTCGGTTGAGGAAAAAGTGTCGTTGACGAAACACCCGTGGCGATCTTTTATAAAAATGGGGCGGTGTGCAATAAAACAACTTCAACATCCAAGTTGCTGCGATACAATTAAATAAATTATCTCGAATGAATTGAAATCCTCGAATTTTATTATGTTCAGCTGAGATTCATCAACGCCCCTGTTAAGTGCGCCGGAAAGTGCGCGCGATCTTTCAAATGATCGACAAAAGGAGGACGGCGGCGGCGTGTGTGACGGTCCGCTCGGCCGCCGGCTTGATGCCGCACTTCCAGCGGCCATTTCTCAAGTTCGTATACGAAAAGCCATCAACGCATAAGCGTGTATCTGCCAAGACCGACGAAGCCGATGCCCAGCGCTTGGATGGAACGGACACTGCCGTGGCAGCATGGCGCGATGCTATTGTGTGTGTTCCTGTCCTTGCGCAATCATTGTCCATTGAGCTGTGGAATGCTCACGCACAGCACGATGTTTATCTTGGGCATGCACGGATTCATTTGGACACCGATGGACCGCCAGGTACGAACTTCACCTTCACGTAACACTTCCAGGCGGTTGCATATTTAACGTCGAGTAGAAGTTGGACCGATGTGGGTTGCTGTCAACCAGGCTGTGTATGAAGGAGTGCACATCAAACGACCCGTCAACCTACAAGTTATCGTCACTTACATGGACTCGAGCGCTGTGTTTCCTTCCCAAGCTCCTCCGTCGACTTCAGAGCTGCATTCAGTCGTGCATCCGTCATTTCAATTCAAAATTCCCGCGCGAGAGATCGACTGGTCTACCATTGCCGCCACAAACGTATCTGAAATCTTCTTCTTGGTAACTGTCGTGATGTTCCATCTTCGTTGCAAGTCATGTCGTCATGTGCTGCTTCTAGGGCAATGTCGAGGCCCTCCTAGCGCATCAAGACGACGTCCTCTACGGCAACACGTTGGCGTCGTTGGGTACGTCCATCATCGCCGCCATCATACACGATGTATCCCGACTTGCGACGGTTGTCTAGACATGGTCGTGGACAAGGAAGTTGAAGCCGCGTTCCAAATGTGTCAATATTCTGCTCAATATCTTCACCAGTGCGTCGAGTTTCTGTCCCAGCGTTGTGCCACGTACGTGTCGTCCCGGGATGAGCTGCTTCAACGTCAAGACAACAGCACCCACACATTGGACGCCAAAGTACGCTTCGAATGATCTCCACCAGTTCTACTATGGATGATTCACGTTGCCAATAGAAGCGGCAGAAACGGCAGCTCGAAAAGCAAGCGAACGAGTGCGACGTGTTGATCGCGGCCTACGAAGCCATCGCCAAGACCCTTCCAGACATCCCATCCGCCTTGCCATCAGTTCTCATTCCAACCCCATCAAACCATCCACCACCGACGCCGCGCGAGGCTCAAATCAAGATGGAACCACCACCAGCTTCATCTCATCCTCCCAGTGACGCCACTATACCAACCGACGCAGCAGCAGCAGCACCATCATCGTCGCCTTCGAAAGCTCCCATGCTCATGACGTACGAGGAACGCATGGAGAAGAATCGGCTGGCAAAGGAAGCCACGCGGAAGGACCGGATTGCCGCGGAGAAGCACCGGTTGACTCAGATCATGGCGGACCAAGCCAAGCAGCGTGAGTGGAAACAAACGCTGGTGGAGCAGGATCAGGCGTTGGTGCACCGGTCAGCATGCCGGTTGCAAACGTGGTTGTGCCACGTCACGTTCCTGCGCCGGTACGCCGTCAAGCGGTCGCAGTATGCGGCCGCCGTGGTGATTCAATGCCTTGTGCGGACGCGCCAGGCCAGGCGCATGTACCGGCGGCGGACGGACGAGCGCCGCCAGCGCAACGAAGCCCTAGCCATCCATGCCGCAGAGCAAATCCTTGAGCATCAAATGCACGTCGCCACCGCCAAGCTCCAGCACGACAAGGAGATGGAGCCCATCTTGAGACTCTGGACAGACATTCAGCAGGCGTTTCAACGAGCGTCGTCCAAGGAATCGAATGTGTTTTCGTTCTTTGATCGACGCCATGCTGGACAAGTCGACCGCGCCGTCTTTCGTCGGCAGCTGCTCCAGCTTGGCTTTGACGTGCCTCGGCAGGTGGTGCGGAGGTTTGATATCGGCTTGTTCTTGTGGTTGTTGATTGGATATCGTTTTTTGTAGACTGATTCAACTGATTCACTCGAGAGCCAATGTGCAAACTGATCGCCTCGTTGTGACCGCGGACCAATTCACCAAAGCTTTTGATTTGACGACTTGCATTGCTATCCCCCCCGATGTTGTGGCCGAGGTTTCGCCGCCGCCATGGACCAGCGCCAACACATCCCCTGAATCGAACACCGTTCTAGAGGTACGTATCCCAGGAGTTGAGCTTGCCATATTTCCATATGGATGGACGACAGTGATCCCCAACTTACTTGACTTTGTGCATTCAAGTTCAATGGCACGACCTGGGTAGATGACAGAAGCATCGCCTGCATTGGCGCCCGCGGTCCCCACAATCAACTCGGTGGAAGGCATCAGCATGACGTTTCGGCAGCTGCGAGAGCGTATCGTCCATGCTGCTCGCGCCCAGTTCGGTGGCGGGGAGCGTTCAAGTGTGACGTTTGCATCACTTCGGGCGGCGCTGGTCAAGTTGTTTGAATCGTTCGACCGGCACGGCAGCGGCGACGTGGCGCTGGCCGACTTCAAAGCGTGCCTTGAGACCCAGCTCCATGTGGCCATGGACGCGCCCAACTGGGAGTACGTGCGCGAGTGCTTTGACGCGGACGGCAGCGGCAGTGTCAACATCGCCGAGTTCGTCGCGTTCGCGTTTGCCGATGCGTCCGTGGACGAGATGGGCGTGCTGGGGTATCAACTGCGCGACGCGATTCTCCATCGAGTGAAGGCCGCGCGGAAGGACGCGGCGCCGACGATCGAGGACGCCGTGCGCCTTGTGTTTCATCCAGTGTTCCATCGCCGAGACGACGCCACGTTTGCCGACTTTTGCCATGCCCTGGCCCAGCTCCAGCTTGGGTTTACGTTGGGGCAGTTGTCTCGCTTAGTCTTACGGCTGGACCACGTAAGTGCCAGTAACGTTACTGGGGATGCGATATACTCTAGTTTTGGAGATATACTTGGTGTCGTCGTCCACTGACTTGATCGATGGCGTCGGGTTCATCGTAATCTTGTGTGATTGACTGTATTTTGTAGGACAAGAACCACCTGATCTCGCTGGACGAACTGCTTGGGTGGCTCAAACTGAAGCGTTCGAACGACACTCGGGCCAACACAACTCATGATGAACCACCACGACCCAATACAGAGCCGAGTGTGAGTGCAGCCAGCGCCGCCGTGAAACAGCTCCGACGGCACCTCGTGGAGCTGGCAGGCGAAGCCAAACCTCACGCGATCAAGCACCTCTTTGAATCGATCGATACGAACCAAAGCGCAAAGCTGAGCGCGTCCGAGTTACACGCATACTTGGGGGACGACACGGCGCCGCTGTCGGTGGTCGAAGCTGCCGTCGCGTGCATGGACGCTCGTCGACAGAGCGTCGTGTCCAAGGCCGACTTTATCTCGTTTTGTCTCGACACGACACGGGCGGCGACGGACGAAGAAGTCGGCGTGGTCGTGGAACAGTGTCGCACACAACTCTGTGACATGTGCGCGGACGCGGCGGGGCTACGCCGCTGGTTCGGCGCGTTGGCCCAGCACCAAGGCAAAGTGCGGACAGCCGAATTCAAGCGCGCGCTCAAAGCGATGGTGCACTTGCCAGAGCACGAGTTGGACGGCGTCGTGCGGCGGCTCGACTTTGACGGCAGTGGGTGGATCTCGGACAAGGAGTTCCGTGCGTGGGTACACCCCGTGCGGGACATCGAGGTGCTGCTGACGCTGGTCGAGCGACACCCGGCGATGCAGCAAATGGGCGCCGCGTTGTTTGCCGCGTTCGACGTGGACGGCAACGGCGTGATCGGCATCGACGAATTCCACGCCGGGCTCAAGCGATTCCATATCGACGTCAACACCGACGAAGCGGCGGCGCTGCTCGCCGAGTTTGACGTGAATGCGGACGGGGTGCTCTCAGCGTCCGAGCTCCACGCGATGGCCGAAGCGTACAACGACGACGAGCTGGGCCTGGCAGAACCTCCTACAGAAGCAGCAGCAGCAGCAGGTTACGACGACGATGACTTTGAAGATTCGTGATGGCTACATATACTACTACTACTGGTAACGAATCACGTTATTGCGCATTACTATTGGAGGTGATGGGTACAGTTCAATATGACAATAGTTAGGCATCGAAGCTAAACACGTCGTCCAGGTGGTTCTTGGCTTTGTGGGTACGTAGCGACGGCAGGACTTTCTTGGCCAAGGCCGACTTGTGGTGGTCGCCAGAGGTGGCTACTGGCGCCTGGCAGCTGGTCCGGACGGCGACGGGTGTGGGTTTCCTGCGCTTGGGCGTCGCGGGTTGCAACGACATGTGGGAAGGAGGGGTTGGGGTGGAGTCCGACGGGCTTGGTCGTTTGCGAAGGTGTTGTCTTGTCACGTCTAGATTGTCTTGAGTACTCGACGTGGTGGACGTGGCGCCCGCCTCTTTGTCGGGAATGGGGGGTATGATGATAGTCGAAGGAGGAGGCTGTCGCTTGGAATGCCGCCGGGAAAACGTTGGCGCGTGGCGTCGGGTGTCTACCGCCGCCTCGATCACATCAAGTCTGACGCGTTGACTCTTGTCCATATTCTGATGTGATACAATCCCCTTTGCGGCAGCCCCGCCGACTTTGCTGTTGGTGCGAGTGGGGCTGGATTCTGGGGCATCTGTGGCGGCGTCTGTTGGTGGTTTCGTCGTTGTGGTCGAGCTCGACTTGGCATTCACGGTGGACGTGGCCGAAGATGGTCGCTGCAGGGATTTCCGTTGGCTGACAAACGTCGGAAAAGGTACGGCGGCAGCATCCTCCGATTCGTCGGCCCAGGTCGGTTTCTTCCCGCGGTTGCTGCTCTCGACGGGGTTTTGGGGTGTGTCGACACCCAAAGCCCGACTCGTTCGCTTCCTTCGCCCCCCCGACGCCATCCCTGGCGACGATGACCGGGCCGTTGCAAACCCACCGACAAACAACTGAAACGCCGACGCGGGGGGGGTGTCGTTGCCTCGTCCTCGATACGTCGTGGGGTACTTTGGGGTGGTGAACTCGATCTCAGGCGTGTTGATACTCAATTGCGCCGTCAACGACTCGTCCATCTTTGCGTTCATGCGTGGGATACCCGGGACAGCTGCAATCTGCGACATGGTTACAATGCCATGGGTTGGAACTACCGACGTGTGTATACTCGTTGCTCCTCCTTCTTCGTCCGTCAGGAGCGCCTTCAACTCGGTTTCGACCTCTACACATGACTCGAGGATCTCCTCCGACAACGCTCCTATTTGAGCGTGCAGCCCCACAAATGCCACGAGCACCCGGAGCAGCAGTTTGGGCGACTGATCGGGTAGCGCCGCCAGAATTTGGGCCGCGTAGATCGGGCGGCCGCGCATCACACACCCAAGCAGCATGGCCGTGGACCCGCTCAAGATGACGTCTTCGGGGTTCCACGTCGCGCCCGACTCAGTGTCGGGGTGGTGCAAAATGTGCTCGAACGACGCCACCCGCCGCACAAAGTACAAAGTCAGTTTGTCCAACGTGCTGTCATCGTAGCGTGCCACGTCATCGCGGTTCGTGTCGTTGTGCTCGACGCAGTTGACCAGCGCACTCAGCGTGAGCAAGCACATGTCAAAAGTGGACTTGTCGCTGGTCGTGGCAACGTCAATGTCGTCGGGCAAAGTGGTGGCATCTTCGCCAGAGATTGCCGAGGCAGCATGCAGGAAGAGCGCGACGAGGACGCGGGTGCCGTGCGCCGCAGCCACATGTGTGCACGCAATGTCGTTCTTATGGGTGAGGTTGATGAGTACGCGGAGTGCCATGAGCGGCAACTCGTTGGGGACGACGGTGGATTCGGATGACGACGACGATAGAATTCGAAGAAGGACCGTGACGACGTTCGTATGCAGCACCAAGTGGTCTTGAGCGCCACGCTCAAGAAATGACGCTTGCTCCAGCAACCGAAGGCCATGCAGGAGATGCGCGGATGCGCCTGGAAGATGGGGGACCGCTGCCGAGAAGGACGTCTCGATGACCCGAGCGACAATGTCCAGGCCGCCGCTGTCTCGAAGCAGGAGCTTCCGGCTGCGAAGGAGGGCGGCGTTGGCTGGTGTGGGGCCAGGGGTCGAGTTGTTGGATTTGCTGTTGGAAATGCCATATTGGGTCGTCTGGTCGGTGTGGAACGCATTGTTAAGCACGGAAAGCACGACATCGGTCAACGTCACGATGGGCATGAACTTGATTGAGCGGAACATGTCGTCCGTGCGCAAGAGGGCTTCGGCTTGTGGGACGAGGGAGCCGCCAGAAGTGGTGCCGCCGTCGCCCAGACGTCGCGACGATGACTTTTTCCGCAACAACGCTCGCTTCTTGGGGGCATCGCCGTCCAGTGTGACAATATCAGCTGTCGCGTGGCTGAGCGTCCATGATGTACCGCTGGCCAGCTGCAGCACTTGGAGCAGCTTTGAAAACGCTTTGCTGGTCAACCCTTCGCAGTTCTCCGTGTCGAGCGTGACAAAGTACAACAGCGTCATCATGCAGTAGATATGCTCGTACGAATTGGCGGTGTGATCTAGCTTCAGACTTTCTACAAGTTGCATGCAATGGGCGAGGCCCCCTTTGGCTCGTAGGAGTAGGCGGCCGTTCGTCGACTCCGTTGTTGTTATGGGCGGTTGTGCGGCTGCTGGCGACTTGGACGCGCAGACTTCGGCCAGTTTGAGCGCATGGATGGAACGAGATAATCCCTGGCCTTCATCGATGCCATCCAGGTAGTAATGGATCTGCTCAAGCGCGGCATGGCTCTCGCCGCTGTGCTGCAGACTTGCTGTGCTCTGCATCGCCAAAGTCTTTCGCTGGTACAACTCCATTGGGTGGGATTTCTGCCCTTGGACGACAGTGATTGGTTGAAATATTTCCCCCCACTCTTTCGACTTGTCCAAATTTGAATTTTTATAACGATTTACTTCGAAGTACTGGTAAGTGTTTGCTGGAGTATAGGCAAATACAGCATAGATTGGCGGATTTACTCTGGCTTTCCTATAGACATAACGTTATCAACCGCCTTGTGCCACCACAACGTTAAGTCTACTGCCTACCAATCTTACAGCTTCAGGGACATGTTGATACTCGCCGTCGTGCCTCTAGGAGTGACTTATGCTACTCTGAGCGTCATAAACATGCGATTTTGAAGTAAAAGTTGAGCTTGAACTGTGTACTTGTGAATAATAACATAACTTTAACCTAATCTGTTAAGTGCACTGGAATGGTTGTCATAATCACTGGTTTTATGGAAGTCTAATAACGCTAAGTTACATGCCGCCAACGCTCATCCGATCACTTGGAGTTGAGTGGCGTCCGGATACCGCCGAGATCCTGGAAATTTCGATAGTCCGGATAAGAAAACCCGAGCCCTACACCGGTTCGAAATTTAATATACGTTGTTCAAGTGAATTTCAAATATGGAACTTTGTGTGGCTCTGTCAACCCCCTCAAACTGAATCATTTGCTAATTAGCGTTCCGCCGCACATATTACCATGGCTGAAGAACAGGAACTACTCGACTACGGCAGTGACGAAGAAGTCGCTGTCGACAACAAGGCCAACGCCAAGGAGACCAAGAAGTAAGAATCCATGCTCCACCACCCTCAACCTCGAGGCCTCCACTTAACACAACGTCTACGCGAAGGGGCCATTACGTCGGCATCCACAGTGCCGGCTTCAAGGACTTCTTGCTCAAGCCCGAAGCGTTGCGTGCCGTCGTGGACTGCGGGTTCGAACATCCGTCTGAAGTGCAACACGAATGCATTCCTCAAGCTGTGCTCGGCATGGACATCATTTGCCAAGCCAAGTCTGGGATGGGCAAGACTGCCGTGTTCGTGTTGGCCACGTTGCATCAAGTAACCTACCAAACCTATTGCCCCTCGATCAAAGATCATTGCTTATGCGCATCTTATCGTAGTTGGAACCAGTGGAGAACCAAATCAGCGTCGTGGTCTTGTGCCACACCCGCGAACTTGCGTTCCAAATCGCTCATGAATATGAGCGATTCAGCAAGTATTTGCCCGACGTGAAGACGGCTGTGTTCTATGGCGGCGTCCCCATTGTGCAAAACCGCGAAACGTTGAAGAACAACCCTCCTCATATCGTGGTGGGCACTCCGGGCCGCGTCCTCGGCCTGATCAAGGAAAAGACCTTGAAGCTGGACAAGGTCAAGCACTTCGTAATGGATGAATGTGACAAGCTCTTGGATGCCGTGGACATGCGTCGCGATGTGCAAGAAATTTTCAAGTCGACGCCGCATGACAAGCAAGTGATGCTCTTCTCGGCCACGTTGAGCAAGGAAATTCGCCCCGTGTGCCGCAAATTTTGCCAAGACGTAAGTGCAACTGTACCAGATGCCTCATGTTGAGATCAAACTTACCTCGTCTCCCTTTAGCCCATGGAAATCTACGTGGACGACGAAACCAAGCTGACGCTGCACGGCCTGCAACAATACTTCATCAAGCTTCAAGAGTCCGAGAAGAACCGCAAGTTGAACGACTTGTTGGATGCCCTCGAATTCAACCAAGTGGTGATCTTCGTGTCCAAGAAGAACCGCGCCCGCGAATTGAGCCGCCTGTTGAACGAGTGCAACTTCCCTTCGATCTGCATCACGTCCGACCTGCAGCAAGAAGAACGCATCAAGCGCTACAAGAGCTTCAAGGACTTCCAAAAGCGTATCTTGGTCACGACGGACTTGTTTGGTCGCGGCATGGACATTGAACGCGTCAACATCGTCGTCAACTACGACTTCCCCAACGACTCGGACCAGTACCTGCATCGCGTCGGGCGCGCCGGTCGTTTCGGGACCAAGGGGTTGTCCATCAGCTTCATCTCGTCCAACGAAGACTCGGACATGCTCGCCAAGGTCCAAGCTCGGTTCGAAGTCAACATCCCCGAACTGCCCGACCAAATCGACATTTCGACCTACATGGCCACGTAAATTTTGATTCCTTGCACCTCTCGCGCCCATGGCCTCCCTAATCTTGATAATATCCACAACCCCCTCCCCCGTTGGCCTGGTCAACAAACATCCCTTGTAAAACTCCATGACTGGTCCCAGTCCAAGAAGGTCCGCCGCCCCTGAAGCGGCCAACCTCCATGCCAAGTGGCAGTTCCATGTGTGTCCTACAGCTGTAGCAGCACAGAGCGTCCTAACGCCACGGAATTGGCACTCGCCATATCTTGAGCTACCGGTAGTTTGTCTAAGCAGAACAGCTACATACTTAGCCAAGGATATTACGACCTTTGGCAATATTATTATCCTCCCAAAGACACACACTCTGGCATACTAATCCCATCAACTCCATGAGATATGGTTTAAAAGACACACACTCTGGCATAATAGTACCATCAACACCATAAGATATGGTTTAAAAGACACACACTCTGGCATAATAGTCATGAGATAAGGTTTAGCCAGTCATCTGTAGCTGGCTAACGACGCTGTCTCTTGAACGGGGCAGGGTTAATTGGTTTGAGTCCACTCAGCTTGGACGCGTACTGCGCTCGCAGCCTACATCCATCACGAGTCGTCAGCCCATCTCACAACGTTAGCATCATATGCACGTACTCGTCGTTCTTGAGCGCAGTGAAGTGGTCGGTCGTGTCTTGGTCTGTCAAGTGCGTGTACTTGGTCCTACGATCTCCCATTATAACCAACCATCTTGATCATACAAGACTCTGTGGGAACGTACCGCCCCGACTTGCCAAAATTCTTGACCTGCATGACCGTGGGCAGATTCTCCCGGTTGGTTTTGTCTTCAAGCGTGGGTTCGTCGGCGTCGCGGCGGCGGACGTCGGTATCCGTCTTGATGCTCTTGTCGTCCACGTAAAACGCGCCCTTGTGGTAGTACTTTTGCAGAAACTTCCACTTCTTCTTCTCCTTCTCCGTCTGCTTGCCCAGCGCCGCGTCCTCCTTCTCGCGCTCTTCGTCCGTCATGTGTCGCCGTCGCAGCGTTTCCGCCGCCTCGCGCTCGCGCTCGTCCCGTGCGTCGCGGTCCCTAGCCCACATCCATGACACAGTCGGCCTAGACGTTCGATCGAGTATGTATGTACCTACCGCTTGAGACGGCGCATCTCGCGCAGTTCCCAGTCCTGCTGCTCCTTCTCCGGGTGCAGCCCATCCGTGTCGTCTGGCATCTCCGAGTCAGTCGCGTCGTCTTGCAAGCGCTGCGCCGCGTCGCCCTCTTCACGCAACAGCACCTCCGCCACCAACTTGCGCGACTCGGCCTTCTTCTCCAAAGCCTACCATGTCCATGAGATACATACATAAATGGAAGCGCTTACCCGCTCGGCGAGTGCTTGGTCGCGTTCTTCCATGGCTCGGAGCTTCTCCTCTTGCTCGCGAATGGTGTCCCGGGCACGCTTGGGCACGAAGATGGGCTTCAGCATCTGCTCGCCATCGGACGAATCGGTGTCGGTTTCCCACTCGGACGACTCGGACTCGGACGACGCCAATTGGCTTGGGGCGACGGCGATGGATGGGCCGGGAGTTGTTTCCAGGGCAAGCGCTTCGGTCGAGACGGAGAGGAGTTGCTCTGGTTCGTCTCGCTTTTGAGCGAGGATCTTACTTCGAAGGCGCGCACGACGATCGACGTCATCATCGCTTGCGTCGGATTCTGAATCGATTAACGGAGCCGCAAACTTCGGGGCCGATGGTTGGGGGGCTATTGCTAAGGACGAAGCTTTCACGATTTGCGCCACGATCTTTCGTCGCTCATTGGGAACGGTGATCGACTTCTCCCGCGACGATACAGCAGGCTTCTTGGACCCAGCGAGAAACCGAGGGCCGTCGTCTGGCATGAGTTCTCCGACGGCGAATTCAGGGACGTGGCCGGCACGATACCGCGCGACTTTCTTGGTCGAGTCGACTTTTGGCAATGGGGCTTCATATTCCTCTGTCTCTTCAAGGCGCCTTGAATGGCGCAAGGACATGGCATCGCCAGGCTCGGTGTCGGGGAGCAACAGCCCCAAGTCCTTCTTCGTGAACAAGCTCATGTTGGTCCAGCAACCTTTTTGAACTAAAATGGATCACTCAACATTTGATATGCTCTGTGAACTAATATATGAGAAGACTTAATACCCTTCCTTCGAACTTGGATATGTACTGTATCGTCCCAGACCACCCAACGATCAGCCAAAACATTCGACCGGCCCATCATGGACCTAAAAACTCGGCATAAACGAGAGCTACTAGTAATACGCAGGAACAATGGTCACGACAGGTCTGGCCAGCGAGAGCCGTCAATCAATTCACGGCGACGATATCTGGAATTCACTCTGGGGATAACTAGGAAAAATCCCAAAATACTCGCGATGAGCGTGGAAAAACAATTGAATCTCGACCGTAGTATGGACTCCGTTCGTTGTATGGACTACGCCGACCTCGCATTACCACCCTCATTCGTTACCGCTGTAACGTTAGCCTACTACTCCGGAGTATTATTATGATGGGGATGTCATGTGCCGTACGTTGAGGGCCGGTTACAGTACTACTCAGAAGTACGTAGGATGTCAAGGTTTGAGGTATGAATACTAGTATAGGAGAAATAAGAATAGGATTATTCCTTCGCTTGGAGCAAGCAGATATAAAAATATAAATTTTCACAGGTCTGTAGTGAAAGAATCCTCGCCACAGAGATTGAAAAGATGTCTGGCGATCAAGGCGGCGGCGTTCCGTACATCGGATCGCGGATCAGCCTGATCTCGAAGACAGACATTCGCTATGAAGGCCTGTTGTTCAACATTGACACTCGACAAAGCATGGTGGCGCTGCAGAACGTTCGTTCCTTTGGGACCGAAGGGCGGCGTCCAGACCACATTCCGCCGTCGGACACGGTGCTCCAATACGCCACGTTTAAGGCGTCGGAGATCAAAGATTTGCACGTGTGTGAAGCTGCAGCACCTCCTCCTCTTCCCCCCAAGCAACAGAAGCATGTAGCTCCCCCGCCACCTCCATCCCCGAAAGCGCTCGTCCAGCCGCCTCCTCAACCTGTAACAGTCGCGCAACAGCCCCCATTTCCGCAACCACATCGCGCACCCCCTCCGCTTCCAAAGCAGCCCGTTGCGCAACCTGGATCAGCCTCCCAGTACCAGCAGCCTCCATTGCCCAGCGCCGCTCGTCCGGCCTCACCCAAGCGAACATTCGTGCCTCCGACTTCAAGTGCGCTGCTGACCCCGGGCGCCATGTCCAAGTCGAACACGTCGCATGCAGTGCAGCATGTCGAGCAGCACCAATCTGATTCTCAACGCCAGCAGCAACCTTCTCGCCAAGTGGACCACCCTCCTCGCCAGCAGCCATCCCGTCAAGAGTATGCTGCCACGTCGTCGGCGTACCACAACGTGAACCCTCCCGCTCCGTCGTCTTCTTCGCAGTCGAATGCTGCTTCCCGGACGATTCCTGGCATGGGTGGTCACCTGTTGCGACGAAAGGAACGTCGCGTAAACAACGAGACGGGGCTGCCCGAAGGCGGCGCCACGGCCACGGGGGGCGAGTTTGACTTTGCCGGGGGCTTGGGCGACTTTGACAAGGAGAAGGAGTTTTCCAAGCTCACAGTCCAAGAAACCTCGCGCCCCGTGGTCAAAGGGTCGTACCAGAAGTCGTCGTTCTTCGACACGATTTCGTGTGATGCGTTGGATCGGTTGGAAGGCAACGGCGGCGGGCGCATGCGGGCGCAAGAGGAGCGCAAACTCAACACGGAAACGTTTGGGGCCGTGAGCCTCAACAACCGCCGACCTTACCGCGGCAACCGCCGCAATGGCAATGGCAATGGGGGGTACAATGGAGGCTACAATGCCAATGGAAACGGCCAACGCAACAACTTTTACGCCGGCCAACCCCAAGGAGGGTCTCAGCCCCGCCACCATAATGGCCCGGACGGCAACCGCGGGCATCATCGCACGTCGAACAACCTCCAACAAGCGCAGCCCCGACAACAATATGGCGGCAACCGTCACGGCCAAGCTGCGGCGACGCCAAACGAGTAAACACGCACAAGTATGACACGACGAGGTCGTCTTAGGTAGATGGAGTACCAGTTGGAGAATGCTGCTACGGGTATAGATAACGTAATAGCTATCGTTGGAATTCAAGCTGTAGTAATACTCCAGTCTCAGCCACTCCTACGAAGCGCAACACTCGTTTGGAAATGCAAACTGCAGCATCATGGCAATGACAGCATGACTGGGCAGGGACGTGGACTGAGAGCGATTGGCTTGTATTGATCGGCAACTTGTGGGGGGGTTAAGCTGGACGGGCGGCCAGCGCATTCTTTCGATTGAAAGACTAAATGCACATGGCAATTGCATTAGGTGATTCTTACACATTCATCATGCTAGCATTCACCATACACCGACATTACAGACCATTTTCTGTTACATGACTGACACACTCTTTTGAGCTAAGCTAGAGCTACAAGCCAACGGTTAGGTAAACTTCCTCTCGCCGTGAGAGACTGGTATCAAAATTGATACGAAATAGACAAACGATGCTTTCTCGAGGAATTGGGTGGTGTTGAAAAACACCAGAGATGGAACTTGCAAAGGCAAGTAATTTAAGAGCGTTCGCCACGGATGCGGCGAGCCAATTGGATGTCCTTGGGCATGATCGTGACACGCTTGGCATGGATAGCACACAAGTTGGTGTCTTCGAACAAACCGACAAGGTAGGCTTCAGCGGCTTCTTGCAAGGCCAACACAGCCGAGCCTTGGAAGCGCAAGTCGGTCTTGAAATCTTGGGCGATTTCACGGACCAAGCGTTGGAACGGCAACTTGCGGATCAAAAGTTCCGTCGACTTTTGGTAGCGACGGATTTCACGCAAGGCGACGGTACCAGGGCGGTAACGATGCGGCTTCTTCACACCGCCGGTCGCGGGGGCCGACTTGCGGGCGGCCTTGGTGGCCAATTGCTTACGGGGAGCCTTGCCGCCGGTGGACTTGCGGGCAGTTTGCTTGGTACGAGCCATGTGGACTTGGAGTACTTTTGAATAATGAAAAGACTTGGTCTGCCCGCCAAGAGTGGACCAATCACACGCGCGCCAAAACTAACATGACTGCAATCAAAAAACGAAGTTTTTCACAAAATTCCCGCCAATCATGTATCGTTATATTCTGCATTTACCAATAAGAGTAAAATACATTCAAATTCCGCCAATCAAACGTTGTCAGTAAAGAGTGAGTTTCTCCGCCAATCAGATGCTGTATCTTGTGTTGGATTGAATGTTGAAATTTGACTCCATTCGCTCCCAAGTTGCTCATTTTGAATTTTGCATTCATTCAACAACTCAACATGTCTGGTCGCGGCAAAGGTGGTAAAGGTCTCGGAAAGGGTGGTGCCAAGCGCCATCGCAAGGTCCTTCGTGACAACATCCAAGGGATCACCAAGCCCGCTATCCGTCGTCTCGCTCGTCGTGGCGGTGTCAAGCGTATCTCCGGTTTGATCTACGAAGAAACTCGTGGCGTCCTCAAGGTGTTCTTGGAAAACGTCATCCGCGACTCCGTGACGTACACCGAACACGCTCGCCGAAAGACCGTCACGGCCATGGATGTCGTGTACGCTTTGAAGCGCCAAGGCCGCACCTTGTACGGTTTCGGCGGTTAAATCGATTGCTCACGCTCTCAGCTCTCAACGAGGACCAACAACTTGTTGCCTTCTTTACATCTGGTGTTTTTCAACACCACCCTCTTTGTATGAACTTATCGTTCCCATCCACTTCTTCGCTGTACTAATCTCGTCGATATAACGCCTTTGATCTGACGTGCCAAAGTGTGCATGTTGATGACATCGAATACACTACAGTAGTCATCGTGACCCCACCATTATAATGTAAAACCTCTTGCTCGATTCACGCGTGCCATTTGCGCATTAACTAAAAGCATATGTACCCATTGAGATGTACATTTCGTCAGACACCGTGTATGTCCATGCGTTCGTACCCTCTCGGCTGAAAAGTCATCGTGGCAACATATTACCACGCCTTCCGTTGGTTCATAGTATAAGCAGCGCTCATCTGGTCATGCTAGGATAGTGGATCGTACTCACGCTCATCTGGCCATGCTAGGATAGTGGATCGTACTCACGGCGCCATTTTCACAGTGTACGTTATGAACGTCGTGGCATAGTTTGTGTCAAATCGTAGCAACAAGTTAATAGCAATGGTAGTATTCATTTTCATCGATCCCTCGAGGTACGATCGCGATCAATGGATTGGACTTGCCGTCATGGCGAACGTGTATCGTTGAGGTACACGTGGTTGTGCAGTCGTCATCCACTTGAATCTGGCGGCTGTGTCATTTTGGAATTCACATTCTTTATGCATGATGAATACGAAGATTGCTCAAATGCAAGGCACATGGCCAATCGAGATCTGGCTGAACGCGGTCACTACAGAGCGTCGGGGTCGAGATCGGAAACAGTTTTCGACAGGGCGAGGAACGCTGGATGGAGTTAAGCAGGGGTCGTTACTGGGCTTGGAATTTTTCGATCAGCGAAAACGTCACGCTGCTATGTACCACAAAGCAAGGCGGCGGCGATGACAGGCGTCGCTGAGACCACCCACGAGAAGGCTGCACGTCCACGACAAGATGGAAAGCAGTGGGGCCAACGCTGGAGTTCTGTGATGCACACACCACACAGGTCCAACGCTCCAATTGCAAATCCACTCAAGGCATATTGCACCAACGGACTGGTGGTTTCCCACGTGATAAACGCCATCGACCCACGATCGTGGTCCATGATTATGGACCAATGAGGGTCTTCCGGCGGCCGACATGTGGCGAAGAAGTTGGCGTGCAGAGCGTCCAGAACGTTGGCGTAGTCCGCCCCTTGGGACTGACACGACAACGACGGCACTGCCAAGATGCGCAGGCCACCGGAGGTGGGTCTTAGTCTAACGAGGAATGAGTCAATGAATGTGATATTCCCACAGCATTTTGGGCAGCGTCAACACCCCCGTAACGTTATGGCAAGTGCCGCTTTGCTGGCCGGATCGACACAGCCGAAGTATTTGAACTGTAGGCCATGTAGGGATACTGGACTCCTAGATGTGCGGGAATTTCACGGCCGAAACGTTGTGGGGGGTAGCGCGGTGTTCTGGCCCACCAGAACACCCCAAGATTATCCAGACGTCAACAAGCAATTGCAAACGATTGCATCGGTCCGTTATTGCTGTCGTGTTCACTGCCACTACAATATACGACTCAAGCACAACAGGTTCGTCTTGGGATGCATGCACAGCGCCAGTGAAGTCGACGACGGATTGTAGCGCCAAGTCGTTGGTCGGTTGCAGTATTGTGAAATCGCCCAGGCGAATGTTTCCAAGTACTCCGGCAGCTTGTGCCTTATACGTATGCATAGGCCGTGCATGCAGTAAGGTTATGCGACTAGTAGCCGCAGGGACTGGCGCCATGTACCAGTAGTACGTAGATTTGTCGTCGAAGTGTGCGCCATAATTTGGATTCGGTGGAAAGTCCTGGCAAAACGTATCCGGATAATCGTATCCATGATACAGTATCCACTGCCTCCATAATGGGACGTACTGAACAAGGTAATATAGGGTTGCTTGTCTTCGAAATGCCTCAGAGTACTCTTGCATCTCTTCTACTACAGTAACAGTTAAGTACTTCGAAGTACTTTAGAAGAAGAGAGGCAAATTCTGTTGTCAGCTCCTTCTGAAGCCCTGCAACCTTGCTGCACTGCAAAGCAAATATGGTAAATAGAGAGTTGGTTGCTACCATTGAGTACATAGGATCCATGTGAAAGTGCCATTCACACATGATATTACTTGAGTTACCTTTTCAAAGTACAGTGGGACGGAGTCTGTATGACTTAGTATCCGGCCTTCAATCCAAGAAATGCCAACATGTCCGTACAGATCAACCGCACAACTCCTTCCAAGCAGCCCCTGATGTGGTAAACCTTTCGACGGCAACGACCGTCATCTCATGAGCGTCTTCGACTACTTTAGGCGTGGCACGTCGTCTAATGATGAAGAGCTGCTCCCTCTCGTGGACTCGCCAGCACATTCCTACACGACCAGCATCAGCGTCCAGCAAACACCCAAGGCAGATTTGCCTCCTCAACAAACTGGCACCATGCAGCCTCCAATGACGGCCAAGTTCAATCCAACCGAGCACCATTTGAGTGCCGAAAGCGTGTCGTTTGCATTCTCGCCGACGTCGCATCCCCAGTTGCCTCGTCTTGCCGTGCCCTTGTGCGACGACCTCACGCACCTCAATGGCCAGCTCGAGCCAGAGTACATCCACCTGTCCATCTTGGATCCGTTCTTTGACGTGACCCCGTCCCGCCTGCATTTGGCCTTTCACGAAGCCGACCCGACGGACTCGGGGGTTTTGACGCCCGATCAATTCCGCGCCGCGCTGGAGAGTGTGGGGATTCGATGCCGCGACGAAGCGGTGTTCCAGACGCTGCTGGGGAGCATGTCCCACGGCCCCGCGATCTCCAAGGCAGACTTCGAGCGCATCGTCCAGAAACTCAAGCTGGGCAACCTCTTTGAAGAAGGCACGATGGCTTTGTTCCGCGGCGCGGAAAACTCGAATCAGTCCCGCATCGAAGTGTGCGACTTTTCGTCCAAGCGGCTGGCGCTGTACAAACCCGAACTGCGCAGCTTCTTCACGACCGAGCCGGCGCCGTGGGTGTCCTGCCGCTGGATCAACATGCAAGGCCATGATCACCTGAACCTCAAGCGCCTCGCTATCAAGTACCGCCTCCACCCGCTGGCCATGGAGGACACAATCGAACTGAACGAACGGCCCAAGTTCGACACGTACGCCACGCATCGCTTTGTCGTGTTCCCCATCCTCCACCACACGCTGCGCCGTACGTGTTCGTGATATCAAGCCAGAATATACGACCAAGTGATTATTCAACATGGTTCCTTGTCTAGATCGACCGACTGCCGCCGACGCTGACTTGGCCCAACCACCCCCCCCGCCGTCGACCGGAAGGCTCGAGAAAGCCAACTCAAAGACGTGGCTGCCGGCGTCCACGCGGGCACGCCGTCGGACGTTATCGTCGGAAACAGACGAGCACTTTGCGTTGACGGTGGAGCACGTGGCTATCTTTTTGGTGGGCGATCACACGCTCATCACGGTGAAACCGTCAAGCGAGGACGATGCGTCGATTTGGCAGGCGGTGCACCGGCGGTTGGCGTCGACGTACTCGAAGGTGCGGCACAACGACGCCAACTTCCTGCTCTACTCGGTGCTGGATGTGATCGTGGACCAGATGACTGGCGTCATGGACGACGTCCGATCGTACCTGATGCACCTCGAGCAACAACTGGACACGCTCCTCCATCGCTTTGACATTGAAACCCTTCGGGACGTGCACAGCGAACTGGGCCAGCTCCCCCGTGTGATCAAACCGACTCGAGACGTGCTCAAGAGCTTACTGGCCAGCCGCGACCTGCCAGACACGACCAAGGCGTACCTTCGCGACGTCCACGACCACTTGAACCACATTCTGGACGAGATCGAGTGGCAGTTTCAAATGTGCAAGAGCATGACCGAAGAGTATCGAGATGCCAAAGCTACGCAGACCAACTACGTTGTGTACGTGCTCACGATCGTCACCACGGTGTTCCTCCCCGCGCAGTTTCTCACGGGCGTCTACGGCATGAACTTTGGTATAGTGTACTGTACATACCCCCCTATATATATATATATATATATTGAACACGGGTGGGTTTTGTACGGTAGATTACATGCCCGAGCTGCATTCCCCGTACGGCTACGTTGCATTTTGGACGATTTTGCTCAGCTGCACCATCTCGATGCACTTTTACTTCCGCCACAAGCAGTGGGTCTAATGAAGATGACGCGGCCAAAGCAACTCCGTCTGTCTGACGTGGCACATAGACCCATACATGCAATGGTGTTGAGATTGTACAGATATGTACGACATACTACCAGTTTGGAATTTACAGTTAGACGACGCGAAATGTTTCAAATATTAAGTCGAAGTATATTACTGTACTATTATTAATAGTATTAATAATAGAAATAAAGGTGATCTTTGAACCGGAACCTTTGATCAATCGTTACTATCCCTCGTGTCATAACCTGTTCAGTCGACGATGGTGGGCGACTGGGTCGCGTACTTGTGGATGGTTGCTGCCGCGGCAACGTTCTGTCTGCTGCACTTCGTCACGGCGCCATTCGGTCGGCATACGTCCTCTGCATGGGGTCCGACACTCAACAACCGACTGGGCTGGTTTGTCATGGAAGTGCCGTCGCTGGTGATCATGGCACGGGCGTGGTGGTTGTTTGTCAGCGATCGAGAAAGCAACTTCGTCTGGCTCCCCTTTGCCCTGTGGACTGCCCATTATTGGAATCGCGCAGTCGTGTTCCCTCTTCGGATCAAATCCACGCCGAAACGTATGCCAGTGGTGGTTGTGGCCGCCGCCATTGGATTCAATCTCGTCAATGCGACGCTGAATGCAACGTACCTTCTGTCCACCGAAGCCATGTATTCCTCTGCTTGGCTCCACCACCCAAGGACGTTGACGGGACTGGCGCTGTTTCTCATCGGCATGAGCATCAACGTCACCACCGACAACCACCTTATCTCCCTTCGGTCCAACGGTTCTACAGGATATTCCATCCCGCGAGGGTTTCTCTTCGAGTATGTCACCTGCGCCAACCTCTTGGGCGAGTGTATCGAGTGGACTGGGTTCGCCATTGCTACGTGGAACCTGGCTGGGCTGTCGTTCATGATCTGGACGTGGGCAAATCTCGTGCCGCGCGCAGCGAGTCACCATGCATGGTGTGTGAATGAATTCAAAGACTACCCGATAAATCGCAGGCGGATCATACCATTTGTGTACTGATATCGTGGCGGCTAATGTACCTATGCTAATGAACCGAATGTACCGGTGGTGTAGTTCGACCGACAATAACCATGACGATAAGTTTCCAAACAGGAAGGGTGGTGTTGAAAAACACCAGATAATAGAGTGGAGGACTTGGGGTTCTCCTTGTGACAAGTCGCTCGATCGCTTAAGCGGACGAGGTGAACTTGGTCACGGCCTTCGTGCCTTCCGACACGGCATGCTTGGCCAATTCACCAGGAAGCATGAGGCGCACGGCGGTTTGGATTTCGCGGGACGACAACGTGGACTTCTTGTTGTAGCGGCTCAACTTGCCGGCTTCCGACGCAATGCGCTCGAAGATATCGTTGATGAACGAGTTCATGATGGACATGCCGCGCTTGGAGATACCGGTTTCGGGGTGCACTTGCTTCAACACCTTGTAGATGTAGGTCGAGTACGACTCAATGCGCTTGGTCTTGCGGCTCTTGCCCTTTTCGCCGGCCTTCTTGGGGGCTTTGGCAGACTTCTTGCTGGGGGTTTTGGCCATCTTGACTGTTCAAATCGAATTTGCAAATGGTCTACTCGTAGAAGGATTGTTTTGGAGGGACGAAAATGGGGGGAGCGAAATGGACTGATTTGATTGGCTTTGGTGAAATATAGTACTTTGATTGGTGGAATTCTTTGTACGAGAGTATGATTGGTGGAATTCAAATTCTAGCCTGCGGATTGGCGGAATTTTGATGCTCGCGGCATTTCCACCACGACGGTGGGTTGGCTCATTATTGAAAATCACATTCAACACAAAGATGTCTGGCAAAGGAAAAGCTACTGGTGGTCGCGGCAAGAAGGGCAAGTCCTCGTCCCGCTCGTCCAAGGCAGGCCTTCAATTCCCCGTGGGTCGTGTGGCCCGCTTCTTGAAGAAGGGCCGCTTCGCCCAACGCATTGGTGGTGGCGCCCCCGTCTACCTCGCCGCCGTGTTGGAATACCTGTGCGCTGAAATCTTGGAACTTGCCGGGAACGCCGCTCGCGACAACAAGAAGTCCCGTATCATCCCTCGCCACATCCAATTGGCTGTCCGCAACGACGAAGAATTGAACAAGTTGTTGGGCGATGTGACCATCGCGTCCGGCGGTGTGCTTCCCAACATCCACAACATCTTGTTGCCCAAGAAGTCCGCCACGGCTGGCACCGAAGGCAAGAAGGTCAAGGCGTCTGCTTAAATCGTTCCGACGGCGACACCGCTTGATTTGTGCATTTGCACTTTCATACTTGGACGACATGTCCTACAACTGGCTTTTTTAAAAGCCACCCTCTTGCAAAGAAGTTTGTCGATCACATGTGAGGACGCGTACCTCATGCTTATCACTTGATGTGTGCATGTACTTTTGAACTCTGATTTTGTTCCAACGTTTCCTCACACTTAACCACTTCTACTTGTTATCGCTACACATCAGCCCATCAACAGGTTTGTCATTTTGCATCCTGATGTGTATCTATTATAGTAACAAGGGGGCTATCAGACGAAGCTTAACCTTATTGTAATAAGCGCCACGTTTGTCTAAGTCAATCACATATCACATTGACGTGATGAAGATGGCCGCGCTCAGTTTATGTCGTGGTAGTCATAGCCACCTGTGTTGAGAGTCACATCGGCCATTCGCTCAGTCAGGGCATCTCGTACCGTCGTCACCCTCATATGCTGCGACCACATTGTGTGACACCCGTACAACACATATCGCACTTCATGTCCTCTTCCCGATTGCTTCCACCAACCAGTCCATCTATGTTCTCATGCATCCTAACAGCATTGATGTGGCTCCCCCTCCGACGATCTTTTTCACACATCGTAAAAACTCACTTTTTATTGGTTTTTCTGGAATAAAAAATAGAATTGGCACTAAATCGATGACATTGTCAGGATCGACCAATCAAATATCGCACCGAATGTTACTCTCAACCTCCACTTCGCCTTGTGTTCCGATTCCCGTATCGCGACACCACCAGTAGCTGGCTGTGTCTCCAATCATCATCCCCACAGTCCATGGACGAGCTCCCGCCGCCTGCTGCCGCCTGTGCGGCTGGGACTCCAGCGGTGTGGATGGCGCCAACGTGGTCCGAGCACCCTGTCGATGCGAACTTCTACGGCAATGCTTCAACGTCCACGACAAGGGACTCTCCGTACGACGCGGTGTTCTCCCCTGTGAACAAACACAAGGGCATGCATGTTATGAGCGACATCTTCGCGAAGAAAGTAGACCTTACATGCCCGTCGAACAACAACGATGACGACTCATTGTCCAAGTCGGCTGCAACCGGAACGATGCGGTCCACGCAAAAAGCCGTCGTCGAGCGGCCGGCCTCCCATCCCGTGCACGCCCTTCGGGAACTCACACGAGATTGCCTCGGCGCCAACCCGCAAGGGGGCATGACGCCACCGAGCATGCATCTCACATTTCTTCGACGCAAGGTACTATATATCACCTTTGTACTCACTTTACTCATGTACTGGGTATGCATCCAGGTGGAATCCAGCTTGGACGACGTCGCCGCCACGATGGCTACCAAGCAACAGCAGTTTGAGGCCACGGTAGCGGCCGCGATTGAACAACAGTCCAAACCCCATGCTGCGTCGTTTCCCGAGCTGTTGGACCTGCTTTTTACTTGCTCGGCCGCCGACGCGCCAGCGACGATGCCGCAAGCGGACGGCCTGCCGCGCCTGTGCGGCATAGTGACTCGTGCAGCTCACCACCGTTGCATGAATCAGCTGCATCGCCGCCAGCGGTATCTAAGGAGTGTGCATCACATTTTGGGTGGGCCGCACGTCTCGGACGTTGGCGTGACGTCGAAGGAAGTAGCGTCCATGGCAAGCGTCGACGACCTTCTTCGGTTCGACCTCAAGCTGCATTTGCTGTCGACACAACGGGACTGGCTGCACCAGCTCCATCTCGCACGGAGGCAATCCATGAGCACTACCTTCTCCAACCATCACGACCACAGATCGTCGTCCTCCCCCCCAGCAGCCCCTCGCCCGCCTCAATCCAAGCACATACACATGAAGAAACTTCTGGAGGCTGCGAGCTGGTACCGGTGGCTTCAGCAGCATGCACACGAAGACAACAACAACGCCGACGACGACGACAAGCCTGCCTTAGAACACCTGGCCGACATGTTGTCTGAAGACGCGTGCTTGTCCGAGTACGTCGACTTGATGGGGACGAACGAGGTATTGTCCTTTTACCCAAAATGTGGCTGGCTTTTGTGCTGACTGGCCAACTCTATATCGATCGATTCTTAGTTGTACTGAATTTTGTATATGAAACGATGTCCTGTGGTGTATCACACTAATTGAAACCACACACACTAATTTGACGTTGATGATGGTTTCCTGATTAGCTAAATCGTTTCTGTACTTTGTGTCGCTCCAGTGTAGAATATAATCACGTCCACTTTTAAATGGCCACGAAGATATATATCATCTCTCTTACATGTAGTGGCGGTCAGTGGTCCAAGCCCAGTTTGAAAACCTCGTGTTTGCCACGCTGGAGCGCCGCGTGAGTCGTCGCGTGGACAAGTGTGGATTTGACGCGGCCGCGCTCTACTGCGAGCCGCCCGCCGCCTTCCGCGACAACATCCACCCATCGCAGCGCACCAAAGCGGCAGACTATCGGAACGTCCACGCCGACTGGAACTGGCTGAGGGACCCCCAACCCGCCCAAGTGATGGCGTTTGTTGGCAGCTTCACCCGCCATGTCCGCGGCGCGTTTGCCATTCCGGACGATGTCCACAAGAGTCTGTATGTGTTTATCCAGCGCATGCTGTTCCCGCGGATAACCATGCTCTGCTATAACGGCGCCATCTTGACTGAATGTGCGCGCAAAGACACGCTGTGGCGGAATCAGCAGGCGGCGCTTCGCCTGCAAAACCACGGGGGTGGCGTGTCGCTCGAGCAGCTGGGGGGGTCGACCCGCACGGCCGGTACAGTTCGGATGTATTGTGTTTCTTTTACCCAAACAACTTTGGACATTTGTGATGAAATCGCCAAATCTATTGTGGTTTCGAGTGAAATTTCGTGTTGTGGTTTCTCGTTGGAATTTAAATCGATTTGATTGGCTACTTCAGATGAGCTCAACGTTATTAGCCAATCAAAACCTTCTCAATGAAATTCAACAACCAATCAGATCGATTGTGGATCGGTTTGGTCGGCGCGATTGATTCGATTGCACCCCCTCCCCAAATTTGTATCAAATATATCGATCGATTCTTGTTTGTACTGAATTTTGTATGTAAAAACGTTGTGTGGTCACACTAATTTTAAAGTCACACTAATTTGACGTGAATGATGGCTTTCTGCAATCTGATTGGCTATAAATCCTTGTGCCGATTTTCGTTTCTGTACATGTATTTGGTTGTGTCGATTCATTCATCTCCATGTCACTCGCTCCAGTTTAGAATATAAACACAAGAAGATGATGATGATGTTGTATTTTTTTTTAATTTTATTTTTATATTATTAAGGATCGATCATCTCATGACTTGGGTAGAGAAACTGCGACGAGCGTGGCCGCCGCCGTCGTCGTCGATGTTTCCCAGGGCTCGAGCCGCGTTTGCCGGTATGCACAGCGTCGTGCCATGCGACTTGTTGGACGAGATGATGCACGGGGTAGTGGTGCTTCACGACGAAGCGGCGCAGATCTTTGGCACGACCCGGATCCCCGTCGACACGTTCTTCCCCCTCTTTAGCTTTGTCCTGTTGCACACGGACCTGCCGTTTGTCCACGCGCAATTGCACCTCCTCGAGCAGTATGCGCTGTGCAACCCCCCCGGCGACTTGAACCCCACTCGCAACGGTGAAGAATCGTATTATGTGTACTGCATGCACGCGGCCGTCGAGCACGTGTGCAGCCAAGTTGTTGGGCCCTTAGACTAACTTATCCGCAACCCCAAACAACCGCTAACCACCGACGAGTTGAATCGTGAGGGTCGGTGGAATATTTTTAACGTAGTTCCAATCTGTTAAGAGATATACCAGTATTTTGGAGTCGCTACCGGGAAATGGAAGCTGCTCGGTAACGTGATTCATGTAATTCCCGACCAGCTTGGCCTACTTTTTGAGTGCCTTAACTCGTCACCCAGTCATGCAATGAGGCTGCGAAAACATGCATTTTGAAGATAGTGACGAGCTTTATAACTTTATGCAGGTCCCATCATTTGTATCGCGTAAGGTCAATTTGCTCGTCGAATTTCTAAGATTGAAATTTCCTTGTGTGAATTCCCGGCCAGTATGTCACTTGAATAATGTATGCCTGATTTGGGTGACAAAATCCTCAAACCTCTTAACGTTTATAATGATATGTATAAAGTATTCAAGTAATTAAATTTAGAAGTGCAACTAATACAAAAACTGTATTACATGTTCGACAAGCAGAATACTAAATCTTACAAGTATGTGATACAAGAGTACATAATTTTGCCCAATCATTGTCCATGGATGATTGTGATTGGCCATTTGCTGACCGGGAATTGGTAATTCAAAGGAAACACAGGTGTTTCCACGTACACCTAATGTTATTAATACTACAGTACTGTAGTAGCATTGAAACATCGATTTTGAAGGTATCTATCATATGTCCCCTACTTTTGAGGTGATTGCTTGGAAAATACTATTACTGTAATAGTATTACTAGTAATAGGTAATGTCGTAACTATTAAAATAACGTTAGTACTGGTATTCACAGGTCAACAGGTTTTCGAAAGAGCTCCAAGCAAACACCTCAAAAGTACAGGGAACAATTTAACGTTACATAACGTTACTCTAAGCTTGATCGTACACTTTTACATAATTGAAAATGTACAGAGGTGCTCCAAGTGGTATTGGTACAATATTTTCAAGGTTGGCTGAATCAATGTAAATTGTCCCATGTGTCTTATTTGAAAATTGGATATAATTGCCAAATCATAAAAAAGAGAATTTCACATCCCGAGATTTGATTGGTTGGATTGATTGCCCTCCGGAAAACGAGAAATTTCAACATGACGCGCAGCGCTCGTGGCGCCAAGGCGGTACCGACATCGTCGGAGAAGTCAAAGCAAAAGGAAAAAGGAGGCGCGTCGACGAAACGGGCTGCGGCGCATTCAGGCAAGTCGCGCCGAAAGGGGACCCTCCCATTTCCCGAGGAAGTCCTTCTCTTGGTACTTCCATACTTGACCTGGCGGGATACCTACCGTGTGTGTGGCGTGTCGCGAACGTGGCAAGCCGCGCATGAAGCATCGCTCAAGCATGCGTCGTTGGTGTGGACATCGTACGTTTTCCAGGGCGATTCGTGGGATGAAATGCTCGACAAGCTGCAGCCGCAAGAGCCCGTGTTCGCCACGCCCTTGGTGCCGCAGATGGCGTGGGTGGTAGTGTCTGGGCAACCGCACACGTTTCGGCGCATGTCCGGGTGGAAGAAGCTGCTTGACGTGATCACGGGCCGGCATCTGCTTCCCGCAACCTGCCAACTCGTGTGCGCGTACAGCGACGCCGGGATGATCGGGCACTTGTCGGGCGAAGGCATTCCTCCGGTTGAACTTCAAGAGGACATGATTGGAGATGGAATGGCAATTGGAATCACCGTGGGGCATCTCCCACATACGTCGGTGACCCTCACGATTCCTGAGAAGGACGAGATCAAGGCCGCTGTGCGGGACATCCAAGCGGCTACGGCACCGAGTGCATGCGCGGGCGTAGGTCTGCCGCACGACACATCATCTGCCATCTTGCTCAGCACAAACTTCCACCAAAGCGTCAACCTCGTCCGCAGTCTCCATTACCTGCACCCGTCCCTCGGCAGCAGCGTCGTCGGCGGCCTCGTGTCCTTCACCGACCGCTGCGTCCCGCTGGTGTACCGGCACAGCTCGTTCGACACGAGCACACGCTCGTGGCAGAGCCATCTCGAGCCAGCCACCAACTTGATCGTAGGGTTCTCTGGACGTGTGCGCGCCACTCCGTTCGTCTCGCTCGGGTTTACCGTCTGCTCCCCGATCCTGCAGGTGCGTCTTCTTCTTTGACTCCTTCCTCGTCATGTGATGATCGTCGTCAGATGGGCTTATGATGATGCTTGTAGTGCGCGGGGAGTGTCGAAGACGAGAGCTTTGAACTGCTGCGCATGTATGACGCCGTCCACGTCGTTGGCCCAACATCGACAACCTCTACCCAAGTAGTCATCGATCCGCTGGAAGTTTTGCGAGACCTGCCGTCGCCCCATGTGCTGCTGCATTTGTATATGGCCGAGTCCGCGGCCGCGTTGGAAACGTTCTTGGCGGCCCCTACCACCATGCTCAGCGGCGGGGTCACGCGCATCGAGGTGATGTGCGACGTCGACAAGGGCATCCTGCTCTCCCACTCGACTGGCGACCCGTCCGACCACTGGCCCGTGGGCAGCTACGGCGTCTTTTGCGCGCAGACGGTGGCGGCGGCGCGGCAGGACTTCCTCGCGTCCCTCCATCACGCCCAAGCGACGGTCGCCGCGGCGGACGGCGTTGCCGTGGGGGCGCTCACGTTTCCATGTGTGGCGCGAGGGTTTCCCTTTTACGAGCACCCGAACGTCGAAGCCGACATGTTTGACACTGTCTTTCCCAACATGCCCCTGACAGGTCAATATATATATATATATATTGTCCTTTTACCCGAAATTTGGACTTTGTGGGCTATCGATGGATTCGTTGTTGTACTGATTTTTGTACGTAAAAGTCGTCTAGTGTCACGGTAATTTCACACTATTTCGATGTTGAAAAAATGGTGGAAGAGTGGATGATTTGATTGGCTACTTGATTCGTGTTGTGAGTTTTGATTGGCTACTTGATTCGTGTTGTGGGTTTTGATTGGCTACTTGATTCGTGTTGTGGGTTTTGATTGGTCGTACTCGGAGTATATCGATTGTCTGCCGATTTGGTGATTCTGGTCATTCAATTCAGCACACTCCAATTTCAAATCGACTTGACAATATATATATATATATATATGCGACGACGAGGTGGAAAGGTGCTGACTGACGTAAATATAATAATATATATGCGATACGGGATGTGTAGGGGTGTTTGTGGGCGGAGAAATCGGACCCGTGGCCATCCCTGGGGGACACTGCCTCGCGTCGGCGCCCGAGGTGCAGCAGCTGACGACCTGCGGAGCATTGTTTTACACTACACCCCTCTAATTCCATGTGCTATTTGTATGACCCAACGACCCAGCACAAATACTAGGCGACCATTAGCAGGCGGTCCACAGGGCGTTGGTGTCCAGCAACGGCCTCTACTTTCAGTCGTCGTCGTGACCTACAGTGTGCACCACCTGACACATGCACGCCCAGGTTGTTGGGGTTCTAGGGCAGGGAATATTGAATCATCCTTGTCCGGCACTCCTGCTGTGACTGTTGAGCTAGGCACCACCTTCCGGAACTACTTACATCCATTTATCGATGAGGATCTACTATTGTACTACGACTAGTCCTCCATCATCTACGCTAACAACGTTAGTATGTATTACTACACCTTTTTGCAGTTAACAGTAATTGGACGAATGCCCGATATATTTGGCCTTGTGCCCGATATATTTGACGGTGTGCCCGATATAATTGGCCATGTGCCCGTTTAATTTGGCACACCGAGGTTGTGTGCCCGATATAATTGGCCGTGTGCTCAAGCAATTGCCCGTCTGCCCGAAGTATTGTGTCATGTGCCCGATGAAAATGGAAATCACGCAATAAAAAGTCAATTCAATATTGTCGATTTGATACAAATTTGGGGAGGGGGTGCCGCCGACTAAATCGATCTGATTGGTTCTTGAATTTCATTGAGAGGGTTTTGATTGGCTAATAATTTTGAGCTAATCTGAGGTAGCCAATTAAATCGATTTAAATTCCAACGAGAAACCACGCCACAACACGAAATTTCACTCGAAAGCACAATACCTAGTATAGAAATGTTCGTTAAACGAAGCACGTTGCTGTAACGTCACATACCAACGCCCATGTTGCCCATGGCCTCCGCGCGTCCGTCGAGGGTGCGTACCTTGAGGTAAATCGAAAAATGGGCTCTGCGCACGACAGATTCAAATTTTGGAGAAAGTTGAAGTATGGACGAAACGTTGAAGTAGAGGGGCAATACTTCAATTGACATTATTATTACCAGAGCTCATGCTGTGCGTTCCTTGGCGATTTGAATCATGAGCATTCAATATGTTGGAGAAAAGCGCGCGCATTGTGAACTTAAACTATACTTTATTCAAGTATAAATTTCGAATTCTTGCCTTCGCGCGTTTTCCTCCGAAATTCAACCACATGATGATTCGACCAAAACTGATTTGCACTCCATGAAATATAATTATTTGAGTTATTCCATTTTCATCGGGCACACGACACAATTCATCGGGCGGTGTGCCAAATTAAACGGGCACATGGCCAATTATATCGGGCACACTGCCAAATATATCGGGCACAAGGCCAAATATATCGGGCATTCGTCCAACTTAAGTGCAAAATGGTGTAGTAACGACGACTTGTACTGCGCCTGCTGTACAGTGAGTAGTGCCCGCCCGATAACGTTCGGGTGTGCATTGGACACTCCAGTAAACTATCTGCGACGACGAGGGACATGGAGATGCTTGGAACGAAAGGGGACGAGATCAAGGGAAGGGGAATCTAAATGGTATTGTTGGGTCTGTCTGTATATAGCACACTGTCGTGTCGTTTCTACGCGGTGGGGGTTTGGGCGCTGACTTCGACGGACGCCGTGACCAAGTCCCGGAGGATCTCGCAGAGGCGCTTGTGGTTGTACACGCGCTTTTCGTACCGGTCTTCCGTGAACTTGAAGAGCTTTTTGTTTTTGTTGTAGCGGGGCCCGCACAGCTGGATGAAGATCTCCTTTTGCGCGTCGGTCAACGACAAGCTGCTCAGCGGCACTTCCATCGTCACCTTCGTGTCGTACGTGGTCTGGTCGTCCAAGAACAGCTTGTTGTCGAAGTCTTCCAACGTCACGTTCATTTGCATGGCGATTTTCGACCCGTCCAACAGCGGGTGGATTGTCGACTCCCACGATCGGTCCATGTACGGCACGAGGTCCTCAAACACTTGGAGCATCTCCACCTCGTGCTTCATGTCGTCCGTGAAGCCTTCGGGGAAGTCGGTCTCCCACCAGCTCGGGTTCTCGAACTTTTCTTCGATTTCGGGCAAATCGTTGCCTTCCCACGTATCAAACGCGGTGTGGAACACGCGCTCCACGTCGCCTTCCAACGGGTCAAAGCCGTCGCTGCCGTCGTCGTTCTTCTTTTGATATGTGGCAAACCCGCGCATGGCATACATCGAAGGAGCAGGAGCAACCTGCATCTTTTGGACAGCCTGACGGCCCGCTCGTTGCAGCGCAGCGCGGAAGGCCATGGTAAAATGCAAAAACGCAGTTGACACCAACCGTTTGACGTCCAAGACTGTCACTTCAAGTGACCTTTCATAAATGATACACTTGTGATAATGCATATTTCTATACAATGCATAAGATTCACAGTTAATATCCTGTTTAATATGATATTTACATAAAAATACCAATCAGATTGCCGTACGTCACACAGGTGTACATTTTAGCCAATCATACGTAATGAAATCGTTTTGGCCAATCAAAACGACACAAATCAGCTGCAGCAACGGATTTCACTTCCGACAAATCCCCAGTTGCGGCCATGAGCGAACCCGATGATCTGTTCACGCTGAAGAACCAGTTCTGGGTCGGCAACTACCGCAATGCCATCCAAGAAGCTACTGTATTGAACCACGTGTCCGAAGCGACCAAGCTGGACCGGGACATCTACGTCCATCGATCGCACCTCGGCCTGCGGAACTATGCCGCAGTTTTGTCGGCGATCCCTGACGACGTCGCGTCCATCTCATTGAACGCTATCAAGTTATATGCTACGTACCTAAACGGAGGGGATGCAGAGATCACGTTGCTTACCGTGCGTGAGTGGCTTGGCTCGCAACACAGCGAGAATCCTCACTTGCTCCTCGTCGCAGGGTTGATCTTCATGCGAGAACACAAATTCTCCGACGCCCTTTCCGCCTTCCTTAAGGGAAAGACCTTGGAGCACTCGATGTATGCCGTGCTCATCTATCTCAAGATGGATCGCGTAGACCTCGCGGAGAAGCAAGTGGGGGACATGAAACGCATCGACGAAGACGCGACGACGACGCAATTGGCGCTCGCATGGACGTTGGTTGCCCGAGGCGGGAATGCATGCGATGAAGCGGCTCTCCATTTCCAGGAACTTGGTGATCGATTTGGCGCGTCAGCGTGGCTGTTGAACGGTTCTGCCGCCGCGTTCATGGGCCTTGCCAACTTTGCCGAAGCCGACCGATTGCTGCTGGAGGCCGTGTCCAAGGACCCGACGTTCGAGGACACATACGTCAACTTGATTGCGACGGCGCAGCACCTGAAGAAGGGCCAAGACACGATCCAGCAGTACCTCGCGCAGCTGCAGCAAGTCGCCCCCACGAACGCGTGGCTGGAGTCGTACTTGCGCTTGGAGAGTGGCTTCAACCGCCTCGCGGCCACGTATGTATAGACAGGCACTGACTAATATGTACGAACCACGTCATTCGTCTCTCGAATACGATGATGGCCCAATTCTATGTCGAGTTAGTTATTACCACATACTTCCTCTGTTCCAGGTTTTTACTTTGAAAGGGAATTGCATGAATTTTCGCAAAAGATTGGTTTATAATCAGCGCTTAAATCTATTGTAAGCCAATGAAATGTCATAGAAGTCATAAATATTGATAGAAATTGAAGAATTACAGCCAATGAAATGCAAATGTCGCCAGTAACTTGGATTTTGAAATGTCGGCAGTAACCTGGAACAGAGGAGAGTACGTGGTAATGGAAACGGGCTTGGCGCTACTACTTATTACTACTGGATATGAGCAATAATGAGAAGGACGTAGTAGCGGTAACTTTGAAGGATGAAAAACTCAATGTACAGTACGTCTGTGAGTGGTACAATCAATCAATTGGAAACTACAGTAGTACTTCTTTGTATAGGTTGCATGAATGGGACATTTCAACGTGTGAAACTATGTTCGTCAATAGAAATCGGACCGACGGCGGTCCCCGAGCTGCATCTGCATGCGCCCTGCACCAGCCAGTCGCTTGGACGCGGGGGCGATGTTGCTAGTGGACTGCGTCAGTTTGCCATTGACGTACTCGTCCGACTTTGTTTCAACGCGGCCATCCGCGTGGTGGATGGTGGACGTTGTCTTTGTGACCACTTGACCGTTGCGATCGCGGACGCTTGAGGAACTGCTGGACGTGCTGCTGCTGAGCATCATACCATTGCCGAACGAACTGGAGCTCATAACGATGTTGCCAAAGCCCCCAAACCCACCAAAGCCACCAAAGGCACTGCCACCCATGTGAGAATCGTCAAACAGATCGTCCAACATGCTTCCACGGGTAAAGGGGTCAGATCCGCGAGACCTGCGTTGATGCATTTGCGCAAATGGGTCGTCGCCGCCGAAAAACGCGCGAAACAGGTCTTGAGCGTCGAAGAAACTGAACGGTTGGAAAGTGTCGTCCGTGTAAAACGCCGCAGTCGAACCCCCTCGCCCCCCCCGCGACCCTGGACGACCGTTCCCGTATTTTCGAGCATAGTCGTACTCGTCCCGCTTGGTCTGGTCGCTCAACACCTGATACGCTTCCCCGATCTTCTTGAACATGCCTTCAGCCTGGGGATCTTTGTTCTTGTCAGGGTGCCATTTGATCGCCAGCTTGCGGTATGCCTGTTTGATATCATGATCGGTGGCCTGCTCTCCCACCTGTAGGATCTCGTAGTAGGTCGCCATGATGCCGTCGAGTTGGGCTTGGCGGGGGCTTTTCTAAAATTACACCCCGTCCCACTTCAACTTGGTTTCGAGAAGTTTCGACGAAACTTAATGATTTCCGGATAAACCTTGCAAAATCCAATACTGTCAAATCCTGATAAATGAATTTCGTTTCAGAATTTGCAGAATAAATAATGTGACTTATTTATTTCTCATATTGTGATTGACATGACATCGCTAACGGACGACACGTCCATCTCGGGCTTGCTGTCACGCATGACATCATTCCGCTTGTAAGATCTATGCTGTATGACAAGCTCCTTAACGATGCAGCTAGCTCGCTGAACGATTCAGAAGGCTCCCAGGCCACGGTAGCTGCAGGGCCACCTCAAATTCAGCAAGAGATTCACTTGAAGGTTGCGCTTGTGGGCGGGAACGGCGTGGTTGGTCCAAGTTGATGTCATGAGCATCCGCGTTATGGATGTATGCGTAGGGGAAGTCGTCGATTGTCCGACGATGGCTCAAACGACCATACCAAGCGGCGTACCATCCGACGATTGGGGTCGACGTGCACACGATCAAACACAACAAGAGGGGAAGCAATGCGAAGGAGCGTCCGATCACGTACGTGGACGTGTGGGACGTGTCTTTCGTCGAGGTAGACAGTCCTGCGTTCCACGAACTGCTGTGCGACGGCCTCGACGGCATTTTCTTCGTGTTCAACGTCCATCGCGTGAGCTCCATCGCCGCCGTGGATGCATGGCTGACCAACTTGGGCAAGTTCGTGTCATCGTCTGAGATTCCGTTTTACCTGCTCTCGCACAAAGCCGACATGCTCCAGAAACGTGTCATGACGAGCGACGACATCGACGCTTACGTCCGGGTTAGTACAGATCAACCTGTTCGACATCATGCTGCGCTTCGCTCGTTCCGTGATGACAATGTTAAGTTATCTCGTGTTATTTCAACAGACGGCTGGGTTCAAGGGGTGGTGCTGGACGGTCGGTCGCGGCGGCCTTGGCGAAAGCGACAAGAGTCCCGCTGTCTTGGAAGCGCTCGATACGATGGTACGTACGCCATGCTCTTTCCCCGTGACTGCTGAATGAATATGACTCGGACGCTTGTGCTTGTAGGTGGAGTTGATCTGTGAAGGGAAATCCCCCGACGAATTGCTGCGGCCGTCTCCCCCTCCTCGTGCTGTACGTCGTCACCGAGTGGATAGCATGGAGCGATTATGATTGTGTGCCGCACATGTATAGGAAGACATCATGCCGCCCATCGTGCCCAGCGTCGTGGCCGTGCCGTCGTCCGTGGATGCCCTCGTGTGTGTCCCCACCCACGCCATCACGACCCTTCCTCGCCACAACAACGCCGACGCTTCTACTTCTCCCCAAGACATTATTAATCAAAGGCAAAGTGTTGAGTTTGGCGCCGAGTGGATGTTTGGCGACCACAAGGGGCAGTACCTCGTCATGAAGTCAAGGGAATCCATGGACATGATCGTCCCACACGATTCATCCTCCGACGTCGAAGTTACGCCCGCCCCCTCCTCTCACAAGAACGACGAAGGCGGCGACAGCGAAGACGACGACGGCTGGCGGTTCTTTGCCGGCAGCCTCGACCGCGTCAAGACCGAACGACTGCTCAGGTACATACATGCATGCATACAGCGTCATGGCTGACTGAAGGAGATTGGAGTAGCAAGCATGGAGAAGGGGCGTTTCTAGTCCGGCGGAAGGATGCGCGGACGCTCGTGCTGTCGTATCAGGGCGACCACGACGACGCCCACCACGTGCTGCTGGCGTACCACGACGGAAGGTACTACGTCGGTGGCGCCCCGATTCCATCCTCGTCTTCCCGACACAACGTACGTGTGTACACCAACCCCATCGCGGCAGCATGTAGTGTAGTTGAGTACGTTGTGGCTAGCCATCCCCATCGACCGCCCCCGCCCCCCCCCCTCCTTCGTTTTCATCCCTCGCCAAGTGCATCCGCAGCGTGCGCAAGTACGCGTACAGAGGACTGACGTTCCAACGCACCCCCGCACGATTTCAAGTGGGCAAACCGGCCACGATGGACGTGCAGCCGCCCCCTCCCGCGGCCCCGTCGTCGTGGACCCCATCCGAAGATACCACCACGACCCAAATGCATGCCCCCCAGACCCCCGTGGACGTGCCGCCCCGCCAGCGCCTCGAAGACATGACAAGTCAGTTTTACACGCGGGTGCGGCACCGTTTGGACGCCCTCGAGCGGTCGGCCGTCGTCGGTATAGTCTCTTGTTATTGTATTTTGACATTACTGCCGCTGACGGAATATGGCTACTAACTAGACTCGGCGCAGCTGGACGAATTGCGACAGATGGTACCAAGCACAATGATATATATATTTGTACGAAACTGGGGTCACGAGTTGGCTTGATGGGTAGGTAGAAGTGGACAGCCAACAAGGCAAGAACAACCAAGCCACCGTAGAGCGACTGTGGAGGACGTTTGTTAAGGACATGGACGTGTGGACTCAAATCTTGGCCACGCTGGTACGTAACCAACGACATAAATTTAGCCGACGGAGGTGGTGTGAGCTGGGAACGTGATAGGAGACCCCGTAGCCATCCAAAGGGACAACATGCACCGCCAGCCAGCCCATCAAAGTCCATATAATGATTGAAAACAAAACAGAGGGATATAAAGAGAATTGGGGATTCCCCCTCCACAAAGTACTCGCAAGGCTAAATGAAGTTATAAAGTCAATTGACAATCTTCAAGCTATATCTTGGCTTTACTTTATCTTTAGTTTTAATTTATAAAAACAAAACTACTAACCCCCGACGGATATTTGTATTTTTGTCTTATAGTATATATATGGCAGAAATACAGAAATAGTTAGATTTTACATTTCTTAGCTGTAAACAATAAGTTTACGATTCAGGGGAAGGTAAATTCAACAATTTAACACTTATAATGTTGTGCTTCCAGTAAATACACATTATGAATTCGCCAGAGAACTGTAAACTCGTGGTTACAATCGTTTTGCATTACTAAATGGGATAAATTTCCCAAGTACAAGTTTATTCTATAAGGGTGCGTCTGGTAACATTTCAAAAATAATATTCCATTTTCTCGAAAAATGGGATTAACCAAAATGCAATTTTCAAAATGGAGGTAAAATGTCCATTTTGTAATGTGGTGTTTTGGACCTCTTCAACGAGTAAATCCCACGTGGAATTATTGAATTTCGGTTAAAACTCTTCAAGCAAGACATGTTTCAATTTTGATCAGATATGTTGAATTCGGCCCCAAAATGGCGTTTTGGGCCTGAATATTGCAATATATCCGTTTACCAGACGCACCCTAAACTAATTGGTTTTACTCCAGATGTTTAACATATAATGGCGGAGCTGTAGTAGCTATATCATACATTATGTTAGTAATTTTACGCCTCAATTATCACCAACTATTAATAGTAAGCTGTATTATTGCATTTACAGTTAATCCATTAAGTTTAAATGGTTCGAACAACTATTATAAATACTTTCACAAACAAAGGAACTATTACCGGAGGAACCATCATTGTTGAGCCAAACGAGACGATATGGTTCGATATTAATGCCGAATCTGTTTCGTCAATTGTAGTTGAATTGTTTGATCAAGAATTTTCGGCTTCAAATGTCCGTGATCATCCAGATATTACATTTATAGTTCCTTATCAGGGACAATCCTACTATATAGTAATTTAAATTTTTATATATCCTTATATATAGAAACAAATATGAGACTAACTTAAATAGAAAACAGGCAAGCACGATCATTTTTAAGATTGATAGATATAAAAACATCTAAACCTTCAGCTGATACATCTGAATCAGATGACTCAAATATAAAAATAATGGATAATATGCTCCAAAATTTAACGACAGGCTCAGGTATTATGAAAATATTACTAACAGTAAACTAATATATGTGACGTTTGGCCAAGAATAGTTAGTATTCAATTTATTTAGAGCAATTTGATAATTCTTAAGATTTGCACCATTGTTTATTGGAAGGTAACTAACGTTTATTATAAAGCGGCTGATTTACAGCTCAATTGAAGGTATTACGAAGCTGATTTAGATTATTACAGTACTACGTAGTACTATTTAGAAAAACTGAACTGAGACCCGTGCATAACGATATACGGCAAAAGTTTTTGCTCCAGAACTTTCTCGATCCGATTGGCTACGCTGCATTCCACGGAGTTTGATTGGCTATCCAAGTTGAAGTGTACCAAAAGCGATAGGTTTTGTTGTTTTGAAAGCTAATGCGTCACGGCCAGCAAGAACGAGCGGCGACCACCTCCCAGCCAAGTTTCGAAGCTCGCACACTCAAGACAGCCGTCCACGCCCCATCCACGGTACCACCCCCTCCGATCCCTGCCGTTCTTGTCGGTCTGGGCCGACCAAACCAGAAGTTGGACAAGTTTCGAGAGAGCGTCAACTATCTGAATTCTCTTGAAGCGGATGAGGATGCGCCTGGTAACGTTACTCCAATTGTCTCTCCTTCGTTGCTGTGTTCGTGTCTGATGAATTTTGCGTAGGTGCTTACAAGGCACGAGCCCATCCCAACCTCGGTGGTCTGCTCGTCGCACGATGCATCGCCCGGACGCAGCTCGCCAATTTGGACCCGACTCGTCTGGTCTTAACCCTCGTTGCGTGTGTCGACTGCAAGTCGGCGTGTGTCCAGGAGCATGGTGCGTTGTGTACTCGTCATTCCTTCCTCCACCCCTCCACTAGACTGCTTCTGTCTCTTCGTCTTCGAATTTTCGGACTCGCCACCGCATAACGCTGTCACGGTGCGTTACACATGCCAGCTCGATGCGCAAGTCGGTGCATACGGCGGCGCCAGTGGACTCGCCACTGTTCGGGCCGACTGCTCTCGTCGTTTCATGTCAGCAGTGCCGTGGTCTCCCGCACCAAATGTGACGTGGACGCCGGGGGATGACACTGGCTATCCCTTGGTACTCGGCCCGGGGTTATGCCCCGCCCCATTCCTCATCGTCGAGCACGAGTGGAATCACCGTCCTGCGGCGGCCCTGGTCCACCTCGGGCGCACCTACGCTTTGGAGCCACAATGTAAAGCCATTGTCCTCAGCAAGATTTACAATCGTCGGGTTGGAACTGGTAGATTCGCTGGGTTTGTACTCGTGCTCTTGCGCAACGTGAACGGCATGTACGTCCACCAGTTCCTTTCCTTCGGTACGGCTCCGCTTGATGCAGTGGTGATTCGGAGCATCCGACGCGCGCTGATCGAACCACACACAGCGCTGGGGCATGCGGTTCCGACCATCCAATTGACACCTCATGGCACGGTCGGCGTCGACGTCGGCCAGCCACCAGTGCCACTCGACAACCACCTGGGTGTGTCGCCGCGTGAATTGCTCTCCGTGGAGACACATCCCGATCGTGTGGTTCGACGCGTCTCCGACAATCAACTTGCGACGTGGACGTGGTCTGAGCCACCCCCCCTTCCCATGTCCATCACAATTCCTGGTGGGCTCATCCCTGTCGTGCACGGTATGGCTGACTTTCCTGGCGACAAACCAGTGCCAGCGCCACCCAACTTCCAAGCGCCACCGCTCATCATGATCGACCTGATGGCGATTGTCATGGCCCACGGTCGAGCCACACCATATGCAAACTAGATTGTTTCTACCAACCACCTCGTTGGTTAGACATTCGAAGGTTTGAAATCGAATTTTCCCTCGATTTACACTTGCCGAAACTCAAAAACAATTCGGATGGATAAACCAAGAAAGAAGCATCTCCCAAGAAAGTGCGATCTTGGTAAATTGCTCATGCGGTCACCTGACAAAGTATCGGACGATGAAGACAACGAGTTTCAAGAAGACCCAGAGGAAAAGTAGAAACTTATCGGAAAGTCATATTTAGTTTAGTTAAAAAAAGAAATAAACAGGTGTAGCGTGAATTTGTTGATTCTTCCTAACCTGGTGCGCGGTGGTGAAATTTAAATATAAACATCTAGATAACGTTACTTGGTCTTTTTGTAATTCTGTCTTGGACATCTTTGGTCGGAGGGTATACTATAGTATATGATGTCTGTATGTCTGTATTTCTGCCATATATATACTATATGACAAAAATACAAAATCCGTCGGAGGTTAGTAAATTTGTTTTTATATATTGAAACTAAAGATAAAGTAAAGCAAAAATATAGCTTGAAGATTGTCAATTGACTTTTTAACTTCGTTTAGCCTTGAGAGTACTTTGTGGGGGGAGAATTCCCAATTCTCTTTATATCCCTCTGTATTTTTTATTGATGGGATTTAACCTTGTAAATGCGATTGATTAGCGCCATCTTTGAATAGAGTCATGCTTTCCTTGATATTTGGATTATTCAGAGGAATGGGCACCTTCGTCGACTATTCCGTTGACATGGACTAACTAACAATAACGTAAATGACCAATTTATGATCACTCCTATTGAGCCAATCACATCGCGGTATATTTTGACTAGAAAGCCTCCAATAGATTATACTGCTTTACCTCGATACGTTACACACGCTAGCCATGCCGAATCATCCGGACATTCGACTTGAAAATGGGTAAGTTAACCTAAAATTGTTAATTGCTCATCATGGATAGTATATTAATACTGTACTCCGGAGTAGGTGCTTGTCAGGGAAATCACAGGTGTCGACGACGACACAGACCTACCGTATTCCCCATCTACCTGTACCCAATCATTATCCTCCTTGCCCCAATACTTTCACGCGCGCTGATGCCATGGCTGTGCGCATCACAGGCACTCAGCAACCGAGACTACAGTTATGTACTAGTACTCTGAAACGTTAGCCTAAGCTTACCTGTCCTAAAATGAAACGATTGGAACAAGTTATCCGGACCATGTGTTGGAACTGTCCCACCAAATATTCTTGAAATACATAACCTTGTAAAACTATACAGTACCTGACCATAATGAATACCCTATCCATACAATTTGTATGCATCATGGCATACACAGTTCAAGCTTAATAAAGTGCTCATAAATTGATCCTCAAAAATAGAGTAAACTTGCTTGGAAAGTCGGCTTTTTATATTAGAAGTACATCTTGAAATGTAATAATTCGATTATGAAGTGAAAGCTGTTGTTAACAGTTAGAATCACTTCACAAAATGTGAAAAGCCATCCTGTGAGCGGATATACGCGAATTCTACGGTGACTACTCCGAAAAAGTGATCATAAATTGGTCATTTACGTTGACACTAAAGAACTTTTTAATTGCTCCGGAGTATACAGGGAATGACGTATTAAACGCCCCCGTGGTACTAAAATTTCGTATTGATTAAAGTATTGAAATTTCGAAGTAGTTTGTCCCAATACACAATTGAAATGCCAATTCGAAGTACCACGGGGGCGCTTAATACGTCATTCCCTGTATGTATCACTGAAGAACTCTCGGATTATGTCATTCGTCAATTCGATTCTACTAGTACATTGGAGTGGGATGCTACTGTAACTGTCCATCGAATGAGAGCATCTCCAACGGTAAATTCTAACCTATTGCTAAAGCATAGGTTAAAGTCAAACTTCGTTTTTACGGTTGCTATTTTGGCACTATCCGGACTTTTTAGAAATTTCGACTCGCAGAATTTCTATTTTCGCGTGAAATAGCAACAAACCCTCCGGATAGTGCAAGAATTTCTATTCTATATCCGTAACTTCGAATTGAAATAGAAATAAAAACACCGTTGGAGATGCTCTAACTTATTGCTAAAGCATACTACGTAGTAGTTAGCTGTAAGTCAAACTTCTTTCTTACGGTTGCTGTTTGCCATTATCCGGACTTTTTAGAAATTACATCCCACAGAATTTCTATTTTCGCAACAAACCCTCCGGATAATGCAAGAGTTTCTATTCTATATCCGTAACTTCGAATTGAAATAACGTTATATAATAAATAAAAACACCGCCGAGACGGTGAGCAGACCAAATTGGCAAGACAATCAATCGACCAATCATAATGCAGTACACCCATCAAGTAGCCAATCATATTCCCTCTTCAACCTTGAAACATGAATTGATGTTTGAAATTCGGGTGAAGGGAGGCGACACTTTTTCCATACAAAATTCAGTACAAAAATCGATCGACGATTCAGCACCAAAGTCCAAATTTTGACTGTGAAATGACAATTCTGTACTGGCGGGGACGGCCGTTCCAACGAAACGGATGAAACCGCACCCTCCAAAGTTCCGCAACATGCCGTCGGACGTTCCAGCAGCAGCGGAGGCCGGCGGCCTTGTGGCTTCAAACAAGCCGCCGCTTCTGTCGACGTGGGAAGTGGTTCTGCACTTGCTCAAGGGCTGCATCGGCGCGGGGGCGCTGTCGCTTCCCTACGCGTTTGCCAAAGTGGGGGTTGTCGCCGGCCCCGTGCTGTACCTTGGCGTGGTGCGTCCTGCTCCAAGTCCCGTTGTGTGCGTTATTCATACATTGTTTTCTTAAGGTGGTTATATGCATTTACAACATGGACTTGTTGGTACATTGCAAGCAAAAAGTGAGCGCGGACGGCATGTCGTTTGGCGACGTGGCCCAACATATCTTGGGGAGGCGAGGCAAGACCATCGTGAACGTGTTCCTGGTGACCACCCAGCTGAGCTTTTGCTGCGTCTACTTTACGGTCGTGGCCACGAACCTGCATGCGATCCTGCCGTCGAGGTACCGTTATGCAGTACAGATATATCCTGTAGAGGTGTTCATTGAAATGGTGGGATATTTAGAGTGGCTCAAGACTTTCACGAACGCCAGCTCATCTTGCTCGTGTTCCCAGTCGCCCTGGGCTTGTCGTGGATCCGCAGTTTGCACCACATCACGCCATTTTCAGCCCTTGGTACAGCCATGTTCGTACGCTGTGATCGCTATCAACCCTCATGTTGTAGCGAATGGCGCCATGTTTTTGGGTATTGGCATCGTGTTTTACTACTCTGCCACGTACGTGCCACCCACCCCCGTGCCGCTCCCGACTGCCTGTAGCTGGACCAGCGTGGCCGAGTTTTACGGTAACCCTTGCATTCGTACGACGCTGTGTCGCATGATACGTGTAGGCACGGCCGTGTACAGTTTTGAAGGCATTGGGCTGGTGCTGCCACTGGAGAAGGACATGCAGGACAAGGACCGCTTCCGTCAAGTGTTGCGGTGGACCATGTGGTTCGTCTTGACGCTGTTCTTGTGCCTTGGGGAACTCCCCGTGCTCGCATTTGGGGTCATCGACAACGGTAGCATGACTGCGGTGCTGCAGCAATACGTTCCAGGATGGCCCGTGGCGTTGGTACGAACGACTAGAGGAGAATCCGACCCGTGTGTACGACTCACGAGGGGAGGTGGTTCTATCGTAGGCGAACGTGCTCTTGGCTATGGCGTGCCTGTTTACATTCCCCATTCAGCTCTACCCGGCGCTGGAAGTGCTCGAGAAGTTGCTCCTGCGACATGGGTACTTCACCCCCAGCATTCACTCGTACGATGACCTGGCTCCACTGCCCGTGACGCAATGGCTGTTGCACAACAAGTCCACTGCGAACTCTCCTGGGACGTCGCCGACACCGCAAGTGTTGGAGGATGCGTTGAAGCACACGACGCAGTACGAAGTCCGCCGCACGATGTTTCGATCCATGCTGTGCACGACACTCATGCTTGTGGCAGTGTGTGTGCCCAATGTGGGACTGCTCATTAGCCTGTTTGGGGCAGTGGGGTCCAGCATGTTGGCAGTAATCATTCCTCCAATTCTGTACGTCACGCTGGAGCAAGCCAATCTGTCGTGGTTTTCGTGGACTTTGCACATGCTTGTGGTTGGTGGTGGCCTTGTCGGTATGGTGGCTGGGTCAGCTCAGGCCATCGCAGACATTGCTGCCACCTTCCATTGACATCCTGACGGTGCACTCGTTGAAGACAGGCACTTGATGGTAGTGAAACGCCTCGTCCCACAACCGGCCAATCGGAAGGCGCCAGCAATACAATTCCGTTTAAGCTTGCCAGTTTTGCACATATAATTTGTACGAACATATACATATATACAGGATTTTGCAGGTGAAATGTGGATTTACAGGATAATGCAAATATCAGTTGTTGAAGTGTATTCTATATAAGATTCACCAACTACGACCAGTTTTCTTCACTTTGTCAGTTTTTGGGGACCAAAATCGGCCGAGGATGATGGTGGCGAGTTGGATCAGTGCGATGGCCTGCCTGTTGGCGGCGATCAACCAAGTGGCATATGCAGATGTCGAAACCCACGAGGTATGTGCAGTTGCATGACGAGGAGGACGGTGTTTTGACATACTCCATGACGTTATGCAGTACGAGCCGAAGGACGAGGTGGTCGCATGGGTCAACAAGATCGGGCCATTCAACAACCCGCAGGAAACGTATACATACAATTCACTTCCGTTTTGCAAGGCTGATGGTCTCGAGCTGCCGGAGGCCCATGCGTTGGGCATCGGTGAGATCCTGGAAGGCAATGAACTGTTCAATTCCGGCATGCAGTTGCAATTTGGCGTCGATTCGCCCAAGACGACGTTGTGCTCCCAGGTGTTTTCTGGCACGGAAGCGCAGAAGTTCATCGATGCCGTGGACGAGCATTATTGGTACCAGATGAGCGTGGACGACCTGCCCGTGTGGGGCCTCGTCGGCCGCGTGGTCGCGGCCGACGACGACCCCGACATCCTCAACGAGGTACTAGCCAGTCCCTCGAGCGTCCTAGCGTCGTCATATCGTTCTGGTAGTTCTCCGTTGGCGACCGCTTGATCTACACGCACAAGCGCTTTAGCATTTCACACAACGGGCCCAACATCATCCATGTCAACTTGAGCTACGCCGAAGTCGCGACGACTATCCAAGCCAACAAGTCTGTGTTTCATCCCTAAGTTATCCACTGACTGGGCCCCCGTAGGAAGATCGAATTCACATACGAAGTGACGTGGACGCCGACGTCGATTGAGTTTGACGATCGCTTTGATCGGTACTTGGAAGACGAGTACGTGATACCTGTTTGTCTTCCTCGCCAACCCTTTGTGACTAGATTCTTCGAGCACCAGATCCACTGGTTCAGTATCTTCAACTCGTTCATGATGGTCATCTTTCTCTGCGGCCTCGTGGCGCTCATCCTTCTGCGCACGCTGCGCCAAGACTATGCCAAGTTTGCCGCCGACGACGACGAGCTGCTGCTGGAACCCGGGCAAACCAGCTCCATGCTCAAGGACGAGGGGTCTTCCGGGTGGAAACTCCTCCATGGGGACGTGTTCCGCGCGCCGCGACACCTGCTTCTGTTCTGCGCGCTCCTGGGCACAGGCGCCCAGTTGCTGGTGCTGACATTCCTTGTGATTGTCATCTCAATCGTGAGCTCTCTCTACATGAAGCCCGGCGGCGTCGTGTCGGTGGGCTTGACATGCTACGCGCTGTCGTCGCTCGCCAACGGCTGGGCCAGCGGCGCATCGTACCATCAGTTCTTCTACCCCCGGGTATCGAAAGACTGGATCAAGGCGATGCTGCTCTCGGCGGGGTTGCTGCCGTCTGTGGTGTTTGTCTCAATCTTCTTGATCAACTTGACGTCTATTGCGTACGGCACCACGTACGCCATCCCGTTCGTGACCATCGTGCAAGTGATCCTCGTCTGGTTCTTTGTGTCGTGCCCGCTGTCGGTACTCGGGACGATCTTGGGCCGCCACGGCGCCGCCAAGCGCGGGTTCCCTTGTCGTGTCAACAAGTTCCCGCGGGAAATCCCCCCCGCGCGGTGGTACCTTCGCCCCGCCGTACGAGCTAGCCACACGTATTTCTTGCACCTTGTCACACATAATGTCGTAGGTACTGGGGCTGCTCACGGGGGTGCTGCCGTTTGGGTCGATCTTCATCGAGATGTACTTTATCTTTGCCTCGTTTTGGAACTACAAGTTCTATTACGTGTACGGGTTTATGCTGCTTGTGTTTGTGATCCTGTCGATTGTGACACTGTGCGTGACGATCGTGTGTACGTACTTTCTCCTGAACGCGGAAAACTACCACTACCACTGGACGTCGTTCTACGCCGCGGGCAGTACGGCGCTGTACGTGTTTGTGTACTCGGTCTACTTTTACTTTTGCAAGACGCACATGTCGGGGTTCCTGCAAACGAGTTTCTACTTTGGCTATATGTACGTTCCGATATATATATATATATATATATATATATATATATATATATATAGTCGTCGCTTGAAACGTGTGGTGGTTTTACTAGGGCGCTGTTTTGCTTTGCATTTTTCATCATGTGCGGGACCATTGGGTACTTTGGCAGCAGCGCCTTCACCAAGAGAATATACAGAAACATCAAGGTCGAGTAGACCCAGTCCAGGACGTCCGGCATGCGACAACGTTTGGACTCGAGCCACTGTAGCCAAGCACGTCCGATCGATCGCGGATAACCCAACATATTATTTGCACATTCCGAAATGTCTTCAGGAAATGGCAGAAAATGGCCGTTTTTCGAAGAAAAGTTGCCAAAATCGAACGATTCCTTTTTTCCTGAATTTGTCCACTAAAGTTCAAAACTTTTTGGCACAATTTCCTTGAGAATCGGGGGTTTTATGGCATAAAAAAATGGACCGATTACATGGGATACTAAAGACTTATGGGACAGAATTTAATTTTAATACCAACCTTGGATACTATGGTTAATACAATATAATTGTTGAATCAAAGCGTGGATGACATTGGGATGAAATTGGATGAAGCTGTGGGATGAAACCTAAAGTAGTGACCAAGCCTTGCGTTGGCCCCGTCTGCGCAAGCTTGGATGACACATGATCATATCACGGATATTTGAAATCCATATAAATAATGCGAAGTATGTGAGAAAAATTGCAGACGGTTTATTGTGCTTTCGAGTGAAATTTCGTAACGTTATTGTGGTTTCTCGTTGGAATGTAAATCGATTTGATTGGCTACTTCAGAAGAGCTCAAAATTATTAGCCAATCAAAACCTTCTCAATGAAATTCAAGAACCAATCAGATCGATTGTGGATCGATTGCACCCAAATTTGTATCAAATCGACAATACACTGTAGTATGGCATAATTCTATGGGGTGGTGGTATCCAGACCAGCCCTAAAAGTAGTCGCTGATATCGGCTGCTGCCGTCGGGTCGTAGGCCATGATGGCCAGCGCATTCTCAGACGTGGCGAGTGTAAAATGATTGCGCCCTTGGTCCAGCACAGTCTGGAGCGACGCGTCCAGTAGCTTAGGCAGCTGCACGAGTGCCCGCAGCGTGTGGCTAGCGTGGGGGGTGACGAGGTGCGAGTCGGCGTGGATGCTGAGCAGCCCCAAGTAGATGCGAAACATGCGGGGCCAGCCCCCCTGGAAGAACTCGTCGACGATGATACCTCTGGACGCCGGGGACAGTGACGGTTCGTTGAGGAAGAGGCTCATGATCCATCCAGACGCGAACATGTGCGGGTGGATGCGATGTGTGCGCAGGCATTTGTGGAGGGATGGCAGGTGCAGCCGCATGAGGTTGTCCAGTTGGTGCAGGCGGGTCTTGGTGCCGGGCAGATCTGGCAGAGTAAACACACTCGCCATGTCGTAGTGCTGCATAGCGGACGCAAACATGTGAAACGAAGCCACTTCGTCGTACCCTGCGCACGTGAGCACGGTCGCGCCGAGAAATGTCATGCCGTGGCAGTACCCGACGACCGGATCCAGCTGGCAGTAGGCTTGGAGGACCCGCGTGAGTTTGGCTTGGAGGGCGGAGAGGGTCGCAACATCGTGGTCCGTCGCGAGGAGGTCGGTGCCCAGACGAACGGTAGCAGCAAGAGAAGAGGCGGCGGGGTACATTTGCTCGGCCTGGACAAACGTCGTGCGCGCCACGTCGGCATGGATGGCGCGATGGAATCGATTGTGTTTGTCAAGCATTGCCCGCTCCAGCAACGTGTGAAAACACCAGCGAGGTGCTGACGACGAACAACGTCGTGGGGATAGATTGGACTGGAAGGGAGCTAGTTGTTTGTTGGTTGTGTCACGTGTTCTTGTGTGAGCGTCAATCGCATGCCGCCAGAAACACATGCGAACATGGGACGATCGAATCGAACGCGATACGAGTTGGTTGGCGGCGACCACGGCGTTCCAGGCCTTGGACACGATGAGGCAGTGCCACGCGATGTCCCGCGTCGACAAGTACGCGCACACGTGCACGAGCACGCGGGAGACGCAGACCGACGAAGGCGCTTCGAGGACATGGAGCTCCTCCACCAGCAGCGACACGGCGTTTTGGCCCGCGGATGCCACCGCAATGTGCAACATGTTAAGCTTGGCGAGGATTTTAGCGACGATATCGGGAGTCGGCCGCACCAGCAGCTCAAAGTCTCGCACGAGAATGTCCATGGAGCTGAGCTTGACATTGGCCTGCGCAATGCTATTCCACGCGCGAGACCGAACGCTGTTTTGCTGACACTTGTCCAATCGGTTTTCCAATCGGGCTAAGTGACGGCTGTACTCGGCGGTGTTCGTCATGTGGAGCTCCTTCTCCACTGGATTAGCGACACTATGACTGTATGTACGCGTCGTGTATACTACCTTGGTTTGGTGGTGCACCTTATGCGCAGTCGCGATGTCTGCGTTCTTACTCACGTACAAACTTCGATGGAATCGCACGGTGATGTCGTCCATGGCCCTATCGCTGGCCGACTGATGGACGTTGTATTAGCACCCCGGTTGCGGAAAGATGACGAATGAATTTGTGTACATCGTGGACATTATGATTTACCTTGGTGTTAGATTGGACATCGACTGTTGTGGGGACCAACGACGGGTACGTCGACACGTACAACTCGTGGTCGAGTTTGTACTTTTTGATGGCGCGCTCGTTCGCAACCGACATGTGCGACGGATGTGATGGCCCCTTGGACCGGTCCACATCTTTCCGCGAAGGATGTCCACTCGGTGCGAGCGCAGCATCGAGCCATTGCGAGAACCCTTCAAAAGACTTGGCGATCGATTCAAAGAACGTCAAGTCTCGGGCCATCGTGGAGCTGCCTGGCTGGTCTTGAAAAAGATACGATTTTTGTTGGCAGCTGGTCATTAAGGTATTTTTAGAAAACGAAAAAGTAGTTCCAAGTATTGTCGATTTGGTACAAATTTGGGGAGGGGGTGCAATCGAATCTCGCCGACCAAAACCGATCCACAATCGATCTGATTGGTTGTTGAATTTCATTGAGAAGGTTTTGATTGGCTAATAACGTTGAGCTCATCTGAGGTACCCAATCAAATCGATTTAAATTCCAACGAAAAACCACAACACGAAATTTCACTCGAAAGCACAATAATACAGTTTCCAACTTTTTACCCCTTTTTCTGCGATATTTTGCACAATTCACTACAGTACAACGACAACTCACTTACTGTAAAACCAAAAATAGAAAACGACCTTTGCGAAAACAAAAAGACGTAAATCGATTTTGATTGGCTCATGCCATTTCCCTTAACTTCACCGGATAAGATTTTGAATTGCCCAATCAGATTCATTCGTGGCATCGTCGCCAATGCGAAATGTCTGCTACGTCATTCTATTGCCTTGGTGGTCGTCGTCGCAGCAGCAGCAGCAGCATCCTCCAACCGGGACCATGACGACGCGAGTGAACACGTACGAGAATGGTAAAGTGGTCCATATCGGCTCCACGGGGGACGCTGTGGGCTCGGCTGTGGCCAAGCTTGTGGCCGAGCTCAGCCACGACGCGATCGCAAAGTCAGGCCGCTTTACGGTGGCCCTCTCTGGCGGTTCCCTCCCCAAGGTCCATGGTCGCCGCATTATTGGCTCAACCTTTCATCACCCTCCCATTAGATTCTCGAAAAGGGCCTGTCCTCGTTGAAAGACGGCGTGGACTTTTCAAAGTGGCACGTCTTCTTCGCCGACGAACGCGTCGTCCCACTCGACCACGCTGACAGCAACTACCTCGCATGCCACGACGCCCTCTTCCAGCATGTACGTCGCTGCGTTGCAACATGATGAATTGTATGTATCTCACATGTCGAGTCGCGTGAAGGTGTCTATTCCAAGCAGCCAAATCTACACGATTGCCTTCCACGACGACCCAGCTGTCGTCGCTCAAGACTACACCCGTCAATTGAGCCAACTTTGGGGCTCCGAGGTACAATACTCTTTCCGTCCAATCTATTGATCGTCATCGCACTCATGAGAGGCAGTAGTTGCCACGCTTTGACGTGATTTTGCTCGGCATGGGACCGGACGGCCACACGTGCTCGTTGTTTCCAGGCCACGTGCTCTTGAATGAGTCTGCTTTGTGGGTTGCGTCCATCTCCGACTCCCCCAAGCCCCCGCCCAAGCGCATTACGTTGACGTACCCCGTCGTGAACAATGCCGCCGCCGTACGTCCTTGTGTTGCAAGAGGAGGGTGTGACCCCTCCAGTAGTTCCTTACGATATTGATCGATCGATGGTGTATTATGTAGGTGGCCTTTGTGGCCACGGGCGAGTCCAAGGCCCCTCTTATGCGCCACGTGCTCGGAGTCGAAGACCAAACGCCGCCCCTCCCCGCGGCGAGAGTGCTGCCCACGGCAGGCCAAGTGCATTGGTTCATCGACGAAGCAGCGGCGGCCAAGCTTTAAGGATACAGAATCATCAAGCCAACCAGTTTTTTAATATGAGGCTAAATCAAGTGGACACGTTGCGCAACGTCCGTTTGTCCAGTCGGGGCATTCATGCCAAATGTCTACTTACCCCCTTACGGGGATTGCCACACCGAGGTGCATGTACTGTACAGGCAGGTACTGTACAGCGCTGTAAGCCAACCACAGGTAGAGAAACTTACCTCTCTACCGTAGAGAGGTAATTTACCCTCTACACTGTGATTGCATGTATGCCAAAAGCGCAATCCAATAGCCAGCGGTGAATTTCTGCCCTATCCTATAGGGCACAGGAACATTGGCATGATTGCATCAACTACGCCAGCGGTTTGAAGGAATGAAACCACTTTAAACGACGGTGACATAAGCTCGAACTCGGCGGTGTGGGTTGCATTAATACTGTAGAAGCCCCACAGGCAATGTACAGTACAGGATTCCAGACCACCAGGACATCCACGCCATGTACTGTCTGTAGCTGTACTGCGTAGAACTCCGGAGTACTTACAGTGTGTTGGCGCACAGTTCATATGCAAGTATGTACTAGTACTATATGTACATTGAGTTTTGTGGTAGATAATTAACCACTTTGGAGCTGCCCTCATAGCCATCCCTTCAAGTGACATACCCATTGCCGGTTGTACTCTCACTTTGCATTTGCCCAACTTCAACCTGGAATGGATGCATTAGTTTTGATTGGCTGAATCTGCATTAAAACACGCCTTGTAATTGGCTACATATTAGAGTTGAATCGGGTACCTTTGGATTTCCCTGTCGACACTTTTCCTTCACCCACAAACTTGCGGGATGATCCGGTCCTTGCTCCACAAGTCCACGGCGCCGTCGCGCGTAGCTTTCCAGCACCGCCATCTGTCTTCTTCCCACCAACATGCCAAGTGTGTGGGCGTCGTTCGCGAGGTCTACAACAAGTGGGAGCGCCGCGCCCCAGTCACACCCGCACATGTCCACGAACTGGTGCAAGCCGGGATTGAAGTCCGCGTGCAACCGAGCACCCAACGCATCTTCACGGACGACCAATATGTGTCTGCCGGTGCCAACGTCACAGACGACCTGTCGCCCGCGAACGTCATTGTCGGCGTCAAGCAAGTGCCCATCGCAAACCTCTTGCCCGACAAAACGTACATGTTTTTCTCGCACACGATCAAAGCCCAGCCAGAAAACATGAAGCTTCTGGACGCGATCTTAGCCAAGCGCATCCGCATGATTGACTACGAGTGCATCACCCAAGGTACCCCTCTCGTCCAGCATCTTGTCCACGTCGCTAACGTCCTCCAGGCGGCCAACGCAACGGACAACGCCTCATTGCGTTTGGAGGGTACGCCGGCCGCGCAGGGATGCTGGCGGGCTTCCGCGGCCTCGGTGAGCGCCTCATCAACAAGGGGTACTCGTCGCCGTTTGTCAACATTGGCTCGGCGTACATGTACCCCGACCTCACGCGCGCCAAGGACGCGGTGGTCGCGGCCGGAAAACTGATCCAACAGAACGGCCTTCCTGCTGACCTGGCCCCCATGACGGTGGTGTTCACTGGCAATGGAAACGTGTCGAAAGGTGCCCAGGAAATGTTCAAACTGCTTCCCCACAAGATGGTCGACCCGTCGGAACTGCCGCACTTGCCCCCCAACCGCCACTTGGTGTACGGATGTGTGGTCAACGAGCGCCACATGGTATCTATACATTTTCCAAGTCTATGACGTGGCGCGCTGTACATCAATCGCTCTCACCACGTACTTTTGTTGATTATTGTCACCAGGTTCGACACACCAACAAGGCGGAATTCACCAAGTCGGATTACTACAAACACCCCGAGCAGTACGAGCCCGTGTTTCACCAAACGATTGCCCCGTACACGTCACTCCTGGTCAACTGCATGTACTGGGACGACCGGTAGGACGACAGACACCCTTTGACCGTTAACGTCTGATTTATTTTACGCGTAGCTACCCACGACTCCTCACGAAGGACCAAATGGATGAGTTGGCGCGGCACGCGGGCGGAAATCCCAAGCTGCAGGGGGTCGCCGACATTTCGTGCGACTTGGGGGGCAGCGTCGAGTTCCTGGACCGATCCACGACCATCGAAGATCCGTTTTATCTGTACGACATCCAGTCCCGTACGTCCAAGGCGTCGCTCGAGAGCTCTCCGGGGTACGCGATCTATATATATATAGACTTTTTATTTAAATTTTATACCAAGTTCTTTTTGGTTAGGTTTAAAATTATCTTTTTTCGTTGTTCTTTGAAAGGAATATATATATATAGATAGATGGGTCTTTGAAAGGAATACATATATATAGATGGGTCTTTGAAAGGAATATATATATATAGATGGGGCTTTGAAAGGAATATATATAGATAGAGGGGTCTTTGAAAGGGGTATATATATATATAGATGGGTCTTTGAAAGGAATTTATTAATTATTTTATATTTTATATCTTCCTCCTTTTGAATATATGTTTGGTTAACTATTGTTTTGAATTTTGTTTCGAAAATGACTAAAATCATGTTGTTTTTTCGTCGTCGATATAGAGTCATGATGATGGGCGTGGACATTTTGCCGAGTGAGTTGCCGACGGAATCATCGACGCATTTCGGCAACCACTTGGTTGGGTTTCTCAAGGTACTCCTATTATCATTATAAACCAGTCAATGTAGCCAATGCACCCCCACTGATATCCTATAATGTTGTTCCCATTAGACATTGTCGGCGGCGGACGCGGCCAACCTTCCCGCAGAACTGGAAGGCGCGGTGATCGCCAAGGAAGGGAAGCTCGCGCCCAAGTTTGAGTACATCCAGTCGATGCGGCAGGAACGAGAGCGCTCCAAGGGTTATCAGTACGCGACGGAGGCGGCCGCCATCGCCGGCAGCACATGCGTGCAGTTCGAAGGGCACATGTTTGACAGCGGCCTGCTCGATAATGTGCTCAACCTGGTCGAGTCGCATAACGGAGGGTTCGCCGTGATTGAGTGCCAAGTGCGGCCCAACTTTAACGACGCCGACTCGCAAACGACGTCGGCGCGGGTATCACGGGTGATTGTCCAGATCAGCATGGACACCCGGGTACGTCCTTGGCTTGGTCGTCGTCGCTGTATATATATATATATGGCAGCACCAGCATATATTTTGCATTGGGAACAGAAAATAGTTTCAAACCAAGACATTGAAATGGTGTAGGGCGAACTGGACGAAATTCTGCGCAAGATTCATGATTTGGCGGATGTGACGCCGAGAGCTGAAGCAAACGTCCGCGAACTGCCCGAGTATTGCCAAGGCAAGTACGACGAGACGCTCCGGCAGATTATCAAGGACGGCGCCGGCATGTCGTTCAGCGGCAACATCTCCGTGCATGATGCCAAGGAGCGCAAGCACATCGTGTGTCTTGGCGCTGGACTCGTATCTGCTCCGCTGGTCGAGTACTTGACCCGCGACCCTAACCACTCATTGACGGTACGTCGCCGTTCCCATTCTACGAGTATACAAATGAATGCAATTTATGGTCATTTCCCAAACGATTCACTGGTTTTCAAATTCGTTTGCCCCATTTTGGCAATATATATATATATATATTTACTGATGGGTAGGTGGTCTCGGGGTTGCCGGGGGAAGCGTCGGCGATGGCTCAAAAATTCACGAAGAAGAACCGCGCCGTCAAGCCAGCGACCGTGGACGTGGGCCGGGACCCCCGCGCCGTGGCGGCTCTGGTGGCAGAGGGTGCGCTCCCCCCTTTCGTGATATATCTATGGAACTGTATCGCATGACGAGCATGGTGTAGCCGACTGCGTCGTGTCGCTTCTGCCCGCGCCCATGCATGTCAACATCGCCAAACTGTGCTTGGACGCATCGACGCCGCTGGTCACGGCCAGCTACATATCGCCGGAAATGCAAGCGCTGCACGCCCAAGCCCAAGCCCAGCGCACCCCCATCTTGTGCGAACTTGGGCTCGATCCTGGCATGGTTTGTCATCTGAATGGAAAACCTGTTGTCACCAGTCGTGTGTGATGATGATTCTTGTATTTGCTGCAGGATCACATGAGTGCCATGAAGGTCATCGACCAAGTGCAGGCGCAGAACGGCCGCGTGGTGTCGTTTTCGTCGGTTTGCGGTGGCCTCCCCGCCCCCGAAGCCGCCGACAACCCCATCGCGTACAAGTTTTCGTGGTCGCCTCGCGGGGTGCTCATGGCGGCTCTGAACGCCGCGCAATACCGCAAGAACGGCCACGTCGTCCAAGTTCCAGGGTACCAACTAACTACCCAAAGAACCTACTAACTACAACTGGTCCAACGCTTGTACAGGGAAGACTTGTTGACGGCGGCAGAGCGCGTCAACTTTTTGCCTGCATTTGCGTTGGAGCAAATTCCCAACCGCAACTCGCTGCCGTACGCTGACATTTACAACATTCCTGGTAACAAGACTCCAACATCTGTGGTGTTATTTCTCCGTGATCTTGGTTATGACGACGTTGTGATCGTTGGTAGATGCCGAGTCGGTTTACCGCGGCACGCTGCGCTACGCCGGCAACTGCTCCATCATGCACCAGTGCCGGCTGCTTGGATTGATGAACCCCAACCCTGAAACACTGCCAGCCACGTGGCCCGAGCTTGTGGCCAAGCTCAAGGCCAAGAAGTCGTCGCTGCGCCCGGATGCGGAAGCCTTCCTGACCTGGCTCGGCCTCGACGACCCGTCGGCGCTCGTTGGTATACATATATCACACTAATTTTTGTGCTTTACATGTCGTTGACGGGATGGGTACAGATCCGTCGGCCACGTGCACGATCGATGCGTTTTGCGCGCTCCTGATCCAGAAGCTGTCGTACCTCCCCGGCGAGCGCGATATGGCCATCATGCACCACGAGTTTGGCGTCGAGTTCCCCGACCGCCGCCGCGAAATCATCACGTCCACCTACGTCGGGTACGGCGTTTGTGTTGAGTGTCAAACGATCATGGGGATATATGACGATGGATTTTATTAGGTATGGCGACGACGAGAGCACGGTGATGGCCAAGACGGTGGGCATGAGTGCCGCCATCGGCGTCGAGCTCATCCTGCGGGGGGACGTGCAGTCGACGGGGGTGCTCACCCCCACGACCCCCGACATTTACACGCCCGGGTTGGCCCGCCTCGAAGCCGAAGGCATCCGATTCATTGAAAAGACCCGCGTCGTGACCAAATAACATGGGGATATCTGTCATCAGTATGCCCATCCAGAGAGTAGAAGTGTCGGCGATGTTGATGTTACTACTACTCCTCCCCCAATACTATGAATACACGACGAGAACAACCCTTGTTTCACGACGTTTATAGTTCAGTCTTGGTGGGCATTTATTTGGGGAGTTTTAAGAGGAATTGGACTCGGGAAGGGTTGGGGGGGATCACACCAATAGTGTGTGGGCTATATCTAGGACGACTTCTTTTGAACGACACCGACGCCGTTTTACAAGCCAAAGAGTTGGAGGGCTTTGAGGGCGGCTTGGTTGGCGGCGATTTCCTTGGTCGGCGCCATGGCCCGACAGACGAGGAAGCCGTCCACGGACAGCCCAACCGCATGCATGTGCACACCGCCCGGCGGGTCGAGGTCGTCGAATGAGACAAGGGTTTTGTCAGGCCATTGGCGAACATGGTCTAGGAAGCGCTGCTTGGGGCCGAGGACCGCGCGGTTGGCCACCGCCGCCTAAAACGATGTCACATGATCAGAAATCGCGTCAGCTGCAGCCAAACCAGAAAAACGTACGTCAGACACGAGCGGAAACAAGCACTTGTGCAGGAATTGCTCTATGGCGTGCAGGTCGAGCTAGACAAGGCAATCAATCGTCCTTGTTGTCATCAACGACTATATATATATATGCACACTTGTACGAGAGTTTAGAGTTCTAGTTGTCTTACCTGTTCGAGATACATTGCTCCCAAACACGCTTGGAAAACGTCGGCTATGACCGGTGGCATGTTGCCATCATCGTCATGGCCCCTGAATCGAATGAATGGCGAGCAATTCAACGACGTGCCGACGGCTGCGAGGCGGGATGTGCTCACAAGCGACGCACGGACGGTCGACAGCAATGGCCCCTGTCCACACGATTTTAAATGTTGAGGTTGTCGCAAATGATAAACGGGGTACGGTACCTCGTGGAACGGCAACATGTCCATCAAGACCCGACATGTTACGACGTGCAAGATGGACTCACCTAGGAATTCCAGCCGCTCGTAGTTGCCATCGACTTTGCCCAGCACGTATTCATCAGACGAGACAGCCAGTCCCTGGAACGATTTGTGGGTCATGGCCTAGTAATACCAAGCAAGTCAGTCAGTACGCTAGTCCAATATATTCGAGCGGGGATTCATCCAATGCAAGACGAAAGAGGAAGTGGCGGCGGCGGCGCTAGACACCACCATCGACGACGACACCACAGGTACGTACTTGTAGCCACAAGTGGGTGCGGTCTATGGGAATTGTCGGACATAACGCGAGGAATTGCTCGTGCCGGCTAACCTCTTGACTGGCTTTCGGGTGGGTTGCAAGCGAGTGGCGGTGGCAGTCTACCACCACCCCGACTTTGGCGGCAACGTCGTGGCTGAGCAGAAACATAAAGTCCGCCAGCTCTGAATCGTACACGACAAACAGCTGCCTCAGAAACGCCCTTGCGGTCACGACGCCGTCCGTCCACCCCTGCGCGCGTGGTCGAGTCAGCAAGAAGCGCCCCCCACCCCCAAGCAAGCCTATACGTACTTGGTCGTAGAGGATGGCGCCGAGAATAGCCTTGACGCAGTCTGCCGCGACAATGGTCGACGTACTCCTACACAACACCATGAATGACAGAACGACCAGAAATGGTTGGTCATGTCGTGGTGTGCTGTATGTAGGTACAGTATAATGTAACAAACATACTCGTCCACGGCCGCCAACGAAAACGATGTCAAAATGAGGTCGTGGACGTGGCATGTCTTGGCCAAGTCGCCCACTGTGTCGTTATTGACGATCTTGGCCCGCAGATCCCGTAGGTGGGTCTCAGAAACGTCTGGAAACTAACAACCGTGTCACACATGATCGTCCAACAGTACAATGCGTCGTTACTTGAAAAAAGCTGTTGGAGGACACGACGAAGCTCAAGACGGCGTCGCCGACGAACGCGAGCCGGTCATACGAGCACAAATAGTGTGAATAGCGCGCTGATCCAGCGGCCAGGTCGTCGTTGCCGACACCCAGACTTGTGGCCTGGAGCGAACTATACGTCGTCGTCGTTGGCATTTGTGGTAGGTCGTTGGATGTCGAGAATGTATGGCCCATCTGCACGCGACCGAGGACGGATTCCGCGGCGCCGCCGGCACTCTGCACGCCGCAGTCGACGTACGAAGCGTGGGTGAACGCCTGCCGGAGGAGCGACTTGTCTGCAAACGTCAGGTGCCACCGCGCCTCGAACGCATCGAGCTGGACAACGTGCCTGAGGAAGCGAAAGACGATTGGCATCGCCGAAGCCATCTATCCACATACAGCCGTAGTATCCACTTTCACCGATGGACATGATGATATCTCTGCCGTGAGAAAGGGTGGAGCAGCTCAAATCATATACCTCAAATACATCGCACTTTAAACCCGTGAGATAGCTCACGTTGGGATGCAGCACCTTCATCATAGACGCGACCTCGGGCGACTCGTGCACGACCGGTGCAAGCTTCTGCCATTTTTGGAACCGACTGGTGGCGCCGAGCCCGTCCATCCACTTTGCACCGACGCCGTCGTGAAGGAGTTGCTAGCATGAACCAACCTCAACAGTTCGTCAAAACAAGCATGTAACTGTATCTCATGCAGAACGCCATGGGATACGATGCATCGAAGAGGCGAGGGAGACAGATGGACGTACGCGCTGCGGCGTGACGATGTCGACGCGGAAACAACCTGGACGAGATGGTGAGTGAGCTTATCCTTCTTGGGGATGGTGGTGTTAACGACGTACCGACGTGGTTGACGCCGTCTTCGTATGCGACGACGTGATGCAGCAACGATTCCGGCGGGTACTCTGCAAGGAACATCTCGGCTGAGCACATGGCGCTGGCGTCGAGGTAGTCCATGATCACGTCGATCGAAAGGAGAGTTCCCGTGAGAAACCCGAGTCGCTGAACGTCCTAATGATGCAAGGGTGTCTTGGATCGTACTGTTGCAATGGATGATTATACCTGGAGCGAAGACACGTCCTCGGTGGCGACGAAGCGAGGGTAAATGTGAAATGGCGCACACTCCTCCGGGGTTGAGTCTGACGGGAACAGTTGACTGCATGGAATGCGTAGCAGTTGCCACAAGAGATAGTCTTGGAAGCTTGAGATGCGCAACCGCACGTTTGGTCCCACGAGTTCCACGGGCAATGCGACGCGCTCAAATGTCACGGTGCACTTGACGTTGTCGCGTACATATTCAAACTATACGAGTGCATCAAAGGACACCTACAAGCATGAACGCACGTACTGGTGGTGGACGCGAGAACGAGTGGTGTGACAACAAGTAGAACCCGTCGAAGGCATACGACTGCTGGTCGGCGACGATGGTGGTCCTTGATGTCGCTTGTAGGCACGCTAAGGAAGCATACGAGCATATACATCTGATGCATACAAGCCATGAACATGCAGTCTCATACGTTACCGTCACAGATCCATTTCATAAGCAGGCAGTCCACCGTGCTGCAGTTCCAATCCAGCACTAGGGCATGGTCCATCGGCATGTTTGATTCCAGGCGGCAATTGTGTCGGTATTGATATACATTATCTGGTAGTCAAAGCAGGCGGAATGCATGTGAAAGACCAGCACTCGTGCCAATTTGTCGTCCAGCAATAATCATCTACGGACGGAATGCATGTCAAAGACCACAAGTTTACTCCTGCTCCATTCCCAAATTTGACCATGAAGCAAGACTTGTATGGTGGCGCGCTTTCCTGCGAGATCCCTGTAGGCTTTGCCGATGTAAGCGAGTTCCGACAAGTCCCTGATAACCAGGAAGTGTTTGCCGACGCCGCTACTGACCGCTGCATCATTGTCGAGCTATTGGAACTGGAATCGACTGTGGTCGGACCTGCCACGTCGGAGTTCTACTTCCACGAGATTGCAGAGAGCAACAAGTGTATGCGTCACGACTGCACTATCCTACAGACGTTCTTGGCGACCGAACAGGACCTTCCTGGCCTTGCAACAACCGCCCATGTTACCATTGGCAAGCAGTGCGTCGCCAAATTCAAAGAAGCCTCCAAGAACACCATGCAGCTGTACGTATGCTGCATTCGTCTGCCCACCGTGACGACGGACTTGGTGGTCTCTGTGACCGTGCCGTTGCAGCTCCACCCAAGTAGCAGCAGCTCGCGCGACGGGCCAACTGCCACAAACGCCGACGAAGGGCTCCTCTTCCTCAAAGGCATCTTGCGAACACTCAAGGTGCACAACTGGGGGCTCTTCCAGTAAACAAGCCCTCCATGCCCGTGTATCGTCGTCCACCACGGTTTTTTACTCCGCAGAATGACCGTGAACCCTCGTAGCATAGCAACAACCGTCACCAAATAATTATAATAAACCACAACTCATTCCATTACTACTACTAGTAACGTGAACCCCTACTTTGACCTCGACTACGCTATTCTCGACCTACTCGCCAATCGCAAAATACGCGCCTCGTTTGAGAGCTTCTGCCACGGACACGGCGCTTGGGACGAACAACACCCCCACCTGCTCGGGTTCCACTGGCAACCGCTCGTACCACGCAGAGTCCAGCGATGTCACAGCCGCAATCGACTGCTTTGCACCCCCGCCGCCCTTGTGGTTGGCCACAACGGACTGAAAAATGGGCAGCGGGATCTCGTCTGCCGGTCGACTCGCCGCATCGTCAAACAAGCTTTCGTACTCGGTCACGACGAATGCAGACAGCCGCAGGGTCAGGGGCTGCCGGACGCTTGTGGGAGCCCCCGCGGCGCTCGTGACGAGTTTCTTGTCAGGCGAGGCCCCATCGCCGTCCCAGTGGACCCCCACGAGGTCGATGCCCGTGACGACGACGCTCGGGAGGTTGGTGGTCGAATGATCGGCGTACTCGCGGATGTCGTCTGTCCTGGCTGTGTCGTTGTACAATGAGGTTTTGAGGCCCATGGCTTGCAGGGCGATGCCCGTGCCCCGCGAAAACTGCTGCTGTACCGCCAATAAAAAGTGCTAGTCCATTGCGATGGTAAGTCACCAGAACATGCAAGGGGGGTGATATACCTTGGGAACGAGGAACGCCCCTAGCCAGTGCTGGGGCGGGGGGCCGACCTGCACCCACGATTCAAAGTATCGCATTTGTCGTAGGAGACGCAACTGAAACGTCGTGAAATTGGATTCTGTAGACCGAGCCAGACGGAGCCACGGCAGGGGGGTGAGGTTGACCTGTGCGGCAGCGTGGATCTCGGCTAGTTCCTTTGACATGAGTATGCCGTCAAGTAAACACTAGAGCCAACACAGATTGGTTCGGTACATCGGAGCAAACAGGAGATTGGATTTACCGCTTGCAATTGCGACAAATGGGTCACGAGCACATGTCGGATCGTTCGAAAGCCGGCCAGCTCCCGGTGAACCACGGCATGCAGCGGGAATTCGTAGAGGATAGGGCACTTGGTCCCTTCGACCCCCAACTGCATCGCTTCGAGCATCTTTTCAAACGTGTTGTAGTGCTGGACGTCTGACCGCGTCACCGCTTGGTCGTCGATGGCCATCACAGGCTCGGTTGATAGCGACGGAAGTGCCTGGAGATGTGCATGGAACGATCGCTGCAATGCTGCCACGAATTCGCTGGTCTTTGCCACCAATGGCATGTCCCGGGCCGCTTTCGACAACCCAAACCACGTCGAGTCGTCCACGAACGGCATGTCTGGCAACTTGCTCGCCGTGAGCGACAGTTTCGGAGCGGCGGACGGAGTTGTTGCCAACGACGGGGCGGCGTTAAAATCTGCAATGGACGCACGATGCAGCAATTGCATGAGCGACCCCGCCGTGCCGCCCAACTGTCGCGCTTTGGACGCCCACTGCGGAATGATCTGCGCCCAGTCGTTGCGATGGCTGCCATCGTAGTACCCTTGCATGACCACGCCAAGCATTGACAAGTCCCACGATGATGTGACTTTAACGCCGTAGACGTGGGAAAGGGGGTCCAAGTGGTCGTGGACTAGAGACTCAAAGTCGCTGGTTTCAATCTCAAACGTCCCCTTCCACCCCAACGCGCCATATTGCTGCCGGCCCATGAGCAACGCATGCAAAAAACACAGGCGCAAGCCGTCGCTGTCCACTGCCGTCGAGTCGGCACCTAAATATACACCACCGTCGAGTCGACGGTTACTTGCGTCAGATCTTCTTACTGGAAGTGGGCCGACGAACTAGACTTGACGTGACCAAAAGCTGTTCCCGGAACGACGAGCCGCAATCTTGGAATCGCTTGACGGCGATTTGAGTCAATGTCAGCGGAAGCATACTTGGGTCGTGCACGCACAGCCACACACGAAAGTCCCAGTGGAACGCTGCAACGTCCATCGTCTATAGGGTGTTAGAATATAGTCGAACGAATATGGTACCTTGTATACGTTGTCCACTGCCGCGATCCACTGGCTGTTGGCGTCTGCATTTCGCAGAACAACCCACTGCCCTGTCTTGGCGGCCGTGACCAGTACCTTGTCGAGGGCTCCGTCCGCAGTCGACGGTTGCAACGACGCCATGACCACGTCCGCCTTGGTCTTGGCCGCGGCGGCGCGAATGCCAAAGATGCCATCGCTATCGCGGGAGGCGACGATCACGAGGGGATGCTTGCACGATGAAATGGCAGCCGTGTCGGACACGGTCCACGTGAACGCCGTCGAGAGCACAGACATGGAGAGCGTCGCCTTGGCGAAGTGCATGAGCTCGGCCCCGAGGGCATCCGGCCGGAGGACCCGCACGACGCAGAGGCGGTGCAGTGGCGACAAGTCAACGGGAAGGGAGAGGCGCGTCGTGTTGGGGGACTCGACAAACTCTTTCCACGCAAACTTGAGCTCCGACTTGAACGATTTGATGATGTCTTGCCGCGTTTGGGGGGTCAGGATGAAGCAGAACGCCGTGAACGCATCCCATGACGCAGTCGCCGGAATCCACGACGGGCACGTAATGGATAGGAATTGCGTTGGATGCGATGTCGGCTGGACGAAAAAGCGAAACTCGGGGGCACTGGAGAGGGCCCAATACCATGCTGCCGACGAGGCCGCCGCCACGGCGTCCAAGTCTGCATCTGCACCACCTCCGGCGCTGTCGTCTTCGTTGTCTTCGTCGTCTTTGTCACCGTCCTCGTCGTCACTTTCATTGTCACAACTCTCTTGGGTTAGCATGTCGTCCCGAGGAGGGATTGGATGGTTATCCATTTCGCTGGAGCGATGCAATCGAAGGGCAAACAAAAAGTCCACAAGCAATCGGTCCGGCTCATAGACGCTCCAATGGAGCACACGGTACGCCGTGTTGGTGAACTTGTCCACGAGGGCGACCGCGTTGTCACGCCCCACGACGTCGATGACGTGGGTCAGCAGCGACACCAGGTACGACACTGTGACACCATAGACAGGGCGGAGATGGCGAAGGTCGTCGAACGCCAAGCAAACGCCGCAGAAGCGCTGGACCATCACGTCCATCGAGAACGGCAGGTACTTGGCGTCGGCGAGTTCATTTTGCACTTGGTCGAATCTGTCCACAGCATCGCGATGTTGTGCACGCCACTCAAACAACTTGGCGCTTTCGGCAAAGATCGTGTCCTCGCTCTTGGCAGTGGCCAACACGGCCAAGCACTGGTCTTCGAAGCGCTTGGCTTCAAAGTCAAAGTCCACGGCGGACAAGCGCAGCTCTTTCCAGTGGTGCGCCGTGTGCTTGGACGAATTGCACACAAATTCCGCTCGAAACAAGTCGACGCACACCTGCGGCGTCATTTCCACGTGAATGCAGTGCACCAGCGACGCAAATAGGGGCAAACTGGCGGCGTTCACGTCGGTCGTGAACAAGTACAACGAACTCAACGCAGGAAACTCGATCAATGTGTCTTGGATAGCCAGGACATTCGGCTTGGACGCGCCATGCAGCGCCACGTGCCGACGGGCGAGTAGCAGCGGCAACGTCACCGACTTGACGATGTGGTCGATGGAGGGAAATACCACGGGGCGCAGTTCAAACGCAGCGTGAAACATGTCAGCTTCGACGGCGGCCACGTTGTCCAGGGTGGGCCACAGCACGAGAGGCGTCTTGCTCTCGCTCATATCCCTCGACATGATCCAGTTGAACGCAATGCGGTGCGGATCAATTACCAGCGGCACGAGTTCCCCCGACGAAAGAAATGCGGCGTTCTCCCTGCAAACCATGTCGTCCGGCACCCCCTGTGCGAGCCATCGTTGCATATGCATCGGTTCCACGAGCAAATCGCTCACTGCGTGGTGCGGGGAGTGCAACAGCAGCCCATCGGACGTGAATTGATTTAACCGACGCAGGGCTTTCATCCACTGGAGCAACAGCTGCCGCCGTCCGAACGCGGTCAAGTGGCTTCCGTACATGAGCAGGCCAGTGGACACCAAGAGGTCCCCCGCCAATCGATCCGTCGATTCCATGAGATCGTCATATGTGAGTTTCCACTTCTTGACAAAGCCTCCCATGGCAGCCAGCACGACCTCGGCCTTTTCAATTGCCGTGGAATGGTCCGATAGCTTCGAGGCCAAGTCGCGGACTTGCGCCTCGGCTTCTTCCCGGGACGATTTCGTCTGCTCCATAGCGGCAGTTTGCTCCCGTAACGTTCGATGCAGGGCGTCGCATCGAGCCGCACATGATTTCAACGAACTGCGCTCAATGTCCAAATGGGTTTCCTGAGGCTCGAGCAGTACGATCGTTTGCCGGTAGTTGATCATGGCTCGCACCCACGCGCACAAGACACTGGCAACTGCGTGCGTGGCTCCCAACACTGCGGGGATAAACTCTGGGGATTCATAAATCGGTGTCAGAGGTCCAAGGACGTTATCGGGGAGAACGCTGGCAACCTCCGTGCCATATGCTTGAAATGTCGTCAACGTCATCGGATCTTGCAACTACCATCGCCCACATGTTATTAAGTAAATAATATCCTACGGTGTCGATGAAACATTGTGCTCTCATTCGTACCAAAGCTATAGTGGGGATCGAGTAGTCCATCATGCGTGTGTTCTCATCGCGCTCGTCCGACACTTCCACAGGGTCCACTTGAAGCAGCCGACCCAAACACTCGTACAAGTGCTTGACAATCATTGGTAACGGTGTCACAAGGATGAAATCGCCGATGTCGTTCATGGTCACCGCCCGCAATGCCCCCCGAGCGTCCACGAACGCATCAGTCGCGGCCTTGAGCGTGACGTCGTGTCGGCCTTGCTCGACTGCGAGCCGACTCTCAATGTCTTGTCGGATGAGCTCTTCCGCCTCCACCTTGCGCTGCGTGAGAAGAATCGCTTGAGTGTCCGTGTGCATGCCAACGTTGATCGTCTTGGACACTTGGTGCATGTGATGAATGGCCGGGTGGAGGTCACTGACTGTCGTCGACACTTTGTTCGCCAGTTTTTCCACGTATCGAATCGTGGCTAGCGCAGTCGACAGCTTCGCCTTGCGGGTTTCCAGCGCTAGCGTGTGGTCGGCCCACTGTCGCGCAAACGCCACGATGTGCGCGAGCACCCTGGACGGTGTGATGGGGCACGTCCGGGTCTCCATTGGCTGGGCCACCCGATGCAAATGCAGGCACAGCCCGCCATACTTCGTCACTTGGCCGTCCGTCAAGTCTGACGCGGCGAGGCGCCGGCGGGCGATGGCCATGAACGTGTCGTCGGGCCACATGTCCATGTAATGAACGCGACATCGCCGCAGGAGGTGATCGTGCTGGGTCAAAGCCGCTTGGAGGCCCGATGGATTCGTGGCCGTCGTGAGCACGACAACCACCTTGAGGAGGTGCTGGATACGATGGATGCAAAACGTTTCAACCGCGAGGGGGTTTTCCAAGAACACGCTTTGGTCCTTGGCATTTTCTCGAAGAGATGGCCCGAGCGCTTCAATGTCCTTTTGGAACAGAAATTCTGGCACGACGTTGCCGTTCACAAAGCTGCTCATGTCTTCGAGGCATTCCGGTCGATCCAACAACGCATCCTTTACGATCAACACCATGGGTTTGTTGTCTGACACGACTTTGATCAACACTTCGTTCAGCGCCGCCCGCCACTGGGCGTATGTCTTCAAGTTTGGCGCTTGGAGGTTCAAATACATGACGTTGACCCCGAGAACCGCCGCGGCGAGTCGCGCCAACGAGCTCTTCCCAGTACCCGGTCGGCCAAGAAGCAGAACGTGGTCGCTGCACACGGCGCTGGTGGGCGGCGCGTAGTCCGTCAGAAGGCGGTGCAGCCGAAGCACATGTTCCATGGCATATGTCGTGGACACGTCCACGTCCAAGTGGAGTCCGTTGGGCCGCGCGGGGGTGTCTGTGAGTTTCGCTAGCTCGTCAACGACTTGACCCTCAAACGCCATCACGTCGGATACTTCGACGTAGTGCTGTCGGTCCGCGACGTCGGTGAAGCACAGCCGTTGAAAGTTGGCGTACATGTGCGACGACAGTGGCTGTGCGGCATGGGGTTGCTGAGGTAGTTGCTGGGGAGGGGGACCGCCCTGGAGGTTGGTCACGTTGAGTTTGTCGATGCTGCCGTGATTGGCTCGACTGTTGCGCCTCGTCATGGCTGGAGATGGCTGTCCAATATCTTTCGAGTTTGGGAAAAAGCCGGCCACGCTGATACTGTTGCTCACTGTCGTGGGAAACAACGCCTCCATCGTAACTCCAAACGTGCCGACGCAAATGTCTCGAAGGAAGGAGAAGAACGCCATCGAATCCGCGGCGGACACGAGTCTATCGTGAAAATGGCGCGTCGCTTCGTGGCACCACAGCCGCACGATGGGAGACTTGTCACTGCTCACGGTGGTCGCCGGGCAGTCACGACTGACCAGATGCACAATATGCACTAGGTCCGTCAGTCCAAACAAATAATGTGGGCACTTGGGTGACGTTCGGAATTTGTCTGCGCAGGTGTAGTACAAGCGTATAGTGGCTTTGACGAGCCCGGTGGCCATTTGGGTGTAGTCCATCGCGAGGTTTCTGGACTGCGCGAGCCAGGTCGTGATGCCCGTCAACACCTTGGTCATATCTGCATCCAAGACGGACGTCATTCCAACGGGGGTAAACTTGGCCCCCAGTCGGCCATTGATGTGATGGGGAAGCGATGGTCGCAAAGTCAAGGTTGCAACGCACGAGAGTCCCGTGACAAAGCAATCAGCGTCGGTTTTGGGCTCAAAAATAGCTTGAGCATCGAGTAAATGGCGAAGACATTCCAGCGTCGAGCTCTGGTCGGAAGGGGTCGCCTTAGGGGGAATGGGTAAACCGACATCGTCCAGTAAAAGCACATACGTCTTGTTAGCCGGGGCGGACAGGATGTTCTTCCTCGACCGTTCCATGTGGTTTTCAAAGCCGTCGAGCAAGTGCGACGGCATGAGCCACGAGTTGAACTTGTACGTGAGGAACAATAACGACGACGGTGGCGGTGGCGCGAGAGACACCTTGGCTGGATTTTCCCACGACCCAGGGGTCGCTGGCGGGGGCGGTGAGTTCATTTGAAGTTCCTGCATGGCTTTGGTTCGAATGGCGGCTTGCGACCGAAACACATCCACGACCGCCGACTTACCACTGTCACGAGGGCCGACGAGAAGCACGTGGTTGTGGGGGCTGCGATTCTGGGTCAACACGTCGAGAAAGTACGCTGCACACGCCGTGTTGGGCGTAGGAATAAACAGATCCGAGATGCGGTGGACAAGCGGAGGGGGCGTGTAGAAATGGTTGGGGTAGAACTCAGCCCAGAGTTCCCACTTGAGGCCCCATTCGGCGCTCAACCCGTACGAGTACACAAGCTCCCCCGAGCGAAACGCTGGATAAAACATGTTGAATTTCTTCGAGTTGACAGTCAAGTGGCGCGACGTGGTTGCTGCTTGGGAGGTCGCGGCGGACGGCGTTGCCGACGTGGCTTCCCCGGCCAAAGACCGCAGAAACGTGTCGAACTTGACGCGCTCGTCGTGGACTGTCGTGTGACCCACCCCCCACACCAGCGACTGCAGAAAGATGCACTGCGCAATCGTGTAGTTTTGCTTGGCGGTCATGGAACTCATCTTGGGATGCGTGGCTCGGAAAGCACCGTCCATGAGCGACAGCAACGCGTTGACGCGGGCGACATCGGACTGAGGCATCGTCGGCTGGAAGTGAATGCGTACAAACTCCAGCGCGGGTTCGATCATGTCGAGGGTAGCGTCCAGCGCTTCCTTGATGTCGTCGATGGCCTCGAGGTATTCTGGCAATCGTTCGATCCATCCTGCATACAGCGTACGCCACGTCACCACTCCCTGGCCGACGTATACGATGGCGCAACGAGACACCATCGACGGCGAGGCTGACCCGGCGTCAGAAGACTCGAAAATGAGGCGGGCTTGGGGAGGCAGGGGAATAGCTTCCCCAGTCACGACCAACAGCTGTGCCGTATCGTCTAACAACGTGTTGAACCCGTCGGCCCAAAAAGGATCCACATCTCCGTCCAGGACAAGCCACGACCGTGCGGCTGCAGTATGCGGGGGCGGAGTGGCTGTGGATGCGTCCCCTTGTCCGTTTAGTTTGCGTAGGAATTGAGTCAAAATGCCGTCTTGGAACGTCTTGGTGGTTGATGCCATCGACCCGTAGAGTTGTCCGAGGGTAATGCTTCGAGGGGCAATGACTTGAATGGCAGACGACAAGTCGGCGGCATCTCGTGGGGTGGTGCGCCGACTAAATGCATGGATGCGTTCGTCGAGAACTTTGTATACTTGACCCAAGATCTGGTACAAGGCTGTTTTGCCACAATTCGGCGCGCCAAGAAGCAACACACCCGAGTGGTTTCGCAGCGCGTCGTGCAGTTGGTTCAATTTGGTCTCGAGGGCTGGCGAGCACACGAATTCCTTGTGGGCGACGGCCAGCTTGACGGCGTCCATGGAAAGCGGAACGTCTGTTTTCAACGAATCCATCGAAACATGACGCAACATGTCTTTGATAAGGCCATTGAATTCGAAAAGCGCGGATTCTGGGATCTGGCTACGAAGGACCTCCGCCATAACGTGGGTCACAACCAGCTCCTCGAGGGTGACTTTTTCTGGACGCAGCGCGCCCGTGTGTTCTTGGGCCAAGATCAGCTTCGCCCTCTTCACAATCGTGTGGACGTTGCGAAGGCAATTCAGATTGAGTCGAGACGTGGCGTCGACCCCCCCGATAGTACCCTCCGCCATCGTGAGAGTGTATTCCACGAGTTGGCCAAGCCGTGGCGGGTTGCTGAAGCCCCCAACGAAGAACAGGACTTGGGCAACATGTCTCAAGCTGGGTGCCACGACCACCACCGGACGGAAGAGCCCTTTGAAGAAAATGGGCAAGTGGGGCTTGGCGTCGCTCGGTTGGAACGTGGCCATGATGTGCCCGCCGCGTTTTAGGCGCAGTTTGACCCCTTGCAGAACCAACGACGCTTCCCGAACATGGTTTGCTTCCTGAATTTTTTGGATCGATTCCATCACGACCCCCACGTGGTGGAACACAATATTCTGCACGTCATCTAAGCAGAACCATGCACCACAAGACGCGACGCCCTTCAACAGCCGTGTGAGCTCGTCCACGCTGCTCGTGACCACACACGAGAAGAGCACGAACAACTTGGCACACGACGTCGCCAACGACCGAAACAGCGACGTCTTGCCGGCCCCCGCCGACCCCTTTAGAATTGTGCCGCGGGCCATCGAAAACGCGCTGAACAATACCCGGGCACATTTCAAGGTATTGGGAAGCATGACGAGGGCGGCGCGGTTGCCGACGTATTCGTAGCCGTACGGAATGCTGGATTTGATCAGCTTCAAGTGCAAATTGCCGTCGTTCCAGGCATACCGCAGCTGTGACTGCCACGCAAACCCGTCCGAGTCTGTCACGCGTTGCTCTATCAAGTCTGCCGTGACATCCCGCGCATGAAGCATCTGCGTGATGAGATTCGTGAGGACGTTGATGCGACTGGCAGCAACGAGGCTGGCGTCGGACAATTCCGCCACCAGCTCGTACATGCGACCGTCAATCTCGTTGGCCAAGTATGCTTCCAGTTTGGCTTGGACGGTCGTCGGCGTCGAGGACGGATTGTTGGCCGTGTCCATTTGCAGCATAGGATCGGACGACTGCCCAACTACCGACGGATCTTGCATGATTTTCTCGATGTGCATGCCCCACATGTAGTGCTCGACGCTTAGCACCATTTGTTCCGGCCAACACGACGTCCACTTCCGAAAATCCTTTTTCCCATAGTCGTTCAACGCGTTTCGAACCATGACTTGCACCGCCGTTTGCAGCTGCAGCTCCAACCGCCCGAGCCACGCATCCGTGGATACCTTGTCAGTTGCCACGACCTGGCAAAGCTGCATGGGCTCTTCAAACGTGCTGACCACGTGCGTGACTTCACGAGACCCATTCATTTCAACACGACCAACCCCTGGAAAGAGTCGGCCGAGGAATGTTATGGGGGCCTTGGACGTGGATGTTGGACGAGTATGAAGCGCGGTGGGCGATACCGACAAGGCCGCAATCAATTCTGCATTCGATAGAAAGTAAAACCGGGAAAACAGCGCCCGTTTCGCCTCCAGACACACGGTCAGTCCTTCGAGAATCGCGTCAAGAAGCACGAGGCACTCTCGAAGGCGTTCGGTGGCCTTGTCGATTTGAATGGCTGCCAGACAAAGGGGCCGCGCGACCACGGCGCTAATGATGCTGCGCCAGTGGCCATCGACGATCGTAAACTTCTTGGCTTCGTTGGACGCTTTGTCTAGAATCGCGTGCACCGTGTCTGCCGCAGAAAACAGCGGCTCCATCTTTCGCCAAAAGTTCCCCGTCTGCCACAACAGGTCGGTAATGTCGCGCAACTTGAGCAAGCTTCGTTCCCATGCGATCGCTCGGCCAAAGAACGGCTTGCGGTACTGCGAGCACCGGATCGTTTGGGTTTTGACGATGTGGTCGTCCAATTTGATGTGGATGTCGTCGACCACGCTCTCGCCCAATACAAACGTGTCGGACGCCACCACAAACTTGTACTCCATGTGCAGCCACTCTTCCGACATCGTGTCTAACGACCGCTCAATGTCGGCTTCGTTGGTTGCGGCCTCGGAGATGTCGAGCAGCTTGTGAACGCTGTCTTGGACGCCCAGGTCCAGCAACCGCTGCAGCGTGATGTGCTCGGTGGGGTCGACGATGAACCCGACTGTCTCGGCAATCTCTGTCCAGTGTCGGTCGCGCAGGCTCGTGTTGCCCATCACTGAGATGATCCCAATCGAGTCTTTGAACTCAAAGATCTGCTTCTTCAGTGTTTCCGCCGCGCCGACGGCCGCCGGGGACGTCGACGCCAGCTGTTTGGTCGCGTTGGTCAACGTGGTGGTCATGCCATGCACGGTCTTTTCCGTGCCCTACACATTACACGTCAAATCGAGACTCCTTGATGCCTTTTTTCGTTGAAAGGTAGTAGTAAGTAGTACCTTGGCGTCCAGCTCAAAGATGTTGCCCCGCATCCACTTGACGCTAGACTCTCGAAAGTCGCGCGCCGTGCGCCACAGTTGCTCGTACGGCTCGAGGGTTTCGCAAATGTAGTCGAGCTGCATAAAGTCTGTCTGGACCCATCCAAGCTTGGCCTCTTCCTCGGCAATGATGTTGATCGTGTTCCGCGCCTGCGTGATCGCGTCGCGGACTTTACCCAACTGGACCACGTACGTCGTGGCGTGCCGGAGGTCGCTTTTTTTCTGGAACGAATTCACTTCGGCCTCGAGCTCCTCCAGTTCCGCTTGGAAGCGCGACCGCTTGGCAATGAACGCCGTTTCGATGCGCGACCGCTCGTGCTGCAGGGAAAAGTCGCCATCCCGCAGAATTTTCTCAATCTGGTGCTTCCACGTGAACGTTTTCGAGATGGACGCGAGTAATTCGGACGACACGGACAACCCCACGATTGCAGGACACTGCTGCACGACCGTGCACTAACGACATCGATTTAGAAGGGTTGCTAACGTGTAGAGTGTTGTGTTGCAGTACTGAGTACCTTTTTAAAGAGAAATTGCAGCCGTTGCTTGACGTTGTCGACGTTGTCGTACAACAGGAGTAATTCGTGGTTGCGCAGTTTTGAAATGTACGCCTACAAGTGAGTCTATTAGTGTGAAGATCGATCCCCCATCATTTAACGTTCGATGGATTCAAACCTCCGACTCGACGAGCTCGTGCAAGTCGATGGGCTTGCGCGCCAGCCGACCCGCAATGAGCTTGAATTGCTGCCGAATGTCTCGGTTTAGTCGCAGCGTCGTGTCTGAAAACGCATGAAACAGCTGATGAATAAAGTGCGACGCTTTCTGGAGCAGCCCCGCGTTGAGTTGGGTGCAATCGATATGGAACAGATCCAAACCGTTACTGGACTCTGTATGATCCTTTTCATTGGCGATTTGACATGCAAATTGGATGAACTTTTGCACTTCGTGCGTGTACGAAGGAATGTCATGGGTTTGCGCGATGAAATGCTCCAGTGGCAAGTCGCCGGCCGCGACCACCTACTCACGCAGTTGGTATGGTTTTTTAATAGTGGCATTGCAGTAGTACCGTATACTTGGAATACTTGGTTCGCAGGGCTTGGGCATGGGCCATGTTGTCTTGTAGAATGGACCGGATAGCGTCGGCAGCCCCCACGACTTCCTCTTCGTGCAGCCCCACGGCCCACAGAAACGGCGACCCCCCCAGGATAATGGACGGCTCAAACTTGGTCTCCACGCGATCGATGTGCGTGACGCAGCTGGGGATGTTGTACAAAATGTTCATCAGCGACAACTGCACGTCTTCCAGCGCCATGTCAAACTACCCACATCAAACATCTCAGCCACAAACCAACGGCGGGTGGGTGGACACGAATGAACACGTACCCGGATCTTGGTTTGGTCGAGCACGAGCGACAGCAGCAAGCCCTGTGTCGACTGCTCTTTTTTGTCAAGAGCGTACGCTTTGAAGAACGCCACGTACGCGTCGATGGACCGGACGACGAGGCGGCGCAGCTGCAGCGACATGAGGGTGGCGATGCAGTCAAAGTAATGCTTGGGGTTCAACAGCGCCGACTCGAGCACTTCGTCGTTCTTGGCGGCGGTGAGGATTCGCTTGGCCTTTGCAAACCACTTGTCCATGAGCGTCCGCTTCACGGTGGCGGCGTGGGCCATCTGCCGCTTCTCAAACGCGCGAATGTCAATCGGTGCCAGCTGCTGCGCCATCTCGGTGGACGTCGGCACGTCCACCAAAAGCAAGTCGTCAAAGTCCCCCCACATGTAGTGCAATGCCATTAAGTGCGTGTCGATGAGCATGAGAAACTGCTTCACGTGGCCTTCCGCACGTGTCTTGCGCTCCTTCCACCCCGGCGTGACACTGATGAGCGTGGCGTGGGTCTGCCCCCACTTCCACTTGTCGTGCGCTTGGAACTCCAATGGCACCCCCCCTGGAATCCCCAGACGCACTTGCGTGACGTGGCGCAACAGCAAGTAGTCCAGAATCGCCTTCTTGATGCTGTACGTGTAGCACTGCAACGTTTCGGCAAACATACTCGCCAAAAGCACGTCCTTTCGACGACTTTGCACTTTGTTCACGGCTCGCGCAATCAACGCTTGGATGTGCTCGGTCCACGTCGGGTTCATTGGCACAATGTCGCTGTCGTCAATGATTTTATCCAGGTAGTGCAAGTACCGCTCGACCACTTCAACCGGGGACAGCGATGGAGGCTGCGACGACGTTCGAGCCGATTTCTCGCCGTCCAACGACCGGGTGCGGGACAACGTCAGCACTACCCCGTCTGCCGCGTACACTGGTTTTCCAGACGTAGTGACCAGCGGAAGCTCCGCGCCTTTGTCGTGAACCGGGGAAGGTGGTCGCAACGTGACAAAATGCTCCTGGACTCGACTGGACTCGTCGTCGATAAAGATGAGCCCGTGGGCGGCGTGGTGGTTCTTTCGAATGACCAGGTGGCTGGCCGATAGACTGTAGTTGACGCCGATGCGTTCAGACGACGTCAGTTTGTTGACTACGTCGACTTGTTCGACGCCCAGCGTGCGGCAAAATGGATCCAAAAGTGGCGGGTACTTGGCGTCCAGCTGCTTGACCGTGTCCATCCGGTCTCTTTGGTTCGGGTTCAAGTTCCACGGCATGATTTCCGTCGTCGCCAAGACGGTCGTGGGCAGCTCGTCCGAGCGCGAGAGGAACTTTTGACGAAGCACCAAGCGAGGGCTTGTGGGTCTCACGTCCTTGTTGTGGGCGATGCGAGGCTTTCGAGGGCTAGCGTCCTTGTCAATCAGGGACGTGGTCGGCGACGACGGCTTGGTGGGGACCAACGAACTCGGACCTTTGTGCCCCGTGGGTACAATATACGACGAGAACGTCTTGGAACTCGCCATGAGGGACCTGCAACACATATCCATGAGGCGTGATGTGTATGACCATGATGCATCGCACCTGGGGTTGGCCGCGGGCTTTTGCGGTGTTGGCTCAGCTCCTCGGACTTCCGACTCCATTTGGACCTGCGCAAACGACGTGGAATTAAGGAATTGTTAGCTACAGAAGGAAATGAATGGCGTGACGTACAGGTTGTTTTTGAGTCATGTGGCCGTCTAGAAACCGATGCTTGCACGACACAACGCCGACGCCGAGGCTGAGCTCAACCTGCGGCTGGGTGCGCATGCGGTCGCCGATGTTTTCGACAATGTGCTCGAGACACGACTTTGCAGCGTACTCGTCAATGTTGCAATGAAGGGCAACGTCGCGGAATTCCAGCGTGTGGGACATGGGGGCGAGGGCGCTGTCGTCAGTGAAAAGCCCATACTTTTTGGCAAATATAGGGTTGGCCACTGGGTCAAGGACATTAGCCATCAAACAACTAACATCGATAAGGCTTGCATATGTAGAGTACCAAAGTGGGGTATGCGAATGTTGTGGGAATGTGCACCGACAGTGACCGTGCCAAAGCCAGGAATCGTGGCTGGTTGGTCCATCTCCACCTGTGATATAACGAAATAAAGTACATACTCAGCCAACGACAGATGCGCACCTTTTCAATCACCCAGTGGCATACAAACGTCCACACGTGCATGAGCTGGTCGGCCGTGGGCAGCGACACATGCAAGAGGCTTCTGGGGGTCGCCGCCGCCATGCCGCTACCACCGCGATTCATCATGCGCGACGACGACGACAACGAGACCGCGGGCTTGCTAGGTGTGGCCAGAATTGGGTTCGAATCCCCTGCTTGCACATTGGCTCGAATCATCGGGAGTCGCACCGTTCGATCCATGGCATGTATGTCCTTGGTCACGGCAAAATACAAAAGCAATAAAAACAATTGCGCCCCTTCGCAACCCAAACACGAAACCGTCGTCAGTTACACTTTGGGCTTGTCCTCGTCCATCTACAGTACTTGTGTCATGCACTTTTGTCTCCTTCCTGGCGAACGGCAAACTCGGGCAAGTTCGTCCTAGCGCGAGAACAAGGTCACTGACTGCATCTTGCAGTGGGCAGTCAGACCCCCATGACTTAGGTCAACTTGGCCTAAGACCTTGCCCACGAACTCAGACAAAAGGACAGTAGTAGTTTCATGTGTGTGATTATGTCGACTTTATTGCAAGTATCCTTCGCTGGATTCGGCCAGGGCTTTGGCGGAGCGTTTGGCGTCGTTAAATAGCGCGTTGATCTCGTCCACGTCGTCCACGACAATGTCCGATCGCCCTTGCGTCTCGGCCAGAATGCGCGCTGGCGTCAGTAGCTGCACGGCATAACGCAGCGACGTCGTGGCGCCGATCTCGCCCATGCGGGTCAACGCTCCTTCGTGCAAGTTGATGCTCTACAACAAACACACTCTCGTTAACAGTGGCCATTTGGAGAGAGTCGCATGTGGCGGCAACGTTCGTACCTCGGCTTCGGCACGGATGTTGATGATTTGAACCATCTCTTCGACGGAATACGGCATGGTTCGAATGATCAGCATACGATCCAGCAAATCCAACGGGATGCCATGAGGGGACGAAATTTCCGTACCACTGCCACCACCGTCAACACAATATGCTTACGAGTAGGAGGAACAAGTTGGGGGGACTGTACCGAACGGTGCACACCCCTCGGTTGGTGGCAAAGATCACGATGGGTGCCAACGTCGACTCCAACGCCCGGTTCAAGTACGTGAAGCATTCAATGTCGAGCATGTGCACCTACCCGCCAGCCATCCATCCATTCGACCTTAGTTTGAACGCTTGGTCGTGGCCATGAGTATAATAAAATGATGGTCTTTACCTCGTCAACAAACAACACTCCGGGAATCAATTCGGCCACGCCTTGGTCAATGTATCGGTTCACGACCTTGTTGATTTCCGAGCGCAGTTTCTCTGTGATTTCCGTCTTTTTGGACTTCATCATGTTGCCCATCATGCTCATAATGTCCTGGCCGCCTTGCGGCTTGGCGTTGGCAATGTCCAGGTCATGCAGCGTCACGTCTTGGATGATTTCCTTCTTCTTGTGGACGTCCCCCTTTGGCATGGGCACGTACTCGTCGGCTTCGAGGTCGTACTCGGTGGCATACCTACAACAAACATGTTAATCCATGCCCATGGAATGTCGACGTCAGCCAGGTACGCACGCATCGGAGCGACCCACGCGCTTGACGCTGCCGCTGTTGGCTTCAATGTAGATGACGTCACCGCAAGACACCTTTTCCTTTTGGAGACCTTCGTAGATGCTCGGATCCAAGCGCAGTTGCTTGGCCCCTAGACGAGCTGTAGTCAGAATATGGAGAATGATGAAGGACGGACCTTTGGTGGTTTTGAGGCCGAGAATAACATGGGAAATGGTCTTGCCGTAGCCGCCCAAGGGGTTCTCCGATTCTTCCGGAGTGATTTCCGTGACTTCACCCTCGTACACTTCTTTGTTTTCCTTGATGCGCAACCCAATGGCTCGTCGGAAGTTCTCCATGAGAATCTCTGTCTTCTTCACCTCCGACGAGTACACTTCGGAGCCCACCATGGGACAAAACGGTACTTTGGGGCCCAATTCTTGGGACACGCCCAGCGCCAACGCCGTTTTCCCCGTCCCTGGAGCTCCTGCCAACAACAGTGCGCGACCAGCCATCTTCTTGGACCGGATCAGTTCTACGACAATTCCCGCTGCTTCACGGGCCTTTTCTTGGCCGACCAAGCCGGAACCGATCGGAAGCGCCGACCCGTCAACGTCCAAACCCAAGCCTTTCACGTGCGTGTGAACAGCGACCCGCTGGGTCTTGATCGTGCTTACAACCTCTTCAATCTAGAAGAACACAAAGTTAAAGCAGGGCCATAGTGGTTCCATGAGCAAGCCTTGGGAACGCCAGTGGTCGACGTACCTTCATCGCGTACTTAGGTACTTGTGGTGTGCGACCTCCTTTCGAAAGCTCTATTTTGTTGGGCTGGTGATTGGACAGATAAACTCCCTGTTGATTGGTTAAAAATAACTCGGATCGTTGTTTTATTGGTCCAATTACCTAAGATCTTGCAGATCTTTCTCGAACCGTCAGCCAACCGAAATCGCGTGTAAACGCACACTATTTGAAGTTAATCGAAGACGACGAAACTCGCAATATCTGATAATATCTGATATTATTGCCAAAATTTGGACTTTGTGCTTTATCGCCAAATCAATCGATCTGTTCTTCATACTGACTTTTGTATGTAAGATCGTCAAGTCAAATGTCACACTATTAACAGTTTCAGTCACACACTAATGCGATGTTTATTTGGTCGAATAGTGGATGTGATTGGCCACGTGATTTGGGTTTTGATTGGCCAATCGATGATCGCCATTGATGTGCCGATTGTAAAACGAAACCTGGAAGACATGTTGCCTGTTATGCCACTTGCGTAGCAGCACTAGATGACACAATTGGACTGGTAGGAGCTGTGTGCTGCAAACAGAATGCGCCTCGTCGAACGACCTTGCCGCACCCGTCGACAACGCACCGCTTGCCGCCGCCATGGGTGACGCAGTAGCCTTCGCCTCGATCTTTTCGCATGCAGCCGTGATTGATGCACCTGCGCACCCCCCCGTGCTTATGACATAACCCATGTCTCTGGATTGTTTTCATGCACTTGGATACTTTGCACGTGCGAGGCGGTTTTCTCATGTCATCGGGATCGTCGTGACTTGTCGGGGCAGATATCTGCGGCGGTAGAGACACCAACGACGATGACGGAAGGTACATCCGGTGACATTGTTCAGGGAGTTGCGTGTGATGGTGCCGCAGGTGGGGCAATGCAAATGGCAATGCAAATTCAGCATGTCGAGATATGCCACCGACTTGCCGTGGTAGCTCGCCTTGCCCATCGTAGTACACGGCAGGCGAGCGATTACGAGTGCTTTGTGATTCGTAGATCCAGGGATGTTCTTGACTGCACTGAAATTGGGCCGAATGATTGTTGATGTGATGGAAGAAAGCACGATCAGACGACATAGTCGTAGGTTGGACACAGTCGTGTGTTGGGGTGCGGAGGGGGTAAACATAATGTGGTGCTTGCGAGGAGTTGTCTTGAGTGTCCGACTGGAGGACCCGATCTTCTGTGTGTGGTGCCCAATCGTCTGCTGAGTTGTTCGAGTTCACGAGTTGTCGATATGGCGGTACGTGGGCAAACTTGGGAGGAGCGACGACGAGGTCAGGGGTCACAGGCAGACTTGGACGGACAGGAGTTTGTGCAATCAAATGCAACGGATGGTGTTGATGATGTCGTCGTGCAACGGGCGAGTGTAGTAGTTCGTTCAGAATGTGCACGTCACCTGGGGTGATGGACAGTGGCTGCGGTGCCCTCGCCATGGACGCTGCTCCTTGCAAACTCGTCATTCAGTGAAACTGCTTATGTAAGTGCGACCTTTGGCGAGCCAATCAGAGGAGGCGGATCGGATTTCGTCGAAAACAATGTCCAGGATAAGTCGAGAATGGACCCATTGAGCGAAAACTATATACACGTCGTGACTGCCTTCGTCATTACCACATTAAGTGGGCGTGGTAATTAGCTTGGCCATCCCATCCTTCCAACTGCTTCAAGTTGACTTGTGGGGTCTCGGTGTCGGCGCCATGCTTTCCAGACAGTCCAAGGCCATAGTCTATCGCCCTCTGAAAGGATTGCTTCGCCAAGTCGTACTTGCGCATGTGCATGTAGCACACACCCATATTATTGAGGAGGTGGGTGCTCCCAGGGAACTGGCGCAATTCCAAGTCGTATAATGCGCATCCACGCTCGTACCGACCAAGAAACATGAGCAGTCTCGCTTCCTGCAGCTTTGCTTTGAGGCCAGTGCGGGGCGTGTGCACGAGTGAGCGTTCCCAGTAGGGTGCACTCTCAGCGACGCGACCAACTTTGGCATAATAGTCTGCCAAATGATCCAACGCCCGCCAATCCGAAGGGTCATGCCTACGAGCATACTTAGGTGTAAAAGTTGTCGACTCGTTTTTACAATCAAACACGTAGTTACTGAATGTTGTGAAGCCAAAGCACTTCGTCGTTTCGCCACGAGTTTACTTGATTGGCACTAAGCATGGCAAGCACCATGGCCACGATTGCAAACCACGCCAAGGACATCCTGGCAGACTGGATGCCATGGGCAATACACGCTCCAAGCACTGGAATGAACACGACCGTTGGAAAGTAGGCGTATCGATCTGCCGTGAGTGTGATGATTCCATGCTGAACCAACCCACACACGGGTAGGAACATCACGACATAGTACACCCACGCGGCCAACATGCCAGGGTGTGTCGAGACTGCACAGACACACCCTACATACATCATATCTTGATTAGCAAGGAGCATTGAAAACACGTACTGCATACACATTGTAATCCCGACGCAGGACGCCACGGATAAGAGACTCGCGGCGTTGTTTGGGATGTTCATGTCGCCAGGGCGGAGTTGATAATGAGCTCTTAACTCGGTGGGCCACAACCACATTTGCAATGCGCAAGTCAGCATGACGAACACCTTGACCAGTCGTTCGTGGAAAGGAATGTGCAGTGGGTCTGCCTCCCACGAATCCCCGCCTTGGTTGGACATGACCATCGTCCAAATAGCCATTAGCCCCACAATGCCAAAGCCAGCGAACGCCTGAAGGAATTGCAGAACGAGAGATCGAAATGTCAACTTGTTGGAGTCGATCTTAACGATGTGCACCAATACATCGATCAACACCAGCCCCACAGGCGTGAGAACCGCCACACTCTTGCTTAGAACCGCACAACCGTACAGCACTATATTGGAATGTCACAATCGGTATTGATAGTATTGACCTACCTGTAGGCATAACGTGGCGAGCCAGCCCCGTATTGCCACTGGTCCTGTTGACAACATGAACGTAAAGGCATGAGCTTGTGAAGAATTGTGCCAGCGTGTATGGTTGGGCAGATGGCCACGCGACGACTTCAACATTGAGAGGGTGGATACCGTAGAGGACGGCGCTGATTGTGCATCCCACCGACATGGACGTCGTGTCGAAGGATTTTGTTGTGAATGCCAGCAAGCGGATGGAGGTTGCCCGGAGAATCAAGCACGATACAACATGTAGCATGAGCGAGACAAGGCGAACCGCTTGGGAGTTTAATCCACACGCTGCAAACACAATGGCTTTGAGAAAATGGGCCAACGGCTCGTAGACTCCGATACGGACTTCTGCAAGCATCGCGCGGACGTGGTGCCAATCCAGGTGGCGAATGGCGCCGTTCTGGGCAAAGTTAACATCATCGTCCCAGCACACAATGAAGTCCCAATTCCCAAGGAGCAGAGGCGTCGCATATACAGTAGCACAAACCCCAGCGACACATGCGACTGTCCACTCCGCCTTCCATTGCATCTTGATTTTTGCGATCCATGTCAAGCAGATTCACAGTATTTCATGGTTGCTAGTTACATTTCCTAGAAACACTATTTACTGTTAATATCGACAGTCGAGTTGTATTTACTGTTAGTGGAGCATGTAACTGTTGTGGCCATGGTGGTTATAACGGGTTGAACCGACGCTTGGAGTTGTGCCTGTTGCAAAGAACGAAAGCGCCGCGAATTCAACGTCACCATGGACGTACGCAGTCCCAATCGGAGACTGCGGATCGTCGTGGACAACCCAGACAAGAAGGAGAAACCCCCGACTCCCAAGAACATGTACTCGCTGGTCCTTGACACCAAGTACGACCTTCAGTTTGTCGACCCAAAGGAAGAAAAGCAACCGGCAACACCTACTGCACCTCCGAGTTCGCTCGGGTTTTCGTCTCCACACCCCAAGACCTCACTAAAAGGCGCGCGATCACCCAAGAAAATCCCAGAAATTTCCCTTCTCAAGAGTCCTCCCAAGGACAAGAAGGTCGGCAAGAAGCCAGTCGACACTTCTGGCAATGCCAACGCTGCTCCAGTTCCAACATCCGTTGTGTCTGCAGCTTCTCCTTCCAAGAAGACAACGTCGTCGTTGGAGTTCCTCCGAAAGTCTCTGGTCATGGACGTTCCAGAACCGACAAGCGACGACGTCCGCTCTCCGTCAAAGCCAGACACATTGCATCCTTCAGCATCCTCACACCCTTCCGTCCCGTCGCCACATGGAACTCTTGACGGAACCACTGACGAAGGCCTCATTCGCGCTGCGGGGCTGCACACGGGCGAGGACGCGATCTCGTTCTTTGCACGCAACGGTTCTAACAGCCAAATCAAGTTTGTGCACTTGAACCGAGCGGAATCGGCGTTGCTGTTCCGGCCGTACGATCTCACGGTCGTGCTGCCTGGCGACGCGCAGGCCGAGCACTTCACCATGTCGGCCAGTGGTCTCGTGCACATCCAACCGGGGTCGCCGTCCGAGTTCATCGCGCTGGCAGAGTGGATGCGCCAGTCAACGCTGTTCAACGTGCTCACGAACTTTCGCTTCTACAAGTACTACCTCGTGAACAAAGCGTTCATGGCATGGAGCACGCGCGTACGGTACAAGTTGTTTTGCCGCCAGCGCAAGCAGCTGTGCAACACGTTGTACTTGGGCAAGGACAGCTTCTCGACGCCGCTGTTGCAAGTGAAAAAGGTCATGATGGATCTACAGAGCGTGCTGCTGCTAGACTTTCGCGCGCAAAAGACGTACGAAGCCAGCGCGTTCGTCGAGTACCAAGCGACAAAGCGCACGGACGCGTCCAAGCAGTTTGAGTCGTGTGTCGAGAAACTGCAAGCGATTGCGCAAAAAGTATGCGCCGACGTCAACAACCTCGCCCGCCAAGCGCACCAGAACGACGACCTGAACGACTTGTCCGTGTCCGTGCATGCCGACAAGACCAAGTCCATCGTCGCAGCAAAGCACGAACAGATTCAGCGCCGTAAGCTGCTCAAGCGCGCGGCGGAAGAAGCGTCCATGTTGTGCGACTTCATTCGGCTCATCGACTACATCACGACCGAGAACCTCGTGCTGCTGGCCGTGGCGAGTTGCCGCGAATTCCTCGCCGAGCTGTCCAAGACGCCGCGCAAGACGGGGTTGTTTGAGACAACGATCCACTTTGGAGACACGGACACGGTGTTTTCGCCCACGTGTGAGCAGATCCAGGCGATCGTCGTGAGTATGACCGACGACATTGTCGGCGCCGTGAACTCGGTGTCGCGCATCATTTACTTGCGCCCGTTTGCCCAGTACATGGCCAACGCCATTACAGACGGGCCCCACATTGGGCCGACGATCACCCACAGCGTCGACTTTCAGTCGATTCGCGCCGACTTGGTTGCCAAGATTCAAAACGACTATGCGGAAGCCACCGACTACGTCAAGATATTTGACAGCGTTCGGCCCATCTTTGAGTACGACAAGCAGTGGGATTTTGAAAGCGACTACTCGCAGCGCACGCACACGGTGACGTCGCTCAAGGCGGACATGCTGCAGATCGCGACGTGGGAAAAAGAGCTAGAAAAGATGCGCGCCGGCCAAACGATTGGCATTTTGCACGTCGAGAGCCGCAAGTTAAAGCAAAACCTGATTCCGATGACCGCGGCAAAGCTGGACGCGATGAAAGGCCTTGTGAAAGACCAAGCCCGCGCCAAGTGCAAACTGCAGTTGGGCGAGTACAAGCAGCGCATTCAAATGCTGAGCCAACGGCCGCAGCACTTGAAGGAGTTTGCGGCGCACGTCGAGCGCGTGCAAGGGTTGAAGCAAAAGCAAAAGGCCCTTGTGAAAAACACCAACGTCGTCGACGAAATGTACCGTCTCTTGGGCAACTACGGCGTGCGCATTAGCAGCGAAGACATGGTCCAGCTAGATGATTTGCGAAGCGTCCAGGAAAGCTACAAGGAAGAAACGGACGCCGTCGACGTGTACATCCACGGCAAGTTGAGTGAAATGACGCAGCAACTCGACTCGAACATTGCTCGATTGGACGAACAAACGGTGCAACTGAACGAGCAACTGCAAACGGGTGCGTTTATCGACGCGACCAACTTTGACGAGACGGGTATCGTGCTGGGCGAGCTGGACGTGGTCAAGCAACGTCTGGGGCAACTCGAGGAGCTGTCCAAGCAGTACTCGGAATACCAAACGCTGTTCAATATCGACCCGTACAACTATGTCAACTTGACAACAACGATGGATTACTACAACACGGTGGAAGCGCTGTGGACAGCCGTGGACAAGTGGAACGACCAGCAGCGCAACGTGCTACACAATCCATTCGCGGACATTCAAGTCGAAGAACTTGCCAAGGATGTGGCCGTAGCGTTTAAAGACGCGTATGCGATGCACAAGAAGCTCAGCAACGACGTGACGGCGTTACTCAAAGACAAGGCGGCCGAGTTCAAACTCAAAATCCCCACGATTCTCGAGCTCGGGTCGCCGAGCATGAAGGACCGGCACTGGGAAAAAATCTTCAAAGCGCTCAACCAACCGTGGTACCCCGGGATTGCGTTTACACTCGACAACTTGATCGCGTACGACATTTTCGAGTTCAAGGACTTGGTGAGTGAAATCTCGGCCACGTCCTCTGGTGAGGCGCAGATCGAAGCGTCGCTGAACAAGATCAAGCTGGGATGGGAACAAACCAAGTTTACGTGCATCCCGCATCGCGATTCCAAGGAAATGTTCATCTTGGGGGGATTGGAAGACATTTTGATGCTGCTCGAAGACAACCAAGTGACGCTGCAGACGATGATGGGGTCGCGGTTCATTCTGGGCGTCAAAGACGAAGTCGACCGGTGGAACAAGAAGCTCGCGCTGCTGTCCGAGACGCTGGATGAGTGGGTGACCTGTCAGCGCAACTGGATGTACCTGGAGACGATCTTTTGCGCCGAGGACATTCAAAAGCAATTGCCGATTGAAGCTCAAAAGTTTCAATTGGTGGACAAAAACTGGCGCACGACCATGGTTCGTACCAACGACGACCCGTCCGTGCTCAAAGCGGTCGAGAACGGCTCCGAAATGCTGGACCAGTTCAAAGTGTCCAACCAGCTGCTCGAGGAGATCCAAAAGTCGCTCGAAGACTACTTGGAAACCAAGCGCATGGCGTTTCCCCGGTTTTACTTTTTGTCCAATGACGAATTGCTTGAAATCCTGAGCCAGACCCGTGACCCCCGCGCCGTACAGCCCCACTTGAGCAAGTGTTTTGACGCAATCAAGTCGGTCCACTTTGAGACGTTGCCGGGGCAATCGACCCCAAGCAACCGCATCACGGCCATGGTGAGTGCTGAAGGCGAGCGCGTGACGTTTCCAAATGTCGTCGTGGCCCAAGGGCCCGTGGAGATGTGGCTGCTCGAGGTCGAAAAAGCTATGCGCGATAGTTTGTACACCGAGTCGTACGCGTCGTTCAAGGCGTACCCCGTGGAACACGCGATCGACCGCAAGGAGTGGCTGTTTGCCTTTCCGTCGCAGGTAATCATCATGATCGACCAAGTGTTTTGGACGCGCAACGTCGGCCTCGCGATCGTCCAAGTGGAGCGACATGAAAACGCACAGGCATTGGACGAGTTCCTAGCGTTCAGTCTCAAGCAGATCGACGGCATGGTCGTGTTGGTGCGAAGCGACTTGACCAAATTGCAGCGAAGCCTCATGGGGGCCCTCATCACCATCGACGTGCACGCGCGAGACGTGGTACGTTCGCTGTGCGCCAACAAGGTGTCGTGCCTCACGGACTTTGAATGGACGCGCCAATTGCGGTACTACTGGGAAGAAGAGATCAACAACTGCGTCGCGCGACAGACCAACACGCGGTTTGTGTACGCGTACGAGTACTTGGGCAACACGCCGCGGCTGGTCATCACGCCGCTCACGGATATCTGCTACATGACACTGACGGGGGCGTTGCATTTGAGACTGGGGGGCGCCCCCGCTGGTCCCGCCGGCACTGGCAAGACGGAAACCACCAAAGATCTGGCCAAGGCGTTGGCAGTGCAGTGCGTCGTGTTCAATTGCTCGGACGGGTTAGACTACAAGATCATGGGGCGGTTCTTTTCGGGATTGGCCCAAGCCGGGGCATGGGCCTGCTTTGACGAGTTCAACCGCATCGATATTGAAGTACTCAGTGTGATTGCCCAGCAAGTTTTGTGCATTCAACAGGCCATCATTTGCAACGCCGACCAGTTTGACTTTGAAGGAAAGCTCATTCGACTCAACACTGGCTTTGGCGTGTTCATCACGATGAACCCTGGGTACGCTGGGCGGACAGAACTACCCGATAACCTCAAGGCGCTGTTCCGACCCGTTGCCATGATGGTACCCGACTACCGCCTCATTGCGGAAATCGTCTTGTTTTCCGAAGGGTTTGCCAACGCACTACCGCTATCGCACAAAATGACACAGCTGTACTCGCTGTCGTCGGAGCAGCTGTCCAAGCAGGACCATTACGATTTTGGCATGCGCGCCGTCAAGTCGGTGCTCGTGGCGGCGGGGCAGCTCAAGCGAAAGTGGCCCGAGACGCACGAGGACCTGCTGCTCATTCGTGCGATGCGGGACTCAAACGTCCCCAAGTTCCTCGAAGCGGACTTGCCGCTGTTTCGTGGCATCATCAGCGACTTGTTTCCAGGTGTGGTGGTGCCGTTTGTCGACTACGGGGTGCTGCAAAAGGCGATTGAAACGCAGCTGGCGGTGCTCAATCTGCAACAAGTCAACTCGTTTGTGGCCAAGACCATCCAAGTGCACGAAACGCAGTTGGTCCGCCACGGCATGATGCTGGTCGGCGAGGCTGGCAGCGGCAAGTCTACGAACGCGCTAATCCTGGCCAAAGCGTTGACGGCACTGCACGAGCAAGGTGTCGTCGATCGCGACGGGTTTTACAAGGTGGTCACACGCCTCATTCTGAACCCCAAGAGCATTTCTGCAGGCCAATTGTACGGGGAATTCAACCTGCTCACATCCGAGTGGACGGACGGATTGGTCCCCAAACTCGTCCGGCAAGCGGTGGCTGAAGCCAGCGAAAGCGACGCGCGGAATTGGGTCGTGTTTGACGGGCCCGTGGATGCCGTCTGGATTGAAAACATGAACACTGTCCTGGACGATAACAAGACGTTGTGTCTGGCTAACAGCGAGCGCATCAAACTTCCGTCCACATTGCACATGCTGTTCGAAGTCCAAGACCTGCGCGTGGCCTCCCCCGCGACCGTCAGTCGATGCGGCATGGTGTACATGGAGCAAGTCCATGTCGGGCTCATCTCACTCGCGCGCACGTGGAAAGTGAACGTGTTGGACAAAATCCTGTCGACCGAATTCGCAACCATTGTACTGGAACTGGTCGAGATTCACGTACCGGTGGCGATTCAGTTTGTCCGAGCCAAGTGCCGCGAAAAAGTGCCGAGCAACAACGGCAACCTCATGCAGTCGTTTCTGAACCTGCTTGCGTCGTGCCTGTCGGCGCCATCCGTGGTCGCGAGCACGGCCAGCAACGGGGCCGACATGGGCTCGCTTGCACGCATGTACTTCATCTTCTCCCTGTCGTGGAGCGTCGGCGCCAACATCGACGACGCGTCCCGGCCAAAGTTCCATGAGTTCTGCCTCACGCAACTTGCGCATTTGTTCGAATATGTCGGCACCGTGGACAACGTGTACAACTACGCTGTGGACGACACCAATGCCACGTGGGTGTCGTGGGTGCACCGCACGCCCCAGTTTACGTACGACCCCAAGGCGTCCTACTTTGCGATGCTCGTGCCGACGCAGGACACGACGAGGTTCCGATTTCTGCTGGAGCGGCTCATGTCCAATGGCCACCACGTACTGTACAGTGGCGAGACCGGGGTCGGCAAGTCTGTGATCATCCAGTCGTTTCTGGACGACATGACCAAGACCGACTCGTTTGTTGCGTCCACGATGGGCTACAGTGCCCAAACCAAACCCGCGAATTTGAACGAAATGCTCGAACTCAAGCTGGAAAAGAAGCGCAAAAACTTGCTTGGGGCCCCCCATGGCAAGAAGATGCTCATGTTCATCGACGACCTCAACATGCCGGCGCTCGAAGTGTACGGCGCCCAGCCGCCCAACGAACTGCTCCGCCAAGTGATCGATTCCGGTGGGTTCTACGACATGGACAAGATGTTCTTCAAGAACGTCATCAACGTCGTGTTTGCAGCCGCGTGTGCGCCACCGGGGGGCGGCCGGTCGGACGTGACGCCGCGCCTCATCCGGCACTTCCACATGTGCTGGATCCCCAACTTGTCGGCGGACGCGATGACCCAGATCTTTGTGTCGATCCTCAGTGGCTTCCTCGACGTGGAGATTCCCACGCTGAGTCACATGTCCACCGCGATCGTCACGGCCAGTGTGGAATTGTACCAGCGCGTGGAGGCGGAGCTGCTGCCGACGCCGTCCAAGTCGCACTATACGTTCAACCTGCGGGACTTGTCCAAAGTGTTTCAAGGCGTGCTCATGGTGAAGAAAGCCAACGCGTCCACGGCGGACGGACTCGTGCGGCTGTGGCTACATGAAGAAGCGCGGGTGTTTCGGGATCGGTTGATTGACGCCACAGATCGCGCGTGGTTCAACGCGGCGTGCTCGACGTTGTTAGAATCCCATTTGAAGCTGATCTGGGAACCCGCCGTGTTTGACTCGTGCTTATATGGCGACTTTGCGACCCGGGAACATCGCACGTATGCTGAAATGACAGACGTGAGCCGTCTCAACGGCCTCCTGCTCGAGTACTTGGAGGAGTACAACATTACGTTTCCGAGTCAAATGCACTTGGTGTTTTTCAACGACGCGATCCACCACATCAGTCGCATTTGCCGGATTCTGAGGCAGCCACGAGGCAACGCCCTCTGCGTCGGCGTCGGAGGCAGCGGTCGGCAGAGTCTGACGCGGCTGGCAGCGTTCATGGCCGACTACCGGTGCTTTTCCATTGAAATCACGCGCGGGTACGGCGCCGACGAGTTCCACGAAGACCTCAAGACGATCCTCATGGTGGCGGGCGCCGAAGCCAAGCCGGTGGTGTTCTTGTTCAGCGACACGCAAATCGTGGTCGAGTCGTTCCTCGAGGACATCAACAACATTCTCAACACGGGGGACGTCCCCAACTTGTACGCGGCCGACGAAATGGAGAAAATCGTGAGCATGGTGCGTCCTATCGCGGCCGGGATGGGCAAAGTCACTCGGGAAGACATCATCGCACATTATTTGACGTTGGTTCGGGAAAACTTGCACTTTGTGCTGGCATTTTCGCCCATCGGCGCCGGGTTCCGCAATCGCTGTCGCATGTTTCCGTCGCTGGTCAACTGTTGTACGATCGACTGGTTCAACGCGTGGCCCGAAGACGCGCTGCATTCCGTGGCGATTCGGTTTCTAGCTGCGTCGGCGGAGGAGCTGGGTATCGACGAGCACGTCGAGACGTTGTGCAACATGGCGGTGACCATCCATCGAAGTGTCGAGGCGGCCACGGCCAAGTACTTTAAGGAGCTCAAGCGGCAAACATATACGACACCGACGTCGTACTTGGAGCTGATTCGATTGTACGTGGATATGTTGCGAACGCAGCGCGGACTGGTCAAAGCAAAAGAAGCGCGGTACCGTGGCGGGCTCAAGAAGCTCGCGGAAACCGAAGAGATTGTCGGTAACCTCAAGAACGAACTGATTGTGCTGCAGCCCGTGTTGGTCAAGTCTCAGCAGGAAACGTCCGAATTGCTGACCCAAGTGACCAAGGACCAGGAAGAAGCCGACAAGCAGCAAGTGCTCATCGAAGCGGACGTGAACGCGGCCAACTTGATCGCCGACGAAGTCAAAGTAATCAAGGACGACTGTCAAAAGGATCTGGACGAAGCCATGCCGGCGTACTATGCCGCCATTGGCGCGTTGAATTCGCTCAAGAAGGATGACATCACGGTCGTTAAGTCGTTTGCGAACCCGCCAAAGATGGTGGGGGTGACTATGAACGCCATTTGTCTGCTCTTTGGGTCGAAACAAGAGTGGAACGAAGGCAAGAAGCTCCTCAATGACATGAAGTTTCTAGACAAGCTCAAGGAATTCGACAAGGACAACATCCCCCCCAAGACGATCCGCCAACTGGCCAAGTTTGTCCAAGACGAGGAATTCACGCCGGAAAACCTCGCCAGTGTGTCGTCGGCTGCCACGTCGCTGTGCATGTGGGTGCGTGCCATGTACACGTACGACTCGGTGGCCAAGAACATTGGCCCAAAGAAAGAAAAGCTCAAGGGCGCCGAAGCCACGCTGGCCGCGGAACAAGCCAAGCTCGAAATCAAGCAAACGGGGCTCAACGAAGTGCTGGCCAAAGTCGCCGGGCTCAAGCGCACGCTGCAGGAAGCGCAGACGAAAAAAGCCGAGCTCGAGGCGCAGACGGCGCTGACGCAGGCGCAGCTCGGCCGCGCGGAGAAGCTGATTGACAGTTTGGGCGAGGAAAAGGGGCGGTGGCTGGAATGCGCCGACAACCTGGGTCTGGACATGATCAACTTGGTGGGCAACATGATCCTCAGTTCGGGGTGCATTGCGTACATGGGGCCATTCACAGCCGAGTTCCGCGCCGACATGCAAGTCATGTGGGTGCGATTCTGCAAGGAATCGCACCTGCCCGTGGACAACAACTTTAGTCTGGAGCGGATTCTGAGCGACCCGGTCGTGGTGCGCGAGTGGAACATCATGGGGCTTCCCGCGGATGCATTTTCGACCGAGAATGGACTGTTTGCTACGATGGGGCGTCGGTGGCCCCTCATGATTGACCCCCAAGGTCAAGCCAACAAGTGGATCAAAAACATGTACAAAACGTCCAACTTGCAAATCATCAAGTTGACAGAAAAGGACTTTTTGCGGACGTTGGAGAACGCGATTCGATACGGCATGCCCGTGTTGCTTGAAAATGTCGAGGAAGAGCTCGACCCGAGCTTGGAACCGGTATTACTCAAGCAAGTGTTTAAGCGATCTGGGCAGAACTTGCTGCACTTGGGGGACGCGGACATTCCGTACTCGGAAGCGTTTCGGTTTTACATTACGACCAAGCTCGCGAATCCACACTACATGCCCGAAGTGTGCATCAAAGTGACCGTGATCAACTTCACTGTGACGTTGACGGGGCTGGAAGATCAACTGCTCGTGGACGTCGTCCGGAACGAACGGCCCGACTTGGAGCAAAAGAAAGACGAGCTCACGGTCGCGATTGCCGCCGACAAGAAGGCGCTCAAGGAGATTGAAGACAAGATTCTGTACATGTTGGAAAACTCCAAGGGCAACATCCTCGACGACGAAGAGCTCATCGACACGCTAAGCCACAGCAAAGTCACGTCGAGCGCAATCAAAACCCGCATGTCCGAGGCGGAAATTACGTCCAACGAAATCAACCGCACGCGCGAAGGCTACCGCTGCGTGGCCGTGCGCGGGTCCATCATTTACTTTGTGATTGCCAACTTGGCGCTGGTGGATCCGATGTACCAGTACTCGCTGCAGTACTACCAAAAGCTGTTTGTGATGCGCCTCGAATTGAGCGAAAAGGCCGACGACCTGCTCGCCCGGCTCGACATCCTGATGAACGACGTCACCATGAGCATGTTTGTAAACGTGTGCCGCGGACTGTTTGAAAAGGACAAGGTCGTGTTTGCGTTTATGATTGTCGCGTCGATTCTGCGACAGCGTCACGCTATTTCCACGGCCGAGTGGAACTTTTACCTTATTGGCGCCAAGCGGTATGTATATATATATATATATATGTATACAGTCGTCTCGTCGTTGATCGATCTAGCAGGTATGCGACGAGGGTTGGGAGCTAACGCTGTCTTGAGTAGAACGCACGCGGTGGATGCGACGCGCAAGCCAAAGTGGCTTCCCGAACGCGTGTGGATTGGAGTCGAGACGCTCTTGGAGGTGAACCCTGTCGCATTTGAATCGTTGCCAGCATCTTTGGTCGAATACACTCAGACGTGGCGCGAGACCATCTTGTACTCGGCGTTGCCGCACCAAGAACCGATTCCGGGCGAGTTGAATGAATCGCTCACGAATTTCCAAAAGCTGCTGGTGCTGCGCGTGTTCCGAGAGGAAATGCTCGTGTTTGGCACGCGAGAGTTTGTCGGGCGCGAAGCTGGCGCCTTCTTCACCGAGTCGCCGCCGTTTGATCTCAAAGGGTGCTACTCGGACTCAGCCCCAGACATTCCGCTGATCTTTGTTCTCAGTCCGGGCGCCGATATTACAGACTACTTGTTGGAGCTGGCCAAGAACGAAGGCAAGGACGGTCCGGGGCTCAAGATCATATCGCTGGGCCAAGGCCAAGGTCCGATCGCCGAAGCGCTCATGAAGACCGCGCGGGAAACCGGCGACTGGGTGTGTCTGCAAAACTGCCACTTGGCGGTCAGTTGGCTAGGGAAGCTCGAGCAACTCTTGGAAAAGAGCAAGGAACTGGACATCCACCCCCAATTCCGACTCTGGTTGACGAGTATGCCGAGGTATGTTGGAAGAAGTATATACATATGCGTGCGATTTTGGCCCTCATGTCAAGCTTCGCTTAGTGCCAAGTTTCCCGTGCCAATCTTACAAAACGGCATCAAAATCACCAACGAACCTCCCAAAGGCATGCGCGCCAACTTGGGCCGCACGTTTCTCGACATGAAGGACGTGGACTTTGAGGGGTGCTCCAAGCCCCGTGAGTATAAAAAGTTCATTTTCGCGCTGGCGTTCTACAATGCACTGTGCTTGGAGCGGCGCAAGTTTGGCGCCGTGGGGTGGAACATCCCGTACGAGTGGATGAACTCGGACCTGAAGACCGGCATGCAGCAAGTCAAGCTGTACCTGGAGGAGCAGGACGAGGTGCCGTTCGTGACACTCAACGTGATGGTGGCCGACATCACGTACGGCGGCCGCATCACCGACCGATGGGATAAGCGGACCAACTCGTCCATCATGCGCAAGCTGTTCCACGAGAACCTCCTCGACGACGCGTATCGCTTTGCCACGTCCAACACGTACTTTGCCCCGGCGACGGGATCGTTGGAAGACACAAGAAGGTACGTGACGAGTTTGCCGTTGGTCGACGCGCCAGATATCTTTGGCCTGCACGCGAACGCCGACATTACGTTCCAGCAAAAAGAGACGAGTCAGTTGATCTCGACGATGCTGCTCATGCTGGGGGGCGGCGGCGGCGGCGGAAGTGGCGGAGACGCGAGCGACAACGACGCAGTTGTGATGGAACTCGTGGTGTACATCCAGGACCGGATGCCCGACATGTTTGACGAAGCCCGCGGCCATGCCGACAGTTTCAAAGAGACAAGCGGTAGCCGCAACTCACTCGGTGTGTTTCTCGGCCAAGAAATGATCCGGTTCAATGGTTTGATGCACGTGATGAACACAACACTGGAGAACCTCAAGCGCGCGATCAAGGGGCTCGTGGTCATGTCGGGGGCACTCGAGCGCATGTACACGGGGTTCCTTCTGCAGAAAATCCCCAAGGAGTGGGAGGACGCGGGGTATCCGTGCCTCAAGCCGCTGAGTTCGTGGGTCGAAGACTTTTTCCGGCGACTCGACGCGATACACACGTGGTTAGTGGATGGCCCCCCGCAGTCATACTGGCTGCCAGGGTTCTTCTTTCCCCAGGGATTTATGACTGCCGTCAAGCAAGTGTATTCCCGCGAACATGAGATCGCCATCGACGCGCTCATCGTCACATGCGAGGTGCTGTCGCACGGCGTCGACGGTGTCACAGGACCGCCGGCGTTTGGGTGTTACATCTCGGGGCTGTTTATGGAAGGCGCGCGCTTCGACCGGACGACCATGCGGATCGGCGAGTCGACCCCCGGCGACCTTTTTGACCGGATGCCCATCGTGTGGCTGAAACCCATGCGCAGCATCGAGTACAAGCCCAAAGGAGTGTACGAGTGTCCGCTGTACAAGACGTCGACGCGGGCAGGGACGCTGTCGACCACTGGCCACTCGACCAACTTTGTCGTAGCGCTAGACATCCCCACCAAGCAAGCGCCGGACCATTGGATTCGACGCGGCTGTGCCATGCTGTGTATGTTGGATACGTAGGCCGGTCGGCAAGGAACGGAAAAAAATAAATGTATAAATTACAGGGGTGGGAAGATTGGGGTGTGGCGGTCAGTCAATGATGGTGGGACGACGACAGGCGGCGCAGCTTGTGCTTGTCGTTGTGCTGCTGCACGAGTAACTGCAGTTCCATGTGGTCGGTCTTGGGTAGGGGCTGCTTGCGCTTGACCGCTGCTTTCGTGTCGATTTGGGTGACCACGCGGATGGCTTGGGGTGTGTGCTTTGCCTTCAGTTCGTCCAGCATGTCTTGGAGGTCTTCGTGGGGAGATTTGATGACACGATGGGCCCGCGTGGGGTCGGGCGATTGATGCGAAAGGGACGACGGGGCAATCACAGCTCCCGGAGATGCGATCTGCTTTCGACGATTGCTTGCATGATCGGGATCGGCGACAGCTTTGGCGTTTTCAGCTTGGTCTAGGACATATACCTCCTTGGGGATCTTTCGAGATATGCTTTCCTGGGAGATGGAATGCCATGCACACTCCAATGAACTTTTGCGCTCGTCGGACGAGGACTTGCGTGCACCGTGTGTTTTCGTGCCGGTGGTAGTCTGATGTCCTGCGTATCGAGCATCACCAGCGCTCGAAGTTCTTGCGTTCTTCACCTTTGCGTTGTGTTCTTTGAGCATTTGCTTGATAAAGTCCTCTTCCTTCCCTTTGACGGGTTTCGCCTTCGACAAGGGTTGCTGTTGATGCGGCTTCTGAACCGCTTTGCGCGGCGATGCATGACCAGCATGGGGTATCTGAAACCACTCCCAGTTGTGTTTCTCCTCGTCTTCGTCTTCATCGTCGTCTGCGAAGGAAAGGTCGACCCACCCCTGACGCACGTCGAAGTCGAAGGACGGAAGGCCCTTCATCATCCCACGCCGAACTTTTGCCGCCCTTTTCAAAAAATATAAAATTATAGAGACCACCTCGCATGCATGGACAGAGGTTTTCATGAGATTTGGTGAGAACTTTTTTAAGTCAAATTAGCTGTAAGTCGAACTAATTTGTCCGATGAAAGATCACTTGAATCACATGCCATTGAAAGAAATGAAAGTCACGCTGTTGCGGGAGGGGAAATACGAGGAGCTGGAAGAAGGACTGCATGATGTCGACTGCTCCGTGACTCTCATTGAGTTTGGCAAGTTCAACATTCTCTACGACACGGGAGGTGCGTGGGCTCTCCCCGAGCTACTGGGGTCGCTCGCAGCCTCAGGGTTGTCGGCGGAGGACATCACGCATGTCGTTGGTTCCCATGGGCATTCGGATCACATTGGCTGCCTTTCGGCATTTCCCAACGCGTATCAGTTCCTTGGTGGCGACGCCAACCTGCGCAACAAGTACTCGACTGTGGAGCCTTCTGAAGCGAACGCCATCGAGACAGCTCGATTCTTTCGCGACGAAATGTTCACTCGAGGAAAGTTCTTCCACTGGGGTGAGCATGGCATTGCCCTCGATGACCCTCGTGGCATCGATGGCAGCATACGGCTGGTCAAGACTCCCGGGCATACCAGCCAATGCACGTCGCTCCTCCTTGAATCCCCCCAAGGTGGAATCCATTTTGCAGGGTCTGCCTTCACCCGCCTTGCCATTGTAGGTGATCTGTGGGACTGCCTCGACGACGAAGACTACTACCGGGCGATCTCCGAGCAGCCTCTTGTCCAAGAAAACACTCGTGCGTTCGTGCTCAAGTGGGGTCCCGATCGAATCATTCCCGGCCACGGCGCGCCGTTTGCCCCGTCCGATCTGAGCGTTACACATTAGACAGTTAATACTACCAAACAAACAGTTTCGCCATCCATGTAACTGTTATTGAAACGGCCACATCTCGACCTCGATCATCGCCGCTGGTGTGGTGACCCACGCCGTCCGTGAATCTCGACCCCATGATGATGATGATGCACAAGGATGACGCGAATGCACTGACGTTTGGGCATCTCTTGTCGTTGGCGCAGTCGCATCAACCCGAGGCGTGTGTGGATGGGTGGACAGGAGTGCTCGACCGGTTGGCCGAAATCGACGGCATGCAGCTCAAACACGTCGTCACCGCTGCGAACGCCACCTTTAACGGCACATTCCACGCAACTGTCCACACCCTGGCGTACCAGGTAGACATCTTGCCTTAACGTACCTAATCGTATGGCATCAATATCATCAGGTGGTGAAAAAGCTCGGGTGTCGGGGCGAAATGGAGCGAAAGTTGCTGATGCGAGATGATGTCCCGAAGCATCTCCTCGCGTCGATGCAATTGCATGTCGGGGACGCCGCCACGCAATCCCACGGCCTCCAAGCGCTGTATCCGCTCGCGTTCGACGCGCCGCATCGCGTGCAGCTGGCCGCCTGTGGCAGTTTGCCCTTGTGTGTGTCGGCCATGGCCGCGCACCCGACGGTGCTGCCGCTACAGCAGCATGGCTGTCGGTTCCTGCAACTGATGGCGTTTGACGACGACTGCAAGGTGGCGATCCTGACCCACGACGGCCTTCCGGTCGTTCTCGCGGCCCTCGACCGCTTCTACAAGGACAAAGACTTGGCGATTTCGTCGTCCGACTTGCTCTACTTTCTCGTGGCCGACCTCGACGGCGACGACGACAAAATGCAAGGCGGCATCGCGCCTGCCATCATCCACGCAGTCGTGCGAGTCATGGACTTGCACGGATCGGATGCTCGCATCCAATCCCATGGGGTTGCCATTCTCAACAGGTATCCCTCCACGCCTAGTGACCAATTGCACTAAACGATGGTGTAGCTTGGTCGCCAACGACGCAGCCAAGCCGCTGCTGTGCACAGATGCAGTGCTGGACGTCGTGGAGCAAGCCATTGGGTTCACGGACGACGCCACAATAGACTCGATTGTCCTGCTCTTTGAATTGTTTCAAGACACGACCTGCCAAACCCTGATCGTGAACAATGCCTTGACTACATCTCGGTATCGTTCATCCTTGCTCGTATCATCGAATACTAACAATTGGGCGGTTGGATGCATAATCACAGACCGATCAAAGCCATTGGCGCCAAATTAGCTACCGTAACGTTTTCGTCAGATGATACAGACAGTGGTGAGCGGGTGGCGTACATTCAGCGAGTCTTGGCGGGTATGGAGTCCACCATCGAAGCTAGGATGACGAACACAGCCACGCAGCCTTCGTCAAGCTATGGTCACGGTGCCGCCGTGACACCTCTACCCCCTTCCTTGCCCCCGACCAGATCGTTGGTTGAAAGCGGAGAAAACCGCCAACGACACTCGATCCAACTGCTTTCATCACCGTCCAAAGTACACGACCAGTCGGTGGATTTGTTGTCTATCGCCACCCGCGACGACGAGGACAAGCACTTTGCAGTTTGCGACCCCAAGGACGAGCTCAACAGCAATTGCTTCACTTCGAAACAAAGAACGGGCACGTTACAGTCGTCACTTCACGTGACAGCATCCCGAGCTCCGTCGTCGGCACATATCGTGGCACATGTAACCTCCTCGCCCAACGCTTCGACGTCTCATGTGTTGGACACGCCAGCATCATCTTCGCTGCCTCCAATGTCCAAAGTGGGGATGCCATTCGGGGCAGCCCCCACCATCGCCGCGAGACACGACAGCGACGCCGTTCGAGAAGTGCGGACAGAGTTGGAAGCCACCCGCGTGGCGTTGGTGGACGCATCGAAAGCCATCGAGTACGAACGGGCCAAGGTGCGCAAAGTGATCTTCAACTACAAACTCATGAAGCGGCGGCTGGCCGACCAACACAAACTCTTGTGCGTTCACAACGAGCGGTCCGTCGCCGATGCCGAGATTCACGACACATTGCTGCAACGTGTGCGGTACTTGGAGTCTGCGCTCGAAGACGCCCACAGATCGTGGTCGAACGAGCGCAATATGCGGGTGGAACTTGAGAACGAGCTGAGCAAGGGCGCTGTGGCGTTGGCCACTGCCCAAAAAGCCCTGGAGGACCAGCGACCACCAATTGTGAGGGAGCGGACGGTGCCGGAAGTGCGCTTTCTGGACGCCCAGCGGTCGGTGCAGCAGCTCACGGGGGACAAGTTGATTCTCGAAGAAGCCGTCAAGGTGGCGCAGGAGTTGCTGTACAATTGTGAAACAAACCAAGTACGTGCTATATTGCATATGCATATCCGCAAGTGAAAACAACGAACCTGGTGGTTGGGGTAGTTTTTCTTGGAAGCTCAAGTCAAGCAAGTCCGCCAACAAGGCATGGAAAGCTTGCTCATGCGTGAAGAGGATGTCGAGATTCCGAAACCGAGCAAATACTTTACCCTCGCGTCCCCCACTGCCAAGCGAACGCAAGCCTATAGCCCCACCACGCCGCACGCCGATTCGCAAGTCAGTAAGGAGCTGTCGTCGACGCTTGAGCTCAACGACCAGCAAGCCATCGGTGGGGTGCCTTTATACCGTTGATGGATGGCTAACGATGTCTTGGTGGCCATAGAGGCGTTTCTCCACCGCGCCTACAAGTGTTTGGAGGCATGTTCCGAAGGCTCAGGGGTGCACTTTTCGATTTTGCGGCGGTATCTTGTCGACAGCGGGCTCGCGTCGGCGCCGGCGATGGTGTCGGACGTGGATGTGATTTTGAACAAAGTTTTAGCCGTGGCTCATGAGAACAAACTCAAAGCGAGGCGACGAAAGGACTACGAGTTTTCGTCGTGTCCCCAGCGGCCCAACTTTGGCAAGCTACGCCATCGATACTTTAGCCGCAACTTGTTTTGCGAAGCTGTGACGCTCGTTGGCGCCAAGAAGTACCCGTACTTGGACAACACGACCACGATGTTGCGAGAGGTGATCTTGACATTTTTGAGCCCGTATGGCACAGCCATCGAGTGCCGCGGCGGCGACGTCCAGCTACTCGTGACGTCGTACGACCCGTTCAATTTTCTCAAGATCATGATGGAGCAGCTCCACCGGTCGTATCACTCGCCCGTGTCCACCGCTGACAACGACCAGCCCCAACGCAAGTTTGCAAATGAACCTATTCTGCAGGCCATGTTGGAAATGGTGCCCGTCTTGCAGCGGGAGCAAAAGCCGCTCAAAGTATGTCTTTCAACTTGGTGATCGATAGTGCTGACAAGACTGTCCTTGTTGTGGTAGATTATTTGTGACTTTTATACGGGGATGCCAGACGCCACCAAGGACGACGCACTGGATATAGGACTCGAGGCTGTGGTATGTGATACAGTAGAGTTCCATGACACTCACACCTGAGTGTAGGTAAACTTTGCCGTGGACTTTGAGGTCATCCCTGCGTTTTTGGATCGGTTAGCTGTGAAGCGGTTGTACAAAGATATCCTGACCTTCTTCAAGACGTTTCTGGCCATGTACAAAGGATTTCCGTGTCCACCAGACAAGAAGAAGTACGTGGCGTTCTATATGACGCTAGGGCGGCTCGCCGTCGAGATCTTCAAGGACAAGCGCGACTACGACATGCCGGAAAGCCAAGTACGTCTGTGATAATACCTAGTATATCTCATGGCGTGTAGATTACTGGACTGCTGCAGTGGATGGACAATTCCAGGGGCCGAGGCCGCATCGTGCGGAAAGGCAGCGCCCAGACAGGCATCAAGTTTTCCAACAAATTGTACGCAGTGAAGTGAGAAACGACGAACTAACTAATCCAAGAGAAGAATGGCTTGGTGATCATGATCTTAGGCCCTACGTAGCAGGGCCCCAGCACGACGTAGGAGGCCACAAGCTCACATCGCAGTCGTACGGTATCGCATTTCACATGTCCGTCGTCCTCTGTCGAAGAGTAGTGTCTCAAAACACGTATAACAGCAAAACGTGTTCGTTAAACCGCGAGATCTAACGTTAAACCTTCGCGACACCAGTTTAAACATATACGTTAAATAAACTCGTAGTTCGAAGTGCTTATTTTATCGATCCCAAAGGACATTCTGTGATTTGATTGGTCCATTCACTACTTCGACGTTTCTTTTTCATAATTGAACATCCTGTGACTTCGACCGAGCGTCATGGATGAGCTCCTGTTCCGAGACAGGACAGCATCTGAAGATGGGACCTCTCTTGAACAACTTCGTCTCCTTGCGCTGAAGAAGCTGTTAGGTAGGCGTCTGTGGCAGCGGTGGCGCATCTACGACATCGGTGCCTCAATGTCGGACGAAGATGAACTGAAGGAGCTGCTCGCGCAACCGAACCCGCGACGGGACGACGTGCTCGAGTTGCTTCAATCCAAGTTCCTCGCAATACCCGAACGCGATTCTTTCGTGTACCGTGGTATCATCTGGCAAGTTCTCCTGCACGTATATGACCCCCAGCGACAGAGTTCCAGCGCGGACGAACTAGAAAATTTGTCGGGGCGGTTGGCATCCATGCCGCGGGACCCGCTCATGTGCAAGGAAGTGGACGAAGCATGTGTCACTCTCCAGTACGTCGTTGGGGATCTAGCGCAGTCGGGCATGGAGACTGTGTTGTTGTGGCTGCTCAAGGCCAAGTCCGTGCCATACACGAGCGGCATGGCGCAGGCGCTCGCGCCGTTCTTTCTGCTTCAACTACCGCTGCATACGGTGTACGATTGCTTCTACCGGTACTGTGCGCTGTATCTTCCCCATCTCGTGAGTGGGACGTTTTCCCTCGTCGACGTGGATCTGCCCATCGAACTGGAGCATCGCCAGCAGTTGACGCTCCACTTGCTTGCTTACCACGACCCCCACCTCGCCCAATTCCTCCTGCAGTGGACCCCTACATGGATACAACGCCTAGTGCCAGTCGACTACTTTTACTGCAACTTGTACCGCCGCCTCCCCCCGTCGTCGTTCCTGTACCTGCTGGACCAGTATTTGATCACCAACGACATGGAGTTCGGTCTGTTTGTCGTGCTCGCCATTGTGAGTCTCCATCGGGACGCGATTTTGGCCCAACCGTCGGCGGACGGGGTCAAGTCCACGTTGGCGCCGCTGTGGGCCCTTGACCGACCGGACGCCACCGCCGCTGTCGTTCTCTTGGCCACGTCGCTTCGCCGGAAGACACCGTCGTCGTACACACACATGTGGCACGTGGTGCCCCATTCCGCATTTAGTCAAGTGTCGAATGACAAGGCCGTGGACATGACGGCGTGGCGCAAGCAAGAGTCGAAAACACTCACGGGCCGGTTCTACTGGTACAATGACAAGACCAAAGTCACACAATGGGAGCACCCCCTTGCCAAGCACGACGCCCCGCCGCCGCTCATGTGTCTGGTGACGGACGTGGCGGAGATCGCGTCGGTCAACCTGGGTCAGCATCCTCATCATGCCAAGCTCAGGTACTTTGTCGTGGACTGCCGAGGCACGCGGTCTTCCCAAGACATCAAGAGCGGCGCCATCCCGTCCGCCTACCCGCTCGACCCCACCGTGTTTGACAGCCCGGACCTGATGCTCCAAACGCTAGAGACGCTGCGGCCACTGGGCTCGCAAGTCCACGTCGTGCTGGTCGGCCATGGACCAGTGCTGCCCACCGCCCCCACGGACGAAGTCGCCGCGCACGTCCGCGAAGGCGTCCGTGAAGACTTGGCGGTTCTGAATCGGGCCGCGCTGTTCTTCCAAAAGCACGGGTTTCGCTTTGTGAGTGCATTGGACGGGGGGTACGCCGCCTGGCACGCGTTTATGCGCGACGCGTCGTTTACGTCGGTGCACGAGTTGATTGGCCACGAGCAACTCGAGTGCCGGTACTGCCGCGTGGATGCTGGCACGGACCCGGACGCTGTGACGGCGTCGACACGAAAGAAACCGAGCATGCCTCGATTGATGCGACGGCGTTTGATCAAGATGCCCACATTGCCGTCCCTAGGCTTTGGAGGGGCTAGACGAGAGGACGCGAAGGGAGACGACAGGCTGAGCGTGTCATCGACATCGTCCAGCAATGCAAATCGCGACTCGTTGAAAGGCAGGCTGTCCCTGGGGGGCAGGTGGTCGCTGCTCCGGTCGCGCAACAGCATGGACGCGTCGCAGAGTGTTGTCGGGTTTGACGGCGAAGAAGATTTGGCGGGGGAGCCCATGGAACCCCGAGAGAGTTGGAGCGACGAAGAAATTGAAATTGCATTGCCCACGTTGTCGGCCTAGTGAAGCGAGATAATTATCGAGTTTGAAGATTGGGAAGATGGGGAATAAAAAACTGTGCTTGCACTACGGCAGTGAAATATTTCAAAACATCATACCCTGTCATAGATGTAAGGAGAAATGAAGTATTAATACTTCCTCTGTTTTGCAAATATTGCAAGCAGCCATTCCGTCCTATAGTAAATCTAAGTATACCGAATCTAAATATAATAAATTTCTGCAACCATATGGTATACCCAGCTCTGATAGGTGCACACTTTCACTGCAGCTTCAGCCTTCATTGCTTCCATGCTTGTGCTCAATGGGCTAGAAATCCTAACGCTATATCACGATAAATGAATTGTAATAGCTTACAATGAGATATCGAAGTCCTTCTAAATACCCATTAATGGTTGTGGTTGCATGCATGCGCCGTGTAAACTGATGAAGTCCCTAGGTTGAAGAGAAGATGTTTTGGCAAATGCAATGCTTTCTCAAATCTAGCCAATGAATGTCCTCTATTTCGGAATAATTTGACGGAAAATTGAATCTATTTCAAAATATATTTCAAAATTATCAAAAAAATATTTTCTGTCTGATACTTTTGAATAGGAAAGTGGCTGGTTGTGGTTCACAGTGAAATCCGAATATATAATTCGAGAAAAAATACACATGGATTCGTCGGACCAATAGGAACGCAACGCACCAATCCGTTTTCCAATCAGAGATCTGGAAGTATCCCATCTGAAACTGCTTGCAATATTTGCAAAACAGAGGTAGTTAGTAACAATCTAAAAATTTAGATAACTCGTAAAGATTCATATTGTGAAAATCTATAGCCCATATCCGGAATTGCTTGCCTCAATGCCAATTTACTTAGTTTATCGGATTATACCCGTTTGGGGGGAAATTACTTTACCACAACACCGTAAACCTGTAATATCCGATATTCATCTCAATGTTCAAATATTAGATTATAAAAACTTTACTTCGAGGTACTTCTTTTGCAGTGAAAATTGACTATCATTCCCACTTTATTTCCGGGGATATCTTTTAGGGTATTCTGAATTAGTGCTGCATTCTCACGCCACTCAAAAATCCCTATTTAAAGTGAACCAGTTGGTTACACAAAACCCTACATGTATCTTGATGGAGCTACCTACATTCACAAAATCCTTGAAAATGGCATTGACATGTGAGGCAAGCAATTCCGGACAGAGCAGTGGGGACCAAATCGCCAGAGAATCGATCGACCAATCAAAACCTAGAGCACTAATCAAGTGGCCAATCAATTTCACTCTTCGACCAAATCAACACGGAATAAGTGTGTGACTGAAATCAGTACGATCTTTACATACAAAAGTCAGACCAAAGAATCAATCGATAGATTTGGCGAATCAGCACAAAAGTCCAAATTTTGGGCAAAAGGACACTACGGTATACTGACTGTGAATGCAGTTTTATGCTAGTTTGTTGACTGTGAATCTTAAAAACATTCTCCCACATTTGATCACTCCCGATAATTATCCGTTTAACTTCCTGCCAGGGTGCTGTTGTGGACTGTTAATGTGCACCACGATTCGTTGGGTACCGCCAGGATAAAGCAACCCATTGCGTGCTACATTAGTTACAGCGAATATAAATAAATGTAGCATTTCGACTGCGATTGAAACTTTTGAAACTTTTCGATCCAAATTGATTGGAAAAAAGGACCCAAGTCAATTTAAAGCAATTTTCCGCCACTTGAATCAGTTTTGTGGGTCAGAATTACCAACTGCTCATTATATTACACTTGATATTTGTAACCTAATTTATTAAATCAATTTATGGCGAGAGATGTGTTTTTGGTGCTTGCGATGATGTGGGGAATCCAAAGACGACCAATCACAGCCGATGACCGTCGCTCTCCCACGTCAGTCAAGAAATCCCGCTCCGCCGCGCTACCATCGCCACTCGATACACGATCATGTCTGAAGCTAGTTCCCATGACTGTGTTTCCCTGGAGGACCACATCCCACTCAGCCCTCAAGCTGCTAGACCAAATGAGCTCCCCTCCACAGTTGCGCGGGTAAAGGAGATTGTCGTGAATGACGAGGACAGTGATCTGGGCACACCAGGGTCACCCAAAGACCCGTTCAGCGACAACTTCGACGACGATCTCCACTCTCAAGCGACGTTCGCACACCATGCGTTTTACGGCCCGACTGCGTCGAACGACAGTGCCCAAACTGTGCACGACACCCGTCGTGTGGAACTAGGCAAGGCCAAGAACTCCGCCGCGTACTTCAAGAGCGAGCCCAAGGAATCGAACCACCGCGCTTCCATGGCGTACCAGCAATCGATTTTTGATATCCCGTCGCCGACGAACAAATCCATGTCGTCTGGTACCCGTGGCTCCATCATCAACATGGCCAAGTCGACCATGCCCAAAATCTCCAAGAGCCTACCTACCCTCCCGAGTTTCCTCAAGCGCAGTGGTGCCGCTGCCAAGGACTCAGATGCGCCATTTTGCGACGGCTGCGGCCAACAGCCCATCAAGGGCGTCGTGTGGTCGTGCAGCGTCTGCGTGAACTTTCACTTGTGTCCAACGTGCTATGCCCAAGGAGTGCACGGGATGGAAGACACTCCCGCGATGCAAATGTACGAAGAATTGAACGCGTTTTACAAGCTCCAAAAGCGGTGCAAGCTGCTCACGACGGAATTCCTCGGCGTGCTGTACACAGACGTGTGCAAGAAGCATGTGCCCAAATTTGAATACCTCGGGAATTGGCTGGCCAGTATCTTGGACAAAAAGATGAACGCGACCAAGATCCCAGCCCGCGGAGTCGAGATCCCCCATTTGACACCGTTGGTGCGAACCAAGTTCGTGGACGTGCTCATGCCGCTCGTGTCGAATCGAAGGGACTTGCAAGTGTATGTGGAGTGGCTGCCAGAGACAGAGGGAGACCTGGAGACCGTTCGCATTTGGATGTCCGACTTGAAGACTCGCACCAAGTCTCCGTTTGCCGTCGCTGCGCCACCAGCGACAGCGACTCCATCAACCACCACCACGGCATAGGATATATGCATTTATATGGGTAATATTATGTTAGAAAGGAAATGAATTGCTGGAATACTCAGTCTTCTTTTACATTTATTAATAACAGTATTATTATTAATACAAGTACAGTAGTGAAAATAGATTACGCTATAGAATTCTCCTAAATCAGGTATCGACAGTTACAGTACCAAAGGTCACTTAGACTTTCCACCTCGAGCATGCGAGTGGAGAATGTAAAACCTCGACCACCTCCATTATCCAAACAAGCCCCACTGCGCTCTAGTCAGAGTCTATTCCATATGACGCTCCAGTCGATTGCTGAGTGATGGTATATTGTAGGTCGACGCGTAATGGGGGGATCGCATGATGCAAAAAGCAGCGTAGCGGCTGTTCCAGCAGGTATGAGAAAACTGCCCTCTATAGTTGTTACTCGGAGTACGTTGCTAACATGCCTTCGATTGACAGACGAATTGACGAGGATCAAAGCGTTGTTCAGCGAAATTGTGAGGCTTGGTATTGCCCGCTCCCAAGACACGGCGCAGTTGTGTAGCGTACGTCTGGCAGGCCTTGGACATTATTTCGATGACGATCTTGACAGAACAATGGACGACCGTCACTTTCAACCCACAGTACGACACGCCTTGGGATGGAATGTCAGTATCGAGAAGAATGGCGAGTCTCTCGCGAAGACAACATTTTCAAACAGCTCGACCACTTTCTCTCACAAAGCAGCATCCAACTCCAAGACCACAATGACTTGCACGACCACTTGCGGTGTGTGGGTCTAGGTTACGATGTCTCCAGCAAGCTAAGTACCACCACTCCATTTAGGCTAGCCATGGAGACTATCGCATCGACTATCGGGTCCAATGAACTGAAACCACAACGAGTAGGTGGCATGCATGATGTGAATCAATCAAATCAACACGTCGGATTCACTGTATAGTCAACGTCAAAGCAGCAGCAGCAGCTTTTGCGAGCCATGCATTTGGACCAAGCTTTGCGGCGAATGGAAGGCCGTGATAAAACGTCGCCGTTGCTCATTTGTCAAGGTATTGGAGATAATTCGTTTTCAGAGATGTAGTACGTCCTTTCGTACCTTGTATTGGTACGTGTAGACATGGTTCGCGGCACCCGTGCGCAATTCCAACAAGTTTTGGCTGGGGACACATCGTCGACCTTGACATCCCTTCCTCCCTCGAGCCATATAACGACACCCGACAACCAAGTGCTGGACCGATCGTCGTCGGAAGTGCAACTGCGAAAACTGTATGAGAACGTCGCCGCAATCAAATCAGTGGAATTGGTCAACGCCCCAACATCGACGGGGTTCACACGATTGCTGGAAGCGCAACGATGGGCCGAAGTCTCCAAATCGAATGGTCGAGATTGCCATATATTTGCTACGAATATGCTAAATTGTTTTGTGTAGAGGAACGAGCCCATGCGCATAGAAAGCATGTGCTGGTGCGGCGAATTCAGCGGACCTTCCGCTTTTACCGAGCGGTTGCGAAAGAGGGGGAACGAGTGGCGTTGGCTCGCTCGCAGTTGGAATTCCATGCGGCCAGTCGCCTTCAAGTTGATATCCATCGAGCGTACGACTTGTTGTGATGAATTCTTTTAGCGGCAATATCGGCGATGGAAGCAGTGGATGACGTTTAAGTCGAACCGATTAGTCACCTTTCGGCGTAACTTCAGCGTCCGTCCAATTCCTATATCTGCCGTGACAGTTCGACCCTGACGATGATTTAGGCGATTCGAATAGCAGCGTGGGTAGTGTTTCGGTTTCGCTTCCAGAAGTGCTGCCGACGCTTTCACGCCGATAGTTGGCTCCCACCTGCAGTATCCCTATTGCTGGAGGAGTCGGCTACTTGTGAGCCACCGGATGAGTGGAAAGTTCTGACCTCTGCTGTCATCAAGTACACACTAGAATGCTATTTAGCTTTCGACTTGTCTTTAATGGTCGTACAAATGGCGGCGGCAGGATTCAATCGACCGTTCGACGACATCTAGTTAGGCGTCGGGTTCGACAGACCTGGCACTTTCACCTACTTCGTCGACGGCGCCAAGACCGACTGGAATGGCGCGACGCGAGAAACCTACACCAGGTACTTTGGTTCATATCATCCAAAGAACAGTTTTGAAGTCGTCGTTTTTGGCCATGTAGAGCACGGCAATACTCGTGGACGAGTTAGTTGAGTGGCATCGAATGCTCTCGTTAGAGCAAGAACGAACTCAAGCTGCGATTGTAGCAGAGCACAAAGTGTTTATCGTTGAGTGGGAGGTCCGCACGAGAGCACCAAAAGAAACGACAGTTTAGAATTGACATTTGCTCTAGAAATACAGCGCCGACTTGACCAAGCAGTGCCTCAAAGCCAAACTCACGGACGAATGGGTCCCCCAACTCGACAGCCACAGTGGCAACACGTACTACTTGAATCTGAAATCCACCGCTATTCACCACGATCATCCAAATATCCTTTCCACTACATATATACACTCCCGATACATTCTAAACGATATTGCATTCCTACGACATATACCCAACTATACATCGACAACTCGCGGCGAAACTAGTGACCAAGCAGCGCCGCCGCGCCGAAGCTCAGTTCCAAGAACGCATCCGTCGACTGGAGGCGCATTTAGCCCAAGTCACCATGGCGAAAAGTTCCCACGACTCCGCCATCGAGCGCGAGATGTGTGCATTGTGGGGATGCGGCGGAGCACTGTCGTGAATAAATAATGTTAACCTGGCAACGAACCTACAACGACTCTACTAAATGACTATTCAGCTGCACCAACACAACCGTAACGTTGTCGCTTGAAAGCCGTTGGATGGCTTCGTGCGCCAGCTCGTCGGCAGCCACGTGGATGCTGCCGTGCGCCTGTAATCGAGACTGTACGAATGCAACTGCGACGTCGTTCGTCATGACCTCCCACACGCCGTCGCACGCGAACAGGACAAACGCGTCGTCTGGCTGGACGTCGACAATAACCACGTCCGGCGTCGCGTCCAGAACTGTCCCGACGCTTTCCTGGGAGTACACTTGCGCGGCTTGCTGGGCAGCTTTGACTTCCCGTCCTTTGAATTCCAAGTCCCCAAACGTCCGCGTGATGGCCAACACACCGTTCACGCGGTTGTTGAAGATCGACCCCCCCGACCCCACCACTTTGTCGTGCTCGCTCTGGCTCGAGCACCGATGGTCACTGGTCAAGGGTATGCATTTCCCCTTTCGACACAACAAAGCGCGGCAGTCCCCTACGTGTCCCACAACAAGGCGCAGAGCCCCCGAAGCAGTGCCGTCGAGGATGCAAAACGTCGCGGTTGATCCACTGGGACTGTCGGACGCGTACAGTTCGTCGCACACGGTGGCGTCAAAGGCTACACAGAGCTGCTGCAGCGTTACGATCAAAGAGGCTGCCTCGGGCAGGGGAACGGCCATGTGTTGGAACAGATGGACATGCAGCCGTTCTTGCAGCAACGCAGCGCAACCGTCGCCTCCGTGGCCATCGTAGAGCCCGACAAACGCCAGGCTGTTTGCTTGTTCTCCATGGCGAACCATGGCGTCGACGGCTTGGTCCTCTGCATGAGCATGTACGTTGGGGATGGCCACCCATCGATCTTCTTGGGTGCTTCGACGCCCTTGCATGGACGACACACCCATGCGAACTCGCAAGCGGGGATTGCCAGCATGTTCTGTCACGGATTGGGGTGTGTTCGAGTACAACGACGACGACAGGTTCGCCTTGATTGTGGGGAGGACCGTGTGGCGTGTGGGGGCCAGCGTGGTCAAGAGCAGTTCGTCCAATCGATTCGAGGACTGGTACATGGCTTCGGCGTCGTCCAGCACATCGTCGTTTTCGTCGTCGCCGTCGTCGCTGTCAGTCTCAACATCGATGCCGTGCGTGGACACTGCCAATGCATCGTCCCCTGATGGCACGAGCTTGGGGTGGCTGCGCTTTTGGGCAAATCGCTCCGACCGGTAGTGGGTCTCTTCGTTGGTGAGGACGAACTTCCGTTTGTTGGTCGGTGACGTGAGTCGCCGTCGGCTACTGCCTTGTTCGGCGTGCAGGACTTGGAGGTCAGCATTGCATTTGGGATTCGTGGGAGTGTTCGTCGGGATTCCGCTGGCATCTGGTTTGTGCGAACCGTTCGCTGATGATGGAGGACATTTTGGGGTGATGATGTCCAAGGGGGCACCTTTGGGGCTCACGGGGAAGGGGAGTTGCGACTGGACCCGAACGGCTGGAAGGGACGAAGTGGGGGATTCGTGAATGGCACTGTTGATTTCATCCACCGAGACAGTGATGGGGACCGACGATGCCAGAGGCTTGGGCGGGGATGGCTGTCGGCCGGGGGGGAGGCGCTCCTTCGTGATCCACGGATGCATCATAACTTCGTGTAGAGCTAGTCGTTTCATTGGGTCCTTGGTCATGATTCCGCCCAGAAAGTCGGCTAAGAGCGCGTCGATGGCCGTGGGAAACACAAGGGGGTCGTTCTGGATCTTGTCAAACACTTGAAGGGCGCTCTTGGCAATGAACGGTGGGTTTCCAAATTTGAGCATGTATAGCGTGGCCCCCACTGCCCACACGTCCGCGAGTTGGCCTGAATCTGCGTACGCCCTCTTAGTCAGGATGTATCGTGTGGACACTTACATTGAACGCCCGAGCACATTTCTGGGGACATGAACGCAGGGGTGCCCATTGCTTCGAGCAGCTTTTGCTTGCTGCCGTACAAGTTCTGGGAAATACCAAAGTCGGCGATTTTGACCACCCCCCGTTCGCCAATGAGTAAATTCTGCGGTTTCAGGTCGCCGTGCACAATGTTCTGTTCGTGAAGGTATGCCAGACCTTGAAGCACTTGGAGTGCCACACCGTGGAGTTCCCGGTCGGACATGGGCTCGCAAACGGTATCGACGGTGGTGGTGGCACCAGCGAGCTTTTTTTGGGATTTTTTGAAACTTAGCAAGTCCCCTAGCTGCATGTATTCGAGCACGAGGAACAGTTTGTTCATGTGCGGGTCGTCCATGACTTCGAAAAGCCGCAACACGTTGGGATGGTTGAGCTTTTTCATGATGGCGATCTCGCGCTTGATGTCCATAAGGTTGTCTGGTTGTTTGTTTAGCTTGGCTTGCTTGTGCATGACATCTCTGTCGATGAACTTCATGGCAAAGAGCCGTCCTGTGCCCTTTTCTTTGCATAGTTTCACTTCGGCATAACTGCCCGCACCCAAGCTTTCGAGGATGATGTAATTGTTGATCATGGTGCGAGAGTTGAGCCAGTCACCCGAGATTGGCCGCGGGTGGGGCAAGTTGTGTGTCGGCAGCTCTGCCTTTTTCTTCTTCACCACAGTCGTGTCGCGGATGTTGGCTGCAGAACACCAGTCCACTTAGACTAGTTACATCACGTGTAAAGCACGTACCAGGCTGAGTCGGGCTCAGGGGTGTAATGAAATTGGCATTTTGACCAGTCGATGGCTGGCGGACAAACAGCTTTGGCTTATCTTGCGACTTGAGAACTTCGGCCCCGATCGTGGTCGGGTTAATGGGCCGTTTCAAGTCGTCTGTGGGTACAAAGCCAACAGGTGGAGACTTGACTTCTGATGGCGGAGTGCACGCAGAGGTGGCTATGTCTTGTATTCGAGGAAATTCTTTGGCTGTCGATAGCCAGTCTTCCACGTCGCCACCGTCAGGTTCTGAACCCGACCTGTCGTCTATCTCGTCGACAACACCAACTGGTGAAGTAGTGCTTGTCTCGAGCCAATTCGTAGCGACCTCGTTGTCCGAGTCGCTGGAGCCGCTGGCTTCATCTGAATTGACGTTTTCGTTTTGCCCGTAGTCGACGTAGTCTGGGGCCACGGCCATGCCACGATCAGGTACGGCGGAGTAGTCTACAGTGTACTTATCACTCGATCGTGAGGCGTATATCTCCCTACGGCCGCTGCTCCCCATTCGCCCCCCTCCTCTCGCGGGCCCCCGTCCTCGCGGCATGCCACGCCCCCTTGAGCTAGGCACTGGCATGCGACCCCCAGAGCCCATGCGCTGGTATCCCCGGGGCGTTGGGGGGCGAGATCGAGGAGTTTCATCCACAAGGCTAACTACATGTGAAGTTGTCATGTTTTCATGACTCGGCTGTGATTTCAACGTTGCATCCGTCGGGGCAGCTTCAGTCTCGTCCACTGATAACCTGTCGACGTTATTGATGATGTTCTTGACAAACTCGGTTGTCTTGGCAGCTCGATTGGGCGATACTGTCAGAGATCCACCGCCGCCTTCTCCTGTTATCGTTGATGTGATTTCGACTGGAGGCAAGTGGCTCGCTGGTTCGACTGCCGCAGCCACAAACACCCGGGATGGCCGACTCTGCCGACATCCCATTGTAGTCGTTATAATTGTCGTGGGGTAGCTAGAGGAGACCGGTGGCCCCCACGAGCATCGCGGGGCTGATTTATCAGGTATATGATAGTGCGTTTCGTGAAGTTTCGACGTTTCACGCCATTGCACCCTCGCTTAAGTTCAAATAGAGCATATCGAGTATATAACATTGTGTATTGGTTTCTTGTGCGTTGATAAAGATCAAAGCTGCCATTGCACATGCAATTTTCATTGTACTAAAGCCAGAAGAGCTATCGCACCAGAATGTGTGGTTAGTGTTAAAGGTTCAAGCATTCACAAATTGGTCACATGTGACTTTGCCGTTACGACATTTCAAACGTCCCTTTGCTAGCCAATGGCCTTGCGAGCATATTTATAGCCCAACTCTTTGCTTCAACTGCATATTTATGGTTGGCGGTAGCACAAGAACGATAGCAACATGGACGGATACGACACTGCATCACCTTCGAAGAGCCCCACGCCTCATGGACACAAGAAATGGGTCAAGAAGGAGAAGATTGGCCAAGGGTATGTCCGCACTATCTGTTGGCATGTCCGTCCTCATTCGTGTCGGTGGTAGTGCGCAAGGCACGGTGTATCGTTGCGTGGACGCATCGTCAGGCCGTATCGTGGCCGTAAAAGAAGTCAACACGAAAGGCTTGTCCGAGCACGAAATTGTACGCCTCATACGACTACTACTGCAAACTGAAAATGCTAATAGGAAGCATTGACGAGCGAAGCCACCGTGATGAAAAGCTTGCCGCATAAACACATTGTCCAGTACCATGGCGTGAAGCAAAAGAAGCGAACGCTGGAGATCTCCATGGAATACATGCCTGGGGGATCGCTGAGTGCGTACATTCGTGCGGTCGGAGGGAGTTTGACCATGGAGAGGACCAAACAATACACGTGGCAGCTTGTTCGAGCCGTGCAGTTCTTGCACGACCACCTTATCGCACACCGGTACAAACTGACGACAACATCCCAAGGACTAAACGAACGATGATTAACGACAGGGACATCAAAAGCGCCAACGTTTTGCTCTCGGGCGACCAATCGCAGATCAAATTGGCTGATTTTGGCGCGTTAAAAGAGATCGGCAGCGTGTCAGTGGTCGGGGGCTTGAAAGGAACCCCCCATTGGATGGTACGTTGATCTTTCCATCAGTATGAAAGGGGTCATTGTTGATATTTAGGCCCCAGAAGTGATCAAGGAGCAGCAGACCAGCGAAGGGTAACCCCACATTATGATAGAAAGTCAAAACAATCACGCTGGAGTAGGTGGATGAAAGCGGATATTTGGAGCTTGGGCTGCACTGTATTGGAAATGCTGACTGGGCGAACGCCGTGGCAAGAGTACAGCAACCCCCTCACCGCCATGTACAAGATCGTATCGAGTGAATCAACTCCCAAAGTGCCGGCGGACCTACCCCCCGAGGCATTATTCCCATCTCTTTCTAAGCAATTCATACTGAGAGACGTGGATGAGTAGGCCACATCGTTTCTGACTGTGTGCTTTCAACGGGACCCTGCCAAGCGTCCGACCGCGTCCGAGTTGCTCCACAGTGCATTCTTAAAGTCCATCCGAAAGATGAAGAAAAAGGCACGAGAGATGGGGGCAGACTCACCAAAGGCTCATGAAGCCGACAACAACGAACCCATCACTACCACGGGGCTGTCCCCCCGATCGTTTTATCATGTACGATAACTTCACTTTGCCTTTGACTTTCGATTGAAAGTAACCTGATGGAAATACACAGGACGAGGTTACGTCGCCGCAGCATTCAGTTGTCGATTCCATGCCCAAATCCAAGGCTCTGGGGCAGCTACTCGACGACAAATTGAATGCACCCAGGCAACGAAAGGCAAAGAAACCCATCAAGCTCGAGCCGTTGGTTGTCGGACACACCTCGAATCAAGAAAAGAGCACTCCGCGAACCAAGGCCAAGGTAGAATTTCACTTGCCCTTGCCGCTCTCACCCATGGTTGGTTGTACGCAGGCGGCTGATGCGAAGCCACCATTGGACAACCACCCGTTGATGTCTCCAGTTTCGTACGTCAAACGAATGAACGGTTGTGATTTCTTACAGCATATTCGTAGCAAGTTGGGGTCTCCATTTCCAGACATTCGATTGAGTTCGCCGGTGATGTCGCCCCAAACCTCTCCCGCGGGATCCATACTGTCGGGGGCCAAGTCCATGGCGGAAGCCGGGTTTCCCACCCTCAAGATGCGCCCCGAACTACGCAGAATTGCAACGGCGCCCCAGTCGGTTAAGCGATTGGGCGACTCTTCCCCCAAGGCCCTGAAGCTGCCCCCGTTGTCAGCACGAGGCGTGCCGGCTCAAAGTGCAAGTCCAGTGGAGTTTGATAGGAATAGTAACAACGCATAACTTTCGCATAACACGCTGAGCACCAGTCATCAGAACCATTCGATGCTTACTTAGTCTCTTTGACGACGAGAATGCCACGATACTCGTAGGATTCTAATACTTCGTATACTACTGAGTGTTATCATATGGCAAATCAAATTGCTAATGGCAGAGTTTTGAGAAATATACACACTCCAGGGGAAATATCTCAATAGAATTGGGAAAAAATTACAAGAGTGTATAATGAAATAAGCCACATTTTCATTGCTGCATACAGTAAGTTAGTAGAACTGGGATACCTCTTGCATTTTATAAATGCCTTTTGGAATACACTGCTGTCCGGTTGCAAAGATCGAAATAATCGTGGCAGCCGTCGCCATGTCCAAGTCTGCACGCAGTTCCGCGACATCCCACCGTGGCGGAGTAGAGGAGGGAAGCCACAAGTTCAAGAAGATATCTGCAGCGAGTGACGAAACCATTGTGATCCATGTATGCGACGAATTCCGTAAAGTGAACAAGGACTTTGTATGCAACAAAGTGCTGCTGTTGGACAACATGAAGTACTTCAAGGCGTATCTGAACGATGCGAGCAACCACGAAGACATTGACATTTCTGTGCACTGTGACGTGAGCATTTTCGAATGGCTTTTCAATTACATCCATGCTGACGGCGCCACCACCAACAGCAAAGCGTCGCCGTCGACTTTGGCCGTGGACAACGTGACGTCGATCTTGATCTCGTCCGACTTTCTACAAATGGACTTCCTCGTCTCCGAGTGCGCTTCGTTCATCAGTCAGCATTTTGAAGAGGTCGTGGGCATGCCTGGGGACTTGCTTTGTATTTCAGATTCCATTCTCGACAAGATTGCCGCCATGTGCACCATGGAGCAGCTAGACGCGATCGAAATGTCCAAGGACAAGCTATGCTACAAGCTGTACACCAAGCGCCTCCATCGAATCGTGTCGGCGTTGAAGGACAAGGAAGATGGCGCGTCCGCCGCCGTGGAATGCTGCGTCCTGTGCGGGGTCGTGTACTACACTGGCCACCGCGGATTCCTCGTCTGTCGCCGAGCCAAGCTAAGCATCGGCAGGCATGGCAACATTGTCGCGCGACACGAAGCCAAACCCGAATGGAAGCTCGACGCGTGGGTGAAATCCCTTACCATTTCGTTTCCAGCGCGTCAGGCGTTCTGGAAGGTCTGGGGCGCGATGCAGTGCTTGTACTGCGTGGACTGCCACATGTACTTTACGGGCACCGAGCTCAACGAGTGCTACTACCACGACCCAAGCGAACCGACCAACGACGACAGCTGCTACGGGTGCTGCGGCGCCAAGCGCTTTGCCGCAGCCACACGCCCGTCATCGGGATGCAAAATCAAGGCGCACACGTATGCTTCCATCAACTACTACTCGACTGATTCGTCAGAGTATGCCATGCCAGAAGTCCTGGAGCGACTGCATCAGCTGGTTGCGTCCCATGCCGACTTGATGGCACGGGAGCCACCTGCAACCGATATGGCGAGTCAGCAGACTGCAACCAAATTCACAGGGGTTAATGAGATGCTGGCCGCGCATGTGAAGCCCCAGATCAGCATGTTGGCCACGTGCGACGTCTCCAACGAGTTGATGAAGGCTATCAAGTCGAATTTGCCAGAGGTGTCGACACCCCAGACAAGGAAACAGTGGAAGATCGACTTGTGCGTGGTGCTGCTTCGCTGTTCAGAGTCCGGGATACTGACGCTGGTTTGGCTGTGTGATTTAGGTTGCAAGAAAAGGACCGCATTCGCGTGCAAATGCTGTCGTCGGCACTCACAAAGATGCGCGTCGAGTACAAGGTCGCCAAGGGGTCGTCATGATGCAAGATTGCACTAACGTTATCAAACGTTAAATGAGTCCTCTTGATGATCCGGATAAGGTTTGTTCTTCAACAATGTCGTCGACGTTAATTAATTTCGTGTATTTTAATGCTCGGAGTCCATTTTACTTGCAGTTTGTAGTCTAGGACTGCAGATTTTAATTGTTCCGTGGCAATAATGTTGACGAATACTAATGGAGGAATGATTATCCGGAAACGTGCCTGCAACATTCCATCCAAATCGAATCAGGCGGCGCCGCACTACCTCGACATGGTGGAAGTGGTGCACACGACAGGGACCCTTGTGAATGACCGCAACCAGACACTGTGGTACCAGAAGCTCGTACCGCAGCAAATGGAGCTGCGGGGCTTGTTACTGTTCATCCACGGCATTTTGGAGCATTCGTCTCGCTACACCGAGTTCTTGAACACTCTGGCGGCGGCGGGATTTGCCGTGTACGCTCTTGACTTGATTGGGCATGGACGCAGCGAAGGGGAACGCGGGTACTTTGACCGTCACACGGATGTTGTGGATGATGTGGATCGTGTTCTCCATTACGCCAAGGCGGAGCTGAAGGAGTCGCATCCCAACATCAACAAGATAATCTTAGTTGGTCTGTCCTTTGGGGGTCTCGTGACAAACTTGACCCTGCTGAGAAAAACGCACGAAATCCACGCTGCTGTCCTCTGCGCCCCCGCCATCAACGTACCACGGACGTTCACCTTGAATGTTCAAGCGTATTTTGGGTCCATCTTGTCGGACAACTTTCCCAAGTGGCGCGTGGTGCCTGGCGTTGAAGCGACTGGTACATCCATGTACTAATTGATTTCCTGTCATTTCACCGCAATTCTCTGCGTAGCGCTGTCGGCAGAGTCGGATGTGCTGGCCGCGCGAGAACAAGACGACCTCATCACCACGGGACTCATGTGTGCCCGCGTCGGCAACGAAATTTTGCTCGCGTTTGACCACGTGGACCAATCCAAGCACATGATCACACTTCCTATCTTGATTGTAGTTGGTACGCCATATCGTACCTCTGTGGGTATGCAATTAAACACACTGTCACAGGGACGTTGGAAAAGGTGGTGTGCCCCAAGAGCATCGAGGGCTTCCACCGTGACATTCCTAGCACCGACAAAGAGCTCAAGGTGTTCGACGACATGGGACACTCGCTCTTGAGCGAAGCTAACCGCGGCGCTGTGTTTAGCCACATCACGGCGTGGCTCACCACTCGATTCGACCTTGTCGCATAGGAAACATGTGGGAAGGAGCTGTTTGTACTTTGTGTTTCGCCACTTGACACAACTGAAATATACGTAATGCATCTGCTGTAACCACGAGTAGTTTGCCTTGTCGAGCGAGGAGTCGTACACCCAGATCGTGTCAACATTGAACGATTTGGTAGTGCTGTACCCAAGTCGATTTGTATTGGTCAATATAAATGCATTATTTTGTGCTAGCCAATCAAAGAAGTCGAAATGGCAGCCCCTTATTGACAGTACTACAGTACTAACTTACGTAGTATTTTCAACCAGGTTTTACTGGCATTTTCAGGGTGCAGATCCATAAGGTATGTAGACGGCTGCATGAACATCGTGTTGTAAGTAAACCTCGCGCGAACCCCATGTCATAGCATCTTCATATTGCAGCCCAGGTTGAACGAGTAATGATATTTCCATTGACAAGTGTGAAAGCCCTGCCTGATGTAATAGATCGCGACTCTTGACTAATATCGTCGCTGATTGGCTAAAACAGTTGGATAATTTATCTGAAAGTCGACATCACATTCATCAGCGAATATGGAGGAAGTCGAGTCGGAACAGCTACGTTCGACGGGGACTTTCACGGGCCCAAGAGGTCACATCCTTCACTACAACCACGTTCTACCACCTGCAACAGTCGCGCGTTGTGGCCTTGTCGTGTTTCTGCATGGATTGGGAGAGTACTCCTCGCGATACACCAACTTGTTCGATGAGTTGGCTCGCCACGGCTGGGTGGTGTACGCGCACGATTATGTCGGTCATGGGCTAAGCGAAGGTGATCGCATGTACTTTGACCGCTTCGACGACGTCGTGGTAGACGCGGAATCGTTTATTGGCTTTGCCAAGTCCGACTCGCAGTCCACAAAACCGTGTGTGCTGTTGGGCAACTCCCTCGGTGGACTCGTCGCGAACTTTGTTGTGCTTAGACAAACCCAATTAGTGGATGCAGTCATTCTCGTGGCCCCAGGACTTGACGTTCCTCGCACGTGGCTACTCCACGTCCAAAGCGCGGTGGTGTCGGTGTTGTCGGCCGTGTTTCCCAAGTGGCGCATCGTGCCAAGCGGCGATCGAAACAGTATACCATTCATCTGTTGAATGGTGTAATGGCAGTGTGGACGTTGTAGATCTGACAAGTGATCGTGCTATCTTGGACGCAATCGACAGCGACCCCCTGTTGAACAAGCTCCCCATGAGCTGTCGAGTCGGTGCCGAGCTGCTTGGGGCGTTCACCGCATTCAGCCAGCGAAAACACCTTATCCAGCTTCCCGTGCTTGTTATTCTTGGTAAGGCCCGTATGAACTTACGATGCTGTCGCGAATGAGTGGCAACCAGCCTCAACACGATTGTATAACATACATGGCAGGTTCCGAGGAAAAAATGGTATCGACAGCCAGCATTCATAGCTACGTACAAGACATTGCAAGTCAAGACAAGGAGCTGCAGGAATTCGACGGCATGGGGCACTTGATGCTCTTGGAAAGCACCCGCCACCAAGTGTTTCAGTCTGTTGGTCAATGGCTCCATCACAGATACCACAACTAGGACTCACGAAAAATCACTTTGTCGTGGGGTAAACATCCGGATCCGGTTAAAATAATCCAGTGGCGAACCATTCCCCTTCGCATTATCCTCAATCATCATGGCCGAGTTTCAAGCGGTGATCCTTGCCGGCGGCAGCGGCGTCCGACTGTACCCGCTCACGGAAGAGACCCCGAAACCACTTCTCCTCTTGAACGATCGCCCTCTCCTGTACTACCAGCTGGCGCTGTTGGAGAAATCTGGGTTCTCGGACGTGCTCGTGATCACAACCACCGAGATGAAGGACCAAATTTGCGACTACAAGCTTCGTCAATACGACGGCAAGATCGGAATCGACGTGGTGGCCGTTGAAGGGGACGTTGGTGAGACTGCGGATGCCTTGCGCGCTGTGTCCGACCGTATTCGGTCGGACTTTATCGTTATCGCCGGGGACCTTGTTACAGATTGCGTACTCCAGCACGTGGCCGACTTGCATCGCATCAACGACGCCAGTGTCACGATGCTTCTCAAGCAGGAAGTGATTGGAGAGCCCGTGAAAGGCTCCAAGTCCAAGGATAAACCACGCCGCGACCGTGAAATGATCGACTGCATCGGGCTCGTCGACTCGGACTCGCGCGTGGTGCACATCGCGCACTCGATCTTTGCGAACGACGACATGGAAGGAAGCGAAGACGTGGAAATGCCGTTGGCTCTATTGAAACGTCGGCCGCGCATCAACATGCGCACGGACCTGTACGACGCTCACGTGTACATCTTTCCCCACTGGGTCCTGGACCTGCTCCACGAAAAGAAACACATTGCCAGCATCAAGGCCGACCTCATTCCGCATTTGGTGCGCCGGCAATTCCGCGGCGCCCAAGCACTGGCCGAGTCGGTGCGGGGAAAGCTGCAGTGTCCGCAACACGTGGCCAACCGCCTGAGCGTGTCCTGCGGCAGCAAAGACGACGATGACGTGATGAAAGTGTTTGCGTACATTTTGCCCTCCAATGCGTACTGTGAACGAGCAGACACGAAAGAAGCGTACAACGCCATGACCAAAGAAATCAAGTCCAAATGGAGACTCCAATAGGGAGAGATACGATATTTCATCGAATTTAGCGTGAATTGGTAGGTATATCACGAAAAAAAGAACCAAATTTGACTCACATTTGGAATGAATTCACGTCAATATTGAAGATATATTGATGTTTTTCCTAGAATCAACAAATATTGATATTTTTATCAGCTCGCAGCTTTGAACCATGACGGATACTTTGCTGGGAAGCGGAATCCCGTTCGCGGACGTGAGATGGAGTTCCAAGGTGGCGATGCAAGGACCTGGCATACAAGTGACATACGAACAGCTTAGCAAGGACACTTCGACTGTCCAGGACGCCTTGCGTCGTGAAAACCTCACTCGAGTTGCCATCAGCCTTCCGTTTGGAGTGGCGCAGGTCGTAGCGATGTGTGGCGCGATTGCAGCCCGGGCAGTGTATGTGCCGATCGACGAAACGCAAGCAATGGAGCGCAACCTTTTGATAGTACAAACCGCTTGCGTCCAAGCCGTGCTTTGTCATGCTGAGTCGTTGTGGCTTCAATGTCCTCGTCAAACCCATCTCGTGACCCCGCTTCACGTGCATGAGTTGGTCTTGGTCACATGGACAGACGCGTCGTCAACATCCTCCTCGTCCTTGCATCCGAACCCAATGCTAGAACATCCTGATGCTATGTACGTCCTCTTCACGTCCGGGTCCACAGGCGTACCCAAAGGCGTGGTGGGCACTCGTCGCGCGACATTGAACCGCCTGCAGTGGATGTGGCACGCGTTTCCATTTCAGCCCCACGACAAGGTCCTTCGCTCGACGAAGTTGACGTTTGTGGATGCGATATGGGAGATCTTGGGCACGCTGTCGCATGGCCAGACGCTGGTGGTCGTGCCATTCACGGGGTTCACTCCGCCGCTGGTCGCCGACTTGGCGCGGGGTCTGTCCGTCATCGCCGCCTTTCGCGTGACGCGGCTGACGTTGGTGCCGAGTGTGTTGCAAATGCTGCTGCATGCGGCTGCTTCGTTTCCTCAAACGATTCAAACGTTCGTCGTGAGTGGTGAGACCCTTCGTCCGCAACTTCTACAGCAAGCCTTGCAAGCTGCAGCCCCCACCGCAACAGTACTCAATCTTTACGGTGAGGTCACCATGGCCCATATATATATCCATCCCTGACCTGCCAAGAAAGAGAGTCATAGAACGATAAGGGATGGTTGTATAGGCAGCACGGAAGTCGGCGGCGACGTCACATGTGCGTCATTTTCGCGGCAGTCGACGACCAGTGACCAGATCGAGTCGTGGGGGGTCGTTGGGGTGCCCATTGGCAAAGCCATTCAGCATACCAAGTTGATGCTAATGGATAAGGATGGAGTGGTGTCGTGCACAAGGGGCGAGTTGTGGGTGGCGGGGCCCGGATTGGCGCTGGGATATCTAAACCCTTCGTAAGACCCTCGATCATTTTCTGAATGTTGTTTGCAAACGCTTGGAGACTGATTGACAAGGTGGTATATGACGCCGCCATTGTTGTAGTGACACGATTGACAAGTTTGTGCACGTGGGGTCCGACTTGTGGTTTAAGACTGGCGACGAGTGCGTCTGGCGGGGCGACGTCTTGTTTTATAGCGGTCGGGTGGACAGCCAAGTCAAGATTGGTGGGATTTCCATACACTTGGATGCTGTCGAGGTAGATGGTCAACATGATTGTGTGTGTGTATCTACATACATACACAAATGCCATCGACGACTGTACTCCCCTTCGTTTATATACCTAGGCATGTTTTGATATGTATCTCCACCAACAATTTCAACATCGGCCGTGGCATGTTGGCGCCGTGGCGATCTCCATGTCCAAGCCTTGTCTGCAACTAGACACGGTGGTTGTGTATGTTGGTATTGCTGGTGGCGCGGCAACGTTCACATCCATCCATTCCCAAGCGGCCCTGGCATCATTGTTCAATGGCCACGTGGTGGTGCCAGTTCGGGTGGTAGTGATCGAGCGGACTGCATTTCCACTGACTTCGACCGGAAAAACCCATCGGCGCCAACTGCTCGAGCTCTACAACCAGATCAACAAGGGGAACGAGTCTGCACCTGAATACAAAGACAAGCTAACGTCGATCCTGATGGCCCACTTGGACATGCCGTCGTCGACTGCCGCCATAGTGGACGAGATGACTCTGGTCGAGTTGGGTGGAAACTCGCTCGTGGCGACGATGGTGCTGCATGATCTTCGAACGCAATGCGGTCTAGCCACACTGGAACTAGCAGATGTGGTACTACCTCCTTCCCTCCGACCAATCCAATCGCATTCCCTTGAACATTATCGTATTCGTTGTTGCTTTCGTCATACATGGACACTAGCTTGGGAAAACCATCGGGCAAGTACGAGCGCTGGTTGCTTTACAATCAATACACCTCCACCACACAAAGAAACGACTTCCATCGTTGCTGCCTGGGCCAGCCAGCCCTACTACGACCCACGAATCGAGGCCAAAGCGCGTCAAAACAGAACCAACGAGCTTGGGGGACCTGTACATCAGCTGGTCCGTCGAAGTCGAGAAATGCATCGATGCGACGCCCCTGGTGGTGACGCACCAAAGTGCGATGACGACGACGATTGTCGTGGGATCCCACGATCACCACGTCACATGCGTCGACGCAACATTCCCCCCGCATGCGATAATGTGGCGGACCAAACTCCCCGATCGCATTGAATCGTCCTGTGTTCGTTCTGAGAATCGTCTGTTTGTGGGCTGCTACGACGGCCACGTCTACTGCCTACACAGGTCCACTGGCGACGTATGTCCGCCCTTGTTTGCCTTCACATGATATATGGCAGTACGTACTGACATTTATTCGTAGGTGCTGTGGTCGTTTGCGACGAACGATCAAATCAAGTGCACGCCGCTCGTGGTTGCCACCAAGCAAGTGGTTGTGTGCGGGTCCCACGATCGCCACGTGTACGGCCTCGACATTGCATCTGGCAAGTGCAAGTTCAAACTACCATTTCAAAAAGGGTACCGCCAAGTTGTTTTATACATGAACGAACCTACTCTGTATTCTACCTGCGACAGGGTTTACTCGACCCCAGCGTTTCAAGATGATATGCTGGTTTGCGCGTCGATTGGCGGCGACCTTCGTGGGTATGTATGGACGTCCCTCGACATTGACCAGCCGACGACACCTCATTGGATGATCCAGGTACGAAACTCCACTTTGACTTTCCAACGACTAAGTTGTTCAAGTGCAGCTAGCCGCTCCTGTCTTTAGCAATTTGGTCACGACGGCGCAGAAGTTGCTGGTCGTGGGGTGTGCAGACGGGTGTCTGTATGGCATGTCCTTGCAAACAGGGAGTACCCTGTGGCGTATTGCAACCGCAAAAGTACGTTGCAACTGCTTCATAATGCAATGCATGGGCGTTGTTGAAATCGTTAAGTACATTTTCCATAGCCGATTTTTAGCACCCCTTGCGTCTTGCTACAACACCCCCCTCGAGTCGTGTTTGGGTCCCACGATGGCATCCTTCGTTGTGCCACCTTGGCCGATGGTGAGTACACTTATATGGATGGCTTTCTTGGTAAAGGGCAAACCTTCCCATATGTTGTTTGTTGCTTGTAGAAGTAGTTGTTGTAGTCATGTATTACATCCCCATCCTATGTTTGTGTCTTGTGTAGGCATCGTCGTGGCTAGTGTGGACCTGGGCGACGCGATCTTTGCTTCCCCCACCATGTTAACTAGCGAAGGGGACTGTGGGGTGTGCACCACCAACGGGATGTATTATGTTTGGGACACTTGGTCCCCTATGTGGCAGGCGCAGCTGTCGCTTGGCGGACATGCATTCTCTTCCCCCGTCGCCCACGACAACGCAGTCTACGTGGGCACTCGAGCCAACAAACTGCTATGCATTCAACGACGTCGACACAATACCGAAGCAAGATAGCATTGAATTACACGCTGGCCGCGCCCTTCAACAAGGTGGGGGCGATATACGGAATAAGGACGGCCGCGACAGGAAACTCCAGCAGCACCCCAAGGACAGAACCGGCTAGCACGTCGGTCGGGTAGTGGCGACCCAGCGCCAAGCGGCAAAAGCAGATGGCCGTGGCCCACACCACAACCACCACTGGCATGCCCTTGACAGCCCACGCCCCCAACGTATCATGCAGGGCTTTGGGATAGTCTAACGGGTCCTCATGAGTAAATAAATGGATAAATGATTGTAGCAGTACATGCAGCGAGGTAGAAAATCAACCCCACGAGGCAAAACGAGCGGGTGGAGTGGCCAGACGGAAACGAGTGCTGGTCCGGCCCGGCAAAGCGCGCGTCTGTCTTGTGGTGCGGAGGACGGGCGCGCCGAAACATGAGCTTGAAGATGATGATAAACACAATGTCCACCTACATAAAAGCATCAGGCTGGTGGTCATGCGTCGTTGTGTGATGATCGTCGATCATGACCAACCACTTGGCACAGATAGAAGAACACGATGAACAGGCCTTGGCCTGGGGTGATGGTTTTCATGAAACCAAACACCCATGCCACGATGAGCAGAGGCAACACCGTCAAGAGCCACCTACACACTACTTGTCACGTGGTGGTTGTCGTGGGTACGCACAAGATGCCATCGCCAGTCAACGACACGAACTCCAGCACGTAAAAGGCAATGCGGTTGCCTTCAAAGGCTTGGAATATGGCTCGTGCCACGCCCAAGTCCACTTGGTAGAGCTTCTGCAGCAGAGTCACCTCTCGGTCAGCACCCATGAGCTTGTCCTGTTCCGTGGCGGCGACGACGGGGGATTGAAGTGCCATCACACGAAAGTTGGCGTATATTTTCAGCCGACTTTGCCCCGCTCACTTACGAGTAGCCAATCCTAGAGCTTGAAATTGCAAGATGGAAAATATAGCCAATCCACGATGACTCTATCATTATTATGACCAATCAAAGAAGGATTGTCGACGAGGCGATCGATGCGGATTTGTTGAACTGATCAATACTTCATTTTATAATGAAATATATTTATTTGCATCAAACATGCTTTGTTTTCCTGTATTTGACTGGTCCTTATTTGAAGTTGTTGCTATTTCCGGATAATTTGCAGAGGTTGGCCATGCCAAATTGGCGCCAGAATTGGCGCGTCACCACTTTGCAATCTGCCTGGATACCGGTAGCAGCATGACTGTACGTCAGCTGCTTCTTGTGGGTTGTGGGCTACTTGCGGCCAACGCTAAGCATATTGTGTCCAACCCGGTGATGCTGTTGTTGAGCTATGGTGCTCACACAATGGCTCAACCCCCTGCGCATGTCGTTGGCATTACGATTGCGCCCAATGCTGAACCACTTGCCGTACCAGCTAGTGAACTCAACAATTCTGTCGTATTGTTGCTCAGTGCTGGCATTCGCGATGTGATGACGATGAAGAGTCTCGCGGTACCTCCAGCGATCCGAACCAACGAAATCGTAGTCGACATCACTGACCTCGACTTGCTCCGTCCTCCCCAGAGCAAAGTGCATGCGATATCTGGCATCACTGCCGCATTATCCATTGTGTCTGGTGCGTTCGTGGCGATACTTGGATTTAAAATGCGTCGACTTGCAGTGCTCCTATGTGGGTTTGCAGTGGGTGGGCTCTCGTGTTATGCCCTTGCGACCACCGTCCACTTTTCTGATCCGTCGTCGATCGTGCTTGGTGCGTGGCTGTCGTTCCTGGTCGGCGGCCTCCTCGTTGGTGTCATATGCATGCTTGTTGAACAAGTGGGCAACTTTGTCGTTGGTGCTTCGGGGCGCGCGTCCATGACGATCTTGATTCACATTTCGTTCAACTACTTGGGCTCGCCATCCAACCCCAACGCCGCGTTGTACATATTTGGAGCCATATTATCACTGACGTTGGGACTCGTGGCCGTGCTCATGGGCAAACCATTCTTGATCGTAGCCACTGGCCTTACGGGGGCACTGGAATTTGTCTGGGGAATTGGGTATTTTGTAGGTCAATACCCATGCGTGATTGCGTTGCCGCGAACGCAATACCTTACAGGAGGTGCGTGGCACTACGACAACCCATCGGCGTGGTGGGTCTACCTCTCGGTCAGTCTGGCGGTTGCTATCGTTGGCATTGGACTGCAATTTGCTGTTACGGCTGTGGACGCACCCCCCAAGAAACCGCAAGATCTCCATCATGCCACCCGTAAATCAGGCCATCGTGATGTCCTTGGACCCCCAGATGCACACCGCCACACTCATCGCATCAACGATGACGCTATTGAATTAGTCGAAATTACCTACAGCCGACACGGTCGATTTAGCAGAACCCTCGAAGACGACCTTGAGCGGAATCCCCATCGATATGGAGAAGACATGGAACCCGTGACGGAAACCGCCTTCGTCACCATCCGTACTCCAAGAAACATGCATGACCACGAACATCGCCTTCAACATTAAAGCCAAGCAACATTTTAATTACTTCAAGCAGATCACTTTGACCTTCATATCATCCGGATGACTTGACCACTTCAACCATCGTGCCTTTCCACTCCAAAAGATTCCTTTGTAAACCGGAACCAGCCAATCGGCGGCAGCTCCTAGATTCGGAAGTGCGTCAAGGCGGCTTTGTGTGGTCACATTTGATTTGGATGATGTACGGCGCGACAGCTTCGGACGGCCTGCTGGGCACTCGCATCAGCACTGCGGCTTCGATGCAGCCGTATCTGCTTTTGGCTACAAACGTCGCCATGATGGCCTGTGTTCTCGTCGTGACACTTTCCATGCATGCCTCCATGCAGCGATACGATGCATTAAGTGACAAGCTGGACATGTACTTGTAAGCTGGAAGGCATCGCGATGATGCTTGACTGTCAACTCTCATGCAGGAACAACCAAGCCACCACCCTTGGTTCTCATCAAGCACAACCACTCCAGTTACCGTTCAAGTTCGCCGTGAGCCACGTAACCCCTCGTAAAGATCAGTCGATGCGAGGGACATGCTGGGACTTTGCCACCATTGGCGTGTTGGAGCAGTCGTATCGCGCAGAGGCGATTCGAAAGGGTTACCTCACCGTGAACCAGTACGTGTCGTTCTCAGAACAGGTACTACGACCCATCAACTAGCCCTTCATCCACGATGCAATTACTGAATCACACCAGGCGTACGGTGCGGAAATTCTCGAGTTGTGTGCTGGCCCTGCAAATTCCCCCCAACAAGTCGCGTGCCGTGTTGCTGGTGATTCGGTACACTATGATTTCCATACTTCGAAATGGACTTTGCAGGGTGGAATAACGTTATGGCATCACTTGTAGATGTGGAAAAACTCGACTGAAGGGGGCGAAGTGGCCGTGTTGTACTATTTGCAATATGGCTTGAAAGAGTCTGTGTTTCCCGATGCGATTTGCCCATACTTGAACGACAACAACGGCAGCGACTCGATCTGTCCTGGGTTGTCCGACACTCGGCACGCAGACAATCCCATCTCGTTTACCATTCGCGTATGTTCTTCTATCCGTTATACTCTTGTCTCGCTGTGTTATGGGGCGATTCTAGTCGATGGAGACGTGGTACGAAGACTTGACCATCAAGCAGCAATTGTTTGCCCAGAACAAGGCGATGGCGCTGTCGACCCCTGTCACATACGTCACACACTACTACCCATGTCTGTCCCGCTTCAGCCACGACTCGGACCCGCACTGCTCGGTGGACCAATGCACGCTGTGTCCCCCTGAAATGGCGGCCACGACCTGCTGCATCCCGTTGAAAGGCGGGCGCAACCGCAACATGGAAGGCGAGTTCTTCCACCATCGCGGTATGACCATCGAAGGGGGCCACGCTATGGTACGACCATGCATCGTTCAATTGTCAATCGTTCGATTGTTCGAACTATTGTGGAATTGGTGGCTGGCTGTGGTAGCTCCTCGTGGGCTACAACGATGCGTTTCTCACGCGCGACGGGTACACTGGTGGCCTCATTGTCAAGAATTCGTGGCTCGATGGACCGACGCAGGGCAGCCATTCGTTGGCGTATTGGATGCAAGAGGTGTCGGACTGGGAAGAACGCGTCGTGTGTCCCAACTCGTACAAGTACGTACGACCAGATATATATGGTCATCCTAAACGAAGGTTCCTACAATCTATTCTATATAGTCCGTTCAACTGGTACCAATGTGGCAACAACGCCGCCTCCCCTGTCGTAACCCCCCACAACGACACCACATCGTCGTCATCCTTATTTAACCGAACCAAGGCGTTCGACGAAGGGGTCGGCGCGTGCTTGTCGGAGGAATCGCGCATCTACGCCCACGTGAATATGCAGCCGCTGCACTTGGAGTGCGTGGACGGAACGGCGTGCTCGTTGGAGCCCAACACGACGTACTTTGTGCGCAACACGACCGACTGGGGCGACCGCATGACGGTCATGTGCGTGTGGGAGCACAACCTGCACACGCCGTCGCGAGAGTTTTGTCTCAAGCCGATGCTCGAGGTGGACATTGCACGCACATTGCGGTAAACATGCGATCGATGTTGAACTTCGTTGCTCAGTTGGTTGCGTGTAGCCCCGTGGCCCATGAAGTTCGAGCCAACGACCCGGACCGGTGCGGGTTTTACTTTATGCCGTACGCCAGCATCCGCCAGTACATTGCGCAATTCCAGGGGTTCTACGTCAACAGCTTTGACATCGAGTGGGCGCCACAGTCGTTTGCTGCCAACCGCCACAAGTTCCCGCACCTCAACTATACGTTGCTCGAGCGGTCGACGCGCCACCAGAACCGCAGCTCGTTCGATGGACCGTTTCCGCATGCCCGGGTGGTGGCACCCGAGGAATTCCATCCCCATGCACATTATCACCCGTAGTTGAGAAGGCGATCATGTGATCAAAAAATACATCGTTTTAGATGGACCTAATACGTACAGGCTAAAAGTTGAACCTACTGAAACAATTTGCACATACAATATTATGGTTGTATTACTGGCGAAGGACTAGTGGGGTTGGACAGTGGGGCGAGATATTCAACGCGGCATGACGTGGGGGCATCAGAGTCCTTGAGCGGGACGGCGGCGCGGTGCGATTCGGCACCGTGCGACGTCTACAGGACCTCCTTGACTGTGGCATTCATGCGCTACAAGCATCCAACCACCGCACAATGAACATCATCGCACATCATCATGATGAGGTTGTTTCAATGTCATGGTCCAATCAGCCAAATCAAACCACTGACGTTGGGTTTGACGAAAGAGGATATTCTTGGCGAGGTTGTTGGTCTATAGCGCGTTGACAGGCAGCATCAACATTGTGGGTCAATATCGCGCTTATAGCGGCGAGTTGGGCGGGTCGCTTACCTTTGGTGGGCCCATCGTGGAGGTGGATGCGATGACGACCCCGTGAGTTTGTAAATGAGCCTACTGGGTGTTCATGCTTTCGTCGAGGACGAAGTGGACGTTCATACGTACCTAGGACCAAAGATGGCAATGGTGTCGAGTTGGCGCATGCGGCAGAGCCACACGGATGGAGGGTTCAAGTCTTGAACCCTCCGCAAGTACCTTGTCAAATCTTCAAGTTGAAGATTTGATTGAAGTGGTGCATTTTCCGGATAAATAGTCGGCTGCTATTGGCCTGATTGTAAAAAATACAGCGATTTGATTGGATATTTGTCATTGTTGGATTGCAATATACTTTTATCAAGTCATGTCGGAAAGTGCAAATCCGGATTCAAAAATTGAGTATGTATCTTGTGAGTCATATGATGGTACTTCGTGGCTCTTGCCAAGTGGCCTGCGCTCTGTCGCGAGGGTGAGCCACCATTTCTAGATTCACTTGGCCACGATGGTGCAAAAGGAAGAGCGCAGTCCCTTGTATAGCAGTAATGGTGTGGCTGTCATGCGATCTGCCTCCGTGGAGCGGCGGCAATCCACGAAGTGGTGGTGGGTGATGCCAATGTACGGGTTCCCAGTCTTGATGCTGTTGAACATGGTGATGCTGGCGGTGTTGGCAGTCCAGTTGCATCGCTCAAACTCACTTCAATCCCGCTTCGCCGACAGCATGGACACACCTGCCGCGGCTGCCATGTACGTCGTGCAGTCCTGAATTACCTGGGACTGTTCCTGTGGTAGGTATCACACCCGTGGCGGCGGTATCATCGCCGCGTTGTTGCCAATCAAGTTCGCCGTGGACCACGTCACCCCCTACAAGGACCAGGCACGTCGAGGAACATGCTGGGACTTTAGCACGATCGGAGCATTGGAGCAGTCGTACCGCAAGCACGGCGTCGCCAAGGGATGGCTAGACTCGAACGAGTACGTATCCTTCTCGGAGCAGGCGTACGGTATTGAAGTGATGGAGTTGTGCACTGGGCCCGTCGACTCGCCGCAGCAGCAAGCATGCCGCATCGCTGGCGACAACGTACTCAACGTGCAACATTGCATCACTATTCCCACCCCTTGTAGGTTTGGCGCAACTCGACCGAGGGCGGGGAGGTGCCGCTGCTGTACTACCTTCACAAAGGCCTCAAGGATTCAGTGTTCCCGACCCGCGTTTGTCCGTACACGTCCTCTCCGGGCCACGACTGGGACTGCCCCGAGCTGGACGACGCGTTCGTCCGGAAGTCCAACCCGCTGTCGTTCACAGTCAACGACATGGGCACGTTCTACGACCAAGCCAGCATCAAGCACAAGTTGGTGCAAAGTGGACTGGCCATGCCGGTATCAACCACGCTTGTCTCCGTCCAGCACATGTATCCGTGTGTGGGCAAGTTTCTTGCGAACGACCCTCGCTGCGACGCCGCGACTTGTCAACTCTGTCCGCCTGAACTACCCATGGCCACGTGCTGCGTCCCCGCCGACAGCACGCGCGGCCAAAACATGGACGGGGAGTTCCTCGCGCATTCTGGCATGCAAGTTGAAGGCGGGCATGGAATGGTACAGTACATGCATTCCTGTTACAAACACACGACGACTTCCTTGAAGACTGGGAATGTAGCTTGTGGTGGCGTATAACGACCTGTTTCGCACGCGTGAAGGCGCGACGGGGGGGTTTGTGGTCAAGAATTCATGGCAAGATGGGTGGCAAGGCAGCCACTCGATGGCGTATTGGATGCAGGACGTTTCCGAATGGGACGACCGCGTCGTGTGCCCTAACAGCTTCAAGTACAAGCCAATCCATTTGTTGTAATCATCCTATCCTACTGTTCTTCTAGTCCCTTCAACTGGTACGTCCCCACGCAAGACGACGGCGTCGTGGACATCGCCGCGTGCTTGTCGGACGACTCGGTACAGTACGCCGCCCTCAACCGCCAGCCGTTGCACTTGACCTGCGTCGACGATGCGTATTGCGTGCCTGGACGCGTCTACTTTGCGAAGAACCGGACCTCATATGGCGATCGCATGCATGTCATGTGCTTTTGGGAGTACGACCCGACAGTCAAATCCTCGAAGCATGTGTGCTTGCCGCCCATGCTTCAGGAAACCATCGCCCGCACGTTCGAGTACGTCCTAACTTGACATGGGATTGGACTCCTTGATATTGCTAGCTAATACACACACTACTACTCCTAGACCGGACGAGGTTTACGAGAATGACTCGGACCTGTGTGGGTTTTACTTTTTGCCGTACGATACCATCAGTCAAGTGTCGGCGCTGTTTCAAGGGTTCTTCGTCAACAGCTTTGACGTCAAGTGGGCCCCGCAGTCGTACCTCGCGAACCGCGAGAAGTTCCCCCACCTCAACTACTCGCTCGTCCAAGCCTCCACGTTTACGCAGCACTCATCCAGCCGCTTTGATGGTCCTTTTCCATTTGCGCACAAGTATAAACCTATGAACCAACTCACGCAGCACCGCCGCCGCCATTAACATTTCAAATGTACTGGGCAGATTGACAATCAATCTTGCAGTGTACTTTGAAGTATCATTCATGAACGGCGTTCGCATTGGAAATCTACATGCTCAGCGGATAGAAACGGCATAGTAGGTGCTGCGCTGTGTCCTTGTCGACACCTCCAACAGGGGAACCAGTCCTTGTTGGCCACATAAGACTGTTGAGGTCGAAGCTATGGCACGTGCAGCCGTTTATGTCGCGCGCTTCAAGATCTCAACGTTCGTACGACATGAAGTAGAACCCGCAAGTACACGCCCTTGTTGTTTGCAGTCTCTGGCGTCATCGCTTTCGCGGTGGGGCTCGAGCAAAAATTGGTTTGTCGTGTTGGGGTATTGTCGAGTTGCCAGAAGCAAAACTTTATCATTTTCACGCCAAAGTTGATCGGGTTTTGCATGAAGTATGTAACCACTGAATCCATGTTGCATTGAGTGGCGTCCGTGCGCTTGGTGTGCGTATAAGAGGGGCTGCTTGGTCACGTCGACATTCCAACTTCCCCTTGGCCTTGGTAGACAGGCAGCGCATTCGAAGGGATGTTCCCAATTGGGGCATTGCCTCACGCGTAATAATTCATGGGTTACCAGTACCTGTTGGGATAACGCATGCGTTCTTCCCTGTCGGAAATGTCCTGAAGCCACCACTTCCTCGAGTGGCTGCCCTCGGCCCCCTATATACCTCCCGAGTTCTTGACGATAATATGTGAAGTACGCATAGTTGTAGCCAATCATTAGTGACACATTGAACTACAGCAGTCGTGCAGAGTCACGATGTCAATAATACCGTGCAGCGGCCCCGATATACTCATGATGTGGTCGTGGAGGATTTATTCGCCATCCATGTGGATGGCCTTGATGCTAAACTGGGGAATGCAGCATGTGGTGTGCGGAAGTGGCGGCGGTTCTCGCTGGCCGTTAGGGGGTCCATGTACTACTCGCGTGGGATTATCAACGTGACAAATCAGGATGGCAGCATGTATGTAGTGCAGGATGTATATGCATGGAAACGTGCGTTCATGTTGAACCGAACGGGGTTGGTTTCTCACGCTTGGCCCATGCCGCCGCAACGCAGTTTTTCCGCTGGAATGTGCGCGCCAATGTAGGTACGCACCTTCTGGCAGAAATGGCATGTTGCGACACGACGCACCACTTGTTGCGGCGACGTCTGGGGTCCTGCGCAGAGATTTACGATGCGGGTCCCCTGCTCTGAAAACGACACGTACTCGCGCTCGTCAAGAAGCCTGTAGGCGACTCTGTTGGCTCGATACGACCGCTGATCGTGGCAAAGTCCCAGGCATGCTGCTGGACATGTGCATGTTGGAGAACTACATGTCAGTGATCGTGTGGTGGCGGCATGTGTTCCATGTGTCGGAGACGGGCTTGGTATGATTGTGGGTGGTCGCATTAGTGCAAGACGCACACAACCACCATGTTCTAGCCAGTTGCTTGGTACAGAACTGCTCGTCGTTGCCCTGACTTGCAAGGATGACCTCTCATTTGCTGCACACGGCGTTGAACGCACAGAACAAGTAGAATTCGTAGGACACCAGAGAGGTGCTTGATGTGATGTCTTTTGGGTGCCGGTGGTACCCTACACGTGAAATCAAGTTGAGTGCCTATTAATCTTCATGGGCGTGTACCTCCATGCCGTCTGGACGACTCATCGTCTCCACTAGCCCCAAGCTGATGACTGAGCGACCCGCGCGCTATAGGCCGTCACATATGGCAGTCGCCGGTATCAATGCGACACCACAATTCACTTCAAACTATTTTTATTTGAAATAACACGTTATCATGGAAATACTATCGTTCTTATATCCCCTGGAGTGCTTCGCAAGCCGGCCCCACTGATGAGTTGCTCACCATGGCAAATATTCCTTTTCTGCAAATATTATGGAAGATAGATGAGAATTCACCTCGACCTTACCACTTCGGATCAGACCAACAGGTCCTTGCTGTACTCCAAGCACTGCTCCTCCGTCTTGAACTTGGCGCTCGTAGCTGGTGCATTGGATGTTCATGGCGCCCACACACGTACATTTGACGCCTTGCGCTGCTCTTGTATTTCTAGGGAGCCCAGGCGTTTGACTGTGTCGTCCCACACCTTGGAGAACATGTCTACCAGTGCCGTCGGCAAACACCACGGGCACCGACGACGAAATTGTGTCGACGGCGACTTCTTTCCTTGACTTTGGACATCTTGTTCATGCATTCCACGTATTCGACGTATTGCAAGAACAGTGTTGATTTATTCGACGTGGAGATACCAGTAGTTAGGCGGTGGATCTGGCTTTCTTGCTGGCGAGGGCAGGCATTCATACCAGACACGATGCTGAACATGTGTACTCCAACATATTTCAATAAGATTTCATCCTTGTGTGGTGTGACATGCTTGGTGGCCAACTTGGCAAGCAACATCGAGAACGCCATGCTGCCGAGAAGATATGTCAACCGTTTGAGCTTGACCAACAGGGCGGATGCTGCACTGTCGTCGTCGTCGTGCCCATGACGAGGACGTCATCAATGGCGATCACCGGCGACGGCATTGAGAATGCGAGGCGAGTGACGTGGGTCTTCGCCTCGGGGACCAGTTATGAGAGAGCAATCCAGTCTCTGCTGAATGCGCCATGGAACTTTGCGTGACGTGGCTGCTGTAAACGCAACACTGAGTGTCATCGCATCAACCTCGTTGATGGTCGAATCTCCCGCATCCGACAGCATAATAAATAATTGATTTAATGAAAAATGGTTCAACAAGTTATAAATGAAATAAATGCTTCAAAGTACTACTAGTAGTAGTACTATGAAACCGACACACCCTATCACCACTAATGTTACCGGTAGACACTTCAGTCATCCTCCTAACCTTGCGCTTGTTCATCGGCGGTATTGATATCTCACCTTAGATACCGGGAACTGCATCATCCAGCCTTCATCCAGGAACCGCCGCCGTTCTCCGCCCTTTTGAATGAATAAGTGAAACCGTCACTAGGTTGAACCGGCGGAATGAGTTTTCCCCGCGCATTTTTACATATCCAAATTTTCGGCAAGTGATGAGTGCACCTACCGTGGCGACGACCCATGCCATGTCGGATACGCCGACGGCAGCTGCGTCCACGAGTACCGTGGAGGACGTCGCGCATTGGGATAGTGTGCAGACGTACGTGACGGAGCTCAACACGTACTGCACGCAGCTGCGGTGGTCGGCAAACGAACTCGAAGAAGAAGCGCGGGAAATCCGACGGGCGCTTGCACTCCTCGGGCGCAAACAACAAGTTCAAAGAGTGCTCTTCGACAACACTACCAACAGCAACGACGACGACGAGGGGGACGATGAAGTCGAAATGATGTGAGGGGTCCTGCTTTATGAACAAGTAGTTGCGTTAATGACGGTGTTGTGTTGGAGCACATGACGGCATGCAAGTCTGGGTTATTCACAGGGTGGACATATTATTCGCGGGCTTGCGTATGCACATACACGGCGACCACGGTCGTGTCATCCACTTTCCCGCCTTGAAAGGTGTACCCGTATCCTTCCCTTGCGAGCTTGGAGAACGGCGACTCGCGGGTTTTGTCGTGCGCAAATGCATTCGCCATCAACGTGAGCGAATACGACAGGTCCATCATGGCCTTCTTGACTGCTGCCGCGGCGTCCGGTTGAAGTGGTTTCTCCTCGTCCACTGTGGCGAACTCTGGGTGTGCTAGAAGGACGCGGCCGACAAACTTGTCTGCTTCTGCCAAAATCTCGTCGTCAAACACGTTATCAAACAGTCCATCGGATCCCACAATCACGATATCCCCATGCTGCAACGTATGCGTCGTGACGAACGCGTCCTTGGGCAGGTAGTGGTCGCCTTCGCCCCGCATCCAAGTTGGATACAACGACAGTTGGAAGGGCGCGTTGAAGGCCCATGTCTGTTCCACGCTTCGGAAATGCTTGGCGCCATTCCGAATGACGAGGTACCCGGAATCCCCCAAGTTGGCCGTCTCGAGAGCGCCCGAGTATCGATCCAAAACGAGGAACACGGCCGTGGACCCCCCGGGGTTCTTGTCGCCACCAGATTTGACGTGGACCAAAGCATCCTCCAGCATTTCTCGTGGATGAGGCTGGTCGTTGGACGATACTACTCGTGAGAACGATTCCTTCGCGCCGTCGACGAGAGCGAGCGAGAACGCCGATGGATCGACACCACTTTCTTGCCATCCACCAACCCCGTCAGCAACACCGACACTTGCATACCGGTGAGCGCTGGCGTCCCCAACAACGTAATACGCATCTTCCCCGCAGTTTTTTGCTGTGTTGCTGTTCTTGGCCTTGGAGACGTACTCGAGCTTCTTGGGCTTGCATCCGACGCCGACCAAGAGACTCAAGGGACGTGAAGGTCTCTGGCAAGATGACGCCCCTGCATCATTCACGGAGCATGTACCTTGCTCTCCATCTTGAATCGTCGAAGGAAGGGTCTCTGTGACGACGCCATGAACTGCAAGCAGCGCCAGCACCGCGACCTTCTTCCACCCCATGGGTGACATTTGAACAGTACCGGATAATAAAGACTTTATCCGGTACTACGTGAAATGCTCTAAAAAGGTTCTATCCGGATAATTTCTGCCTTGTGTCCCTTCAGCCAAAGATTGTGTTTGAGGTTGGTGCGATGGGACGGAACGGCGTCAAGGTGATCATCCGTGCGCGACCCACGGCCGTCTTTGCCCAAAACCAGATCCACATCGATCAAGATGAGAACACGATTGAGATCTCTCTCGCGGACACCAAGGTCGAGATGGTGCCGTCGAATAAGAAGGACTCGTGGAAATTCAAGTTTCACCAAGTGCTGCAGAATGCCGGCCAGGACAAAGTGTACGAAGCGATCGCTCGTGACATCGTTCATGGTACTATCGTGGACGGAATCAACGGCACGATCATGGCGTACGGGCAAACTGGGGCTGGGAAGACGTTCACGATGATCGGCGACACGCGCAACTACCAGCACCGCGGCATCGCCCCGCGCGCGATTGCCCAAGTGTTCCAAGAAATAGAGAACCGCATCGAAATCGAGTCCACCGTGCATGTGTCGTACATGGAGATCTACAACGATCGCATCTTCGACCTCCTTGCCCCCGACGACGACACCGATATCCACGAGTATGTGATAGTCGAAGACGCCAAGGGCACGTACGTTCGCGGCCTGACCCAAGTGGAAACCGCGACCGAAAAGGATGCGCTGGACCAGCTCTTCAACGGCGAATTGCGGCGCACGGTGGCCGAGCACCAGTTGAACAAACGGTCCAACCGTTCGCATTGCATTTTCACGTTCCACATTTCCCAGGTTCAACGACGTTGTCGTACCTTTTTTCCATATGCATCACATTAATCTGAGTAGAAATCCCGCACCGGTGGCAACGAGCACGTCGTGCACAGCAAACTGCACTTGGTGGACCTCGCGGGCAGCGAACGGCTCAAGAAAACGATGCAGGACGACGAATGCGGCACATCGCACAAGACCACGATCAAGAAGGAGTCCATGTACATCAACCAGAGCCTCACCTTCCTCGAGCAATGCATTGTCGCGCTGGGGGCGCGCGAGCAGCGTCACATTCCATATCGCCAGACTAAACTCACCAACGTGCTCAAAGATTCACTCGGCGGGAATTGCAACACGCTCATGTTTGCCTGTGTGTGGGTATGTACAAAGAGCTAACGGACCCTGCCATTGTCGTCACGACTGCCATTAAAGCCTATTTGAGTTCTTCTGGAGAGGTTTCCCCCAGATGAAGCTGATTTCTTTGACTAGGGTGAGAGCAAGCATTTGGAGGAAACTATTTCGACGCTCAAGCTGGCGCAGCGCATGATGCGCGTGCAGAACGAAGCCACGTCGATCGTCGAGACGGACCCGACGATTCTAATCAAGAAGTACGAAAAGCAAATCAAAGAACTCAAGCAGGAGCTGACCATGCACGACTCGCTGGTCGAACGCACGGGCGTCGTGTACGACGAACACACGCCCGAACAAAAGTTTGAGCTCATGCGGCTGGTCCGCGCCTACGTTGACAGCGCCGTGGACGATGACGCGGTGCTCCAGCTCACGAGTTTGCGGCACATAAAGGAGCTGTTTCGGCAGTTCAAAGTGCTGCTCAAGAACGCCGAGAGCGCATCGCCGCAGCAGTTTGTCACACGGTCCAACACGTCCAACGTGTCGCGCGAGAACGGCACGCTGGACGGGTCGACGCTAGACGACGACGACAAGCTTGTGGGGGACCCAGAGGACCACGCGGGGTTTGTGCTCGGTGTGGCCCCCAACGGTGCGATGCCATCGGTCATGGACGTGGGACCGAAGAAGGATGGGGGGCTCCGCGCTTCGACGGACGACTGCAGCGTGCGGGACGCGTCCCCTGTGGACGCGGCGGATGACAAGAACAACAACGATTCCAAGGGCGAGCATGTCGAAGTGGACAAGGACGATGCGTACAAGGTGCGAAAGCTAGACACATTGAGATGACTTTTTCATCAACAACTGGGGTTGTATAGTTTTTCATCACTTCGGGGCCAGGCAAAAAGCTGCATGGGTCGCTGCAGGACGAAAAACAGACCCTGAAAATATCAAAGGACAGGGCGCGGGACATCACGAGCCAATTGAACGTGACCAAGGTGCTCATCGACGGGTTGAAGCAGCAAATCCAGGAGAAGCGCGTGGTGCGCAAGCGAGCGAGCGTGGGCAAACAGACCAAAGACACGGATGATGACGAAGTTGTGGACGAGGAAGAGTTTATCCTCATGCGCAAGGAGCGCGAGGCGAAGCGGGACTATCGGGTGCTGTACGATGACTTGAAGGAGGCCAAGAACGAGTACGACTTTACGCAACGCAGCATCGAGCTACTCCGGATGCGCCTCGTGCAAGAATTTGAAGAATGGTACGTCGAAGGCGGCGGCAGCCAGGCCAAGGGCGGCGAGGATGGCGATCTTGACAAGCTGGACGAGGGCGAGAAGTTTGACCAAATGGAGGTGGAGCGCGTGCGAGCCCAAGACCCTGACTCGCTCGCGTTTTTTCAAGCGCAAAAGAAAATGCGCCAAGGGGGAACGTCCAACCAGCGCAAGGCGGCCAAGCGTTAATTGGAGTATTCGTTAAGAATAATGTTATGGACTGTTCTACATGTCTCTGATGGTTATTGCAACTCCTCGTGGCTACAACGTGGCGAGCGGACCAATATGTACGTAGCCGTCCTGCTCACAGTGTATGATACAAGGATGTGGTCGACTTAAAAATAGTATCGTTGGTTTGCTTGTTACGGGTGAATAACTTAAGGGAAGTCCTCCCACATGTCGTCGTTGCCGTCGGGGTCTTCGGGGGACGGCGCCGCGACGGAGTGGGCGAGGAGGTTGTTGACGTCCAACGAAGGCGCGGAGACCGGGGGCGTTTGGACTTTGCTTCGATCCTTGTCGCGCTTCTTCTTTTTCTTCTGCTTTGCTTCCACCGCATCGACGGAACTTTCGTCTTTGTGCGACGACTTGCGACGGCGGCGAGATGCAGGGGGGTCTTCGGTCTCCCCCAACCCTGACGATTTCGTGTCGGCAACCCGTCGGCCTTGTCTCGAGCCTTGCCGCGACTGCAGACGGTCCCGAGGCTGGTAGTCCATGTCCACAGGACACACGAGTTGGTCGAGGGGGGCGGACGATTCGTCCTACAAGTCCGAAGGGTGAGCACATATGTCGTTTAAAATTGGAAAACAAATACCGTGTGAACCAAAGGTTCGAGGGAATTGCCGAGGCTGTCGAGGTTGTTTTGCAGCGTGTCGTCGCGCGACTGCTTGTCCTTTTTCTTCTTGTCTTTCTTCCTCGACGAAGCCGATGATGACGCGGAGGATTTCTTGACTGTGCCGTCAGTAGCGTCGCCGGGCTTGTCTCGGCGCGAGCTCTTAGATGACGCGCTCGGCAGTTTGGTTTTCACGTCGTTGAGCGGAAGCAATTCCATGCCGTGGTCCTCCCCTCGACTGGAAATAGCATCGATTTTCTACAAGAGCGTGGTTATTGTCTGGAGTCTTCTAGAGACCTCCATTTTGACGTACTCCACGCGTTTTACTCCGCGATTTGGTGGACCGATTACTCATAGGGGTGTCTGCCCCGCACACTTCGGCCCCACCCGTTTCGCCGCCACTAAACGGCCGGTCGATCGGAGCGTAGCCAGCAGCAGACCCACCGCCACCGCCCCCTCCAAGCGACGGCAGCTTCATGTTGGTGAAATCTCCCCGCGGCTTGATGCGTGGAAGTTGCCATCTAATAATCGTCTGTGACTTGATGCATCTTAGGACGACGTTTAAAGGGACGTACTCTTCCTTGTCGTCGAGCCACACAGCTTTTTCCCACACTTTGATTAGCTCGTTCTGAGGGAGAAATAACTCGACGAGCTGTTCCATGAGTTTCACTTCGCGCGTTTGCTGATGGATCGTGTCCATCAAGCTATCTCGTTCGCGCTCGAATTCCTTGTGCATGTCGGCCATCTCTTCCTTGGCCGCTTCCAGTTTGGCCTTGTATTTCGACTGCTTCTTCTTGTAGGCGGCAATGTTGACTTGCGCTTGCTCTTGGGCGTTTTTGAGCTCCTCTTCGACGCTCTGCTTCTCGGCTTGGAGCGCCTCTTGAGCGATTTCATACTGCGCTTCCTTCTTCTTTTTCATCTTGAGCTTGATTTGCGCCCGTCGAAACTCGACCTAATGACCAGAGTTGGACGACCTCGTCGATGGTGGCGACGTAGGCATACATACCTGCTGCTTCAAGATGGCCACTTCAGCATCGACCGCGGCGCCGCCTGGTTTGGTGCCGCAGATTTGCGATCCAATCTTCTCCAGCTTGGTAGCCAATTCAGACTTTTCGCGCATGTGGCTTTCCATAGCCTATCATAGCGTCAATATGGACAATGCCCCGAATTCGTGACGTCATCCCAGCTAATTGTACCAGTTGAGTGAGCTCAAGTTCCTTGGCCATTTTGTCGCGATGGTTCAATATCGTTTGGTTCATCTCTTTCAACGCTTCTTTCTCCTTCATGTGGTCGTCGGGCACCACTTCACGCACGACCTCGACCACTTCCTTGACGATCTTCACCTTGGGAGGTTGCGCGGCGCGTGCCATAGCTTCGTCCATCATGCGCTCGGCCTTGCGCATCATTTCGGCGGCCTTTGCTTTGGTTTCTTCCATTTCTTTGGTACGCTGCACCTCTTTTTCCCGAATGGCGTGGAGTTCTCGTTCCCTGGCCTCGTCTTGCTCGTCGCGACGTCGTTTGTCTTCACGTTCTTTTTCAAGATCTTTGCTTGGTTCACCTTGAGCATCTGTAGCGTTGGAACACGGTGTGACAGAGTCGTCAGGAGTCGGCGGAGCGGGCGTGCCACTGGCGACAGGCAGCTCGTTGATGACCTCAGATGTAGCCGTCGATTCCGTGGGCGATGATACCGCCATTTCGACTGGAACAACCACCGGTATCTCTTTCACTGGAGGGGAGGGCACTCTTCGCATCGCACTTGCTTGTGGAGTCGACGACACAGACGCCAGTTGCACCTCCGCCATCATTTGACGAGCCAAGTGCATCATGTCGGCTGCATCCGCTTTGGCCTTTTCGATGGATTCTTGTTCGACCTTGAATTGCCGTTGGATCTCTTCTTTTTCGCGCTGCATTTTTTCCTCGAGCTCTTGGGATTTCGCCTCCAACTCACGCTCCCGATCCGTCGTGCTTCGGTGCATGCTGCTGCTGCTTCTGTTCCCCCCTCCTTCCGCACTGGGTGATAGTGTTGTGCGGGGCGGAGTGGGCACGCGATTCATAATTTCATTCGCTTCCTACTCGTATACGACGACGGGAACTACATGTTTAGCCTTTCTTTGCTCCAGGGCCATAACTAGGCATACCTCTTCCAAAGTCATGGCTTGGGTCCGAGGTGACGCGCCTACGAAGCGTTGTTTCAGCTTTCGATCAAAGACAAGTATGTTGTCACCTTGTTTGCCAAGAGATGGCCTTGACGCTGAGTCTGGCGGGGTGCTACGTATGTCGACGTCGTCAGTCCTCCAATTCCAAGTGGACTTCTACTAACCCGCCCTTTTGCTGGGCCAGCATTTGCTTGAGCAGCTCGATCTCGGCCTTGTATTCCCTCAACTTCGCGTCCTTTGGGTCTTCGTTGACTGTGGGTTTGTTCTTGATGTTCTTGGCTCGATTTGCATAGCGAAGGGTGGACAGCGTTTCTTCAAAATTGTAGTCTGCCGGACTAATGGCGGCGACCATCACCGTTTTAGTATTGCCTCCCAGTGAATCCTACATACGAAAAAGTGGACTGTCACAGCCGAAGAACCTGAGTTTGTACGTACCTGGAGTAACCTCGTGAGCTTGGAGTCCCGGTACGGAATGTGTTTGCCCTTTCCATCCACCAGCGCTACACAACAAATGGGACGGCTGTGGTTGGGTCACAGTGGGACAGTTTCCAGTTCGAACCTGATATGACATTTCCAAGGGCCGACAAACTGAGGTTGATCTTGCATCCTTCCTAGAAACTCACACGAATGAGATGTTGACGTACTCGTAACCACTTACTTTTAATCGAGCTCCTGTGGCCCCCGTCTTGCTCTGTCGCTCACTTCCCGCCAAATCGACTAAGTTCAACTAGTCGACGACCACGAAGCCGTTGCGTTAGAATCCTCAGACTACGAACTGTAGACGGACCTTTCCTGCACGGAACCTGTCCTCGCCGTTGACTTTCTCGCTGACTTCCACCACAATCGTAAAAATCGAGTGTGATCGGGACGACCCTTCGTTCTACGACATGGCAGAACGAACCATAACCACAAATCCTTCTCGCTTTCCCTCGAGTTGGCTTGTTAAACGTACCATCAACGTCGCCCCCACTGTTCTATTCTTGAACCCCCGGGCCATGACTCTACAGAAGCCATCCATTGAGAATAAAAATCATCGATAGGAAATATCCCCACTAGCCACGTACTTGTTGATACTGACCACGTCGCGCACGACCACCTCGGTCAAGTCTTTGACATATACGCCGCCGTCGCCGCTCTCTTTCAACTCGAGCTTTTGCTTGTTGGAGTCGTCGCTGAGCAGGTCTCGGATGTCTTCGTTGTAGATCTCCAAGTACGTGGCCCGTACCATGTACTCTTTTTCAGTGTCGGCGTTAATGTTGTCGAACACGTGGTCAAACGCGTGAGGAATGACGCCGCGCAACTCGGGGGGACTGTCCTTGCCCTGCATCGTATGGGTCTTCCCACATCCAGTCTGTCCGTAGGCAAAGATCGTTCCGTTGTAGCCTTCGAAGATGCTCTCCACCAACGGGTAGCCAGACTCGTCGTAGAATTGGCGCTACACGTGCATGTGGTGGGTGCCTTTTGTTCCTGAAGACGTAGATTTAATACCTGGACCGTGTTTTCGTCGTACACGGAGTCAAAAGTAAAGTTCTTGAGCTGGTCGCTGTCGGGGCATTTGATGGAGACGACTGCGGCCGCTAAGTCCATGGTCACGATCGACTGGCGCCCTTCCACGATCTCTTTGCCAAATAACGGCCGACATCGCACCACGACTTTAACGGTCTCTTTGCCCTTGTTCTCGAGCTTGTTGATCGAATTCACGATCGCCGCGGCCGACGCAATATCCATCGCCGCCACTTCTACCTATCTACGCACTGCTCCACTCACAGGAAAAGCCGCAACCCCCAAGCGTTTCATTGTAGCTGCCGTTTCACGTCAAAAATACAACCCACCAGTGTCGTGGATGACATTTCCCAATTTCCCAAAACGGAATCGTTATCCGGATGACCTGTTTTGCATGTCAAATCGCTTTGGACAATGAATTTGGCGAATCGAGGTGAGGCTATCGGCCTCCCATCAACCCATGACGACTCAAACGTAGCTAGTGGCTATTGTGACGGGGGCTGGCAATGGCCTTGGGAAGGCTTATGCTTTGTACCTCAGCAAACTGGGGGCGAAAGTTGTCGTCAACGACACTGGTGGCAACCGCCATGGCGTCGGGACCGAGACTGGCGCCGCAGATGCGGTGGTGCAACAAATCCAAAGTTTGTATGGCAAGGATGCCGCGGTGCCAAATTACACCACGGTGGAGCACGGTGACAGTATTGTGCAAACGGCGCTGGATGCATGTATGTGGCGACCACACCCATGGAAATCCTTACTCGCATACACCCCCAGAATTTGACCATCCAGGGCCGTTTTGTCTGTAGACGGACGTGTCGACATTCTCGTCAACAATGCTGGTGGGTAACCTAATAAGATGCACCACTATACTCGTGTATAATACCCATGGACGGCATAGGCATTCTACGCGACGTGACATTGAAGAACATGACGCAGGACGACTGGGACCTTGTCCTTCGAGTCCACTTGAACGGCACCATGAGGTAAATTGCTCTTTTATCAAACACTCCTTGACATTTATTAGTGTGACCAAGTCGGCGTGGCCGCACATGCGAGAACAACAGTTTGGCCGCATCGTCAACGTAACTTCGGCGTCGGGGCTGTATGGCAACATTGGTCAGGCCAACTACGCCGCGGCGAAAATGGGCATCGCTGGGTTCACGTTCACGGCCGCCAAGGAAGGAATTCGCAGCAACATCAAAGTGAACGTCGTGGCGCCGCTGGCCATGTCGCGGATGACTGAAACTATCGAGTCGGCGTCCCCCAAAGTTCTGGGGCGCCTCCAGCCCGATTTTGTAGCGCCCTTCGTGGGGTATCTGTGTCATGATGACTGCGCCGTGTCTGGCAACATCTACGAAGTTGGGGCCGGATGGGTGTCGAGGGTGCGGTGGCAGCGGTCGAAGGGGGTGGTGTTCCCCCCCAACGGCGGCATGACGCTTGAGACAATCGCCGCCAACCTCGACAGCATCCATGTACGGCCACATCGACCTGTAAAATGTGGAGCAATCCATTGTTTTGGTAGACATTCGATGACGAAGCCACGTATCCAGACAGTTTGCTGGATTCCATCGACGCGTGTGAAAATGCTCTCCAAGACGAACCGTAGACTAACTACTCGTGTCACATACTCCTGTACAGTGTGGTTTAAGGTTAAGGTTCAAAGAATAATGCTAATCTTGGTGAGATGTACTTTGGACTTTATGGGAATGATTGATGGTCTAGAATGAAACGATCATGAAACGCCCTACAGTTACAGTAGTTGTTCACACACAGGTCAAAATGGTGCGGCGAAAGTCGAGCGTGGGTTTGCCGGGTATCCGACGAAGCAGTTCCTCGGTTTTGTGCAAGTGTTCGTCAGAGCTGCCGCTGGTGGTGACGGTGGACCAACTCGTGGACGATAATAAAAAAGATCCCAACGATCAAATCAACGTCGATGTTGTCCAAGCGGAAGAGCTCCTTCAAGTCGTAAGTATTTTGGAAAGCGAGACGAGCGAAGCGGCTCAAAAGAGGCAAATTCTCAAGTTGTTTGAGTGGTTCAAAGCGCAATACGCGCAGTTAACTGGCACCCTCCGGTCTAGTGTCCACAGGGAACAGGCTCTAATGGCCAAGGTACTGTACCCACAACAATACCCGGACTCTGGTGTGATTTTTACCTTAACCCCTGTAGTGTCGAGAGCTAAAAGCGGACCTTCTCTTGAATGGTACGTACACTAGTGTCGAGATGCTTCCGCTGTACTAATATTAATCGGTTGTAGTGACGAAAATACAAACCAAGCTTAAGGTGCACGAAGTTGCTGCCCAGAACTTGGCGTTCTTCAAAGAGGTCGGTTTTGAACAGCCCTCGTGTATATTCAAGTACCGTCCGTAATGCAGGAATGCGAGCGCTCGTGGCAAGCCGTGCATGCATCCCGCGAGAGGGAGCAAGAAGCTTTGAAAATCATCGAAGTACGTCCACTGCACAATACAATACTTTGTCGTACGACGTATATGTTGTAGGACTTGCGAGAAAAGGTGATTTGCTTAGAAGGACAAGTGAAAGAACTGCAACGGCAACCCCCGGGCCCAGAGAAGAACAGCCGGTTGGGAGCATTCAAATCGTCCCCTGCAAGCAACGCGTACATGGAAGTCGACATATCGACGTTCAACGAGTGGAAAGCAGTTAACAAAGTCTGGAGCCCGTCTAAGTCAACTGCAAAGTCCACCAACGACTTGTACTGGAACAACACGCCGTTGACGTTGAGCGACTCGAGATCGACGTTCGGGTTTTCAGTCACTCCGATGGAGCGAGCCATGACTGCAGCGCCATCGCTCACGCGCAAGCAGCCAGAGTCTGGTCATTCTCGAAGCCACCACAACCGCCTTCCCACGGTTTAAGTGTTGCGAAGCGCCAGAGTATAAATTATTTTTGATCATGGTTTGACGTCAAACAAGGATACGACGGAACTTTTGCTGCGTGACCTCGTGGGGCCATGCTGTGTTGTCCAAAGCACAATTCGCAGCGTTGAGTGTCGTGAGGGTTTGATTAGCTGCCAACGCAGCGACGAAGGCAGGGCGAGCATTCCGTTGCAGAGGGTTGTCGGCCATGTCCAATGAAATGAGCCGGGACGAGTATCGCAAGAGGTTGGCAATCCCGAGATAGCCTTGCTTTTCGCGGAAAAGACCCGCTTGGTTGTTGGAAATGTTGAGGGATGTTAACGTCGGGTGAAAAGCCACCGACGTACACATGAGCCGTACGCCTGTAGGTAGGAGGGCATTGTTGGAAAGACTAGGCAGTGTTCAATAGTCTTCTCTGGTAGATTTTGATTATTCACATACTTGAGGTGGAGCAGCACTGATCGATTGCTCTCGATGCCTTTGACTAGAGACATCAAGCCTTCGTAGCTTGGACGGAATGGGCTCCCGGTCAGGTCACATGAACTCAAGTCCAGCACTTCCAACGAGTTGTTGGTCAATAGTGCTTTTCCTAACGTGGCGCAACCGACGGGTCCAATTTGGTTGCCCGATAAACTAGAAACTTGTCAAGCTTGATGGCCATCATGCATGTATCAACACGTACTTCAGAGACATGAGGTTGCGATTCGTGAACGACACATACACCGACAGGGCTGTGATTTCGATAAACCCGATGTTCGACGAGCGCCAGTTTATGCTTTCTGACTTGTCCCGGCACACTTCGGTGAGCGAAATAGCATGCCACGAGCGTTGGCCCCCCATGGCCTGCACCTTGGATTTGAACGTACGATCCACCTCAGCCAGGGTTCCCAAGTTGGCGTGGTCAATATGCGTGGGCACTGTGGGCTCGCGCACGGCCAGCAGCTCATGCAACGATTCGGAATCGTCAGGTATCTCACTGATCAAGTCTGTGGAAGTCAACATGTGGACCTCGTCATTATTCATGGTGCCGGCTTCACAAAACCGATCGTGTAACGGTTGAATACAATATGTCGTAGGATTGTGTTCGATTCCCCAGTGGAATAGACAACATCAGGTGGGGGGGGGGTACTACAATACTGTCTTCAACACGTTATATTCATAAGGATCTTTGACAAGCATCATTTGATTAATCTAACGTAAACGGAAGTTGCTCATCGATCCATAGGAAGGATAATGTTATCGAAGTCATTCAGAAGAGTTACTTCGTATATGACAGTTGAACCAGTTATCCGGAAAGGCACCCAAGATTCCGAAAGGTCGCGCTTGCAAGAAGCGTCGTCCACGGTAAACTATGGCGAGCGGCAAGGAAGATGCGAGCCGATATTCCGAACGAACGACGCACTATAGTACAGCTACTCCAGAGGAACGCATGCTGCAGAGTGGGGAGCTGCCCAGAAGTTTTGCATCGCTACGGAGACGCCCCGATCGCAGCCACCGGCCCATGTCGGCAGGGCCATGCGTGCTTTCCAATCAAACTCAGGATAGCGCCGCCAATGTATCCACACAATCGATATGCTGGATTGGTACTGATTCTCTTCTCGTAGGCTCTTGCCTCGCAGCTTGTACTTGTGTCTCCAAGGAATAACGCCGACATAGACACCGCCCCAGCCTCACTGGTAATATTCCCGTGAACTCGTGACATCAACGCCAATGCAAGGCAAGAAAGTCGATCACACTATCTTGGTATCATATTAGATGCCACCTAAGCAACAACGAGCAGCGTCGGCGGCTCCTACTCGGCCCACAACCAACTCGAATCCTCGAAGTACGACTGCCATACTTGCCCATATATTTCATGTGACATGGGGGTGTGGGTTCAGATTTGCTACGTCCAAAAAGCAGCACGGCGCAGCGAAAACTGACTGCCACTTCAGCAGACCCTGAAAGAGTGCCGTCGTCATCCATTCATTTGGCAGGCCCATTGCATCGTACGGCCACCAACAACAACCAACACGCGTCGCCTGGGATCCTTGCTGGATCATCGTTGAAAGTTCCACCTTCGTCGGCACCTCTGTTTCATCCTTCAAATGAGGTGGTGCTGCCTCGTGAATCGGGTCCACCGCCTTCTCGACCCCAGAGCGCCGCCGCGACAAAGCTGTTGTCGAAGAGATCGAACCGACCGCAAACGGCTGCAGCGTCGGCCTCGAAACGTGTCAAATCTGCAAAGACAAGGCGCGAGCCATCCGCAGAACCCCAAGAAAACGATGTAGCAGACATGCACGTGTCCACGGTGGAGAAATCTCTGGACTTGCACTTGGGCAGCGGGAATGGAAAACCCTCGTCTCCCCTCAAAGCCAAGCACTGGTCCCCACCCAAGCACTTTGTAACATTGCGCCAAACTCCCATGAAGTCTCCGTCAAAGTCCTCGCAGTTGACAACGCCAACCACGTCGTCACGTCCACCCACCTCGTCCGACAGTTTGCAACCCGTGCGGGACAGCATTGAAGCGTGGATGAGCCGCAAACAAACCGAATTGGCCGACGATTCTGACAAGTCGAATCTCCACGCGACGTTCCAATACGCCGTTCCAGCGCATCACTTTGATCGATCAGCTCCGTATGACCCGTACACGATCACCTACGTGCCGTTTGTACGTGCTTCCATCAAAAGAAATATATACACAAACTTGTGTGATTGTGTTGAATACGTAGCATACCGTGTACAATGCCCACGACGGCGGGGTCCGCGGACTCCAGTTTACAGACGACGACCGGCTAATCGACCAGCAAATCGCGTGTGACTTTTACGTGATGAGCCCCAAGAACGTGTTGTTCTACAACAAGGATCATGCCACGGTCATGCTTCAGTCCTTGAAGGAGTGGGAACGGGAGCGGCGAATTTTTCAAACGCTCAAGACACTACCCCTCTTCAGCACGTGCGTGTTGTGTTGGTCATGGCATCTCATGACAGGAACTCTGACTGTGGTGTCCAGGTATCGCCGTACCAAAGCGATGAAGTGCTGGGTGTCCCATCACATTTTGCGCAAGCGACAGCGCTGCAAAGACCTGCTGAACGACCTAGTGTACTTTTGCAACCCCATCTTTTACGCCACGATGAACGCCATCCAGGACAAGATCATGGGGTTGCACACACAACTCCTGTTTTACGTTGACCGCGCGACCGTCATCTCCCCACACGAGTTTCAACGGCGCCAGGTTCGACAGCAAATATTCCCTCTTCGTTACGACAGGACCGCTCACTCATTGTACCCCTCCCCTGACATAGGAACTTCATATCCAGAGACTAGGCCTCGAGTTCTTCGCCCTGTGCGACGCAATTCGCCAAGTGCTGGTGGACATGTCCCACAAGTACTTGTCGCATTACTCGTCCACGGACGCCGTGATCAAGTACGCCGACGTGTCGCTCACGTCGCGCAAAAGTACCACGTTTCACATGGATCAATTCTTTGGCACGATTCAGAAGAAGGCGTCGCATTTCTCGCCGCTGGCCCCGTGCAGCGAGGACCCGACCGTGGCTGGGGAGCTTGACTTGGTCGCGATACGTGCCGAGCTCCAACGTAGTCGCGTGCGCGCCAAGTCGCGCGAAAGCATCAAGGAAAAGCCGACGATGGACGCGATCAAGTGGTCCGTGGCGGCCGTAAAACGAGCTCGGTGTAGTGAACTGTCGCGGTTCATTCGCCGCGTGGACTACATGTTGTTGGACGCGTTCCACGGTGTGATCAATCGAAGTGCCGCCGTCTTGGTACATCAGTTACCTCGTGATAGGGCGTTCATTGTTGTGTTTGTATTTTGTGATGTCGTTAGGGCGAACTGCTCGAGTCGGGGGCGGGCAAGTCGTCGTCACTGCTCTTGTCCAAGGATGCATACATGCGAGCGTACCATCGCTTTGACATTTACGGCAACGGGTCGTTGGATGGTGCGCAAATCACGCGCCTCTTGCACCATGTGTTTGATGGCAAGTTGACTGACACGGCGCTGGACGACCGCGTGGGGTTGTTCATTTCCGTGTTTGACGAAAACGGGGACGGCGATGTCAGCATCGAGGAATTTTCCAAAGGACTGGACGTGGTGCTGGATGTCGAGCGCATGGAGCAATTTGACGTGTCGGCCAACAGCATTTATGAAACCAATCGCTTGGTACACCACTGACTGATTCTGATATATATGTATATCACATTGGACAATGATTTATGTATATACTATTGATTTTGGTGACATCGTAGGCCCACACCAACTTGTTTATCCCGGTTCCGTTGTTTGAAGTAAACGTCGTGTTTGATGGTGCCCACGGGTTGTCGTTCGACCCGCCGCTGAAATCCGTCCAAAGTGCCATCGAAATGACACTTCGGGGATTTTTCGACGCCAACGAACACGTCCAACGATTGATTCAGGACCCGACTATTGTCCCCGTATTGACGTTTTACGATCAAGTCCGGACATGTCAATTGGAGGCCGTGCCCCCCCAGAAATCGGGGGGAGGGGGGGGTCCCCCTTCCGATGCCCCCATCTCGGTCATCCTATTTGAACGTGCATCGCAAGACCAAGCGTACATGCATTTGTGTGAGCATATATTTGATATCGTCAAGGGCTCTATTTGTGGATGCCAAGCGTACGCCAACTGCTTCCTGCCGTTATGTGACGAATTCGACTGGAACAATGGTCTCGACTTTGACGAGATTGCGCAGAAGCACATGGACGGCACGTACGACATTGAACGACTAACACAGGACGTGAAAACGTTTCACCACCAGGTGGGTCGACAGTCGAGTTGTGGAGAACACTGACGGAATGGTAGAAATTAATGCTCGAAGATTTGGTCGTTTCACAAGACATTCAGGTACACTGTGCATACTCTTGTATATGACGAAACATGTTATAAACAAAACACAAACGTTGTTTGATAGCTGATTCGTGTCAAGACGCTTGCGTTGAAAACAGCACTGTTGCCATCGCCCGTGCGCTGTCTCAAAGAACTGGAGCGTATCTTGCCCATTCTTGCGGAGAAGAACATTGCCAAGCTCTTGACGTACATTGAGCTCGTCGCGTCCAAGATACAACGCCCCCCTGCCAAGGATCTGGAAGCGTTTGTCACTTACATTCTGAACCTCAAGGTATTTATATCAACAGTCAACCGTGCTTCGTTGATCTATAAGACACGTGTGCCAATAACAAAACCACGCTGGGTATGTAGGAAATCAACGACGAGTTGCCGTCAAAAGACCTCGAAGCCGCACAAATCACAGACTACTTGGGGCTGATCACCGACTCGGGCTTTCACATTCCAAGTCAAACCCAAGCCATTTACGACTTGGTCGAGCCCGAACTAAGCACGTTGAAATCCGCTGTCACTAACTGCATGGCCAGACGAGACATGGACATTCGAGAGTATGCCGTGCTCTTGGATCAGAAAATACAGCACGTACGTACGCAGTGTCGTTCTATGTTGGTAAATAGGAGGAAAACAATGCTGACGGGCGTTACTGTATGTAGCTGGAGGCGAACATTGCGTACTTGCAGACCGAGTCATGCGCCGAGCAGCTGTTTGAGGCGGACACGGAAGCGTTGAATGCGCTGGCGTTCACGGGCAACTTGAAGCAGCTCGCCACCGACTACACGGTCCGCGCCGACCGCTTTGTGTTTGTGCGTTCGCTCTTCAACGAGTTCTTGCCCGCATGTATGCCCGACGTGCCGTCCAATGGAAATGCCATTGGCTACTTTGCCTCGCTGCCGAAACTCACGGCCAACATCAACTTGAAACATGTACGTGAACCTCTTCAACGTACCCATTGTCCATTGTATTTTCGATGCGGTGACGACGTTTTGCTTAATCTAGTCCATGTGGACGTTGATTATGGAGGCCGATCAGTCCATTTCAAGCTGGGGGGACATCGATCTGCGACACATGCCTCAAGAGGCCATGCACGACCTCCTCGACCGCGTCACGGCACTCCATGGGGTGTTGGGGGTGGAACTCCCCACGAGTCCCGTCACAGCACGCGTCTTTGAGTTGAAAGAATTGCTTTCGCATACGACGTCAATCGTGCAAAACCTGTGCAACGCGCACGTCGAAGAGCGGCACTGGCAAAAGCTCGAAAACAAACTCTGCGTGGCGTTCCAGTACGAAGTCGAGCCCGCGACGAACGCTGCGTCGAGTGATGACCAGCGGTGTCTGGTGCGGCAGGTCGACGTTTCGTTCAAGTACCTCATGTCCCTCAACATCCACGACAAGCACGCCGACATTAACGAGATTGTCCAAGAAGCGGTCACCGAAGCCGCCATTAGCAAGAGCCTCCATGATGCCATCCGTGTGTGGGAAACAAAAGAAATCGCGTTTTCATATTGGACCGACAGCGACACTCGCGACATTGTCGTATTGGGAGACACCTCCGAGTGCATCAACATGCTCGAAGAGTCCGATGTACGCACGTCGTCCTATCAACACTCTGAACATGATGATATCTGGATGTGTAGATGCTGCTGCAAACGATCATGGGGTCATCGTACATTCGACATGTCCAGCCGCTCGCTACCAAGTGGAAACATGAAGTGAACGACATGATGGAGATCATGGGTCGACTGGACGAATGCAAAAACTATTGGGAACACATGGAGGTTACAAAACCAACATGAACTTGGATCTTTGAAAACCGAGCTGTCCTAGGTATTCTTGTCACCGGAATTTTTGCGGGCGCTGCCAGGCCAAGTTCGAGCATACACGGAACTCGACCGCGCGTGGAAAGTGCTGCTGGATAAGTTGAGTAAAAATCCATCCCTTGTTCGAACAGCTCGGACGCAAGGGTTAAAGGAGCAGATCATCCAACTCAGCCAAGGGTTTGAAGGCATCTACAAGACCTTGGAAGGTTATTTGGAGGTACGACCAGTCGCTGAAACAACAGGTCGAACTAAACCCATATAATCCGATGCGTAGATCAAACGGCAGAGCTACCCACGCTTCTGCACCTTGTCCGATTCGGAGCTCACGGATTTGATCTCAGCCTGCCGAAACCCGCACAACATTCAGCAGTACCTTCCATCTTGTTTTCCCAGTCTGGGGGTGGTGAGTTTCGACAACGACGACAAATCGATGGGAATCGTTGCGGTTCGGTCGCCCCCGAGGCCGTTCGAAGAGGTGATCTCCATGGGGAAAAACCTCAAGGCCCGGGGCTACGTCGAGCAGTGGCTATCCCACATGGATCGGCGGTTGTCGGAACGGTTGCAGAAGATGATCAAGGACCTCGTTGCGTACTTCACTGCGAACGTGACGCAACGCACATGGGATTTGAACTACCTGCGCGAGTTTCCACTGCAGGTATGTAACACGAACACATGCCGTATGCGACGAAGTCGATTGCGATCCACTGGCGTAGTGCATTGTCGTGGCCAATGACATTACCACAACCGCCAACTTTGGCCACAAAGTGGCGCAAATGGAAGTGTCCACTACGACTTCAGTCCGCATCAAGCAACTGACCGTGTCGTTGACGAGTGGCGACCGGTTGTTACATCCGTGCTTGGTGAGTACGTTGCTGCTGCAGCAGTTTTACTACCGAGACACGTTGCTACACTTGAGTGAGATTCCGTGGGCAAACCATCCGCATTATGTCACGACCGACGATGAAGTGCACTTGGCAGTTGGGGACCTTGCACTTCCATATGGATATGCGTACCACAACCCCACAGAGTCGTACTTGGTCGTCACCCCCGTCACAGAGCGCTACTTGCTTGCCGTATTCAATTGCGTAAAACATTACCAGGTTGATATTGTTCTTTTATTGCTATATCGGAGATGGGTTTGGAATCTAACGGTTGGTGGGTAGGCGGGTGTGGTGTCTGGTGGCGCGTGCAGTGGCAAAACCAGCTTGTTGCAACTAGCCACAATCATGTTGGGCCGAGATTTGATCCAAACGTTTTGCACGAGCATTACGTCGTTGAAGCAAATTCACCGCTTCATCACGGGCGGCATTGGGTGTGGAGGGACACTACTCCTTCGAAATGCCGACCTCCTAGTCGGCCCGATTCTATCGTTCATCAACGTTGTCGTGTCCACTATCATGGTAATTTAACTACGTACATATACATTCACTTTAGATGTTCACAACTGTGGGCGCAAGTAGAATTCAGCGTTGACAACCAAGCATGCCATCACGTTGGACGACCGAGAACACGTTATTGACGCTGGTAGCATGATCATGCTCACCACATCGTCGTTGTCGTCGTGCCCAGTGTCCCCTAACCACTTTCGAGCGTTGTGTGAGTCGCTGTCGTCCATCTCCGTGATGTGTCCGGCCATGGAGCAGATTCTGCACGCGGTCTTCTTCTGCTACGGCTTTGACCAAGCGTTGACGCTGGCAAGGATGTTGAGTTTGGTGTGGAATGAAATGCGAGGGGTGGCCCTTCGACTCGCCCCCGAGAAGAACCACGCACGATTCTTCACCATTCATACTGCAAAGCATTGCGCGAAGCTCATGCTTGGTCGGCACATATCGGACGAAATCCAGCTGCTCAAGGACACTCTGCAAGTGTATTTGACGACAGGGCTGCATCTCCCCCCTGATATTCGCACCTACGCCATGTCGTACATCAAATCGCTGTGGCTTGTTAAAGACTACACCTCCGTTTCCACCCACACTGACGACGGCAGCGGCACCACCATCAATCAATCGGACTTTCAAACGATGCTCAAGGGGACGTACACCAGACATTACTTTGTTCCGTCCGAAGCCAGCTTACACGTAGCGTCCGCTCTGATGCAAGCCGTTGCGTCCCATAGAAGTATCATACTGTGCGGTCCTTTGAAAACTGGGAAAACGACGTGTGTCAACATGCTGGCGGCGGCCCTGAACGATCTGTTTGTGGACGTGGATGGCGCTAACCCGACGCTGCCCCAGTTTCCAGACCCCCCTCCACAAGACTCTCGTTTCATTGTGATCAAGACGCTTCTTCCGATGGTAAGGTATCTTGTGTTGTTTTGGTCGCATAGCCTTCAGTTGCTAACGTCATCGCATGGTGGCTAGTCGTTGTCCATGGCCCAACTGTACGGCGGAAGCGTCGATGGCAACACAGACACTTCATTGATCAAAAGCGTGGTGACGGAAAACGTGCCATGTCCGCTTCCCCACTCTGCGGAGGGATTCAAAACGAACGCCACCGACACCGTACCTCGCGACGTCGCCCCCCTTTTGACCCACCGGCAGCGTGTGTGGCTTGTCTTGGACGGATCCGTGGAAGCCGCGTGGACCGAGCACATCTTGAGTCTCGCCAGTCCGTCGCCATCGTCCAGCGTGACTTCCGGACTGAGTCAATTCAGTTTGCTTGAGAGCGATGACACGTTCACACTGCCGTCGAATGTCACGGTATTATTTGAAACGGTGGACCTGGACCATGCATCGCCCACGCTTGTCCTCAACTGCAGTTTGATTCACTCATCTCCCTTCCATCAACCCGTCAATGATGCTAATACGTCGTCGGTCAGACCATTGCAGCAGCCCCTCCACAAGCTCTTCCTCATCGGAGCCATCGCTCGCGTCCGAGCGCAGATCGCCGTACTTCCTTTGGTGTGCGATCTCTTGACCAAGTACTTGGTGGACTCGACCCTTATGGATCGGTTGCTTGAAGTGCTGAGCGAAGGCACGTTGCACGCTCACTTGTCCCCTCTGCACACGGCCCAAAATGTTATGACGCTCGTGCAGTCCATGCTGTCCATTCAACCCGGCGTCGACTATTCCCTTTGGACAAAAGCCCTGGACGTCGATCCTGCCGCGAGCCTCAACGAGCCTCGCCACGTGTTGACCCGTCAAATCGAATTGGCAATCCTGTGGTCCATCGGGTGGGGAGTCGGCAGCTCTGCGTCTAGTCAGACCAAGCGCCTCGTCACCAGTGTTCTGCAGCGGGAGTTTGAACATCTCCAAGACACGTGGGCCAATTGCGGTGGTGGGGACATGGGACTGTATTCGTGGGTGTTGCATCTTGCGACAGTGACGTTTCGGCCGTGCAAAGACGTGTTGTGCCCACCCTCGGGCACTCGAGACCTGTCGCCGTTCTCGATTTACATTCCTCGCGTCGAAAGTACGCTTGTCCAGTTGGTCTCCAAGCAAGTTCTTCGATCTGGCGTTCCATTGCTAGTGTTTGGACCTGCGGACAGCGGCAGTACGTCGTGCGTGGTGGACTTTTTGCAACGGTCGTCTGCCTTTGCCGCCCAAGGTTTGACCACACAAGACCGATCGAATATCGTAGTCACGCCAGACAAGGCAGAAGACGTGCGGATTTCAACTCATCGGCTCACGACCACCTTGATCATCTCGTCGCTGGCAAGCAAACTCAAAACCAAACGAAACGAATGTCGGTCGTCGGCGCGGTCGTCGTCGTGCGTGGTGGGCAAACCCGGACCTCCCACCCGCCCGCCAGACGCCGACGCTGCCGCCAGCGTCTGCTTTGAAACGGGGTCGTTTGTGTCGACTCGAATCCAGTGCACGTCGGCTACGACTATCGACGCGGTTAGTGCGACGGTCGAGCGGGTGATGCATCGCGAGCGCAAACATGTGTACGAACCGCCGCCCGGGAAAGCGATGGTGCTGTTCTTTGACGACTTGCACCTGCCAGACCACAACGACGTACGTCCGACATGGTCTGACTCATACTTAAATTCTGACATTGACACGACTAGTTTCCATCGCCCCACGCGTGGGTGCGATCGCTGATCGACCTCGCCGTCGTGTACAACCAAACAGATACCAAGGGGCGTGCGATAGAACGAACGCTGGTGGTTGCCACGTCCAACGACCAAGTCATGGGCGCGTGGCATCAGTCCCCAGCGACCTGTCAAGCGCGGTTGTTGTCTCGTTTTTTCCCGCTGCGGTTGGCGGGCTTGGAGGCCGACGATGTGTCGCAGGTGTGTCCATGTCAATTTCAATAAGAGAACGCACCTTCAATTGGTGTCTAGATCCTGTCGCCGATAGTCTTGGGTCATTTCGAACGCACGGACCTACCCAGTCGCTACGTACAGCCGGTCCGACATCAGATCGGGTACCTCTTGGCGGTCACTATCGACATGTTTTTGAAATTCCGGACGCTGGACGCACCCCTCGCGAGCGTATTTTGCATGGCCAAGCTCATGACGATGCTTGAATTCTTGACTGCAGCCCCCCCTCTAACCCTCCCCGACCTGTCCGTCCTCCTTCGCTTGTGGCACCATGAAACCCAACGAACGTTTGTCGACACCGCCATCGCCATTGATCGGGGGGACGTCGTCCAGCAAGCCGTAGACCTCGCGTATGCATCGTTGTGCGATCACATCAAAGAAAAACCGACTTATTCAACCTCCCGGTGGATCTTCTTTCCCCACGGGTACAATGAAAAGACCAACTTCCGCCAGCGCCAGGACTCGTTAGACAGCGCGCTGGTGTTGCTGAGTCCCGAGGATCGAGCGGCATCCATAGGTTTATACCGCCGCCGAATCGTTGCGGCCGCAGCGCCTCCAAGTCTCGAGCGTGTGTCGTCGATGGCGGACATGAAGCAACTGAACTCGCCGCAAAGTAAAGTCGTCGGTCTTCAGCAGCGCCAAAACACGTTTGCAAAACCGCTGGCACCCATGTTGCAGAGGAAGGAAAGCGCGAATGGAAACTTGCACCAACGAAAGCAGTCGGGGAAATTCGACCAAGACGCCCTAGGCAATCGGTGGGTCTCGAGTCGCGGCGGACTGGCAAGTGGTGAAGCTGGCGGATGGAACCGCCACGTATATGGGGAATTGGCCATTGAAGGCAACAACCTGCACACGGCGCTCCAAACCCAAATGACTCGATTTAGCAAGAAGGATACGATGGTGCTGTCTTTGCCCATGGTAACTGCGCACTCTCAAAACGACTTGCATCTTATCGATGGAGGAATAGGTGGAGCCCATCGTGCAATTGTGCCGCATTTTAGGTAAACCTGGAGGGAAGGCCATGCTCGTGGGCCCCCCTGGGCACGCCAAGCACTCGGTAGTCAAACTCGCGTCGAAATTGATGGACCAGCAGCAAGTTCACTTCGAGGTGAGCTGAGAACACAAGCTCAAATGTACATATCCGTGTACTTACACATCGTAATAGGCGTCGGTGCATCCGTCAGCGTCGAAAGCCAAGTGGGTCGCGGCCCTCAAAGAAGTCGTGGCGATCGCTGGAGTGCTTCAAACCGATGTGACGTTTATCGTCCAAAGTGCTCACCGCCTGCCGGACACGAGCTTGGAGCAACTTGGCTTTTTGCTCAATGGACGCGAAATCCCTCTGCTTTTTACGGCCGACGAACAAGTTGAGGTTATATCACCCACCCATCGTTGACCATATCTTCACGAGCACACAATGTTGAACGTAGTTGGCGGACCGCGTCAAGGACGAAAAATTGTTCGAGTTGAACGCGTTGCATGCCAAGGAGATGGAAAACCTGCGCTTCGAACTGTCTGTGGCCAAGCGAGCGGAGCTTCTCGCAAAGCACGACTTGGTACGCCGACAAATCGCAGACTCGCGGGAGGTGCACAGCAAAACGGCCAAGGAGCGGGAGGTGGAAGCAATGATGGACCTGGAAAAGCACTTGAATGCGCAAGGCCAAGAAAAGATCGACGCGCTGATGAGCGTCCAGCACAGCGCCATGGACGACTTTCTTCGAAAGGTCGAAGCCAACGCAGACATCCACATGTCGGTCACCATGGCGGCTGTGAAACCGTCGGGTGTCGTCAGTGGCATTTGGAACGAGGTGGTGCAAGCCGCCGCGCAAAACCTCCGCGTCGTCGTGTGCTGTGAAGCGGCTGACGTCTCGGATTTCGTCCGACGAGGGCCCAAGATGTTCGCACAGTGCCAAGTGTGCTTGGTGCCTGCGTTGGAGTTTGGCACACTCAAACCAGTGATTCACGGACGCATTGAAGCGCAGTGGAAGGTGTTTCAGGAGCAAGAAACGCTCCTGGAAAGCACGGTGGTGCTGAATCTGTTCGAGTTGATCCAATCACAATTGGATCATGTGTCGACGCTGGCAGCGAAGCTGCACTTGGCGGCGAGTCGCGTGATGCTGGCCAATGGTGCAAAGGATGCCGCTGTCATTTCCTTGCACCACATCCCCCTCTACGCTCGCAACATTTTCGATTCAATCAAGCGGCTTCGCCTACGCATGAATCAACTCATGACTCGGTCGCGGTCGTTCCTTGATGTGTACCAAACCGCAGTGGACCAGGTACGACGTCTCCAAATGTGACTTGTTTGTCGAGCTGCTACACAAAATTGTGTGGTTGTAGGTCGACTCGGCTCAAACGCAGCATCAACTCAAGCAACTGCAAATTCAATCCACGATGCTGCAAATTGGAGAGTACAAATTGCACTTTGAAAAGATGCAAGCCGAGGCTGAAGTGGTAAACACTAGTCAACGACCGTCTAATTCAGTGGATTTATGATTGAACCAACGATATACTGGTGTAGATTCGAACGCTTATGCGAAAGCAAAAAGCAGACGTTGACGAGCAAGTGAAAATCACCACGGAAATGGACAAGCTCACCAAACACGAGCTCAAAGACGCACTCAAGGTGCTGGACGAAGCCAACAAGTGCGTCGCCAACCTGGATCGGCGATACATTATGGAAATCAAAACGTTTGTGAACCCGCCAGTGTTGGTGCACGTCGTACTGAACGCCATGTGCGTCCTCTTTTCGGTCGAGCCATCGTGGGACAATGCAAAGAAGCTGCTCAGTGACGTGAATTTCATCACGTCGATGCTCAATTACGAAAAAGTAGGTGCCACTGGCACCAAATCTCGACCCGTAGTAATGTTGTGTGTCTGACCTAGGACAACGTTCCAGAAGCAATCTTGATCAAACTCGAACCATATTTGACCAACGAAATGTTCAACAAGACTGAAGTGGAAAAGCAGAGCATCGCGGCGAGTACCATGGTAGTGTGGATCATAGCCATCGACGCGTACAGTCGCAGTCGCAAACTGGTCAAGCCCAAGCTGGATATTTTGGACGCTGCGCAAGCCAAGCTGCGCGCCCTCGTGGCTGAGTTTTCCGAATGCAAGAAAAAAGTCGACCAAGCAGACAAAGTCTCGAGCGACATTGAAGAGACGATCCAAGCTCGGATGGAAGACAAGGTTCGTATGTCCATATCATTTCAGAAATATCATTTTCCAAGTCATCCGATTCTGATAAATATCATTTTTCGTCTGGGGTTAGAAACTCCTCGAAGCGGAGTGCCAATTGCTGGCGTCGTTTTTAGTGCAAGGCCACGCCGTGCTGAAAATCCTTGGACCCGAACAACTGGTCCTGACAAAGCATTTACACTCGGTACTACTAGGACATGGCAAATACAATCCTGAATGGAATACACAACTGGTACATATGTAGATGGTCGAGTACGAAGCCACACTTCTGGGGGAAGCGGTGGTGTCGGCCGCCGTCTTGACGTACGCAGGCGTGTTCTCTCGGGGCTTGCGCGTTCAATTGTTTGACGCATGGGCGGTCGAGCTGGCCAGTCAGCCCCTCCACATCCACCCCACACACTCCATCTTGAACGGCTATGCGGGCCAACCGTTTGGGCTGTGGCTCAAAGTCGCAGGGCTGTTTCATTCGCGCCACAGTCAACAGACAGCATATTTGTTGGCCCATGCGTTGCCGGTGGTGCTGGTCACGTCGTTTTCTCCGCACATGGATTCGATGCTGCGGAACGTGCTGCACGCCGTGGGGTGTAACTCAGTCGTGACAAAGTCTGCCCAGGACAAGGACGTGCGCAGTGTGTTGGAGTCGTGCATTTTGATGGGCCAACAGCTCGTCGTGCATGATGTCACCCCTCTCTTGTACAAATCGGTATGAACCACCTTTTCTCGCTCACCCATTGTGACATTGATGGGTGGCAGATCTTTCACGACCTCGTCGAATGGGATACGGAATGGGTGGATGGCGTCGAGCACCTGATTTACGTTGGGCACACGCTCACGTTGAAGCGCGGTTTTCGATTGGTCCTCACGGCCACAGCCCCGCTGGCAGAGTTTGGATCTGACGTCTTCCACGTGGTGACGGTGGATGCCGCCGTCTGCTGGGACGACATGCAGGTTTCCTACTTCATGTTCTCTGGGGAGAGAGATACGGTCATATCTATCACATTTGTCGTAGAATGTCTTGCTGGACGACATGGAGCTCGCCAATGTTGGCAATGTCGACAAAACAGGGGGAGGGGGGGCGTACGATTGCGCCAAAACCATCATGGACATGGAAGTGGACTTGGATCGGTCGTTTGATGCGCTATTGGTTCATTTGCGCAACATGGTATGTTGTCGAGGGGGGCAGCTTGGGAGTAGTCATTCAGAGTTGTACGTGACAACCGGATATGCTGGGCGTAGATACGGGAAGCCAAATACGACGCTGCCCTCGTCGACTCGCTGGCCACCATGTGCCACCAGAACGCCCAGCACCGCTCGACGCTGGACGACAGACGCCAAGAACTCGACAGAACGATGGCCATTCGATCGGACACGAGCTTTGCTGCAGTCACCCAACTCGGTCAGCAGGTTTATGCTGCCCTTCAGCGTCTCTCGACACTCGTGCCAGACCTTATCCTGGCGTTGGAGCCTTATGGGTTTCGCATCTTGTTTATCCAATGCCTGGTACGCTGATGTCACGTTCACCTGGAAACAGGCGAAGCACTTTATTGAGCAACACCCGACGATTGATGTCTATGTCGTAGGAATCGTGTGGTACAGACGTACGGACCAAGGCAGCCGGGGCGAAGTGCTCGACACCAGGCGACGTGCTCCACAAGTTGCTCGAGGTGATTGCGTTTACCATTCCCCACGAGCATTGGCAGTCGTTTTTGTTGCTCTTGGCCTTTGAAGTCCGCGCTGAATCATTGCAAGATGCCGAGAATCCCTCAGAATTACCCTGTCCTGACTTCGTCCCTTGTGGTGACGACGACTTGGCTTCTATCCCGCTGAAAGCACTCCAGCGCAGAGCGCTAGTCCCACCTCGCTGGAATGCCATTTTCACGGACGAAGCTATCATTGCCATGTCCACTACCTCCACAGACCAACTATTCCAGGCATTCGAAGCGTGCACGCGGGACGTGATGGTGATCAAGAGGACGCGACAAGTGTCCATAGCGACAATGCAACCGTCGCAGTCGTCTCAAATCGTTCCTTCGTGGCACGACGACTTGCCATCACTAGTCAGGATGCCGGCACCCTATTTGTGTTTGGGGCTCCTATTGCAGTGCCCCACCAAGACATTTGACTCGTTTTGCGAGCAATTGGCGCTGCACACGCTGGGGCTGGAACCAAAGGAGGCGGTGGCTCACCGTCGATGGGGCCCCAAGGACTGGTACAAGATGTTGATCAACACACCGGATGCATGGTACTGGTGCGTGGCATCGAACGCGGGCTTCACGACGTTGAGTCTGCTGCACGCCATCATGAGCACGATTGTGCCTCGAGAGGTGTGGCCGGACGTGCTCAAGCTGCTCCTCCAACGCCCGACGGTCCACGCCTTGTCGTTCCAGGTGCCGCCCGACAGTGGCAGCATCTTAGGGCACTTTGACTCGGTTCCGTCCATGGTGCAATTTGAAGGATTCAACCCGTCGGCATTCGAAACCCTCCAGTGGTTTGTGCTCGACATGACCACGTCCGAGAAATGGGACGCCGTCGTCCAGTACAACAAGAAATTCCGACTCGACTACCGACCAGTGGGTCTTGTGCCACACCTCAAGCCCACACTGGGCAAACCCATGCATCAACGGCACGCAGCCGACGACGACATGCAGTCATCCCGCATGCTGCACATTGTACCCACGTCAAAAGCGCGGCCATTCACGTTGGCCAACGTTCCCCTGGCCGTGCAGCCCAATCGCTTGGTCCTCCACCCCCTTGAAAGCAACCCTTTCGCCACCGAATTCCGACGGACACTGCTTCGACTCGTGTCGATTCCGTTCTCGTCGGCTATTGGTGACGCTTTGGAGCTTGTGAGTACCGACCCCGCTGTGCGCAACGTCGTAGCGATCGTCCTGTGGCGGTTGTTTTGCGGTCTCGTGTTCTTTCACGCTGCACTTGTGGTACGTACGACAGTTTAAGTCATCGCCAGATATGATGTATTGTTTGTATCCTTGTAGGCGAGACAAGACATGGTCGTTGGTCGTGCTGTGGACGTGGCGACGGTGGACGGCAGCGACTTGGTGCTCGGCGTGTACGTCATCACAGGTCCCCTCTTGCAAACGATTGTGCAGGTGTTTGTCCATACGACCGACGACACGGACCCGTTGGACCAGCTCCACTGGCCAGCCATTCACGACCTGTTCATGCAGCATGCACATGGCCGAAAGTGCATCACGCTTCGAGGACTGCATCTCGTCCGAGCCCTTCTGCGCGACTGCGTAGGGTCGTACCTGTTGATTCCCAACAGTCCGCCGCAACAGTCCAAGTTCCAGCTCCCCTTGCCAGCCTTTCAAGACATGCTCAAGACGCCGACGCAGTCCACGGACGAGTACTTGACCGTCATGTGTGCGTTCGCGTCGTCGTGCAAGTGGACCGTGGTGGACGTTGTGGTGCCGGCCCCCGTCCTGTCCATCGACCTCCGCCACTTGGTGATGTTGCCGCACTACCGCAACATTCCACCTTTGCACTTGAAGCAGTATCTGGTGGCCATTGCCACGCACTGCTTGCAATCCCTTCCCTCTGCCCTGCCGCTCAAATTGCACCCGCGGAACGCCCTCGTGCAGCACCCACTGCGCCAATTCCTCAAGACCGTTATCCACGCCTTCCATCGTCGCCGAGACGGGGTTGAGGCTGCCCTCCAACGCTTGGTTCTAGATATTACCCAATACCCTCCAATGACGTTGGCGGGTTTCGTGGCTATATCTACCAACAACATCAACGATGGTTCAAACTCCCTGGCGAGAGACTGCTGGGCCCTCGTGATGGACCAACTCCCTGCCCGATTGGCGACGCACACCCCTCCGTTGGATATGTCGTTGTCTGCAGCCGTCAAGCACTGGCAACTCACCGCATCGTTTTTGACCAAGTGGTGGGACGAAGCGCACACCGAGTACTGGTGTCCTGCTATTCTGGACATGACGGTAGAACCATACACTGTGCATGAGTATGATCTGACGTTTGTGTGTCGGTTACACGTATGTAGGACTTGATGGCCGCGTTTGGGTTCACTCACAAAATGGAGACCAATACAGTGGCGAATGTTTGTCAATTGGCGTTTATCGGACACGTGTACGCGATGGACACGCCGCTGGGGGCGTATCGAAATCGAAACAACACGATTTTGCTGACGGGGTTGGAGCTGCTGAATGCTGCGCCTTCATCCACGTCCCCAGGTCGAATTAGAGAAGCACCAGGGGAAGCCATGCCCGTGCAAGTGTTGTTAAAAGTCTCCTTGGACAACTCCGTGAATCCTGCCTCAAATGACACCATGGAGTGTCCGATGTTGCAGAGCCGACGCTCTAGCACTCCAGTGGGCACTGTGCCCTTGGAAATTACCCCGTCGATCCACGAGTGGGCGACATGTCCGTACTTAGTGCTGACCCCCGACGTAGCCTCATTGTAGCAGCCGATTATGAGGGAGCAGTATTTAATTCTAATGATTGAGTACGTATTGATTATTGCATCGAAAAATTTAGCAACTACCTAGGGAGGGCATAACGGTCAAATGAATCATGTGGCCTTAAAGTCTACCGGTAGGTGGTACTTGGACATGCGACGAGGTAATGAACACATCACTACTTTGCATTCATTTCAAGATGTGTCTATGGCGGGGAAGTCATGAGATCGATCATATGTACGGATGAAAATTTAGCATCTTGCTTGTCTGTGACACTGTGCGTGTTTTAAATTGCACTGCCAACCGGTAGTTTCTATAATTATACCCAGGGGATTTTTGGTTCCAAGTTGGGAGAATAAATTACATCGACTTGCTGCGTGGTTTCCTCGTGAGTTCAACCAACACGATGGCTGTGGCGTCCACCTCTCGCAACTATACAATCGATTAGCTCCACAGATGCTATATATATATTGTGTCGATACCAAAATGATGTCAAAGTGTTTCTGCAACCCCTCGAGAAACTCGGCTTCTCTATACAAGCAACACATACTCCAACTTTGAAATACAATTGAGCATGGTTTATATATACCATACTTTTCATCGTGGCGAAGGCGGTAGCTTAACAGCAGCACCGTGGACTCTGAACACACGGCTTTCAACGTCTCCAACAGTGGCGCGTGGAAGTCGGCATTGTAGATCAAGTCGGCTCCAATCACAACGTCGAACTCAAGCTTTGTCGGAAACGCCGCCAGCAATGCGACATCATTGCCCCTACATCCCAAACCACCAAGTGACAATCGTGCGATAAGAAATGAAGACTACCACGGAAGGAACGCCGTGCGCACTGCAGGATCGTGTATTTGATTCCGCTTCAAGTTGTCGCGGAGTAAGTACATAGCGTCGGCATCTCCGTCGGTAGCCACAATCTGAGCCCCTTTCATGGCTAGCTTCACTGCGAGAAAGCCCACACCGGACCCTAGCTCCAGCACACGCTTGCCATGCCACGGTCGCGACTGCACGCTCTCCCACAGCACGAGACTCGAGTCCCAGAGCGCACCGCCAGTGGCATTTTCCGCTGCGCCAAAGAAATTTTGCGTCAACATGACACCGTCCACAGTCACTCGCCACTCGCATTTGCGCTCGGCATTCTCTTCATCTACCACGGAGTACGCCATGCGTACTTATTACGAGATGATGGGCGACTGGCGCGAAATCGGCCATGGTAGTTGCGTTAAACGCAGGTTAAACCTTCGATTTGTGCGTAAAACGCCTAAGATGAATTCAAAACTTCCATGGAAGTTCCTCGTAAAGCCAATATTCGTAGCCCCCAGTGGTGTAATCCTTGGAATCTAATTAGTGTTGCTTGTTGATGCACCTCCTGTGAGAGCTTGTGCATACAGTACCCTCGCTTCCCCAGCAACCACATGCAGATGCATACAATAACGTCACTCTTGAGTGTTCCTCGTTACACATCCTCCTCCATTTCTCTATATCCCCTTTACAAGATCATGCGCAACGGGTCTTCGACTAACTCCTTGAACGACGCCAGCCATTGCGCGCCGGTGGCACCGTCGATCACGCGGTGGTCCAACGCCAGGGTGGCCGTGAGTTGGGTCGAGTATTTGTAGATTTGCTCGGCGTTCGGGTCGTCGTTAGGCACCACGCGCTTGGCGATCGTGCCCAGGCCAAGCGAGCACGACTGGTTGGGGCTCACGATGCCCGCGAACGACTTGACGTCGAACATGCCGACGTTGGAGATGGTAAACGTGCCGGTTTCCAAGTCGGCGTCCGTCCACGACGCCGCGGCTTCCGAGCCCTTGGCGAGAATCGCACGCACTTCGGCGTTCACTTGGTCGAGTCCCTTGGAGTTGACTTGACGCACCACAGGGGCCACGACGCCTACTCGTGCATGCATGTCATGAGCAAGACCGAGAGGTTTTATATGGTAAATAGATATATGGGGTAGATCGTACCGCCTTCGGCAGCCACCAACACATTGATGTGCACGTTGTGGAATTGGCGAATGACGCTGCCGAGCCAGGCAGCGTTGGCGGCCGGCACCTTCTTCATGGTCAAGGCGGCGGCGCGGAGGAAGAAGTCGTTGACGGACAATTGCTCGTCCTCTTTGCGGGTCTTGTTCAACAGGTCGCGAGCTACATGACATCAAGACATGATGACTTCACATATTTATAAAAAACAACCGGCACCCACGAAGCAGCTTACCAACAAGCAACTTGTCCAAGGCAAGGTCAGCAGTCAAGTGGTAGTGCGGGACATCCAGCTTTTGTTGGGTCAACTGGGCGGCATAGTGTTGAGCCTTGTCGGTGAGAGGGAAGTCCGTGTAGTCTCCATGGGTCAACGGGGTGGTCGGTGCGGCAGACGCCACGGGCGCAGCCGCAGGAATCGCGGCAGCAGCAGGGGCAGGGGCAACTGGCCCGGCAGACAACACGGATTCAACGTCGGCGCGAAGGATGCGGCCCAACGGACCGGTGCCACTCACACCTCCCAACGTCACGCCAGTGTCGCGAGCCAATTTCTTGGCCAAAGGACTGGCAATGACGCGACCTGCAAGGGTGGAGGGGCTCACAGGGACCACAGGCGCGGCCGTAGAAGCGGCCACAGGTGCAGGGGTGGCCTTGGGGGCAGCGGGAGTTGGCGCAGCTGCGACGGGGGCAACACCGCTCAGGGAAAAGCTCGCAAACGCAGGAATTTCGCTGGGGTCTTCCACCGTAACAAAGATGGGTTCGCCAACCTACATTCGATTAGGAATGCATGTCCACGGCCATTACACGCCAAGGGGCTCACCTTGACATCGGCCGAGCCTTCGGGTTTCAGAATTTTGGCCAGATACGAGTCGTCTTGGGCTTCGAAGTCCACGACGGCTTTGTCTGTTTCGATTTGGCACACAATGTCGCCTGCGGCGATTTTGTCGCCTTCCTTCTTGAGCCACGTCGAGATGGTACCGGTTTCCATCGTCGGCGAGAGAGCCGGCAGACCGACGACCTCATGCTCCGGAAGGGTCGAGAATGCTCGCGCAGTGCTGCTGGGACGGACAAGGAGTTGGCGCGCCAAGTTGCGTTGAAGGACTTGCACCACACGCATGATAATTATCGCTCGTCGTTGGAGTTTGAGTGACTGGAATCACTTTGTTGGTGTATGGTTATCCGGATGTATCGAGGTTGGTGACCGGATAACGGGTGTGGCAGCCCACATGACCATACTGAAATCAAGTAAATATTAATGCCAGTCTGTGATTGGCTACAATCATCCAGTGCCCTGACGTCGCCGACCACCGAACGTTACGTGAGCCCCGATGTGGGATGGCCACCATCCGATTTTATCAATCAAGAGGCCACGACGGGATGCGCCTGAAGGATTCGGGGCTCGCACACGCCACTAACATGACGACTGCACAGGACCATACACAGTAACGACGAGTTGAAGAAAATAGAGTGTCCCTTTGTTGCCTTGTACCTGCCGTGTAAGACATCCGAAAAACCAATCAATTCTTGCGATCGTCAAATTACCTGTGCATCAAGGACATTTTTTGCACAAACGGAATTGGACGTACTATACGTATACTACTAGTACTGTAGTAGTTGTCAAATGAGGATCCCGTGTCGTCTTCACCGTTTTTCAATTTCCATTTTGGGTTCAACTTGAAAACGTCTTACAGTACCGTATAACGTTAACGTTAGTACTAGTAGTAATATTGTCCTTCTCACGCAAATTTGGACTGGTCAGTCCAAAATGTCCTGCTTCGAAGTACTAACGTTATAAATATTATTACTACCTATTAATAGTATTAATAATAACAGTATTAATAGAACGACCAACATGAAAGGAACATTTGAGAATTTGTAGTGAATTTACTAGTAGCATTTTGCAAATGGGAATATTCCAATGCAATAATCAAGCAAGACATTTCAGCCAAATAAATTTCCAGTCAGGAATTACCAACTGGACAAACCTTGACACTCACAAACATTCGATAAAGTCTCAAGCAGCAGCAATCGAAGCCACCTCGTCGCTTTACAGCCCAACATGATGTAGATCCCATAAAGGAGGAATCACCACTCCCCCACTTGATGAAAATGCGTTCAGCACTGAAATCACACTGGTAGTGTGTGTTCCAAGGAGTTGTAGAGTTGGCTGATGCGAAATTTGCTGATTTGCAAAAACTCGCGGCCATTTGAATACTCCAATAGAATTATTGTCTGTCAGGTTTTCGAAAGAGCTTTTCATTCGAGTATAATATTAATTCCCATTTGCTAAACCACTCTACCGTACTACTAGTACTACCGTATTCCCCACCTACCAGTACCCATCATTTTTCCTGGTCTAGTAGTACCCAATTTCAAAGCTGAGCTCATTGTAGAACGTTTTATAGAATCCCCACGAGGCTGTACCCATCTAAGATTTGATTGGTTGGTTTATAGCACCAGTAAAATTACCTCAAGAGTGTTTGTGTGCGCGTCGATTCATGGAGCTGAAGGCTGTCGACATCGTGGGTGTGTCGAGCGGTGAAGGGACCCGCTCATGTACCTGCCATGACATTTGTGGGGATAGCCTTACAGTCGACGACCTGGTTGTTTGCCGCCTTGAGGTACAAGGCGAAAGTGGGAACCTGGAAGAGGTTCTCAAGGTGTTCCGCCTTGTTGCCAGCGAGCAAGCATGCCACGTCGGCTTCCTCCCTTTGCGCTTGCTGAAGAAGAAAGAAGACTTTGCGAACAAGATTGCCATCATTGTAGAGGACTACCGCACCTCCCCGAGCAAATACCAGCGGCAACGCTCCGAACGAAACGTTGGTATTGTTAAAGCCGTTATTATGGAACACCTCCAGGAGTATCATCAAACCAGTAGACAGTAGATCGTTGTGTATATACATATTCTACACTACATATCCATAACCGCACTTGCGCCAGGCGTTGAGAATTATTTCCACAGTAATTTCTGACCACGCTTTTCGGATCCATTCCAATATAACTTCGCGAGATGGGTAGGCGACGACAGACTTTCCCACCATCTGTGTTGCAGCCCAAAGCATGTATTGGTGTCGGATGTTGTCCTTGAAGGGCTTATTTATGCTCACATCCAGTGGCTGCAGGACACAGGTGTATCCACCTAAATATAATATCGATATATCAAGATTGTAATAAATATTGTAAATACCTGGAATAATTTCCAACTCGGTTCCTACTTTCGCAACTTTGCGGGTAAATGATGGTTGCTTGTGGCACTTGTAGTCGTCGAGTAGAAGCACGCTCGGGCTTTGGTCGCCAATAAACGGCACCCAGACCGATTTTCGCCAAGCTTCTGTCGTCGGATCGTCCATCCACGCATTTTTTTGGCACGTTCCAAACATGTTGGGGGGCATAAACTTCTCCAATGACGAATCGAGCCAGCGCCCGGGACCCCCTTAAACACAACGTACGGTGGCAACTTCTCTCCGGTGGCGGTCACGGCCAAGCACACGGACACCCGAGGATTGTGGGACGAGCACACGCGAGCCGACACAGTCTTCGAGCCCTTCTTCGAAATTGTTGTGTGCAACTTGGGTTCGAAGTATACCGGTGTTTCATCCATGCTCTCGTTTGCCTTCGTGTTCTCGGCTACGATGGCTATCTTGGCTTTGACCGAGTAGTACTGCTTACGGCTGATGCCTGGCGATGGGGAAGGCATGAAATTCAAAAATGTACTTGAGCTGCAGCAATACGAAACGAACGAATCACAGGTATTCACTATATTCAAACTAACCAATCACATTGTGTCACACTCTGCTGGTTGACCCGAGCTCTCCTTGTCTAGCTGTACCCATTTGCACCAGATTTTACTGACATTTCAGGGGGTACTGGTAGGTGGGGAATACGGTAGTATTACAGTACTACAGTAATATGCACTGTGAAAGGTTACTTACTCTGGCAAGAATAAATTACCTTAAATAACATTACGACAATACTGAAAGGAAGAAGACATTATGAAGTTGCAGTTTGGCAGAAAATTCTTTAGGGTAATTACGCATCCATGACACAAGATTCAGAAGTATAGAATAATCAAATGTACTTCGAAGTGTCAACCTAAACAAGGTTTGAATGATGCCGCAGATTCTGGAAGCATCTCCAAAACGCATTGAACAAGAACACCCAACCATGGAAGTCCAGCCGCAGCCTCTTCAAATGCCGACGACACCCCGTAGCTTCTCGGTCGTGGGTAGCCGTGCCAAGTCCAACTCGTACGACACGTCCTTCAGTGGCCTGTCGAAAGATATTTCGGACGACCAACAAGACCTTTGGCGCAAGAAACAAGAGGTCGAGGACTTTCGTGTGGCGTCGCCGCAGTCGTCGACTAAGAGCCCTCACAGCACAGGCCAAAAGGCCATTCGAATGCCAAAGGCCATGGCCATATAAGGCGTATCCCACGTCTATGTACGATGCACAGAGTGTCCATGTGCGTAGTACGACCTCAGTAACATCAGTATTTAACACCTTTTCTTCCAGTAACTTGCTCATTCTTTCCCCCCACGAATGCTAACTCGCCACTTTGCCTTTCCAACAAGCAATTGTAGAACTGCATCGCAGGGTTGTTGGGACGTCTGGGCCGCGGTAGCTAGGCTGCCATTTACCACTCCTTGTACACCCGACATCCACTGACGAATTCTGCCCAGTACCTTTCTCCTCCACTTGAGGGAAAACTGGCGCAATCCGTCGTCTTGGTTTAGGTAACGGCAAGCGCTTGGCCACCGGTAGTACATCGCAGCGCCGCCGCTTCATCGGCACTGCCCTTCTGCAATAACGTTATGAGCTTGTGCGCACTTGACGTTAGCTTCGGAACGTCGTGGATTTCATAGGACACGGTGGTTCCTTGCACGAATGCTGTTGTCTGCAACCTTTTGTTTAACGTTCCTTTAAATCGTTCCAACGTTCATATTAGTACTCCACAGTGTGGTTCTCACGCCACGAAGGGTAGTTCAAACGATCAGAGCTTTGGGTCATCACCAGGTTGTGTTGTGGAACACCGTTGTACGTTCGGGGACTTGAGTTGCGGGGTAGTAGTAGTGGTACAGCCAATCTTTGTCCTGTGGTGTACTTTTATGCGTGCAAGGTTGGGCAAGTTAGTGTTGCTAAAAACCATATCGAGCGTTTTTCTCATTGGCTAATGACTTCCTAGGGAAGTTTTGATTGGCAGGTTGCGAAGTGTCGCTGTGAACATTAAAATGAAAAGTGATATTTGAACTCTCGCCATGTCGACAAGGTTGGACAGACTTCGGTCGTTGTCGTCGTCGAGGTCTCGCTCCTCCAGTGGCATCTATGCCTCGTCGCCCATTCCCCAGACGTCCACTGACATTCCGTCTGTGAATTCACCGCTTCTCCTGGACCCGTCGCGACCTCGACGAGTGGGGTCGTACGCTATTCGCCGCGAAGTGTTGTTTGCGATATGCTGCGTGCTGTGTTTTGCGTGTTCGGGTGGGCTTATTCTGGGGTAACGTTGCTGTACTTGAACGATATATACTATGGCATCACCAGCTCAACCTCTTCCTGCACATAGGTTTGGTCCGTTCTACACGACTCTCGTGGGAAGTGGGCAGTGGCACGAGAAGTGCTCCGAGGGAACAACCGATGCCGTGTGCCCCACGCAAGAAGTGTTCCTGCAGGTCGTGTTCTCGACCAGTTTTCTCTTCCTCAGCGCTGCCAACGTCATCTTCGGTCTGTGCATCGACATTGTCGGGCCACGCGTCGCCGCCATCACGGGATTGCTGGTACATACCATCCACTGGGTTTCTCTTCGATGTTTGACCAGTGGACTTGTAGATTGCGACTGTGGGCAACATTTGCGTGGCTTATGGGGACTCGACGGCGTACGACGGCATTGGCATCATCGCGGGGTACGGACTGATCGGCATGGGCGGCATGGGTCTGTTTCTGTCGTCATTTCAAGTGATCAACTTGTTTGAGAACCAAGGCATTCCGTGCAGCATCATGTCGAGTCTATTCAACTTGTCTGGTATTGTCTCGTTCATATTAGGCTAACTATCCTCATCAGAATAATCCCAATGTAGCCTACGTCTACATGCTGCTCAAAATTCCTGGAGCCACCCGCGGGAACTTTTTTGGCAGTTATGCGTACGTCTGACAGTGTCCATAGATAACTCTCACGTTTTGTCTAGCGTTGTGTCGGCGTTGGCGCTGGTCGTGTGCTTTGCCACGTACCCTGCAAAGAACATCCATCACGCCCGCCCGGAAATGCTGGTGCCCGGCCTAAGCTTGTACATTCCTACTCCTCGGGTTCGAACAAGCGATATCACTTTGCATCGTCACTCACCCTCCCTCGCCACCAATGTAGAAACCCACGCTCCTCTTGGACGGTCTCAAGCACGCGCTGCGGTCGGGTGACTTGTGGCACTTTGCGTTTTACTTTGGCTGGCTCTCGCTCGTGTTTTCGTTCACGGGAGGGGCCATTCCTAGCATCATCCGCCGCACCGCCGTCGACGCCGACGTCGCCGACGTGTACACCAACTTCCTCTTCCCCATCGTGTCCAACTCGACGTTTTTGTTCGCGCCGCTGGTCGGGTACTGCATTGAGCGGTTCGGGTTCCACCAAGTGTTTGCCGGGTGTTTATTCTTGACGCAGCTATTCTTGGCCACGCTGTTCGTCCCCGTGTTGGAGGTGCAGCTTCTCGGGTTTGTCTTTTGCTCTATGGCCCAAGCCAGCCTGTACACGCTCCAGTTTGCATACATCAGTACGTGCGTGGCTCGACCAATATATCGAATGTTCGTGCTAAGGTGATGGGGTATGTAGTGATGTGCTATCCGTCGCGGCTGTATGGCACGCTGCAAGCGTTTGTGACGCTGTTTAGCTTTACCATTGGATCGCTCGCATATGTCATCAACCCCCTTGCACAGCAGTACTTTGGCGGCGACTACACCCTCATCTTGACGTTCCTGGCGTTCCCAACACTCTGCCTCTATGGATTTCAGCATTTTATCCGCGAAGAGGCCGAAGAAGACAAGGCGACGTTGCCGTACGACGAGCCCATGACCCCCCAGCACCAATAACAAGCACGAGAGTTGTATGACTCCAGGCGAACTGGAAAATTCCTGTAACGTTAGTTATTGCCGATATATACGTATATTGTGAAGTCGATTCGAAATTGGAGTGGGTGCGCAGACAATCGATCGACCAATGAAAACCTAAACCTAATCAAGTAGCCAATCAAATCCACTCTTCGACGAATTCAACATCGAATTAGTGCGTGACTGAAATTAGTGTGATACTTGACGATCATCAAATATGGTGCATTTCATCTAAAGACTACAGATCGGCCATCCTCAGGAGGAGACGTTTTACTATTAAACGCCTCGGTTATTTCAGTTAAACCCACGTAATGTTGACGTTAAATTATTTTTACTTACGTTTTTTATCTGGTAAATAGGTTAAACATCCTGAATAATCCGGATACAATGGAAACGTTCATTCGGATAAGTGCTGTATACAAAGACCAAGATATACTTGATGCTCCTTTTCGGCCAAAATGTCCATATATTTCCATACAAAAAGGCTGGTTGGTTTAAATTCTATTACTCGATCAATTTTTCACCAATCGAAATTTTGAACCGTAACTTCTGTTGGTCTTGACCAGTTCTATCGTTATTACGGCTTATTTTCCTAAAAAATATCAATGCAACGTTGGAATAGCTGTCGAAAGACAAGGCATTTTTTTGTAGTCTTTAGTTGAAATGCACCATACAAAAGTCAGGACATGAGTCGATCGATAGATTTGGCGAATTAGCGCAAAAGTCCAAATTTTGGGTAAAATTTGGCAATATGACTTTCGAAAATGATTTCATTTTTATTTCAAACATACTGGTAAGTAGCTTACAGTTATTAATTGACTAATTATGCCAATATCATTTTGCAATTTCGAACTTCGCACGAGTGACACACCATACTAAGTACTAATCGAACTTTACGGTGTTATCATATATCCTTGCCAAGGGTCACGAGTGCACACAAAATCCCGCTGTCGTGGGTTGTGGGCATGCCAAAGGAAACTGCGTTAAGCTCCCCGCGTGTTTCCAGTCGACCGTACGCGGTGCACTTGTATGAGCATGATCCAGCCAACGACGAAATACAGCAAACGTTGCGAGTGAAGCCAGAGACCAAGTCGGCACTGGCAACAGCGTCAGTTCGCAGGCCACCAGGGCCTACAGTATCCGGGACTGCACCTTCATCTACGGGGACAACTTCTTCTTTAGTGGCCAAGATCCGGAAGCAGGCCAAGGAGTTGAGCGAGTTGCACGAAGAGCTTGCTACGAAGGAGAAGACGATACAAAAACTACAACAGTCCCGACTTCATGGTGGTGGAGGTGTCGCTGCAGGAGTTGGGGGGCACAAAGGCAAAGAAGTGGAAGAATGGAAAACCAAGTACCTAAAGGAGCAAAAGAAGTACGACACCAGCCTGAAAAAGCTGCATGAAATGAAAGCTGCGTTGGATATGAAGGACCAGGAGAAGCAACGATTGGTGGGGCATTTCGATCAATTTGACCAAGCTCTACGAGACTTGCGTAATGCGAGGGCTCGTTGCGAGGTAGCAGGGTTTGGGTACACGTGGCTATCTAACGGTTGGGAACTACTAGGAGGGTGGTGCTGACACACACTTTACCAGCGACGAAGAGCGCATGTACGTTCGATTGCTGGAAGAAGGGATGCAGGTCAAAGCAGAAGAATTCAACGTCAGTGGCCATGCAGAGTTGATGGTCGTCTTGGCCGAGTTAAGGCAGACAATCCAAGGCCAGGCTGAGAAACTTCGGGCCAAGGACCAACAGATTCTTGCACTGCAAGTGGAAAAAGCAAACTCGATGCATGTAAGAGTCCTTGACATGTGCAATGTGGATGTTATAGCCAGAATTCCAAACACCAAACTCACACTTGATTGTCAATAATGGCACAGACGGCCCACACCGATGTCGAGTCGACCACCAACTCATTGGCGTCCATGACAAAACAGAAGGAAGCCATCATAGACTACGCGCAATCCTTGTCGGACAAGCACAGTGCGATGGACTCGCAAGTACGTAGCGTTGCAAACCCTCATTCCCACGCATTTAATTTGTGGTTTTTTTAGAACGCTGAATTAACAGCGCAAGTGGCCACGCTGAACCAATTGCATGAACACACGGCAGTCGAATTGAAAAGCGTCGCCGAGCGGTACGCGACGTTGGTCGCCAACTTCGACGCGGTCCAGCTCGACAATGCAGCGCTAAAGCAAACCCTTGCCCAGCTGCAAGGGCAATCTCAAGACAAAGACGCCCGTCTCGCTGCATTGTACGACGAATGCCAAGCGGCTCGTCAACAAGTTCGTGACATGAAAACGCTGCAAGACGATCTGCTGAATGGCATTGGGGACGCCAAAGACAGCGAGCGCAAGTGGAAGGACAAGGCGGACGCGTCCCAGCGACAACTGGACGACGTGCTCATCAAGTTGACCGCGGCCCAACACGACGTGGCGGGGATGACCCACCAGCAATCTCAAGCCGACACCGTTTTATCCACTTTGAAAGGCGAAGTCGAGTCGTTGAAAGCGTCCGTGGTGCGCCTCCAACAAGACAAAGTAAGCACCGCATCATGCATCACGATTTGAAGATGTCATAACATCCCCATCTCACATCTTACATAGGATCGACTGCAAACGGAATGCGACCACATGCGCGAGTACGAAAACGCTGTCACAGACAGAAGCCAGCACCGCAAGTCGTACACGGCGGTTGCTGAGTCGGAGCGAACCCTCCGAGCCGACCTGCACATGATAGATATGTTTGTACATTCGACCCCTCATCATCACAGCTCATCCCCCTCCACCCATAATACCCACGCCAAGCCCGACAACAACGAAGCTGCCAGCTCTTCGTTTGTCGAATGGTACATTGTGGGGGACGTGGTGTCGCGGGTGGCGGTGCTGGACCAACGCCGCCTGCCGCCGCAGCTGGTGCAGCGCCTGCCTCGGTTCTCGTCCTTCTTGAACCAGGTGTTTGTAGCTGTGGACACGCTCATCCACCACGTGTCCATGGTCGACACATCGTGGAAGCGAGAGCGCTTCAACCTCGTGGCAGCCCGAGACGCGTTTGAGTCGTCGGCCGCGCTGATTCAGACCGAGCTCGACATGATGCGCCAGTGGAGTTTTCAGCTCCACGACGAACTGCAGCATGTAAAAATATTGTCGTCCTGGTTTGAGAACATAACATGCCGTCCTGTAGACGTCGCGCGCCAAGGTCGAGATCGACCAGCAGTACCAGACGTCCACGGCGGTGGCCAAAGAAGCAAGCGAACGGGCGCAGGAACTCGAGCAAAGCTACGCCGCGTGTCTTCAGACGCTACGCACGACGCAGGCCGCCGTCGAGTCGGTCAACCTTGAGGTCTGCGTTACATGAACACGAGGACACTACCATATCGGGAAATGCTAGTGCTATACCCTAACATGGAAATAGTTGACCCAAGTCGACTGCCAGCGACATGCTTTGGCGGCACAAGTAGAGGACTTAGCCGTGCGTTTGGAGAAGTCGCAACAAGAGGTGTCCGATCTTCGCAGCGAAGCGACCACGAGGACACAATCCCTGGATACCGCCACGAAGCAACTTCAAGAAAGCCAGACTGACGTGGAAAAATGGATTGCAGCACACGCGCGATTGAACGAGAAATTGAAAGAAGTTACATTGGATGCGGCAGCGCACGACTCTTTGGTCGAGGAGTGCGCTGCGTTGAAGCAGAAGGTACACGTATACGTATATGTTGATAGCACTAGCGATGAGTTTTGATGGCTTATGGAGAGTCATAGGTGGCCGAAAGCGATCGTGTTATAGCCACCGTCTCAGACGACCAGCGTCGACACTTAGATGCCATGCAAACCCACTCAAAACAATTGGAGGCTGCGATTTGGGAAGTGTTTTCGACCGTCCAGAGCCACCTCCCTAAGTCCCAAGCCACCAAGCCGGACGACGCGACGACGGCATTGCGGCACCTCCCGATTCTTCTGGAGCGAATCGTCCAGCATCAGATCAAAACTCTCACGCACGAGTCGATGAAGGTGGCGCTTCTGCAGAACTGCCAAAGCGTAGGGACTGCGAAGTGACGAGATAGCTGTTTGACGCGCGTGAGATAGGTAGACTACCAGGACCCGTCGTTGTGTCTGCTTCGAGAATTGAAGACGGATCTGCAGCAACTAACCGACGAAAACCAGGTAAGTGTCTTCGTGATATGTGGTGACTGACAACATGATGGATAGGCATTGAAAGCCCAATTGTCCGATTGTCGAGCGGACTACATGACCCATCTCTATGCGCCACCGCGAGAAGACAGCTCAAAACCACCGATGCCACAACAGGCCAAGACCGCTTTGATTGTGCCACGCACCCAGAACAATGCTGACATTGTCGACGCCTTGCGCAAAAAGTTAAAGGCAAAAGCCACAGCGATGCTACCTATAAACCAACCAAGGGTGGCGGGTGGCAGGTCTCATGCGACGGCGGACGAGTATGTGGCGAACACGCGGGCGTCGAGTTTGGACGAGCAACTCGACCAGTTGCACGCAGCGTTTGCGTCATTTCGCACAGATGTGTAATAGAACGAGTGAGTGTAAACTAGGAATATGGAGTACTTTATCGTCCGGGTTCTGGTGCTTGTTCTCGTTTGCGGAGGAGGTACTCGTTGCGTTCGGCACGCTTCTGGGCACGCACTTCGGCCTCGTTCTTCGTGACGATATCATCTACACACAAGGAGTTGGCATCAGATGAAGATAGCTGGACGTACAGAATCCTGTCTTCACCATGAAGAGCTCCACTCCTGCGCCGACAACGAAGCACACTGGCACCAACTTGACCAGGAACGGCTTGAGCGAGGCCGTCTGCGCCATCCTTCAGGTTTTGTACTGTCGAGATATGAGCCAATCGCTGCTCTTGAAATCAACGAGCCAATCACAGTGAGCTTCAAATTATCCAATCAAACCCAAGATCGTAGTGGAACTTGGCAATTTGACATACCGGTATGACAACGGCATCGTCGTGGAGGACTCGCCGCGACGTGGATGTGTATGGTTCATGCCAGCGAATTCAAGTAAGTGACACGTGAAGCATGACGTTAGACGTATGAGGTTGAACTCCCAGGCAGCGTTTCGGGGATGGAGAGTTCGCATGCGGCTGGTGAAGGGCGTGCGAAAGGAATTCGAAGCCATTTTGAAGGAACTGGAAGGAGATGACTTCCTCCACTTGCTGCTGCATTGCGAACCCACTGCAGTGGAATGGAAATCAACTTATTCGCTCTGTCGTCCGACATTTACGCAAGAACTTGGGGCTTTTTTCCATGTACAAGGGCACGAGGTCGTTGTTCAGGTGCAATCGCCGTCGCCTCGGAACTCCATGCAGCACACCATAGCCCATGATAGCGACAATGACACTATGGAAGGTTCCATGGAAGCGGAGTCCCAAAGGGAAGGCACGGATGACGTTGCTCGTGCTCCTGCAAACGTCGATGTACCCACAGTTGTGCATGATGAATCAAGGTCCAAAGTCAACTTGTCCGAGGAAGTTGGGCCCATCGTTCTCGATAGTGTCAACGACAACGAGCCATCGGATGCTGCTTCCTCATCCAGCAGCTCTATGACGGCCACTCTCAACATGGAGAAGGGGGTCGCAGAGGCGTCGCCTGCCACGCAAGGCAGCCTGCCGGGTACGCCCCTTGATCAAGCTCCATACATTCAGAACCACATGTTGGGACTAGATGACCGAGACACGCAGCTGCGCCTCTTGCTGCAAATGTCACCAAGCGACATTCAGCGAGAAATTGAATGGGCTCGCCGTGCGTTGCGAGAACGAATACAGGTAGTACAACTCTTTGCGTCATCTATCGGTGGACTTATGCTCCAAAATGGACAGTTCCTGCGTCAATGCAGGTCGTGAGGCGGAAGCACCAAGTGATTGAGCGGTCCATATCTTTAATCCTCTGTACGAACGATGGAGTTTGTCCAGCATCATGCATTCCCTCGCGTACTCCCATAGTGTAAGTTCGACATGGAGAGGTGATGGATTATGTGTCCTTCGACAGCCAACTGCCATCCCCGACGAATCGTGAACATACCGACGACGACTCCCGACGGCGAGCATTTGCCTACAGTAGGACCAGAGATTGTTCTCCATTCACGTTAACATGAACTCGACGCATGAAGGCATTGAACCGAAGAGGCATGCATCGCCAGCAATGCGACGGCGACAATGGGCAACCCCCACCCCTTTAGTTGAGCCTCGTGTGGAGTACTCGCCTCTGCACTCGCTTGCATCGTTAGGCATGCGGCTGGCCTCGACGCATTGCCTGAAGTTCCACCATGATGTGGTTGATCTGGTACAAAATATCAGAGGTTTAGGTGTATTGCAGTGGAGTATACAAAACGCAAGGCATTAAATAGATTGTGTAAAAAATGAAGTTGTCACATGGGTTGAAATCTTGCAACATTTTATACGACGGCGGACGGACGCGGTGGCGGCGCCAGGTACCATGTTCACGTCTCCGTTGGCAAAGAAGCAAAAGATCCACATGCATGCGACGCCAGAAACACCTGTCAATCGCAAGGCAGCAACAGCTTTGAATGGAACGACGATGTTTCCCGAAGACATGCACGCCAAGACCGTCCGAAGCCTCCGGCGGATGGTGGGTTCGTGTTTGGCCACCAACCAACCATCGAGCGCCGTGTTCTACGCCAGCAAGTTGGCGACGATGACAGGTGATGCGTTGGACTTGATGCTATTGGCAAGAAGTTACTACGCCACGGGCGACTTCCATCAAGCGATCCACGCGTTGAAGCAACTTACCGACGTGAAGGGGCACCCGAACAACTTCGCTGCCCAACACAGTCCACGACATCCGACAAAACCCCGTCCAACATGTCCCGACGAACATTCTCTCTTGAGCGCGTACCTCCTCCTTGCCCAAGCGATGGTGGGTACACCGCATTGATGCATTCGCTCATCAGCCATTTCCTAGATAGCCATCTTGCAATGGGACGACTGTCAAGACATGCTTGACACCGTGCTCGTGGGCAGCGAAGATCACATCCTTCGGAAGGCGCATGCTTGTCGGCGTTCTCCCGCGGTCGATGACAAAGATCCACTCCATCCCCAGTCCCCCATCAATGTCATTGCGTCGCTCTGTTGTGTGCGCGGCGATGTCTGCGAAGCGCTGGAAAGCCGCGAGCGTGCCGCATATTGGTATTCATTGGCGTTAAAGTGCGACGTGCACTGCTGCGATGTACGCCTCTCGTCCGCCCCATCACGAGGAGGATGTTGATACACATGTTCATGTTCCAATTGTAGGCGTTCAGGCACCTCGTGGACGACATCATGCTGTCATCGCTGCAGGAGCGCCACCTGTTTGAATCGCTCTCGTTTCACGGTCCCGAAGACGAGTATTTGAAGTGCTTTTACGCGTCGCAGCTTGGACGGGTTCGTACACTTCAAGTGCAATGTGACACCCCGTAATCAGATGTGGGTAGTACGACCCGTCGCCACCTGTCGCAGACAAGTTTCGCGCCGTGGAAATGGTGCACGGCTTGCAAGCCAACATCGACGTGATGGTTGCCAAGGCTGAAACGTACTACTACCAGCTCGACACGGAGAAAGCCTATGCCATCTGCCAACGGTACACAATCACTTGCATACATGTATCTCGGCAATCTCATCTCGATGCAAACTATGACGTTCGTGTGAGTAGAATACGCACCGACGCGCCGTTCGATTACAAGTCGATTCCTGTGTACGTGAGTACGCTGGTGCAGCTCGACAAACGCAGCGACCTCTTTCACTTTGCCCATGACCTGGTTGGTATTCATACTTAAAGGGTCCTCACTATCTATTGATATGACTTGTGTGGCCACTTGCGTCGCTAGGTGGCCAAGTACCCGACCAAGGCCGCGGCGTGGTACACCGTCGGATGCTACTACCTAGTGGTAGGCAATTTGGACGGAGCCCACCGATTCTTTCAGTACGCTTATCATCACTCTGTTGTATGCACACATTCCTGAGTGTGGACGTGGTTGGTTGCTAGCAAGGCCACCCACGTGGAGCCCCAGTTTGCGCCGGCGTGGCTCGGCTTTGGCCACGTGTTTGCTCTTCAAGACGAGAGCGATCAGGCCATGGCGTCGTACCGGACGGCGTCGCGGCTGTCCCTCGGCTGCCACCTCCCGCTGCTGTGTATGGGCATGGAGCACTACCGCGTAAACAACCTCCCGTCGGCGCTGCAGCTGGTCGTGCAGGCGCGGACAGTGTGCCCCACCGACCCCCTCGTGTACAACGAACTGGGGGCGGTGTACTGTCGACAGCGCAAGTACCGAGCCGCCATCGACGTGTTTTCCAAAGCGTTGACGCTGTGTGACCATCTGCCACAGGTACAGGAGTAGCAGTCGATGAAACACATCCAGTGGACAATATGTACTGCTAGTAGTACTTAGTATTGTAAGTTCCTTTGGAGTTAATTGATATGGTTGTGGTGTATAGGCCTTGCTAGTAGCGTGGGAACCTACCTTTTTCAACATGGCACAGGCCTATCGAAAGCTACGGTACGCCCACCGTGATGGGCACTATCAATGATAGATATGTAGGGAATACAAGGTAGCGATACAGTACTACCAACAAGCGCTGGCGTTGTGTCCTACGAATGTACGATATATTACATATGTAGATAGATATGCGCGACTAATTGTCCTTATGTTGTAGCCGTCCACGCACTTTGCCCTTGGGTTTACGTACCACATGCAGAATCATTTGGACGATGCCATCGATTCCTACCACACAGTACGAGCCTGGATGGATTCAAATGTCGCTTCTCACTGACGTACTTGCATTCTCTATCCCAAGGCACTGTCGTTCGACCCCGAAGATGCAACAGCCGCTCAAATGCTCGACGAAGCCCTGAGAAGTTTGCTCACATCCGCCTCCCTGCAAGATGCCCCGGACATGTCTCCCCATGCAGAGGATAACCTGTCGGACACAAATGACTTGAGTCTGACCATGGACCTGTCGTTTGAAAGCACCGACATGTAGGACGATCTTGAACGGTCAAAATCAGATTTGGATTATTGGTCAAAATAATTAATGATTGACCAATCAAGGATGGGAATGGAATACCCCTTGAGGCCAATGGTTGCCATATTCACACTTAACGAATCATGGTGCGCAAGAAGAGGAAGACAACCGTCAACTACTTGGTGAAGACGAGAGGTCTGGCCAGTTCCAGCCTTCCGCTGCCTGTGGACATCCGCGACATTGACCTGCCGACGGCGGGCTCGGTTCGTCTGGCCATCTCGACGGCACCCGACACCGCCGCCAACTTGGAGCTCAATTTGGAGGAATTGTATGGGAATCTCGTGCAAGCCCCAGATACATACGCCCAACTTAAAGTACTGCAGCTGTTCCGATCGCATCTTAAACTCGTGATCACGGCGGCCGCCACCATCCAAACCCTTCCGGACTTGACCCAGACGACATTCTGGCAGGTGGCACAGGACTCGTGTCGCTTCATCTTTCGTCTCTACCTTCATCCGTCCATGAAAGCCATGCGCAAGACGATCTTACCCATCCTTGACTCGTTGTCGTTGTACGATGCCACGTTCCCCGCGCTCGTGGCTTCCACGGGCAGCAGCATTGGAGATATCATCGTGTCCGAAGTAACCCGATTCCTAGACGTCGTCCTCGCCCAGTCGTACGAACTCGACGCCACCATCCCGTTGGACCAAATCCTCGCCCTGTGCGAGTACTCGACGGCCACAGAGTCGCTCTGGGTCCTACACCACACGTTGAAGTCGACGTATTTGGTCCAGTTGATCGAGTACTGCAACGACCAACTGCGACTTATCGCGGCTCCCATTGTGTCATACCATGGCCAGCATGACGTGGCAGCAGGAGCGTCCAGTACGGACAATGACGACGACGACACCCAGCCGTCCGAGGTCGTCGTTGCGTCCGAGCGGTGCCTTGGCGTGCTCAAGAGCGTCATCATTCTGTGCACGGCGGCGGACAAACCATCGACGCTGCGTCTGATGGATCCATCAGTCCCTTCCGACTCGTCGTCGCAGTCATCCCTCGTTGGTAGCTTGGAGCACTTTGTGACTCAAAGCCTCGTGCTGTTGGCCACGTCAGCGGTGCACAAAGACCTGGTGACTACCGTCGGATTAGCCACGACACTTCTCCTCAAAGTGCATGTTCTGGAAGCCAAAGTGACCGCGAACGTCGAGCTCACGTACGTGCAAGCCATGTCGTCGTGGCTGCTGGGCGACGGCAGTTGTTCCCTCCCTTTAATGCCGTCGGACACGATGACCAGTCTGTCGGCGATGCCCAAGCTGGCCTTGTATCGAGGGTTCCTCAACAGCATCACAGACCATTCGTTCTTGTATCAAGAACCACCAGCCCCAATTCTGGTGGAAGTGCTTTTCACGACAGTGTTGAGCCACTGCCACAGCGCCCACTTGACGGTTCGCATGTATGCATTCCAAGTGTTGGAGATGTTCTTGCGTCGCATCGTCCAGCAACCGGTGCTGGTGCTGACCACCAACACTGTGTATGCGTTGCTAGACACGATTCTTCTCAACTGGGAGCATCCGGCCAAGAAGATCAACCAGTTTATGGCGCCCATGTTCACCCACGTGGTGACCGTGCTCGGCCTGGACGCAGCCTTCGACTGGCCGGCGATGCTGCGCCGACTGCTGCTGCAACCCGAACAGCATCGCAGCAAGTACATCGCGCTGGGCATCCTTCTCCCGAAACTGGACGCGGTGTCACTGCTCGACCAGCACCCGACTCTGCTGCACGGCGTGCTTTCGGCCGTGGGCAATCAAGAAGTGGCCGCGTCCGCTGCGTCGCTGTTTGTCCAGCTTCTTGAGGCGCTTCGACGAGCGACATCAACGACCACACTCACGCCCGACCTCACTGCGTGGAGCAAGTGGTGGGTCGATGCTGTAGTCGACGCCCTTCTCAACTCAGACACGCACCTCCGTCTCCGCATTGCTACATACGTGCTGCCGATCCTTGTGAAATCAGAGCCCGCCAGTGTCGCCATCTTGCTGGAAGCTGCCCGCCTCCGTCCAGGTATGATGCTTACCGTTCACTTTTTTCATGCAAAATATTGAATTCCCATGCGTTTGGTGTGTAGACTCGGACGCGAGGCTCTGGACGCTGTTGGAACTGGTCAAGTGCGCGCGAAAGATCATGCTGGAGCCGCCGACTTTGACGACGGACGAAATCAACTTTGGCTTGACCCATGCGAGCGGAGATATTCGCATGGCAGCGTATGACATGCTCTGTACTAGTCTGAAAACCACGTCGCTCCCGTCTGAATCGGACATTGCGTTCGTGCAGACGTTTTTGCTGTCGAGTGCCAAGTCCATTGCAACGTCGCTGCGGATGAAGCTCATCATTGGGCTCAAAGCAACCTTGTTGCGCATCCGTGAAGGCGCGCGCAAGACGTGCCGACGCGACGTGACCGCCTCCGAGCACCTGGCGTTGCAGTTTCCAGCGTGGCTCGAGGGGTTCGTCGTGAGCTGCATCACCCCCAGTGCGACCCCCCAACGCCTGACCATGGGCCTCGAGGTGTTTCAACTGTACACGCAAATATTTGACAACCCCCCGTCGCTGCACACGCCCGCGATAACGAACGCGCTGCTGAACGCCATGATCAGCTGCTGGGACCGCGTCCGGACGCTGTCGTATTCGATTCTGGAAACGTTTCCGTCGCCCCTGCCGGGCTACGAGCTCGGCCTGGATACGCTTTTTGACTGGGCAATGACGCTGTGCTGCAGTCCTCGTCAACGAGAAAGCGACGCCGGAGCCCATTTCATGCGGCTCTTGTATAAACAGCACGTCCACTTGACTTTCCTCCCCTCCCCGCGCACTCCCCAGGCCTGCGTCGCGCACATCGTGGCCCTCCTCGGCGCTCGCTTGGACGAGTTGGAGACAGTGAATGCCCCCGGCGAGCCGCCATTGATCCATGGCCTTCTCTTGGCCACTCGGTACATGCTGGAAGACACGCCGTCCCTCGATCATACGTGGCACGCCCCCGTGACAGCGATCTTTTCTGTGCTCTGGCGGGCGCTGAATACGGCGTTGGTGGTAGTGGGAGACGCCACGTCCGGCGTCGGAACCCAAGCGCTCGATGCTGCGTACGCCGTGGTGGGCGAAGTGTCTGCTATCCCCCCGCTCCGGGCCAAGATGGACTGCCGCGGGCATTTGGTTCTGGACGACCCGGACGTGGCCGACGGAGACTCGGCCCAACGCGCGGTTGTTGGAAGCTGGCTCGCGGCTCGAGAGGCGGCTGCCGTCTTGGCCACTCTCGTCAAAGCGGCGTTGATCACCCCCTCCCTTCTGGAGACCCCCACCACTGCGTCGTCCGTGCAACGTGCCGGGGACGTGCTGCTCAACGCCCTATTTGAACTCAAACACGGGGGGGCGGTTGCGACCGTGTCCGTGGCCTACGAAGACATTTGCAAAGCTCTCTTGTCGTCCTCTCCTTCTTTCTCCACCTCCTCGACGGACTCGATCCGGCGATCGTTGGCGCTCAGCCCAGCCAAGTGGTGCGACGTGCTCTTGCATCGTCTGGAACACGCCGAGCAGCAGTTCATCCTTCGTCGCAGCGCCGGATTTGCCAGTAGCTTCGTGGCCATTTTGCGCGCCGAGCCGCGCAATGCCGCCGCCACGCTGTTGCCCCATGTCCTCGCGACCCTTTTGCGACTGGCGAGGGACGTGGACACGGTCGAACGTGTGCGAGTGCATGCGCTGAACATTTTGAAACTGCTGGGTCAAGACGCCATCCTTGCCGAAGACGTCGCGGTGTTCGTGCCCGACCTACTCACCGTGGCCGTCCATGGCTTTGAATCCAAGTCATGGGCTGTCCGGAACTCGTCCATGATGCTCTTCGCCGCGGCCACACAGCGCGCGATCGGGGACAAGCAAGTGGCGGACGGCGCTGCTGCCGTCGGCGTGTCGGCACAGGACGTGTTTACGCGGTGCAAGGGCCTGGACACGTTTTTGCTGACGCATTTGCAATCGCAAGTGTATCCGCTGCTGCTGTTTTTGAGCCGCCTTCGTCCGGACGACGTCGCTGACCAGCACTCGGCCGCCACCATCTCGGATGTCCTTCCACTCGACACGTTTGTCCCCCTCGTGGTGGCCTGTGCAGGGGAAACCCACATCTTCCACCGCCGGATGGCCGCGCACGCGTTGGCGGCCATCGTTGCGCCGACTTCGATTCCAGCTGTCGTCGCAACCCTTGTCCAAGCGCTCCAAGGCCCTCGCTACAAGAACAACAAACTGCACGGGTCAATGCTCCAGCTGCAAGCGTTGGTGGACAAGTATCAACCACCCATTTCAAAGACAACGTTAACGTCGACATGGATGGACGCATTGGATGCCGACTTGGCCGCGGTACTTCCACGGCTGTTGGCCCTGCGTTGTGATACAAACCGAGGCGTGTTCGTCCATTTGGCACTGCAAGTCGTGGCGAAAGTGACGGAAAAATCTGGCAACAAGTCGGCGTTGTGGCCGCTTCTTGTGGCCCACTGCGACGCGGTCAGCTACATTCAGCCATCCGCTTCTCCGTCCCCCGGGCACGATCTGTACCTCCAAGGCGTCGCATCATGCCTCGTGCAAGCGGCCCTTGCAGACGAGAAGGCCGCCGAATCTCTGGTCCGTGGATTAACCAGCCCCGTGTTTGAACTTCGTCGGAGCACCACCCGTGAGTTCGCAGACCATTTGCACATGCTTCCATGGCAGCATGCGACCTTTGCTGGCATTGTTGGTGCGGTGACTGCCCAACTCGTCAACGAGTCGCATCCACCTACCCGGACCAAGCAGCTGGTGCTGCTTTCCCAGCTCTTGGAAACTAACAGCGATCACGTTCGAGTCATGGTGGCCGTGCCAGGTGTGGTCGATCGCATTCTGGCGCTCGCGGTGGACTCGATGGACCCGTTGGCGACCGGACCCGCGGTGGAACTACTCGGACGCGTGATACTCGTCCAGCCACACGTGTTGCCCTCGTTTGTCGAGCGTGTGGTGGAATTGAGCGACGAAAACAAACCGTTAGGGGTGCGCCTCGCGGCGGCCAAGAGCTTGCGCGGCTGCAGCGGCAGTGTCCTCCGTCCCCACGACCACATGGACGTGACCGTGGCCGCATGGATTGCTACTTTGGACTTGCTCCAGGACGACGACGTGGGGGTGCGGGATGTGATCCGCGTCGCCGCGGTCGAGTCCATCAACCACCAGGGACTCACCCAGTCGTCCGACATGTTGGTACTGCCTCGAGCCATCGATTTCCTCGCCTCCCACCCGACCCTCGCGGCATCGACCGTCTTGCGTGACCACGTGCAAGGAACCCTGGAAGCGTGGACCACTGTGGTGCCCTGGCTGGACGAGTGCCTCCAAGACTCGACCCACCTCCTCCTCTGCGAAAAGATATTTGAAGCCGAGAGCGGCAACTACTTCAAACAGCCCGCGTTGACCGTGCAACTGTACACGTGGCACTTTGTGCGCACGGGGGTGGTACCTGCCCCACCGTCTATCCTCCCCCAGGCCATGGCGGCGCTGCAGCAGTGGCTTAAGTCGGCCACGGTTCATGCGTGGATTGGCGGCACCACGTTCTTCCCCGACGTGTTCCCCCGACTGCATAACCTCCTCGTGGTGGCGGTCGCCGTCGTGCTCGTCCTTGGCCAAGCCCACCCCGAGCTGCATGGCGTGGCGTCGGCTTTGCTTGCCCACCAAGGGAACATGCATCCATTGGTGCACACTGCGTTGACTGCTTTGAAGGACGCGGCAGCTGATCCAAAGGCTGTGTCTACGGACAACGCGTTGGCGTCTATCATGTACCTCGCTCCATTTTGGTCGACCAAATTAGGTCGAAACGTGTAATTTGAGGAGACAGATAACTGTAGGGAGAGTCAATTTAGGAATTATTTTGCTTTTCAATATTCTTCTTTTCAACACCAAAAAGAAAGAGCAACTTGAACCTGTGACAACCCAATCAAATTGTAGCGATTGACAGCTAATCACGAAGCAGAATGTTGCTGGCCGTGCCTTTCACGACTTGACGCGATGGGTCCTGCAAGGCAAGACCGTCCAGTATTCACGTCAGTATTCACGTCGCGCTGGGAAACATTTGAGGATAGAGTAGTTGTAGCGAGGCGCACATCACAGTTGGAAGGCTTAGCGCTGCTTATATGACAGGTTTGCATAACCGGGACTGTTCCAGATAAACCCCTGGTCACTAATTACTTACTGTACTGTTATTACTAATAGTAGTATACTAATCCGGATAATGCATCGCCTCGACGGGCAATCACTTATTGTGCTTTTCACCTTTTTTGGCTAATCCAGGACTAAAACCATGCTTTAATAAAAATTCGTCGTAAAATTACGGCACCTATCCATGGTTTTACGGATGCAAGTGAAGTTATTTTACGGTTCAACGTTGAATTCTTCCTATTCGTGATGCTTTGATTGGCTAAGAATTGGTGGAGGTGCTCGGTTTTATCTTACTTCCTCCGTTCCAGTATACCTGTGTGAAGTTACGCCAGAGACTCTAACCTTGGCTAGAGGGGGTTTCAGAGGGCCTAAA